AVCAMCKMSATCWACACCACTGCGCATCGCATCTCATCGTCACTCCTTTGCCAGCTTGCGTTATCTCAGTGTCAATCTCAAGCAAACGGCACCATCACGACACCACCGCAATGGCCGACGGAGAAGCCGACGAGGATCTCTTCGCCGATCTGTAAGTGACGCCGCGCTGACACAAGATGCGCATGTTGGCTAACACAATGTCAGCTACGATGGTGATGATGCGGAACCCGAGCCTGTGCCAGTGAAGACCGAGGCCCAGGCACCTGTCGAGGACGAAATCAAGCAGGAGCCTGTCATCGCCGCTGGTAGCGCCGGCGGTCCGAGCACCGAGCAGGACAATTCGCAGTTCAAGCAGGAGTACACAGACGACTTCAAACATGAGCAAGGACACGACAATATGGAGGGTATGCAAGACTTCGGTCACACGCACCGGGAGGRGCGGCCAATTGGCATCAAAGAAGATGGGTAAGTCTTTGCCCTATCCCGTGACAATGTGACATGAGCGCGAGCGAGGCAGCAGATGGACAGATGGAAGTTAGAAAGGCGTGAGATGAATCGAAAGGTAAAGTAAATGTGTCAATCTATGATTGAAGAGGGTCAAGTCCTTATACTTGGCTGAACTCGTATCTGCGAGCATGAGCACCGCAGTGGAGATTTGCACGTGGCTCGACCGCAATACCAACAGTCAGCCGACTTTCCATATCGATCTGGCGTCCGGCAGCAAGAGAGATCTCCGAGACAAAGTCAATATGCCACCAACCTGGAGCAGTATTGGCGCCGTGTTATTTAGGTGGACAAGGGGGAAACTTGGGAGCTGGCTCGCAGAGGTTTGCAGGTTGCATGGCGAGTGCTTTTTCTCTCAGATACTGAAAGGCACACTGTTGCGTATCTGGTGGGAAACGTGGAGGGGACGAGCGGAGGCACTGGACCACACTACCTACTTTTATCTTTACGGGCAAGCCAGACAAGGAACACAAGTCACTCTCAGTCAGAAAAGCGGTTAGCTTGAACTCGATAACTCCGCCTTAGCGACACTTAGCAGATCAGGCAGACAGTCAGACAGCAGAGGAGATAGCCGATAGAGTCATGCTGCCGCGCCGATCATCTCCGACATGGAGAGGCCGGTGTTGATAGCATGCAATCAGCTCGATATGCCCGAACGAAGCAGACTACACTGAGAAGTGTCAGTTTACCACGCTTGCTGTACTGCGCTTTTCTTGGACAAATGTCGACCCTGAGACACCCCGCGTGAAGAAGGATTGAAGTTGGGGATTTGCTCGCGCTTGAGCTTGAGCTTCCCACGCCACGCCACGCCACTGCAACCTCCAACAGCGTTTGGATATGGACGCAGGATTTATTCGAGCAAAGTGCTTGCTGTGCTGCGGGCGGTCATGCAGGCGCAAATCCCGGCTTCGTATGGCTCGGGAAATGTGGTGGCTTCCCGATGTGCCAGAAGGAACGGACAGAGATGCGGCTTGACTTGACGACACTAACTGAATGTCAATGCTGCTCGCGCTCAGGATCTGGCTGTTGAATGGATGAAAACGTGAGAGACTGCCGCTAATATGTATATAGAAAGATGTTCATTGGTGGGTTGAACTGGGAGACAACTGATGGTAAGTTTTCACTCACCCATGGAAATGCACTCCATTTCAGTCTAACTTACAACAAATAGAGTCACTCAAGGAATACTTTTCGCAGTTTGGCGAGGTGGTCGAATGCACCGTCATGCGAGATGGCCAGACTGGTCGCTCTCGTGGCTTTGGCTTTCTCACGTTCAGAGACCCTAAGACTGTCAACACCGTCATGGTCAAGGAGCATTCACTCGACGGCAAACTAGTAAGAACACATCATCAAGAAACGGGCAATATGCATCAAGACTAACAGATCTATTCAGATCGATCCTAAGCGTGCCATACCGCGTGATGAGCAGGAACGCACGGCCAAGATCTTCGTTGGTGGTGTATCTCAGGAGGCCACAGAGTCAGACTTCAAGGAATTCTTCATGAAGTTTGGCCGTGTCCTCGACGCTACTCTGATGATGGACAAGGATACTGGCCGTCCACGCGGATTCGGTTTCGTTACCTTTGACAGCGAAATGGCGGTTGAACGCACCTTGGAAGGTCCACTCGCCATTCTCAACAAGCCGATTGAGGTCAAGCGTGCTCAGCCCCGCGGCAAGATGGGCGAAGAAGAGAATAACAAACAGGGCTTTGGTCGTGGACGTGGCTCGAACCAACAGTTTGGGCCCGGAAACGGCGGAGGCGGGTTCGCTTCAAATAACCAAATGGGTCCCCAGAACAACGGTGGTGGCGGCGATGCTTCTAGCATGACTCCAGCAATGATGGCTCAGTACTGGCAGCGTATGCAACAATACTGGGCCATGATGTCCAACAACGCCATGGGCGGAGGTATGGGAGGAGGCATGGGAGGCATGATGGGTGGAGGCCACATGAATCCTCAGATGATGCAGCAAATGATGGCCGCACGTCAAAACGGCCAGATGAACCCCCAGATGATGCAACAAATGCAGCAGATGCAGCAGATGCAACAGGGAGGCGGCGGTGGAGGAAATGGCTACCAGTCAGGAATGAATGGATCTCCATCGCCAATGGACAACAACGGCGGACAAGGCACCCCCGGACCCGGGGAAACCGGCGGAAACTCAGCGTACGACCAAATGAAGTTTGAGCAGCGCAAGTACGAGCAGCAGCAGATGGCGCGCATGCAGCAGCAGAACTTCGGAGGCCAAAACACCTGGGAGGGCATGTACGACGACGTCCCAGCTCCGCAAGGCATGGGTCCTGGCCAGGGCGGCGGTGGCCGCGGCGGCAATGGAGGTTGGATGCGTGGAGGCCGCGGTGGCGGGAACAATAAGTTCCAGAACCAAGCACCTCCAAATGCACCGGCCAATGCCCCCACAGGTCCAAAGAACGCAGGCAGACCTGGTGCCAACTATCGTGGTGGTGGTCGCGGCTCTCATCGAGGGGGATTCCACCCCTACGCACGCGGTGGTGGCTAGGAGCCGCCTTCTCGAAAGCGCAGAGTGACCGATGCGGACAACCCTGCTACGAAATTGGGTGGTAGCGTCAATACCTACGCGCTCGGTAGTCAGTTCGAGTTACCTTCTCGTAAGCGTCGGATCTTCCAGGATAAGGACAATCCTGTCATTTATTTGGCTGGTGGTGAAGGTGGCAAGGGCTCTGGCAAGAAACGCCGTGGAGGTAATGGCGGATCTGCGGGTGGCTATCCCCCGGGAGGAGATCTCCCGTACTAGCAGATGGAGCTTCTCCCGCAGTGTCTCGCCTTTGATGAAGGGACGGATATGCTTTGCTAAGTGGGATGGCGTTCAATGGTTTCACACGTTTGCGGATTGAGACATTAGCATGGTCAAGGGCATGGCATATGGTGTTTTACGATGGGAATGGCGGTGGTGCTCACTACTCGAGCGAGGGTTTTAGGAGGTGATTCCGTTTAATGGGTTTCTCCTTCTCGTAGCTGTACTTGTAATTTTCAGTAGCCACAGCAGAAGAGCTTTCAAAAGTGCTCTTCAATGATTATCTCAATTTTTTTGACAATTTCGCTTCTAATCTTCTCTCTCCCTCTCTCTACTCGCTCGCACATGATCTCATTTTGGATCTTGATACCCCTGATCTGGAGCATGTCCGCCGTTGTCCTCGGCTGCAAGATTACCAAACTCCTAGAATCGTGCTTATCGCCCCGCACGTGCAGCAAATCTGTATAGCACATCAACCTCCCAGGCCACTAGTATAGATCAAACATCCGCCGGAACTCGAGCTCGAGGCGTCCGGAGATCCAGCGTCACTCGAGCTTGAGGCTTCGTAGCGATTCATGTTGCCAGATAAATCTTTCGACTGCTTCTCCTCCGCTGATATTTTTGTCAGACCTTGCTTTCTGCCTGGCTCACCACTTGACCATGAACTGGCCATACTCACCGACATTCTTGGCCTTGTAGCGGAACTCCAGAGCGATGGCTTCGAGATTGCCGAATGTGAGACCCGATTGACCATTGTTCACGCCGTCTGCTTGAATGTTTTGGCGGGCTGTCTCGACCACGTGTCGTAGGATGTAGTGCGGCTTCCTCGGGTCGTCGATTTCGTGATAACGAACCTCCAGCTCCCATCCCGATCGGGCGTCGCTCGATGGTTCGACTCCGATGTGCATCATGAACAGAGTCCGGAAGGGTGTCCCGATGTCCAGACGCACTTTTCTGAACTGATAAATGGCTGGATCCAAGTCCTCAAGCTGCTTGTACCGCTTCGGTGGAAGGGTGAGTTTGCCGCAACTCTTCATGCGTTCCTCATGGTCGTACAACAGCTTTTCGACGCTGTCGTAATTTGCCCAGACCTTGACTGTGAAGCAAGTGGACGAAAGGTAGGCTTGGAGAAGTTCATCTGCGAAGTCCGGGTATAGTTTGCAGACTTCAGGTGCGCGCATATTCTGAAGCTCGACCTCATCTTGGGCGCCGAACAAAGCACGAAACTCTTCCTGTCGATCTTCCTTGGACATGCCCCAAAGCGCCTGAGACTTGCGGCGCACGTACTCACTCTCGGTCGAAGAGGCTAGAGAACCTGCGCTGCGGGGCGAGAACTGCAGCATGTCGCCACCACCAGCATTGCCTGCTGTCGATTTGATCGGCGTCATACTCTGAACGTGCTCCTCGGCGGAAGCTGAAGAACGAGCCATGTTCTCCATCTCTTGGAGAGTAGTCGGTGCGGTAGCCATTGTAGCGGTGTAGTTGCCGTTATCTACATCTTCCATGGCGAGCAAGGGCGGGTGAAGTGGCGGGAACGAGTTGAACGGACCAGGCATGGTTGGCGAAGTCGATGGCGCCGAAAAGTACGACGTCGAGATGTCCGAGGAGGTCGCGGGAGATGACCTCTTTTGTGCGCGCGGCGACTCTTCCTGCTCGGCCATGATGTGTTTGATTGTCATTGTGATAGTGATTGCCTGTTGCTGCTAGGCACCGGGTGTGTTGTTTGTCGCTGTAGGAACCCACGGTTGTCTGTGTCTGCGTCGTGAGGTGCAGCGGGATGAAGCAGACAGAATTTCTTGTAGCTCGAGAAATGTAGTGCGCAAGCTGGCAGTGCTGAAGCTGTTCATTCACTTGCCCTTTCAACTCTGTTGTTCATGCTTTGGCCAACGCGCGGTCGCTCCCCAGTATGTCGCAAATATTTCTGAAGATGGTCACATCAATTGTGAACACAACCTGGACTCAACAGCGAGACTTTGCATGAGCTCAAGAGTGAAGTTTGATTTTTGATACATTGTTGCTTGAGATGTAAAAAAATTCGTATTGTACCGACCTTTGCTTGCTGTTTTGGCAGGTGTTCGTTCTTTCTCTACAGCACGTGTGCTAACTCACTTCAGTTCATTTGAATCAAGGTCATCTCATGTCATCTCATCTCGCGCCACAAAGAACGGGCTTCGATGCCTGCATCTGTCCATTATACGGTGTCGTTCCAAAGATGGTCTTATGCGCCGGCGATGGTTCATGCCAACCAGCCATGCATCAGTCAGGGTGTGTCCACTTGGCTTACATGACATGTACATGAGGGCTCTCAAGTGGTCACCGTTCAGAGGCTGGAAATGTCATCAGACACCGTTGACGTTCGCAGCGAGGCGCGGCTGTCGTCGGCAGAGGCGTCAAATATGCAGCTTTACCCCTGACGGAAGAAGTCGAGAAAAAGCCAAGCGCACCACGGACCACGCGATTCACGCTCCACACCCACGCTATCTTCTCGGGACTGCTCGCTAAATCCTGGTGCTGGACCGCGCATCCCAAGCCTTGCAACGGATGACACGAGGCGGAGAGCAACGCTTCACAGCAGGTTGGTGAGCTGTCGTGAAACCACAGTGTTTCATGGAGGCTTAAGACACCGCCTTCTCAACTGCAGAGCAGCAAGTTGCGGCACTTTCGAAAGGAAGCTAGACTTTGTTTGATGAAGCAGGTCCGCGTGCATGCGCAGGGATCTTGCTTCGACGCGAAAGCCCGTGCATGAGCTCTCTCTCCACTTTCAAACAATGCCCGGCACTCCACAGCGTTGAGCCCACCATCACGTTACGAGATACTATGTAGGCGCGACGTACCCGCTGTTTCCCTAGCACCAAGGCATCCTTTCCTCCGATCACTCTCTACTTTTTTCATACTGCCAGAACAGCCTCTGCACGTCGATTCGTTTGCGTAGCCGATCAACGTGGAGCCTCTTGGTCCGGCAAATTAAGCATCCAACGGTTTCGGAAATCATTCGATTAACTGGAGAATTCGAGGCCGATATTCTTGACGCTGCCCACGTCGAGCATTTCACAACTCTTCGGGGCCTACCATCGCGAAGATCTCAAGCTCCGATTGTGTGTCTTACGCATCATCAGTATCGAAATCAGAGGCACCCATTTCGCATCTGTCTGGACGGACCTGGACCCTACGACCAAGCCACATCCGCATCCGCATCCACACGCGGCACGCGACACGCGACACAAACCATTTCTTGTGAAACATTGCCCAGAATACCGAAGCTCGCCAAGATGGGTCTCATGGACAAGCTCAGGATGAAGCTCGACATTTACAAGTTGGAACAAAAGTACACCCGCAGAGAGAAGCGAACGACCTTTATTTCGGGAGCAYAATACGTCAATGGAGAATATGTATACAATTCCCCGACGGTCAGCAACAAGTCTGCAAGTAGCTTTGGCAGTGGAGCAAAGAGCAGCAAACGCCAATCGAGATTGTTCTCTTAGGCTTGAGCTCATAGGCATGCAGCGAGATTACACAAGGATCTGGCATGTCATAGCTAGGATTGTTCGAAGGAGAGAAATGGGCCAGCATGGCCAATTGGTATGCTACAAGGAATTGGGCCAGTTTGCTGCCGTACCACCTGCGATCTGCTTCGCCAATGATATAGCACATTGGGCTCGATCTGGCTGAGGCTATAGGGAGGCCGAAAGTTGGAAATGGAAGATGGGAAGGACAGGGACGCGACGAGACATGTGGTCACCTGCAACGACATTTCATTTTGTTACAGTTGTGAATGGGCATACACGGCACCCGAATGTGCTTATGAGCTGCCTGATCAAGAAAGACTCAAATGATGGAGAGACTGCGAGAGTCAACTCCGAACGAGATACATGATTTATATTTTTCTCAACTGTATGATGAATGCTGTCTTTCTCTTTTCCCCCCTATCATCGTGATCAATGAAACTCGCACATTTTCGGGGATTGCGGAGCCGCCAAACGCCAAGAAAGAAAGCAGTTCAGCTTCACGTCGGAAGCTTCGACGCGCCGGAGAGAGCCTTTACTATTCTGTAGATCTCTACCTTCATTCACATCCACAGTAGCTTCGATATCAATGCAGAGCCGACGGAACATCTGGCGGTCTGCATGCAGAGGTTCCAATGCGTACAACCCCGTGCTAGCCTTACGAGCCACCTTTGGCACCTCCGCCAACTGCCTCAAACACGATGGGCACATTCCTTCGAGTTCGGCAGCGCCCAAGACCCAGCCTTCTAATCCCGCCGAACATAATCACAAGAGCATCGCCGTGAGTGAAAAAGCCTCTGCTGGCCAGGATGGAAACAATTCAAAGCCAGAAGACCCATCACAGCGGGCGAACAACCGGGAGTCGCGCACACAACGTAACCCAAAAAATGAACGCACCATCCTCAAGCCTGGTGAGCGCTCCAGGAATATGCAAGCTTCAGTGCATAAAGGCCACGAAAAGCACGCGGACCAATTCGCTAGATCCCCATACTGGAAGCAACACATGGTGGCAGTTCGAGAAGAGTCGTTCAAATATCAGAACTCTCAATGGCGGGACAAGGAACGCAGCGTCTTCCTTCAAAGAAAAAAGAGGTTTCTGGATTATGATGCCAAGATTGTGAGACCGCGGCGGAGCGGAACGCCCACAAGTCTTTCAATCCCTTGGGCCAATGATGAATCTGAGCGCAAGGGTGCCTCTGTCAATGCATGCCTGACGAGGGATATCACCAGCTTTGCAGCATGGGCGATGCCGACGCGCGCTGAGCAACGGGGTCGAACAGAAGTTGTTCGGGAGACGATTGAGCTAATCAGAAGTGTACTGCCGGAGGCCTCAACTGGGGTTGAGCTCTTCGGCTCAGAGAAGAACGGTCTTGCCCTACCTTACTCCGACATTGATCTCCGCATCTATGACATGAAGGATCCTGATATGCCGCACGCCAGACTTTATAGCCGATTGACGGTGATCTGCGAAGCCATGCAGCACAGTGAACAATACATCCTTGCTTCGGTTCGCAACTCCAACTTCCCCATTCTCAACTGCCAGCATCGTGCCTCTGGGGTAGACATTCAAATTGTGGCTTCTAGAGACTCGACGCAGCAACAGGCATTGGTCGCCAAGTACCTTCACCAGGTACCGCAACTCCGGCAGGTCTACTTTGTGGTGCGCACTATCCTGAGTATGCGTGGACTTGTCGACGTATACACGGGAGGGTTGGGTTCATATGGGACTTTTGTCATGGTGCTAGCCGTCTTGCACCGCCACATGGAAGCCCGAAAAAAGACGCGAGGGTGGAACGGGAAGATCTCATCGGGTACGCAACTCATCGCTTTTTTTGAATTCTACCGCAATCTCGACACCAAGAAGCACGGCGTTGCAGTCCACCCACGGACGCTTTTCAAGAAGCATGCAAAACCAATGGATGATTTAAAAGTCCTCAGCACCTCCGCCGAGAAACGCGGGGACATGGTTCGCGCGGGACAATGGCAACTCTGCGTGCAGCGTCCATTCCAGCCATATCTCCTCTGCCTCCAGGATCCTGCTGATCCTCTGAATGATCTTGGCAGGAGATGTCATGCTATCAAGCACATCTTCGCCACGCTTACGCATCTCAGTKAAGCTCTCGCCACCGGTTGTCTTGCACTGAAGAAATGGAAGGACTTGGACGAGGACGGCCCTAGCGGACTGCAACCTCTGCTACTTCCGCTTGTGGGGCAGTGTCATAATGTCTACCATCGGCGACGGAAGTCGTTGGAAGGTTACGGTATTAGAAAGCTTGAAGACAAGTCTGCACTTGAAGACGATCCCCTAGCGAAGAGTGTTGTGAGGCGGTACACAACGAACACTACCAAAGCATATTCCAAGCAGTGGTGGTTAGCCTTTACCTCTGCTTAGGAAATGTAGATATACGCCGCATCTTGAATCAGTATCCGGATAAAAAGCTGAACGAGCTGGCTATTGTAATACTACGATACTGCTTAACGTCTATCGAGATTTCAAGTGCAAAACTCATCCCTCCGTTACTCGCACGTGGCCCTCCTCACCATGACGTCCCATATCCTCCATGCGATGCATTAGTAACTCCGATGCTGATGCATATGTATGTAATACAGTGCGCGCTCTAACGGGAGCAAGAATGAAGCAGTAAAGCAACACGGCGCTAAAGTTGTCTACACTCGGGATTCAGGCACAGCGCCGTCCACCACGGCTACCGCGCCAGCATCTAGATGAATCTAATCAGTCATGTTCTTGTTGAGTTGAGCATTTGCAGCATACTTACTGCCACCATCCGTGGATCCATTAAGCAAGGCAATGACTGATATGACATCAGAAGGCTCGAGCAAATGCCACGTCGCGAGCGTTTGCTTGGTCTTAGCACCAACAGTGACGGCGAAGCGGTGCTCCTCGGGCAATTTCGACTGACGCAGGGTCCGGAACATGTCTTACAGTACGGTCAGTATTCATGGTCGATGCATGTGGTATGAGGACAAAGCTTACCCTCATCGGTCGAGTCATCCCCCAAACAGAGCACAAAGTCGGGTGCCTGATCGTGACCCTCGCCGTATTCACGCACCAAACGCTTAGCAATTTCACCCTTGTTGACGAAGCGCGGTCGAACTTCCAAGTTGGCCTTGCCAGTCATAACTTCCACGTCGTGATGCTTGGCGACTGTATTGTCGAGGTACTTGTGGCATTCGCGAGCCATGAAAGCGCCGTACTCAGGGTCCGCTCTCCGGTAGTGCCAAGTGAGCGCAATCTTCTTTCGCTCCACAAAGCTACCCTGAGTTCGCTCAGTGTAGTGGTTGAAGACATTCAGGACCTCGTTCTGCCATTCCATGTCGAATGTTTCGGTCAAGTTCTCCCACTCGGTGGAATTTGGCATGCGCATGAAAGAGCCGTGCTCAGCCGAAAGGCCGAGCTCAGAGATGTGGCCCATCCACTCATCCAGGAAGGCCTGATCTCGGCCGCTGATGATCCAAACCTGATTGTTCGGGTCCGACGCGAGCGTCTTCAGTGTCCGGATGACTCTATCTGACGGAATTGCCGACTGCGGGTCCTTGACAATGGGCGTCAGGGTACCATCATAGTCGAACATGAACAATCGTCGGCTAGCGTTGCGGTATTGTGAAAGACATTTGGCTCTATCGAGCGCAGGGGTGGCAATGGTCTGATCGTAGGAGGAGAGATTGGTCAACAGTCGTCTGACGTAACTGTCCGTCCAGTATTGCACCGTGTTCAGAGATACGTGCTCGTAAAGCAGCTTGTGGGTTCTCTCCTTCTCTGGCTCAGACATGGTCAGAGCGGTGTTGATCTCGTCCGCAGTACCGCCCAGATCCCACGGATTGATGTGGATGGCGTCTCCGAGGCTGCCAGCGGTTCCAGAGAATTCGGAGATGATGAGTGGACCATGATTGTCTCTCTGACAAATGACGTATTCCAGTGCGGTAGTATTCATGCCATCGCGCACACTTGTGATCAGTCCGAGATCTGCGACACGCAGAAGAGCGAAATATTCCTCCTGCGACAGATACTGCGGGTAATGCTGGACCGGAGTGAAGCTCAGCGAGCCAAATGATCCATTGATTCTGGCAACGAGCTCCGAGATCTTGTTCGCAGTCTTGTCTCCCTTCTCGTCACGTTCCTCAATACTAGTAGGGCTCGTGACTTGAATGAGAACGACTTTGTCATGCCACTCTGGATGCCGCTCGAGGAAGATCTCGAAGGCTTGCAACTTCTGCGCAACACCCCTCACTGTGTCGAGACGATCACGGCCGACGATAATCTTCTTGTCTGCGTAAAGCTCGCGCAGAGCAGCGATTTTCTGCTCCACTTCCGGAGACTCGAAAGCGGCTTGCTTTGTAGCCTCGGCATTGATGCCGATTGGAAACACATCGACCGGGACGTGTGCTCCATAAGCATCAACGCCCGCAGACGACGAGTCGAAGCCCAGAATACGAGTAGAACAGGATGAGAAGTGGCGGGCGTAACTGAAAGCTTGGAAGCCGATCATGTTGGCGCCGAGGACACCCTCGAGAATTTCCTTGCGCCGAGTCAGGCAGCGGTAGTACTCGCTACTCGGAAAAGGCACATGCAGAAAGAAGCCGACATATATGCTAGGCATCCGCTGCCGAAGGAGGCTCGGCAGAAGAAGCAGATGGTAATCGTGAATCAAGATCACGTCGCCGGGCTTGTAGATGTTGATGATGGCATCCGCGAATGCTTTGTTCATGCAGTAGTAGTCGGCCCAGGCCTTTCGGAGTGCACGGCCGTCGCTCGGTTCGTTCTGTTTGTAGTGAAAAAGAGTGAACAATTCGTGCTCTCCATAACGTCTCCAACGTTGCTGATCGCGGAACGTTGCCACTTCGTCATCATCGATGCTGTCGGCGAGCCAGACTGGCGTGATGTGACTGCCGTGTTTGTCCTCAAGCTGCTTCTCCAATTTGAGTCGCTCCGCGTAAGGAATGTGCAGCTCGGCGAGCTCGCTAGGCTGTGGAGGCTTCTCTCCACGGTTCGGTGGGATTGGGGCAGATGCCTTGCTCAGCGGTATGGCATTCATAGACGACGCACCGTTAGTATTGACAGACTCGTCGTTGCGGCGGACGACACGATCAATCTCGCCAGTCCAGCCCACCAAAGTATGATTCCAGGGAGACTTTTCGTCGGAGAGATATGCGAACGAGTCAAATAGCGCCGACGTCCCCCTACGAGAGCTGAGTTCCTGTGATGTCGTTAGCAAGAGATCTTCATGGCTGATTCATGACGTGACAAACCCATTCTCCAGCGTTGGTGTAGCCGATCTTGTATGGAACGCAGAATGCGGCGCTGATCACATTTCCGCTCAAGTTCAGGTCAGGGTGGGCAGCACGAGGATCGAAGCTCTCAGCTTCCTTCTTCTGGCCAGCCGCTGCAACGCTCAATCGGCGCAATAATTCCTCGCCGGTCGGTGCACCATTGTTGTCGGTGCCATTGCTGTACTCTGGAGCTCCTTGCGCACCAACAGACTCGAGAATGTGAGGCGGTAGTTCCTGGGGCAGGTGCGTGTGATGGAAGAACGGAGATTTGTCCTCATTACTGATGCTTGGGGTGACGGGAACACCAATCATTTCCTCATTCCGTGATGGGAGCGTGTCTTGCCGCTCGGCTCGAGGCCGCTCGTTGCTCGACATCTGCCAGCCCTGGCGAGTTGGGTTCTGCTCGACGTGTCTGCTGTCTTGTACAAGTCAATTCAGCTGTATCGCACCACGTGTACAACGCCGGTACAGCTCGCGATCAGCTCAAGAAATTCAACGATCGAGTCGATCACCCGCTCCCAGCTTTCCAAGTCCACAATATCCTTCTTTCCTACTCTCGAAGTCGCCAGCAAGCAGGTTTCTCTCTCAAACTTACCGTAATTTGTGTCCGTGGTAGGTGTAGTGAGCGCGCAGGTTGTTATGGACGGTGATGTTGTTGAGAAGATAAAGAAAGTCCGCGAAGATGCGCGACGTGGACTTGTCCTTCCACAGGTTGTCTATTCACTTTCCAGACCCTTCCAAGTTCCATCTGTTGCAGTCTTAACAAGGTTCAAGGTTGCGGCGGGGCAAATATGCGGCCCCACTTCGGCTGAGATGGGCAGAATGGCGGATCCAGCCGAAAGCCAACCAACAGGGGTGTGAACTCCGAACTTCACTTGCAGGCCGCCTTGACTAAGGTACCACGACCAGAGACCTCGCCCTTCCTCAAATAACGAGGATCGACCAAAGAAACGCCATGTGAACGCATGCTGGAATTCCCTCAGAACGAGTTCCTTCTTTCGTTATAGCTTCATGGTACCTATCTGCGTGCGTGTTCACAGAGAGGCAGCGCGGCAATCTTCCTCCTTTCGATCTCGCTCGCTCTTGACGGTCTAAGTTAGCCCCAAGAGCCGCAAAGGTATTCCGGACTCGAAGATGCCACACTCGCAGACTGTGTTAGCTTAAAGAGTCATGTGGGTACGGTCCGTCTTTGATGGACGCACTCCCAGGTATATGCCTCCCAGGAAGGGAACCCCGATGGTCCGTCTTTGATGGACGCACTCCCAGGTATATACCTCCCAGGAAGGGAACCACGATGGTACGACCGGCCGCTCGACTTTTCTCACGAGCAAATGATTACCTGCGAGGCATTCTCGGAGATTCTTCACCAGATGGCTTTGCAGAATGAGCGACCGGCTCAATTATTTATTGATTGGTCGGTGACCCGAGGAATAGGACTCTCCGTCGTAGAACGTCACTAAGAGTGAGCCCAAGGGAGAGGGGTTGCTGTCAGTCGTCAGTAGAACGCGTTTGGGGATGGGGATGGAGACTCGAGCACGGATGCCCTGCTAGTCTTTCCTTTTGAACCTTCTCACCACCTTTTACTCCTTTCTCTCGCGGCCAACACCTTCCAGATCACCTCGTATGCATGTCTTATTCTCGCTCACAGCAGTAAACAGATTCATGGAACAGAAACAAATTCTACGACAGGCACAATTGTGCAAGACGTCGCAGATCGCCYTTGGAATGTGCGCATGGAGATGTCCTTAAGCAGCGCTTACACCAAATTCACCATTCCGGTCATGAAATGAGACCAACCTAATCGGCTTCTTGCGAATGGCTGGGGCTGTCATGTGAGTCTGCACATTTTGGTAGGAGTCTAAGATCGACCGTTTCGGCAACTGCTACATGGTACCATCAGAACATCCTGACCCTTGGAACCTTAGAGTTGCCGTTCTCTCATTTCCTCGCAAGCGCTGAACCTCATACATCTCTGATTTGTTGGCTCTTTCGACAACCGACCGGCCACAGGTAGGCTCGACAGATAACGTTCCTCGAATCCTCTTTCAGATACCGAAGGAGCACGGAAAGGGCCTGCACGGCCGCAGTGCATTGTGCTCCGAAGACACGACATGAGACAATGAGATATTCCTGCCTTTATAAAGAGACTCCAGACTATATGATTGACAGAGGACAACCAATACCGTGCCTAAGTACGAAGTTTCGATGCTGAAGCAGATGCCACCATCGCTGCTTTTGACGGAGTACGCTACTTCTGCTGACGCCCATATTGGGGTCAATGGTGTTTGCTACATACGATGCGCTGCGACCATAGACTGCATTCAACGCTGGAGCCTTTGTCCTCAAGACGCTGTTAACCGCTCTATAAGACCGTCGTGCCCGGCACCCTCCAGCAGTGAATTGGACACGTCCAGTCTCACCAAAAGATGCACTCGGCCAGCAGATTGCTGCAGTGTCGACATGTCTCAAATTTCGATCGAAACAGGACCAACCTGCTAGTACAGTACGCAGTCTACGAGGAACGGCGTGGCATACCATGTGTGCTTCTGTGCAAAGGGCTCATAGATCCATGAAACGCATGTGCTACATCGCCTCTATGCATCGGAGGTTTCTAAGGCAAGGAGAGTCGTCTTGGGCATCCTGACACTCGTGCATTAGCAGCGGATCAATCCTCGCACAACTGCAGCAAAGGTGGGCTTTCTCCATCAATAATTGCTTCCAATACATGTACGTTCTGCCGTCCCCGACCAGGATCAGCAGATTAGTACCTTTAATCACATCGACGTCTTACAATAGATGTTGATGGCCACATTGGGAAGGCATTCGTGTGCTAACCTACGGTCCTGGGAAGCCACCCATGTACTGACACGTGCTCACGGAAGTGGTCACTTCTTTGAGTCGGTGGCAGCAACACGAACGTGGGCTGCTACTATTGGGCATTATGCCGGCCGAAGAGGATCCACTCTTGCTGCTCTAGTCTCCAACGCACTGGAGGCACATAGTCGGTGTGAGAGCCACGGCTCTGTTCAAGACTTGGCTGGAYCATGTCCATAGAAAAGCCTACTCCATCACTCAACATCAGAGAGCCAGGGAACTCGGAACGTAAGGTAGTGTAATGTTAGTCGCAGTGACGGCAATATAAACAGTAGAAATTGCAATGACAAAACAGCAGAAGAGATCATGCAAAATGTTGATGGTTTTATAGTGGGGGGGAAGGCGGGGTTGTTTTTCAAATCCCATCGCACACACGATCAAGGTAGATCTAGCCCGACGTAAATCCTTCTCTGCAACACCAACAACCCTCAACCGTGATCAACCTACAGCAGACTACAATCATGGCCGACAGCAAGACTGAGGAGGCGCCTGTTGGTGAGTTTCCATCGTCATCATTGAAGAGAAGAAGCTAACCTTGACCAGACTACAGCTTGGCCAACCCAGACACCCTCACCAAGTACAAGACTGCTGCTCAGATTTCTCAGAAGGTCCTCGAGGCAGTCTCAGGTCAGCATCTTCCGGATGCTTGCACGACAAACACGCGCTAATCTGGCGCAGGATGGTGTGTCGAGGGCGCAAAGATTGTCGAGATCTGCCAGCGCGGCGACAAGCTCTTGGAGGAGGAGGTCGCAAAGGTCTACAAGGGCAAGAAGATTGCCAAGGGTATTTCTCACCCTTGTACCGTCTCTCCAAGCACCTACGTGACTCCATACACTCCTCTCACCTCCGATGCCGAGGAGGCAGAGACCGTTCTCAAGGCCGACGAGGCAGTCAAGATTCAGCTCGGCGCCCAAATCGATGGCTTCGGCGCGATCGTCTGCGATACCGTCATTGCACGTAGCAAGGAGAACTCTGACTCCGCTGTGTCTGGACGAGCAGCCGACCTCCTTCTCGCAACCTACTACGCGAACGAGCTCATGATGCGGATGATCATGCCACCTGGTTTGTTGGCACAGGGTACCGAAGAAGAGAAGAAGAAGGCACAAGCGATCAAGCCATACAGCCAGTCGAAAATGACGCAGCTGCTCGAAAAAGTCGCCAAGAGCTACGAGTGCAACCTGGTAGAGAACACTACATGCTGGGTCTTTGAACGGGACGAGATTGAGGGCAAGAAGAAGATCATTCTGGCACCGGGCGAGGGTGTCAAGGGTGAGGGTTTGCCGGAAGTTGGCGAGGCATGGGGTATCGAGATTGGCATTAGCACGGGAACTGGCAAGGTCAAGTCGCTGCCAAACAGGCCTACCCTTCACCGCAGAACCACTACCACCTACGGTTTGAAGCGGCCGAGTTCGAGGGCCACCCTTTCGGAGGTGAAGAAGAAGTTCGGCACCTTCCCTTTCAGTTTACGACAGCTTGACGACGAGCGTGCGGGTAAGGTCGGCGTGGTCGAGTGTGTGCGTGGTGGTGTCATTCGCCAATACGAGGTCATTGGCTCGACAGACAGCGAGCCAGTCAGCCGTCTGTTCACAACTGTTGGTATGCAATGTGTCGGAAGAGAGAAACATGTGCAATGTGCTAATTGTCGGCAGCGGTCACCAAGAACGGAGTACAGAAGTTGGCTTCGCCACCAAAGCCAGACATCTCTCAATGGAAGTCTGACAAGAAGATTACGGACGAGRAGATCCTCAAGATTCTTGAGCTCCCCCTTTCCAAGACAAGCACAAAGCCAAAGAAGCAGAACAAGAAGAAGAAGAAGGCCAAGAAGCCAGCGGCCGCTGCTGCCAAGGAGGAGGAGGAAGATGACGATGATGATGACGATGAGGACTCCGACGAAGAGTAAACGCATCGCGAACCACCAGGTCCCTCGGTCGGAGATCGTATGCATGGCAAGTAGCGGGTCGAACGAACGTGTCTACGCAGTTACATGCCGCTGGAGTCAGGCGCCGCGTGGTGGCTCCTTCAGGGGCGACGAAAAGGTGTGCCTAACGTGAAGGAGGGTCCGTAGAATCATACCGAGATAAAATGAAAAGGAAAATCGTCCTACCAGTGCCCGCCATCAGGCATCGCGTTTGATGATGTATCTGGACATGTTTGTGGCAATAACCTAAGTAATGATGTGCTCAGTCATCATTTTGTTGACGCCCATCTCCAAACGAGGAGCATCACAAGCTCCCTATTCCACTCGTGACTGTTGCTTACAACTCTCACTATATTTGCGTCGAGTTATATCGTAGGTACTGAAAGCGTGGAAAGGCAGCACCATCAGCCGTTGAATTCGCCCAAGAGTTCSAGGAGTCGCGAACCTCGAAGCATCAAGTCAAACCTCTCTTGAGGAACATCACCCCGAATTTAACTCCCTTTCCACACTGCAGCACGCGTTTGCGCGCACACCTTCGCTTTCTCTTCCACAGGGAAAGGAAGCAATTCCGAGGTGGGTGGTATGGAACGTGAAAATTGAGGTTGCGAATCGCTGACATATTTGCAGACTGAATGGCCGCGGAGAAGTGTTGCGGCGCCTGAACATGCCATCTACTCCTCAACCCCCGGACCATCCCACCGCAAGTCAAAACCAGAGGAGTCACAGCAAAGAGAAGACGAAGTTGAAGACGCAGACGTCCATGGACGATTACATGGACAAGTGGGTAGAGCCGCCCGTCGCCGCCGCAGCACCTTCCTATGCCGACCATGGGGGCGCGCCGTATGGAGTTCTCGATGGGATGCAGGCTCTGGGAGACATGCCCAGTGCAAAGGTCAAAGGCAGAGTGAAGGGCGAAGGCGCGCGCAAGTCGATGTTGGGCCGCGCTTCCGCCGTCGAGGCTCAGGAGACCCCTCAGGCATCACGACCACCCACCCCACAGCCCATCGACGTTCCTGCGCCGCATGCAATCGTCATCGACGACGAGAAGGACGACGACTACGCGCCGAAAGTGAACGGCGGCAAGAGGAAAGATCGTACGACACGCAATCGGGGTGTAAAGCGCGTGAGCCAGCCAGCCTCATCRGCCACCCCTGCGCCTGTGCCCGTGCCAGTGTCTGCGCCTGTGCAAATACATCCTACAGCACCCGCTGCGGTGGTAACAACAACATCGACACCTGCCTCTGCCTCTGCCTCAGCTCCTGCATCCGTACGAGCCACTGCTCCTACCCCAACCCCTGTACCGGTTGCGATGGAACCCTCTCCTCATGCATCCGAGTACGGCGGTGACAAGTTGAAGCGTGTAGTCGAGGCAGCCAAGGCACGTGCTATCGAGGTTGGGAAGCCAGACCTCGCGGCTGCAGTGAACGAGATTTACGAGCAGAGTAAGTCCGATTCTAACCTACGGAACCTACTCGGAGCCATTTTGGCACAGCGCGCAAGCTTTGATCAGAATGTTCAATTTCAAGATTATGTCCGGGCAGCGAAGAAGAAGCTCAAAGACGCCAAGCAGAGGGAGCGGCAACACCCGGGAGGTTCGAAAACAATCGAGACGCAATCAAAGCCCATGGCCAAAGCATTGCCTACGAAGCTTGTATTACAATCTACTCCTGTTCTTCAAGCTTCTGGACCTTCTCAAGCTCTTCCCTCCACCGAGCTCACAGAGCCCACAAAAGCCAAGATTTCCCTGAAATTCCCAGAAAAGCACCAGCACAAAGGAAAGCCAGACAAGAGTGGTGGCATGTCCGTGTCGCCTAGAAAGCAACGCGCTGGCAGTGTCGGGAGCGAATCCTCTTTGACTGACCTCACATCTAATGATGACTTGGAAACTGACGAGGATGAGTTGCCTCGAGGGCCACAGCCACCATCCGGTGCTGGCAACAAAGTCAATGGCTTCAAAGGCCGAGACCAAGCTGCAGAACGGGGCTCACTCACAGTACCTTCTGCTGGTGCGAAGCGATCTTCCGCAGAGGCAGAGCTGGAGAGCGAGCGCGACAACATTCTGGCCGAGAAGAAGCAGAAACTCGGCGAGTCTGTAACCCGGGAATACACCTACCAGGAGAGCAGCGTGCGACCGGGTGCACCMAGGTCACGCACACAGCAGGTCAGACATGAGGCGCTCGCGCCAAAAGTGACACTGAGCGTGAACGGCAGTCGCCCCGGGAGTGTAAAAACAAGCAGAGCTCCATCAACGGACCTCGAGTCACCACTATCATCACCTGCAGGTTCACGACAGAGCACGCCCAAGGTTTTGAAGCCCATGCCAAAGCCGTTCGGCAAGCGGGCAAAAACCAAGCAATCGTAAGTCGATATTTGACTCACCGTGTATCCTCGTCAACGTGATTCGAGCTACGAGCGATGCAAGCCAAGAGGCTACTGTCTGCTCCGAAAGCGCTTGACTTGGTGTACGAAGCGCGATCTGTCATCTTTTTTTTTTCGACAATATGAGATGAAACGCTGACCAACATTTTTTTCGACAATAGTCCGGAAAAGAAACAATTGGGAGCTTTTGGAGGCACGACAGCTGTCGGTGGCGTATTGAGCCCAATTGGGGATGACAATGAAGAGGTAAGACAACGACAGACCCAATCCCTTGTTCTTCCTCTTCCACTCACCATCACATTTCCTGCACCCAAACCTAAACCCGCAACGCCCGACACAATGCACACCCGCGCCCGGCAGAACTCGCTGGCTCCACAGACCCCTTCATCCGTCACTGTCGCCGTCAAGAGCCCAAAGAGGAAGCGAGAATTAACAGATGATGCCCAGCGCTCGGAGAACAACGACTTCTGCTCGGCATGCAAAGGCAGTGGCTATCTGCTCTGCTGCGACGGCTGCGACAGATCGTTCCACTTCACCTGCCTGGACCCGCCGCTGAATGCCAACGCGAAGGAACTTGACGAGCCTTGGTTTTGCTTCGTCTGCGTTGACAATCGCCCACTTGTGCTTGATTCGCCCGATAAAGGTCAGGCACGCCCGACTTTGTTCGCACCGCTGTTGCGCAGTCTGAAGAAGCGCAACCCAAGAACCTTTGAGCTTCCTCAATATGTGAGAGAATACTACGAGGGTGTCGCCACGGACAAGAACGGCTCTTTCGTCGAGGCGCTGAACAACAAGCCCTTGAGGTATGCAGAAGTACTGTTGCATTACGATTCCAGCTAATAGGCTCCAGAAACCGTCCCGGCTACTCCGAAGAGCAGCCCGACTACGTCAAAATTCGCGACAGCAAAAATGTTCTGGTGACCTGCTTTTCGTGCCGCAAGTCGTCGCAGAACGCAAATGGTCCCAAGCGTCCCATCGTCACTTGTGACCACTGTCATCAAAATTGGCATCTTGACTGTCTGGACCCGCCGCTGGCGAATCCTCCAGCAGTCAATCAGAACGGCAAAAAGGTTCATGATTGGATGTGTCCCCTCCATGCAGACCAAGAACTCCGCAATGTGTCCACGTCGCAGCTGAGCCGGTCAATCCACATTCGCAAGCCGAAGACGCCCAAGGTCGTGCAGACTGCTCTCAATCGCGGCCATCGCAATAATGGCATCATTGAGATAGCAGACGACGAGACCGACGCATCAGACTCCGAATTCTATGATCTGGAGCAAGAGGGCGGTATCGTCTACAAGTTACCGTCTACTGGGATCAAGCTTGATTTCATCCACAAGGTCAAGAGGTTCGTGACTGATCCAACGCCAGCCAAACAGTGACGACCTTGCTGACTCCTCTGTAGCAYGCGCGTGCAAAACCTTCGCGACGATCATGTAAACAACATGCTTGCTCGCCAGTCCAATGCACAGCCATCTGCGCCTGGGCGAGCCGGGCTTTCGGGGCGTCCATTCAACGAGCAGCAGGTAGCACTCAATCTTACGCAATTTGCCCGCCAGCACGATGATCTGGATTTTGGTGCGGACAAAGTTGAGAACCTGCTGAGCACTTTGATTGTAAGTCCTCGATATTTGATCCCAAGTTTCTCGCACTAATATCATCACAATAGGCTGAAGCGCCAGCAGAAGTTGTGAAGAGAATGATGGCATCTGCAGATCAAGCAGCGTCTGCCTCGTCTGCCATTGCTTCATCCTCAGAGCAGACCAAGAAGCTTTCATCAGCAGAGCGCAAGGATCTGGAAATGCTGCAGGAACTCATTCGAAGAAGGCTGGATGGCGGCGAAACTTGAAGGCTGCGGGAATGGTCACTCCCGAGGCCCTGACACACAAAACCCGTGAGACACAAGCGCCGCGCTCTTCAGGCCAGGAAGCAAGCCAGACGCGAGGAGAGTTTTCACAGCTTGTAGCCCATGGATATCCCTGGGCATGACGATGAACAGTGGTGAGGTTGTGGATACTATCTCCCGGCACTCCACGCGTGATGTAGCAAATTATGCTATGACCCGAATATTTGCGGGAGCGAGACTTTCATGTACGAGTTCACAGGAGGATTGGAGAAACGCAAGGGATGTGCTCATATGTCTGCTGACTGACGATTCGTCTGTCTTGTATTTGAATGGGAGAAGAAGAAGCATCATCATCACGAAGCTAGCGATTCGTGGGTATATTATATCAGTCCCGGAAGCAGCTTTACATCACGTTTACGATCAAGAAGGTTCCGGCTCAATGTTCAGTATCTTATCTCCAACCTTCGCAAAGTGAGCTGTGCTGTGTACGTGTCCGTCATTTTACTTAATGGGCTTGACGTACAGTACTGGACCTTGCTGTACGTCAAGCCCGTTAAGTAAGASGTTGCCTCAAACGAACCGGATACTTGTCACATTCGTTCCAGGCCTTGTTGTTTGTAGTAGCAATGCACATTTCTTCGCTGCGCAACTGTTCGGTACGCTCTCTCTCATGGTCTGGCTATCTTCAAGCTAGACAATGACACCACACTCTACCCTTCTTCCTTCTTTCTTATGTACACAAATGATACAAATACCATGGTAGAGCCTTCCTTACTCAGTCTTCGAACTCCTCGCTGGTCTCAGCATAATTTATGACTTTGGATGTGCGTTGCGGCCTCACTGGTGGGCCCGAGTGAGGCATTGATGCTCGTCTTCTTCTCCTGCTTCGTACGGGGTTGGCTAATTCGCCGTCGTCTTCTGACGCAGGTTCAGCGTATGACGTTACACGCGTTGCGCGCCTCCTGGTCGTCTTCGAGGGTGGAGTGTGAGACTTGATGGTATTTCGAAGCGATCTTCTTGGACCAGTCCTTACTTTGTCCTCTAATTTCCAAATGCTCTGCGAGGAAGCAGGGTCGGCGACATGGACCAGCGGACGCCTCCTTCTGGTTGTGATACGTGGTGGAGAACCAGATCCCGCCCTCGACCGTGGTGCTCGATTCCGCATGCTGGTTCTCGTCATCTTCACTTGATCTGAACTCTCAGGGTTGTTGTCTGAGGATATCTCGGCATAAGAGACATTCCGCCTCCCGCTCCGCTTAGGTTTCCCCAGCGTCGCAGATTGGGGATGTTTAGCTGAGCGTCGCTCGCGAGGCTTTGGAGTGTGGGTCGCTCTCGCCTCCTAATCTGCTTTATCCACGTCCGCAGAGGCAGAAGTCTCGGCGGAAGAGGCCGTGCGAGTCGCACTTCTTCGAGTGCTAACAGGCAGTAGAAGACGATGATCGAGGGTAAAGTCAGGTTCGCGGGGGATTCCCGATCGTGAAGCCAATGAGATAAAATTGGCGGCATGCTGACGATACATGGGTTTCTTGGCCTTCCCTCTCCAAGTCTCCAAGTCTTGCTGTTGTTCGCCACCTTTATTTCCTGCCAAGTTCGATCCTTCACGCCCGGCGCGGGCGTCTGGGGCACGGCTCTACCGCCCGCCATTCTACTGTGGCCTGCTTCCCTCTCTGTCCACCCCTCTGTTTAGGACCTGCTCCTTGTGCATTTTGTTCTTTAAGTGGACCTCAAAGTCATCCACCACCCGGCCTTTGACAGCAGTGTACAGCTTCCTGGGACAATCGAGACATCTAATGCGAGGCAAATAAACTATTTTCCAGCCCTTTGCAGGTGCATCTCCTGGCTGAAGATTGACTTTGTTGGCTGCCASCAAGTCACCTGTCTCCATGCTCTCGCAATAGGGCTTCATAAAGGGCTGGAAGTTGTCATCTGGGTGAGAGTTCCTCAGGGTTTGAATGGCACTTTCAAGCCACGATGGCGGAGGAGGCTGGAGATACGTTAGCTAAAACTAAAACATGAGCTACCGACTGGCAGCCAGCACTTACAGCAGAGTCTTCGGGCGCCGGCCAGACTTCCAACTCGACAGCACCGCGCGGATCATAATGCACTTGCGATTGCTGCTGCCGAGATGAGGATTGCGCCCGAGAGTTGTTTCCGTTTGGTTGGGGGGTACTCTTCTGTTGTGGTAGCGATCGAGGAGCCATCTTAGGCGTGCTCGTAGACCCACGGGCAGGCGTAGCAGCTTGTGCTGCAAGTTGACTGACTAATGGAGGAGGTTGCGAGGCGTATCCGGAGAGCGGATAGTCCTTCGCGCGCTTCTGTGCGCGTATTCTGTCGTCCCAGGCCTTGAGGCGAGCCTTCCCAATCCTCAGCTTGACGATGAGCGTGTCAGTGTCACCAGCCACACTTTCTTCGCGTAGCATGCTGTGCCGCGTGGAAGTTCTAGTTTGAGTGTCCCGTGCTGGAGTGGCTAACATTTGATCAGGAGTGGCGGAGCGTCCGTAACCTGCTCGCATGTTGACCTGAGCCTGAGCCGCAGCACCACGCATTCCACGTGTTCTTGCAGTACCACCTGCATTGAGCATGGCAATGGGGTCCGGAGAGTCGGGACCGGAGTCTTCGCTGTCCATCTCGTCCGAGTCCGCATCAACGTCGGTGCGTGCTCCACTCCGGCGTCCACTCCGACCGCTACGACGTGCCTTGGGGATCCCGGTAGTTTCGAAAGTCTCAACAGCCCCAGGAATGACGGAGTGGATGATCAGTGACCGCACCGTTCGCTGTCTATCTTTGAGGTCAGGAAGCGCGGGACCACCCCGCCTGTTCAGCTGTCTTTTCTGCGCTCTGTGTTCGCGCATCATTGATGTCTCTGTCCGTTCGAGTTCGGCTTCACTCATTTCRTACATGTATGGTGTGAAGTCTTTTTGTGCCGCTGGCGGTCGAAACGCGCTCGGTATAGGCGCTGTCAAGAAGCTGTCTCTGAGCTCTGGGTCTTCGGCAGGCCTTCCATTGAAGCAGTGGTTTGTCAAGTATAGGCTTCTGGTGTACAGCTGACTTTGCTCCCTGATCGAATGTGCAATGGCAGTGGTAAACTCCCCGCTGAGAGCATWCTCCCAAGCCATGTTTCGTGCAAACTCTTCAGGAGAGTTCAAAGGATTATTAATATCCCATTCAAATTGATCCACTAGAGTTATTCGCCCGATGGTAATGTTCAATTTGATTTGGATTCGCATCTCGTCGTCCTTGTGATCAGAATACGGCCGGCCCGGCTCCAATGGACCGTCTTCGACAATGATATGCGGATAATAATTATTGACCTGGTCCTGGAATTCTGCCCTCACCTGGCGCGAGACCTCCGGTACGGCTTCCGGTGGGATTCTGAGATCTTCGACCAGGTGATCCAGAAAGAGGTCCGAGGAAATATTCTTCTCGTGCAAGTTCCATGTAAATGTATCACGCAACCTCAGCTTGTCCAATTCGAGGTCCAGCCGCACGGGCACGAGCTCTTCGTGTAGCTCTGCCTGTTGTGAGGTATCCTTCCGATTCACGTACAAGTGCTTCGAGCGTCTACCCTTTGGTGGCGGGCGACTGGCGCTGTATACAATCTGGCTTTTGGCATTGGTTGTGCCATTGCCGAAACCCGCGAAGCCACGGCCATAGACAGATCCTGGGTCMTGTCTCCGGCGCAACGCGACATCGTGCATGTAGAACTCCTTTTCCCTTTCCTTTCCTTTGATCAGGTCGCGCGATCGTTCCGCCTGGTCGTTCATCGCTGCGCCATAAAGAAGGTCGCGCTGGATGTAGCGGTCCATGAGGGTCTCGTTATGCGCCAACAGTGGTTCCGGTGCTCCATCGTTGCTGGACGGCTTGACGGTCCCATCCCGTGATCGCTTGCGACTCAGCGCAGGCGCGCCATTGCTTTGGGTCACTCCATTGGGTGTGCTGGTCTGGGGCATAGATGTCGGCGCAGGTGATGCGCKCGCGCTCGCACTGAGTCCGGCGAGGGCCATGTGGTCCTTGGCTTTCTGCTTGCCTTCGCGAATGGCGTCCTTTCCATCTCCACCAGGTCCGTGGTGCTGGTTCGCGTGGGGAGGAGTGTCGCTATCGGGGGTGTGAACGGCGCCGGGGGTGTTCGCGCCAGGCCATTGCGCTTGCGCCGTGGACATGGTGGTAGGGAGGGGGAAGAATAGCGGAGTCGGCGGATGGCAACAGCATCCAGGTCAGGTACTGAGGTAATTGGTCAGCAAGAGCCATCTTCATTGTCCTTTACATCTTCATCTCGTGCGGGAGATGGATGGTGTAGCTCATGCCGCGTGTTGCGGCATCAGGAGCGCGGGATGTAGAGCAAAGGGAGGAGGTTGGGGGACGTGTGCAAGCCATCATGAGAGCCAGCAATGGAGGGGAGGCATACCTCGTGGTCGTGTCCAACGCGTACTCGATGCGGAGATGCGAATGATTGGGACGACGCGCTTCTTTTGATGATTGCACCGACGAAGATGGTTGCCAGAGCCTCTGGCCTGGCCCGTGCGAGCTGCGGCGGCCGTGTGCCCGACTGCCGCACCTCATCGTTCGGAAAGCAAAGGGACAGCGAGCTTGACATGGCAGCAGACAGTAAGAGCAGCGCACAATCTACGATCATCACATGAGGGAAACTACAGCGCCGACCACCTGGTCTTACCTCGTTGCCACGAGACAGGGTTACGATCTAGATCTAGGAATTTCGATGAAGGCCACCGGAATGAGCCTCCTCAATGTAATTACGTGGATCATCCGATTCGCCCAAATATCTACGCTGTTCTCCACGCGCCTGCCTGTGCGAGAGAATCTCACCCACGACCAAGTCTTCTCTCTCTTCCTTGGGTTTTGACGGCATGCCTTGGCACGGGTGAGAGCACCAAGTAAGTTACTGGAGGTTCTCCGCTGTCTTGATCGCGTGGTGGTGAGATTGTCACGTGAGCTCACTCCCTATGTTGCAACCTCCCGTCTGCYGTGTCACTCTCACTACAGGCGAGCTTCTTTGTTTTTCTGCACCTCTCCTTGAGATGCCTCATTTTAACTCGGCCAATGGATTTCTGTGCCATTCCCACATGCGAGTACATTTCAAGACATGTTATACTAACTACCAGGCTGCCTACAATTTCGACTTTGCACCTTGCTCCCACTCCATCTCCTTCAGTTTCTTCCTTTGAATTTTCCCAGATATCGTCTTGGGTAGGAAGTCAGGAGCCACAAATYGAATCTTCCGAGGATATTTATACGGTGCGGCATGCTCCTTGCAAAAGTCCTGAAGTTCCCGAATGAGCTTCTCACTCCCATCTTTAGACGCCTGCGGTGTGAGGACGATGAAAGCCTTGACAGCCTCTCCTCGCGCCGAGTCAGGCGATGATACCACGGCACTTTCAACCACAGCCGGGTGCTGTTTCAACGTGGATTCGACTTCGAATGGCCCAATCCGATAGCCTGAGCTGTTGATCACATCGTCATTTCGCCCGAGAAACCAAAGGTAGCCGTCTTTGTCCCTCGTTGCTCGATCTCCAGTGCAATACCAGGCGACATCCTTCTCCTTGGAATCTCGCAGCCTCCTGTCAAGCTTGCCATCTTCGAGATAGCCGTCAAAGATGCCGAAGAAGTTGGACTTCTCCAAAAGGTCAACCTTGATCGCAATGTCCCCCTCAGCGTCATCTGCGGTCACCTCTCCCTGTTCATCTACAACGAAGAGAGGAACACCTGGTGAAGGTTTGCCCATTGAGCCCGGCCTGATAACATTTCCTCTAAAGTTACCACAAAGGAGAACCGTCTCTGTCTGCCCAAAACCATCGCAGATTTCAAGGCCGGTACTTTCCAACCACAATCGAATAACCTCGGGGTTAAGTGGCTCGCCCGCTCCGGTACAATGTTGCAATGCCTTTGGAAGGTTCTGTTCGTAGTGCCGCACCATGTCGTCCAGGACCAATTGCCGGTATATCGTCGGCGGGGCACATAGAGTTGTGATGGGATATTCATGGAGAACGTCGATGGTATCACGAGCACTGAATGCTTTTCGGTCATCGTAAATAAAGAGACCCGCACCGGCGTTCCAGCTCCCAAAGAATGACCAGCCTCTATGGAATATGTAAGCACTTTGCCGCAGTGACAGCCGTTAAGATTGATAGACTTACGCTTTAGCCCAGCCCTGTTCGATCCCAAAACCGGACTGATCAGCAATGCAGAAGAAGGAACTCCACTGATATGACTCACCTGCTCTGCCAGCACCCAAGAGAGATGTCCAGGCTCAAGACGGTGGAAGTGCTTGCCAGTAATAGTATGAGCCAAGGGGTACGAAATCTGATTATGCTGAACCATCTTCGGAGGTCCAGTAGTGCCTGTACAAAACTTCAGTCTTGGAGTTCTACACATAGAGCAGGGAGCGTTTACCTGAGGTAAAGTATATGATTGAAGGATCTTTCACATCCGGTTTAGGTCCGGTGTATCTAGCATTCTCAGGAACGGATCGCAATGCTTCACTAAGAAGTACAACGCCGTCCTGAGCTTTACCATCCAGCTGGAAGACATGCTTGATCGATGGACAATTCTTCCGTATCCTCAACAGCTTCTGAACAGCTACTGCGTCTCCGAGGAACACCGACGCTCCAGATCTTTTCACTCGGTACTCAATGTCTTTGTCAACCAGAAGGGTCGTTGCCGGGCATATAACAATTCCAGATCTGACACCTGCAGTTGCAATTTCCCACCTTGCGATTGACATTAGCTTGTTATTTCGGCATGTCGAAAGGACGACATTTACCATTCTGGCAAACGTGGCATGATGATCAGCATCTTCTCGCCAGGCTGTACTCCAAGTTTCTCTCGGAACAAGACTGCCAAGCGATGAGATTGTCTGCTGAAGTGTTCGAATGACAGCACTCGCTCCGTCTTGCGATCTTGAGATATCCAGTGCATGGCCGGACCTGGAGGAGGATTCGCGGCCCAGTAATCGACAACATCTGTCGCAAAGTTGAATGACTTTGGTCGTTTGAGCTCCGCTTCGTAGTAGTGTGCCATATTGGCGAGGTGTCACCTTTGCCGCTACTGTGTTCGCGTTCAGATCTTAAGTGAATGATGCTATCGTTACAGTCGTTCCTGGCCGTGTCTGTAGCCCAGTAAGACGACAATGATTGCAGACCGATAGATATATGTGAAAAAGGACGCCCCACCCTGCCGAGGGAGCGTGGATGGGAATTGTGGGGAGAGAGTTTCGCGGCTCCCTTGAACCGACATTTGAACTTTCTTTTGTGTTGTTTCTCTCGTGTGTATACAGTATACCTTCCAGGACATGTCACATGGGTTGGCTAAATGTTCGCTTCAGTCGGATTGGCCGTCTCGGGACTGCCTATACAAGAAACCAAAAAGGCAAGAACTCGGTCGCGTAGACCTAACTTATTGCCCACGTCTACTGGAGCTGAGAGAAGAAAGTGAGGCTTGACTGTGAAAACACAACAGTCTTCGGAGATAAAAACCGAGTCTGGCAGAACCCTGATCTTTAGCGAGTCGACATCGCAAGGAGTGAGACTACAATGGCTTATTTTCGGTCATTGAGATGGACCATGCTCGAGACCATGCCTGGCCTCAATTTCGGCAAGTTGAGCGACATCATTTGAACAATATCATCTAGAATGTTCTCCTTTATCCCTCTTACACTCTCATTGTCACCCTAAGTCCAACCTCCAATTGCAAACACGATGGACAAGTGGCCTTACGACGTCAAACTTCGAAATGTGGAGGGCTACGAGCGTTGGGCAACAAGAGCTCGGCAGTACTTTCAACGACTCGATATATGGAAATTCATTGATCCGGAAGGCCAACCATACCCTGTCGAGCCCTCACGGCCAATTGCTCAACTGATGCCAACCGAACAGGAACTGGAGAAAGCACGACGAGATCCAGATCCCAAGGGATTGGCGATGTTAGAACGTAACAAACATGTTATCGAGCAGCAAGAGGCCGAGTATCTGGCGCACGCAGAAAAGCTAGAGGCGGGCTACCAGTACCTGGAGCGTACCGTCCGAGTTGGTAACAGGACCATCATCAAAAAAAGTCGGTCTCTGCGGGCGAATTTCTTAGCGCTCCGGAATGCCTACGAGCCAGATTACCCAACTCGCCGCATGCTATATGATCGAGAACTGGAGGAGCTTCGAGAGGGTCCAAGCAGGTATGGCAACTGGAGCGATGAGTATCGAGAGTGGGCCTTGTCATGGATAGACCTAGAATTTCGGATGAGGAAACATGGCATCGCAGGCTGTTGGGATATGCACCAGGAGTTCTTCGAGGCCATGGATCAATTCGACAGGGGTATGAGCACGGTGCTGTGGAATGCCGCCTTTACAGGAAAAGGCGGAAATCCGCAGCCATTCGAAGAAACGGTGGAGCATTCCCTGGATATCGTCGAGCATCGCAGCAGTGGAGCACCGGGGATTGCGATCTAGACGGACATGAGCGGAAGTATTCGATGTGCAGTTTACGGCACTGCTTCCACATATCACAAGTTGGGCTGCCGAGTCTCCTTTCGTGGTCACTTGTTCTGGATCACGACTTCTACCCTGTGTCCGATTCCCTCTCTGCCACCGATCCACCGCTTCCGCTTTCCGACCTTCTCAATGGCCTTGCTCTCGATACCAAAGACCTCGCCATCCACGTCCGATGAGATAAGAGCATGGAGAACCAACAATGGTCGTTGTTTTTCATCGCGGTCCCAGGTGGCGCGGAGAGTCAACCGCTCGTCCTGGAATACACCCGCAGGATATACGCTGGCAATCAGTCCTGCGACTGCGCCGATGTAGTTGATCCACCAGAGAGTCCAAGGAGATTCTATCAGCTGCTCGAGACTTCGTTTGAATTGCTCATCGCTAGGAGGAACATTCCCACCCCAACGTGCGCAAAGAAGCAAGGCAATGAGGGTACGTGATTCATGAAGAACACCATGAACTCCGGCAAGAACACCCGATGTCGTGCTTCGAATGGCAGCGGTGGCTTGGAGATCTTTGGAATAGCTCGAGTGATAGTAGATCAAGTTGCCAAACGCCTCCAGCAAATCTGGAATAAATACGCTTAGCGGGCCGTCAACGGCTCCTCCGGACTGGTCAGGAAACGCAGACTGTAGCAACGCAACGATAGGTCTTGACGATGTCGGCTTCGCCACAGACTCAGTGGCGACAATCAATGGGTATTGCGCTTTGATTTCGGGGGGAAGGGAGGAAAAAAGCCATCCCTCTCTCACACCTCCTTGACAAAACCGCACCTCTTTGATGAGTGGCAATGCTTCTGCAAGCACATTAACGAGAAAAGCGACGGCAGGCACTTGGCTGGCCCTGCGCTCAGAGACGCGGAACAATTCGTCTTGTGCCTCTCCATGTTCCAGAGAATTGGCAGCGGCGGCTTTGACTTGGTCGGTGCTAAGGAATTCCTGCCGGCTCACTTTGAAGCCGTTGATGACTGGGATGGGGTAAGGATTGACACGATGCTGGCTCATCAGCACGTATCCCCATCCTCGGAAGCCTCCACCCGACAGATAGAGAGTGAAGCCTCCTTGCTGCCGGCAAGCATCGGTGAGCTCGGCAGGGACCTTCAGACTAGCGTATGCGGCCATCACCGCTGCTTTAATCTCTTCTTTCAACTGCGTCGTACTACCATTTTGTTCGGCTTCGACTAGCCGTCGAGACATTGCTGCCGCTCCGTACGGCATACTGACTGCCCCAGATTCCRGCATATGGATGTCCTCGTGGCAGTCGTTCTTGATGAGCCAGCTCAGTTGGGTGCTGCCGCCTCCGAGATCCATTACGAGGCCGCTGACCGTTGGAAGGGAGCTTGCAACACCCATGGCACCAACCCGGCCCTCTTCCTCCTTTGGCAGCATGGTGACATCCCATCCTACCTGTGATTTGATCTCTCCCCTGAACTGTTCGGAGTTCACTGCAGTCCGAGTGGCTTCGGTTGCCAAAACCTTGATGTTCTCGGGCAAGACACCGAAATCTGAACAAGTCCTCTTGAATTGCTTGTAGGATGAGACGACCGCCGAGATAGTCTTGTCATCTATTGGCACGCGCTCTCCCTGTGAAGAGTACTGAGCATCGTACAGTGAAATTCCGACTCGATGCTGGTAGAGTGTGGGCATGATCCTTTGGGTGGGCGGCTGCAGAGATGAGATGGAAAAACGGATCCCATTGGAACCCATGTCAACCAAGGCCCGCAGATACTGCGGCTGATACTGCAGCATTTCGACGGCCATGATTGACTGTCCTAGATGTTAATTAATGTGGTTGCAATTATCATGACAGCGGGAGGAGAAGCTGAAGAGAGTGGATACTGTCTTGGCTTGGCAAGGCTTGAGGAGCTTCGATGACACCGCGATCCCTTGCTCTCTTCCCATCTACCTGTCGTCATAATTTCCAGCCAACCATCTCAGTCTAGCCGACGAACCTCAAAGCGCTTGTATGTGTATTGAATGCGGATGACCATGCGCACATCGAGAGCCTAGCCCTTGTATCCGTGATCAACGCTCGGTGCCGTGATAGAGTACCGCGTCAGAGCAAGGCCGATCCCGCAGCTCACACTATACAGAGTGGTGGCATGCTGTAACTTTCGATCACACAAAAGTAATCATGCAAACTGGGAGTGGAAGTCTCGTCGTGGCGGTGCGAATGCTTCCTTTTTACATGACCTCTGTCCAACCTACTGGTCGCGAAGGTTACACCAATCGCATTCAACAGCGTTGGTTGAAATTACTATCTGGTGTATATCTGTACCAATCGTACGACACTCGCTCTGGACTTCCTGTCTGCTTTCCCCCCAGTCTCTTTCACAACACTCGGATCATGAATCGTTCCGCTTGCAGAAATGGTTCAATCCTATTTCCAGCATCCGTTAGAGTCCGTTGCTTACGCTGAGAATGTGCAGCAGGACCAGAACCTGGAAAGCCGAGTGTCTTTGGCTTCGAGATGTGACCTTAGGTTTGGGGAGTAGAAGGAGTCCACGGGTGGGAATAGTGTGCGGTCGGTGGCGGCCGATGTGCATATTCGAGAGTCTCAATGTAGGCGTGGACGGCAGTAGAATCATCTGGTTTCAAAGGCAGATCTTCGAGTGAGGGGAGCAAGGCCATTCTGTTGGATACATGTTGAAGTTTCTTCTCCGTAGAAGCATAGAGAGCTGAAGTCATTGGGTTTAGCTTTTGCTTCCTTCGGGGGACACAACCAATCAACCAGCACCGTTGGTCCATGAGCTTCAAACTATCGTAGCCAGAGCATGTGGGAATCGTTGCGATGTTGAGCGTGGGAAGTGTAGAAATGTGGTAACGGCGAGTTTTCGAGCGTGGCGGAGCGAAGAACAAAGTCGAGGAGAGAGTATAGCACAGGGGTTTGCCATTCGTTATGTCTTTCTCGTACCTCTCAACTAACAAGTACACGAAGCAAGCAAGAAACTCAGCTCAACCTTTGGGGAGCAGCATGCAACATCCTCATCATACCACATTGTAGCCGCTTAGGGCTACGAAGCAACGCCAATTTTCCATCCAGCCTTAACGCCTGTTTCTCGAAAAGTCATGAACGCGAACGCTCAATTACCCAGTAATACAAAGAGCAGAAGTCATATCGGATCGTATTTCCGTACGAACAACCCAGAGCACGCTCAAAGCATCGCCGTGCGTTTCATCCCTGTTGCCCCGACGTCAGCACCACAAGTCTTCCGTTTAGGCCAAAGTTTAGGCAATGTCTCTCATACCATTCGGCGCTCCAGCACTTGCTTGACTGGCGAACCGCGCGATCTCGTTGATCTCGTCGTCGACCTTCTTGTGCTCGGTGTGCGGGTCATACATTCTCGTGCGAATGTACTCGTCTAGGGCTTCGTCGGAGATGTTCCTTAGTGCAAGCTCACGATCGACCTTATCTTCTTGTGCGGCACGGATCACACCGCGGGTGACGACGACGGAGACCTCGCGGATACGGGAGATGCTGGGGTAGAGCCAGTTGTCGGCGACCTCGCTGGGAAGCAGAGAAGTGCTCAACGCTTCTCCAGATGCGTAGATCATATTTTGTGTGACGTTGACAGACTTTGAGAGGATTGCTCCCAGGCCAATGCCGGGGAAAACATACTGTCGAATCTGTTAGCACGTCGCATGCAATCCATGTGATAGCTTTGAACCTTACCATGTTGTTGCCCTGACCTGGCTCCAACTCCTTGCCGTTGTAGTTGAGTTTTGGGAACGGCGATYCAGATGCGAACAGACACTTGCCCTTGGTGTACCTGATGGCCTCCTCGAATGTACACTCGGACTTGCTGGAAGGGTTCGAGAGTGGGAAGATGACTGGGCGGTCGTTGAGCTCTGCCATACGCTCGAGGATCGCTGGTGTGAAAGCTCCACCGATGGTAGAGAGGCCCATCAGAATTGTCGGCTTGACATAATCCACAACCTCAGCAAGTGTCTTGAATTGCTTGCCATGGTTATCATCCCTCGCGAAGTAGACCTTGTGCTCAGCCAGCTTGCCTGGGCGGTCGAGAGTGACCATACCCTGGGAGTCGACCAGAGTGAAGCGCTTGCGGGCTTCATCCTCGCTGAGGCCCTCCTTCATAAAGAACTCAGTGAGTTGCTTAGCGACACCAACACCCGCAGATCCTGCACCGAGGAAGACGGCACGTTGGTCACCGGGGGCAACACCAGACTGCTTGACGGCGTTGATGAAACCGCCTGTAATGACGGCTCCCGTGCCTTGGATGTCGTCGTTGAACATAGTGTACGTGTCCTTGTAGCGTTCGAGTGAAGGGAAGGGGTTCTTGAAGTCCTCATACTGAATGACGATGCTTGGCCAGCGCTCGGTGAGAGCAGCCATCATCTCGTCAAGGAAGGCCTTCTCTTCCTCTGGCGAGACCTTGTCYCTCCGGCTGCCAAGGTATAAAGGGTCATTGCGGAAGGCTTCGTTAGAAGTACCCAAGTCAAGACAGAGCGGGAGGGTTCGAAGTGGGTGAATACCGGCGCATGCGGTGTAGAGAGAGAGCTTGCCGACCGGAATTCCCATTCCGTTGATACCCAAGTCACCAAGGCCGAGGATGCGAGAGCCATCAGTTACGACAGTGATTTCAACCTCATGGGGCCAATTCTGAATGACAGAGTGAAGATTGCCACGGTCTGCGTAGGAGAGGTAAAGGCCTTCAGGCTGAGTGTAGAGTTCGGACCAACGTTGGCAGGCCTCGCCCACGGTAGGAGTGTAGATGAGTGGAGTCATTTCCTGTGTGGAACATGAATTAGCTACATTGCTCAACGCGATCGTTTCAATTTCATCTCACCTTGACGTTCTCAGACAGCAGACGGTAGAAGAGGTGGACGTTGGTATTCCTCAACACTGAGAGGTACTGGTACTTCTCGATATCGGTCTTGCGAGAATGTAGAATTGCCATGCCTTTATGGTATTAGCATGTATATCATTGCACCTTCACTCGTTCTTCCTCATACGAACATCTCTTGCTTTGGTTGGCGAAGCTCTCGACGGCGGGAGGGGTGAGGCCGTAGGTACGTAGGTATTTGCGAGTCTCGATTGGGTTGGAGGTGTCGTAATCATAGCCGGATCTATTGCAGGGAAAGGTTCGTTTAGCCATTTTGGAGAGGTGAGTAAAGCAATGGAAGAGCAACTTACGGAACTCCACGCCTGTCAGGCAAATGATGGTGGGCATTGCCCTTGATGTTGGCAAGCGGCGCCGAGCCACTGAGAGCCTGACTGTTGGTCATGGTCGCTGAAGGTGCTGTTGTGGAGGTAAATGAGCGCAAGTGAGTAGATGTTGATGTTGGAGTCGACGTTGAAGGTGGAGTTGCAGCTTTAGAGGAGTTAAGCTGCGAACTGTTTCTCAACTGCACAAGTGGAGCTGGAGTTGACGAAGGTGGGAAGCGAAGAGAGAGGGACAATGATGGCAGTCTCGAAGCCGCGGCTTGTGAGGTCTTAAATGTCGCGCGAGCAGCAGCAGAAGCAGTGGAGGAGTGCATTGCGGGAGGTCTCGGAGCGCCTCAAATGCCGATAACGAGCCTGGAGGACAGTACGGCGGCGGACTATTGATGGACACCGTCTCTCCAGGGACCGCTCGGAATGCACAGATTAGTGTGCTGTGAGGCTGTCGTGGCCGGCGGAGATGACTGTATTGTTTGAGGTGTGTGTGAAGGGTGAAGTGAGATCAATGTTTCCCTACGATTGACTCCAACGCATTGAGAATTTGTGGTTTTGGTAGAGCTTTGGAGACCCGACGGCCGATACCGCAATACATACCTTTCCTATCTCCATGCCAGCCCCTCCGACGCAACCCGCACTCTAGATCTGATCGCGCGCTCCTGAGCCCTCCTGTCTTACAGACAAGGTGCTCCGTACCAGGTACGGGCACACCGCAGCTTCGTGCATATTCTCATCGTTATCGCTAATGGATTCGCCCTCCTGCAATCTGCATGTTTGGCAATTGACCCTTGGACGAGAACGTGATCCCCTGTCGCTTCAGTCGGGCCCCATGGTTCAGCGCATGGGAGAGGAGTCCGATGCTGTTGACCTGGAACATTATCGAGRCAGTGTGACCCTGATACGGACTATGTCGGACATCTCGAGCCAATGATCAATACACCTACAATCGTCCGTGACCCGCTTGAGATCCGGCCCACAAGCCCGCGCTTGAAAAACAAGCCTTCAGCTTTCCCCACTCGCTTGGCAACTGTAGCACGTGCGAGATCTTGGTGTTCGTTCGCTCCAGCCTAAATTAGAAATGGGATCTAGGATCTACCCACACGACAATACTGTACATATCATTCGCCAGATACGAAAGCGACGAGAAGATGATGCTGCGTCAGACGTCTCAGCTCGCACAAGTTGTTTCGCTACCACGATGTTGGARACATCCCTGACCATTTCGGAACAAGCGTCCCGCTGAACGATTGAAGTCATAAATAAAGAGAAAGCAAACTGCCGGCCACGAATGGCTGAAGTAGGGTGATGATTTACCCGCATGTATCCCCGAGATGCCACCAGTTGAGGGTCCATAGAAATTTCTCTTCATTTCAGGGGACCCACAAGACTCCGCTCTGCATGAACACCCGGGGAGTTTGGGGCGCGAACGGAAGATCCAAACAGGCTGAACTCTGCAGACCAACTCCAGCTCGACTCTCTTTGGTGCATGCAGCCTCACCAAATAAGACAGACCGTGGAAGCACCATGATCTTTTTGGTAGTCGAGACCTTTATCTGATGTAACAAAGCGAAACTTGATCTCATTCATGCAGGCGCAATCTAATGGCAGCATTGGAGATGCCGGCACTCTTCCCCCTCCAAATTCAGCGTCCGTACGTGTACCGACCATCGAGCTCTGCAGGGCTCGCTTTCCATGCTTGAAGCTCACCGGTTGGTCTAGTAGAAGGTAACTCTGCCATGTCCGAATGATCAATAGACATCTCGCCGGACATTTGCTGTGGGCTTTTGTCCGCCTTGTACTCCGGAGCAGGCGATCCCGGCACCATGTTCGTTAGGGAGACACTGTCATGCTCTCTTCGACCGGATCCCCTCCGTCTGATCAGCAGAAATACGATAGTGGCGGCCAGTAGTATCAGAGGAACACCGATACCAATTCCTACGCCTAACGCAATCTTGGAGGAGCCGCTCAAGCCAGACTTCGCTGCCCCCTTTGCAGCGGTTGAAGTCGCGGCAGGTGTACTTGGGCTCGAGGTACTCGAGCTGGATGTTCTGGACGGTACCGACGCTGTTGACACTGCCAGTCCGGAGTAGTAAGCCTTCAGAGCAATTGCATCTGTTGAGGCTGGAACTCCCAAGCCATTGCCGTAGTCAATTATGGGATTTACCATAATCTCGGGATCGAAACAGTCCGTTGCCTTGCGATCCTCATTGCCTCCAGCGCTATCGCAAAGAAAGGTCTCGGTTGAGCACAATATGGTGTTTGAGAGGTACGTTTCTGTATCGTTGCCTACCCGTAGATCTGATCAGACGAGCTCTCTTCGCAATCTCAGCTCTACCTACGTGATGGACAGGGGCAAGCTGGATTGCTGCTCCGGAGCCAGTTTTCGTCTGTACATGAGCCTGGCTTGTTGACGCTGCCACGCCTACAGTAAAGATTGTTTACACATTGGTAGCCTGGTGCGCAGCATGCAGAAGTTTGGCCATCAGGATTGCACTGAATGTCGCTCGCAGCGAGTGACCCATTTGCGTGGTAGCAAGGTAGCCATACTATCGATATGTCGGATGCCATCTCTATGGCACAGCTAAGCTTTGTTTCGGGTATGTAAAGCAGCGKCTGCTCAAAAGCTCAACAGGAGCGGCCAGTCAGGTTTTTATACAGCATGCGATCTCGCCTATTATCCTTGAGCCTCTTCCTTCTAGCGTCTTGCACCTTTGCGCGTGCGAGACTGGGCGTCGATCACAAATTGTCGAACGGTCGAAGGATCTTTTAGGAATCAAACCGGCGTCTGGCCGAATCGTGGGCGTGCAAACCTGCATCGCGAACAAAGCTTTCAAGTCGTACCTACTTGTGCTTTTGAACCAGCAGGTAGTCAATGTGGCACATCAAGCGCAGCAACCGCGGAGACTTGACTTTGAAGGTGTTGTTCCAGATCGAGGGGATAAATGCATCAACGATGAGACAGTCAAACAGAGATGGCGCCAGGTAGATCAGAAGTGGCTCTGCATTCGCGTGTCTCTCGGCGAAGCAGTATGGGATGTGACTGTACCTAATGTTTCCGATGTTTTGCCTAGCTTTTTAGCGAGAAGAGCTTCCATGTTGCACACCCATGCTTGTGGTAACTTGTAGCAATTGTGCACAACAGCAAACAGAAAACGAGGTGATATTTTGATGGTAGGTTTGGAGGCGTTGGACGGAAAACCTGCTCCAAGGCAACAGAGAGGAAGGAGCTAGACATGATGACGTTGGTTGTACCTTTCTCTTTCCCTCACCTCTCAGAGCAGCTGTCATTGTCCATTGTGTTCCTTTCCTCTCCTCTCCCACAACCATCGACTCTTCCACGAGTCTCAACAACACCGCTCTCAAGATGTCTCTCTCAGAACGTGCGCCACTGCTCCCTCAGTATGAGCAGGATACCGTGTTGCAGCGCGAGTTGCACCAGAAGCTCCACTCGTACCAGATGTACCGCGCACTCTCCAAAGGTTACATGCCCAGCACGGAGCAGGTCATAATCAATCTGCGCACCTTTCTCTCCTCGGACGTACTCAACAAAGACAACCCCGATCTGTCCACCAGCGGACGCCGCCTGATCATCGCAACGCGGCAGTGGCTACAGCAGTTCATGGACTTGCTCCAGCACAAGAACAGCGAGGATCAGATACAAGACCTAGTCTGGTTCTTGAGCAAGAGCAGGATATCGGTGGATGTTGACGACCTCACGGCGCGTGCACAGAAGAGCAAGGCCAAGGCCGACACCAAGGCTGCCTACCAGAGCCTACAAACAGTCGGCTCACTCCTGCTCACGAACTCAGACTTCAGGACCTTCCTGGGAGATCTGAACGTTGTTGGCAGAGAGGTGTTCAAGGACACTGCTTTTGCGGTATCGAGCGCTGCCGAGGAGGTAGGGAAGAAGGTTGAGCCCTCCGAGGAGGAGAAAAAGACCGTGGCCAAGCCAGGCGCCGATGATGGCAAGAAGCCACCGACCAAAGATGAGCTTGCAAACGAAGTGACAGACTTGAGCAAGGTCGTCGCCAACGGCTCTGCAGACGTTGCACGGACTGCTGCGGATAGCGTTGAAGGTAAGATCCATCTCGTGCTCATGTTGCCTTGAACGGTCTCCTGTTGCAAATACTAATCACTGCCACTAGACAAGCTCGCCGGAGATGAAGGCCAGACACTTATCAATCGCCTCAAACAGGCTGTGCTCAAGCTGCGAAAGAGGAACGACTACTCTGAGTCTGTCTCCACACTCGCAACGCTCATCAAGCGCTATGCTGTGACATACTCCCGCGCCGCGAGTGAAATTGCTCAAGTCGCCCAGGAAGATGTCCAAGAGAACGAAGCCCTAGACCGTGCCATGCACAACCTTTGGATCTTTGCCACTTCTTTCGGCGAGAAGGAAGAATGGAAGAAGTGCGAGGAGCTTTTTAACCAGGTCATGTCTCACAAGGAGAACGATCCACAATTCGAGCAAATGATGCAGGACACCGGTGACTCCCTGCAGAAGCTACTCACAGACCCCGACTTCCTCGACAACGCACAGGAGAAATTCAACGAGCTCCGAGAGAAGAGCAAGAAAGTCGGTACCGAAAGCTCTCTGTCCAAGGATATCCAAGCACTCCTTGAGCAGATTGAGCGCACATTCCAGAGTGTGCTCAAGGACGATGACATCCACAACCTCATTCAAACCACTCTTCGCATTTTTGGTATTCTGTCGCCCTCGAACTCCACCGCGAACCCGGATCTCCTGCAGGACGCCATCCACGTTTTCGTTCCGGTTCTTATCGCTGCCATCCAATACATTCCCATCCCTCGCCTCGAAATCAGCACGCCAGAAATTGATCTTCTCCTAGAGAACCTGATTGTGGAGCCCGGTCGTACCATCAACCACACCTCTTTCCTCCCATACCGCCTGAAGGTGGAAACTTACAACGACGTCGAAATCAAGAAGCACAAGTTCGCAACCACGACCGCCATGACCAACTTGATGACCATCAAAATTGATGGTCTCTCCGCGAAGGCAGAAGAGATTGGATTTTGGCTACGCGCTCACAAGGGTCTGCTTCGCTTGGCAGACGAGGGTATCGGAAGCTTCATGCTGGATGAGCGCGGTGTGGATATCCACATCGATGTTGAGATTGGCAAGAATAGGTTGGAGCAGGTTCTTACCTTGAAGGCCGTCAGAGTGCACATTCACAAGTTAGACTACAAGCTCAGGAAGAGCAAGCTGAGTTGGGTGGGATGGTTGTTGAAGCCGCTGCTGAGACCTATCGTGAGAAAGGTCATGGAGAAGAAAATGGTACGCGCCGTTGACAGCGGCCTTGTTCGCCAGTCTGAATATAATTCACTAACACTCTATAGGCTGCTGGTCTGGCAGACTTCTTTCACGCTGCAAACCGCGAACTTCTTTACGCCCGCGAGCGCCTTCGTGCAACCCGCATCGCAGATCCCAACGACATGCTTACCTTCTTCAAAGCTGTCGCTGCTCGACTCACGCCAGAGGATGATCCAGACCTCTACACTCGCGTTGGCGTCGCCCAACCCGGAAAAGGCGTCTTCAAGAACGTCTATGCTCCTGGCAGCATCGTCAAGGTCTGGAATGAGGAGGCTACTCGCGCGGAGGAGCGTGTTGAGGAGTTTGAGGCACAGGGCTGGCGCAATGACATCTTCGATGTTACTGCTGTGAGGGCTTAAAGAAGAAGATCAAGGCATGGGCGATGAGCATCGCAATGAGTGTATGATGAATATTGACAGATATGAATGTACAGCAATACGGCGCAGGGAGCAACAACAGGACCTAAAATGATAATGTCGAAAAAATTGCGAGGGTTTTTGATATAGCTCTAGCTTGAAACTTAATTTTGAATGCATCTATCTACTTGACTTCACTTCCAACCTCTTCGTGTCTGTTACTCTGTGATGTCGGCTTTTGAACGATGGTACATGCCCTAAGTGATACTTCGACTTGGAGCTGTTGACTTTCCGTACTGGTCCGAAGAAATGCATGTGACGGACATCAAAAGTCAAGACTTCAGAACCGAGATGCCGAGGTCGTTGGATTCCACGGTTGCGTGGAGATCGGACGAGAGTAATAAAGTGAATTGAAGGTTGCCGCCCCATCTGCTACAGTGTAAAATGCCGTCCCCTATACGAAACTAACAGCATGGTCGTGAAGACATCTTTCGACGAACGGTCAGGTCTCCAAAACACCACTTGTTTTTTTGGTCAAAGCTACGAGTCCGTGAGCGCAGTCGTCGCTTGACTACGGGGAGAGCCAGCAAGCTTCAATTTCCTCTGCCCTCGGGGTCAAGCGACGGGGGGAGCGCGCAAGCCTCAGTATGGTCTGTAGGGAGAACTCGGGGAGGTCCCGTCTCTCGCGGTGTGGCCATGTTATTGTTCCAAACCGGAAGATGCCTTCGAGGTGTAGCTGGCTATCGGAGGTAGAGGACGATGGAACCAGATAAGCACAATAGATGAGTACGAGGTCCAATATTACCGAGCCCTTTGCTACTTTGTTTGTAGAGATCCATGGCAGCTAGGCGCACCTTACGCATTCTCTCAGTCTCCATCGAATTTCCGTTCCGATCCGCAGGCTGCCGTATGGGGGACCTTGCCCCTCTAAAGATCTATGTCTTTCGCAATGCTTTCATTTCTCAGGCTTCTCAGTCTTGGTCGCAAAAACTGCTGGGGTGTGATCGATAGGAAGAGGTCACAGACGTGGTCGTACTTTCAGCTCGCAATAGACAGACCAAGGCTCGGACGAAGCGAGAATACAACGCCAGATCCCAGTGTTCAATGACATTCGATTGCGGATACCAGGCAAGACTTGGGACACCTGCCTTGCACTCCACGATGACCTGTTGTGCTTCCGTGCGAGAAGTAGCTCTCCCGTGTTKAGATACCACGTACACTTTCAGACACTGACCGACCAGCTGTAGATCGGAGGGTGGGTCTCGCAACGATGTCCTGAGGATTACCGCGGAGAGCAAGCGCCAAGGCCCTGAGGCACACACGGCTGTATCGAGAGAGTGCACCGAAGGGCTGGGCGAAGATGGGCGATACTCATGGGTACACTGATTATGCGCTGGTGGGCTACCCCCTTCCTGTGGAAGCCTCGTCTCGTGATTTTGAGGCACCGTTGTCGTTGCTGAAAGATGTAGCAGGTTCGCCTAGGTTGCTGCGTCAAGACCAGCGAAGCAAAACGCTTGAGTCTTTGCATAACTTTGCCATTGTATGTGTTGGTGCAGAGTCGGCGAAGCATAGCAAGCTCTATGGTTGCTTATTCTTGACCGCCGGAATGACAGAGTCCTTGCTGAACAATGAAACATGGTTGCATTGTGTCTGTTGATTAGCAGAATCTAAAGCCGACGCGATGTGATTATTTTGTCAAAAATCGTAGCTCGTCACATGTCTCTCTTCTTTCTGTCGCGAGGCACAGCTCTTGTGATACCACCAAGGGAGCAGGCTTCTTCGCCGTCTGGATGAGATGCAGGGTTGACGTTTTCTAGGACATTGTTTTCCACGAAAACCTGTCATCTCGCTACATGCTAGCGGCCGTCCAGAGCCGTGTCATCGACCCTATCTCGGGGTAGTGCCTTTGCTCCGACCGTTCCACCCGCGGCTAACGACAGCAAGGCCCACATCCGACGAACACGTTTGTGATGGAGCTGGGCCAAACAGGTGATGATGAGAGAGCGAGAATTGCGAAGGTGACATCGTGGTGGGCCATTCGGAAAACAGCTCGATGAAGGACAAGGATGGTCGTCACGCGATTGATCTCCGTACCGGCTTGGCTGCAGGTGCCCTGCGTGAAACGGGAAGCACCGCACGTGTAGCGAAACATGGCAAGGCTTTTCACTGCTCCCTCGACGAGCTGTAATATTTGGTAGACACAAAGACCTGAGAGGCCGTGGAGTACTGCCGATCAAGTCCGGAAAATGTTCATGCCCGGTGAGCGAGACAGCAAGCATGTGTTCTCGCGTATCTAAGCTAATTTCGATGGAAGGAATGTTTGCAGGCAAGTCGTTCCTACTATATTCAGCACGCAGCAACCATGGCAGGAAGCCTTTCCCAAGGCGATAGCTTCGCGCTGTGCGGATGGCTTGACCGTGTGGGTGGCTTAACCGTGACCACCTGAGTCTCCTACGAGCATTTATACATACCCTTGAAGCGACTCAATCCCGTTCACAATGGCCAAGCCCACCTGGTTTGCTGGTCATACTCGCCGAACTATCCGTCGTCGATCTTTGGAGGGCAAGACTTGCGAGCTTGTGTTATGCTCACACATTCATCGAGCTAATTGTTCTCACCTATAGGCGCCGGGCTCAACAATGCCGACCCAGAGGCCGAGAGAGACCCTCCTCGAGTAAGAGAAGCATGGAGGACATGGAGCAGTGTGAGGCCGATGCTGACATCTCATGCCTCACTCTAGATTCCGACTCCAGTGACTTTCCCAATCCGGAGTGCTTATTCCCAAACAGAATGGAGTAATGTCTCGCCGCCACCAAAGCTACAATCATTCTTTTCCAAAGTAGTCCGGCCATCCGATATTTCCGCTGCCCATGTTGAGGCTCTAAACATTCACCTTCTGCCTCCATGTCCACCCGATGAGCTTATACCGTTGGCGGTTGATGGCAGCTCATATCTTCCGCCTTTGTCGCCGAATCAGGCTATAAATGCAGCGTCGTATGCGGAAGTCACAAAGGTGAACGCATGCTCAGCTAAAAAGCAAGCCGACCTCGTCGAACGACTTACAGAGCTAAAGCTAAGTAACGATGCTGGCTTTCGCACAATCACACGCACTACGAAACACGGGACCAAACCGCCCAAGCTCAGCTGGCTGCGGAAGTTCTGGGAAGGGCTTGAAAGCGTTTCGCAGTATTGGGACACCTCTCTGGACTGTTACTACGAAACGGAATCGGTGACGACTGAGCCCGAGAAGGGTGCAAAGCGGCTACGAATGGACTCCGTCCAAGGCGAGACCTTGGTTCGAAACAAGAATGGGCCTCCGCACGAGATTGCCTCCAGCGATGACGAAGCTGGCCCAGGCATTGAGTCAACAAATGACTCTCACGCATCCGAAAGGGCAAATGAGAATTGCACTCAACCAAATGGCTTCAGCCCTGGCCAAGCAAACGGAGGGGAGTCCTCGAGCACGTCAACAGATTCACGCAAGTGCTGGCGGTACAGAGGTCGACGGACAGCTTCTGGACGAGACATGCCAGATCAATTCCGTTCAGACACTGTTCGCGCTTTTGTCGAAGCTGCTGCATGGCCTTTCAACTGCTCCGTGGCACCACCACGTCATATGCCCATTGTGCAAATGAATCGACTGAACATTCCTGTAAGACAAACAGCGGCTGTGTACCGCAATCCAAAAGAACGCAGCAGAGTGCGGGCGGGCTTTCTCGAAGGCCCTGTACTTACAATCCAATGCCGACCGGACACGGACTTTGACGCACCTAGCTTGACCATCGAGCAGATGAAGACACGAGCACGGCTCGACTTGATGCGAGAGTTGGGTGCGCTACTTCAGCTGGCTCAGGAACGTCGGAGACACGGGAAGGCTGAGCATCGCTCTGGCGAAGGCAAGTGGTGGACTAGCAAGCCGCGGTGGGGAGGTGGGCGTGACGGAGAGCTCTTGAGCGATGGCGGCAATGCAAATGTGCCAGAAGTGCCGCCTAATACTGATGCCATGCTTGGTGCGCCGAAGCCGAGAAGCCCTCGAAAGAAGAAAACGCCTGCCATGCTTTGGAAGGAACTAAGATGTGGGAGCAAGATGTGGGATCCGCGCATTGCGTACGAGGCGATCGGCAAAGACGCCGACTCTGCTTGGGATGAGGTCAGTCAAGCATTGGTACTCGGTGGAATTGCATGCTAATTATCAGCAAGGTCTTCATGGTTTCGTCGCTGAATCACCACATATCCATTCTCAAGCTGCGAGTCCACGGCGCTTACGTTGAGTATCTTCAATCGGAGACACTACCAGATCCCCTCCCGACGGACAAAGATTGGTGCTCGCCAAAGCTGCAGCGCTCGCAGTGGTTTGATCTCCTGGATGTTGGCCAACGAGTAGAGGCATTTCGTGCTCTATGGGGTGTCATCGCATATCTAATGCGGGAGATGGACAGTCTTACGAAAGCTGGAGCCGAGGACGACGCTGGCAAGTCTGATTGACAGGGTGTTAACCCGAAAATCCTCAGCATTGCTCAGTAATACCAAGTCGGGTGCGAGCGGTATCTGTGAGGCATGTGCAGTTGGGCTAACAGAGCCATGAGTCACATTATTATCAGCACTTCAAAGAGCGGAGCCACAGCGATGGACAAACGGAGCCACCTGCCACTTTTAGCTAAACTACATCAACATCGAACCTTGCGAACTCATTTCCTCCGGCTGATGTACAGACTCCATGCCCATATAGAAACAACAAAGCCATCATTCATAAACAGTCAATCCCAACCCGATCGGCATTGTTGCGAGTTCTTCAGAGCGCCTTCACAGTCTGAAAGAAGGGATTTGCCATGAGCGCTTCGTTCCCCTGCACCAAGTCTTTCATGCGTTGGACCTGCTCCTCCTTGCCCAGGTTCTCTGCTTCCACCTGCTTCTTCCACTCGGTGAGAACCTCCTTGAGCATCTTACTGCCGAGCTCAACTTCGTCCTTGCTGRCCTGCGTTTTAACACCCTCGCGCTTGCCAGAGAAGTCTTCGAGTTCGTCGGCCTTTCGTTTCGCCATGTTGATGACCTTTTGTGGAAAGCGGACGAGCTCGGCGACGTGTATTCCGAAGGATTGATCACTAATACCGGGTTCGACTTTGTATAGGAGAGTAACTTCTTGGCGTCGGTTGTTATTTGGGTCGCCTTGCATCGTTGTGTCTTCGCCATCGCCAATGTGCGCTACAACGTGCAAATTCTGCACTTGCGGGTATGTATCGACCAGGGCCGTGAGCTCGTGGAAGTGTGTTGCGAACATGGTAAACGATCCAATCTCCTTGACGATGTGCTCGCTGATAGCCCATGCCAGACCGAAGCCGTCGTAGGTGCTTGTGCCTCGGCCGAGTTCGTCAATGATGACCAGAGACTCTTTGGTGGCTGTCTTGAGGATGTTGCTAGTCTCCAGCATTTCAGCCATGAAAGTACTGACGCCCTTGAGCTGGCTGTCACTTGCTCCAACACGAGCGAGGATACAGTCGAAAAGCGTGAGCTCTGCCTCAGTGCAGGGAACGAAGCAGCCCACTTGTGCCATCAAGGCAATGACGCCTATCTGTCTAATATATGTGGACTTGCCGCCCATGTTGGGTCCAGTGATGATGAGGAATTCTGACTCGTCCCGAATCATGGACACATCGTTGGTGATGAATGAGATGTCATCCTGCATCTCCATGCAGGGGTGACKAGCCTCTTTGAGAATCGTGCTGCCAGTCCCGCGTGGATGTATTTTGGGCCGAATGTATGCGATGGGAGCATGAACAGAGACGTGCGCAAAGCTAACTATCACGTCCAGGTGTGCCAAGACGCCCGCGAGCTTCTCAATCACAGGGCAATATGATGCCGCAACGTTGACAACCTCGCTAACAAGACCAAGCTGCGTGCGGGTATAGCTCTCAGTAAGCTTGGTGAACTCACTGCTCATGTCTTTCAGCTTCAAGGTAGTAAAGTAGGTCCCGTTCTTTTGGGTGGCGATCTCCTGGTATTCTCTTTTATTCCGGATCACACTGGCTTCGTTCCGGGTCAGACGCAGACACCAGCCATTGATTTTGTGGTTCTCAAGCAAAAGCTTCTTCTCGGTATCAAGTCCCAGGTCATCACCGACCCTTTCATGCTCTCGCTCGATGCTGTATCTGATGGAATCAATCTTCTTCCGGATGACGCGTAGAGTGTCGTCGAACTCGGGCTTGATGATGTACTCATGGTTGTCTATTGCGTCCAGATCCACCGTCGACTCTACCATCTCAACTAGCCGTGAAAGGCTGTTGGAGTACTCTTGCAGCTTGGTCGTGTATGATGCGTCAAGAGCGTCCTTGTGTGCTTCGTCCATGACTCCCTCAAAAGTGCCAAGAAATTCAGGCAAGCGAATAGCTACCTGGTATGCTCGGACGACATCTTCCAGGGTTGCCTTTTTCCGCTGGAATTTCTTGGCGAGCCTGTACAAATCGGGTATTGATCTCAAATGCTGTTCTTGAAGGGTTTGGCGTAGCTCGGTGTCTTCGACAAACGCTTCCACCAGTGCTTGTCGCTTTTCGATCTCGTCCAAATCCATGAGAGGCTGCTTTAGCCACTGAGCCAGGAGTCGACTTCCAACAGGCGTCTTGCAGTTGTTTAGCAGACCGTACAGGTTCATTGTCTTCGACCCATCTCTAGGGCCAGGCATGAGATTCAGGGCTTTCAATGCAGAAGAGTCGAGCTTCRTGAATTGGCAAAGGTCATGCTGATACAGCTTATACTCGCCGAAGTTGCTCGAATCAGACATGATGCCAAGGTACTTGATGAGGGCGCCCGCAGAGCTCATCGCGAGCTTCAGATCGGTCTGCGGGAGCTTCGCATTCTCATCTCGAAGCAGGCGCGCGATATCTTGCTCGATGTCCTTATTCCCAAAGCTTCCTGCTGGAAGCTCAGAAACAACACAGTTACAATTATCCGCAATGGCACGCAGCTTGCTGAGCTCAGGATCCTTCTTGGTGGCGTCCATCTGTACAAGACATTCCTTCACCCCAAGCTGGATAATGAGCGACTCAAAGTTGGAGTACACATCGTTATCGACGAATTCGCTCACCCCAAGCTCTCGCACGCTGGCATCTGCAAAGCATRCGCCAACGTTGCGGCCTTCGGTCGCCTTTACTGAGACTTTGACAGCGAGAATGATCGGAGCAGACTCAACATGGCCACCAAGATCATCCTCGATGTCTTGAAGATTTCCAGGCGACGCTTGCTTTGCGACTTGCCATTGGCCTCGTCCTGATGTTTGAAGGACCTCGACTCGCTTTCCTAGCCTGAAGATGGCTTCCCGGAGAAATGTACGGTAGACCGTGACGGTCATGGTGACCGAAGGTAGTCCGGGGTTCTTTCCCAGCGTCTTCAGCACGGAGGTTGTCCTGTATTGAGTTCGGGCAATGTAGTCTGCATCATCTCCGTGGGCTGATAGAAAGTCGCCTCTATCAAAGATCCTGAGCGTACCAGCGGGCTTGTCAGCTTCGAGCTGATGAAAAGTCTTGACGAAGCCATTTTCATCGTCCACCTTTAGCTCAGGTCGGGAACCCATCTTGTCGTTCTGTTAGATGGATTGTGGTTGAGAGTCGCGAAAATGGCAGGCACGCGAAGAAGACGCGACCAGATTTAAACTTTGGAGGAAGGTTTGCCGAGCTCCTGATGCTCAAGTCTTTGATCTCTCCAGGAGTACTCCAGAGTAAGAACGGCCTTTTGACGCATCAGATCGATGTTGCCGACAGATATCATCTTGGATATCCTGGCTGCAACTCTTGCGATGTTCCAAAACCAGGTACAGAGGGCGGTGGCCGCGTGAAGATTAATGACTGGAGGTTTACACCAAGTTCATCCTTTCGTGGCTGCACCCAGCCCTTTCTTTGGTTTGCGGAGAGGATCTCCAACACGTGCCCTGGCTGGAATGTACACCCATCAAACATACTGGATCGATTCGCAGTGTACTCGACACTCCCTCAAGAAGTCTGTACACGGCTTTGACAAGAAAAGGATACAGTGATACTACCCCAACCCTAACCCCGGAAAAGATCGCGAAGCATGCGGTTCGCAAATCTCACGTAGAAACTTCTACCACGGCCACAGAATGGTTGAGACTAGAATTAGAATGTGCGGGAAGACAGGCACGTCATCTCCAACTGCAAAAAAAGCAAGGTCGGGTAAAGGGCTCAACAGTTTCACGATATGGCATATCGCTCGCATCCATAGCATCAATACAGCAAGTGAGAAATCGCTTCATTTCCTCCCTAGGTCTGTCTCAAAGAAATGTTCCAGCTGCGCAGTACCATCGTGCACCCTGCTTGCGTCCCCTCCCTCATAATGATTGCAGATTTCCGCAGCGACACCTCCGGCTCTGTGGAACAAATCCGATTGCCAGTGTGGATCGGATGACATGTCGTCTCAAAGAATGGCAGCTTCTCGGTTTTTGGGTCTTGCAAGCGTCCGAAACAAACTCCGACACAAAGGCTGGTTTTCATCGCAAGCAAGCCTTATCGGCTATATTTATAGCGTCCCAGCGTTCCAGGGAGAGTTGCACACACAGAGAGCAACATGGCTTCCACTGCAACCAACGCACCGCAGCTTTACGTGACAATCGAGGGTCTCCGCGCTCAGATCATTGGTAAGTCGGGTGTATTAATAGAAGCTCCCCCCCAACAGATCGGTTGAATCCTGACAGACGTGTGAAGCCAACGCGACCATGGTCTTCACTGTGCCCGCAACCTTGTTTGACAAAGACCCCAAGGAGAAAGATGGCAATGCAATTGGAAAGAACAAGAAAGACATGATCTTCGATGTTGTCGTTGCCAGTCAGTCTCAGTCGGAATCCTTCAGAGCGATGCTTGTATGTGGTGACTTGATGAGACGGAGTTCGATCGCTACCGGACGGATCGGTGGCAGTGTGGGCGAAGCGCTGTACAGTCTGCTGCGGCTGTTGATGACGGAGTTGAGTACCAAGGCAGTGCCGGCGATGTTGGATGCGGAGGCTCGACCAGATGGGCATATTGACAAGAAGTTCTTCTAACGCTTGTGGGAGAATAAGGAGACAAAAGACTGCAGACGCTGGAATGAGAGGCAATAATCATGTTTCTGATGGGTGATAGATGGGCAGAAATATGGAATGTCAAAGCGGTATAGCCTGCTGCTAGTAGCCGCCTGACCGGTCCTGTTCTTTTAATGACCTTTTTGCATGGACGCGAAGCCTCCAAACCTACCGTGGTGACGCACCTCAGAGGCGCGAAAACCAAGGTGTAGTCACATACTGGCAGTCGAATGCACATGATTCGCGAATGTGATCAAAAGGTCAAGTCRACCTGGCAGTTCAACGTGAAGTGGAAGATTGAATGCCAAGAAATTCTGATGACGAGAAGTGAGAACGTCTCTCCGACACGACTTCACTCTAACCCTCTGTCGCGCTCTCCACCAGCTTAGCTCCGGTCGGCATCGTCAAWGCAACCACCAAAGACCGACAACGTCTATTACAATCTCAGTCCCAACCATCCAGGTACGAACACGTGAAACCCCAACCTCGCAGCGCGCAGGCTCTGCCGTTCAGACCTTTCCGCCCACCGCCGATAGCTTCACTCGGCATTACTTCAACCTCACCTGGCGCTGCGTAGGCACATGCTAGTTGAGTAATAATTTCTCAACACGTCAACTGTCAGCTCGAGATAACTGGAAACTATTGTTTGATTTACCTGCTACCACAAGCGACATGTCGCAGCAAACCGGCACCGGCCAGAACATACCATTGATCCGCCCGGAACAGATCCCCGGACTGCCTTATATCTCAGAAGAGACCAAGCAGCAATACAAACATGGGCTTGCGAATCTTTGGCGTCTTTATGAGGGTAGTCAAGCGGGAACCAAGGAACATACGGATGCGCTTGACAAGATCAGGACAGCCAGCACCAAACTCATGAGCATGATGACGGTCGGCAAGAGTGGAAATGGCAACAACAGGCCCGGATCTGGAGGAGGACAGCAACGACCAGGTTCTCAACAGATGACTGCCCAGCAGCAGCAGCAACAGCAGCAGCAGGGCATTGTACCGCAATTGGCCGCAGCTCAGGGACAGCAGCAGCAGGGCCAGCGAGGACCACAACAGCAGCAGGGACAGCAAGGTCAGCGGCCGGGAGGACAGCCAGGACAGGGTCAACAAGCGTGGACGCCCAAGCAGCAACACGAGCTGGATTCGATCAGCCTCGTGCAGCCTGCGAACATGTCGAACACGCAGTGGGACTCGTACAAGGGACAGCTGCAGGCTGGGCTGCGCGACGCCATTCAGAAGCGCGATCTGCATGTCCAGCGATATAACATGTTTCAATCACAGGTCCGCAGCTTCGAAAATTCAGGTAGGGCGATTTCAGACAAAGCGCACCTGCAAGTGGCCGAATGCCGGAAGACGGCCGAGGCGGCAGCGAACAACTTCAGACTTTTGAAGATCAAAGCCAGTGGAGGTGATTCTAATCAAGCCAATCAAGCCATGGCGCAAGCGCAAGCACAAGCCCAGGCTCAGCAGCAGCAGCAGCAGCGCGCGAATGCTCAGCAGGGCCAGGCGGCTCAACATCAGCAACAGCAGCAGCCCGACGCAAAGCCGGCAAATCTTCAGGGCGGGCGCAATTCGCTCTCTCCTCAACAGTTCCAGAACGGATTCCAGCAGCAAGCGCCGAATCAGCAAAGCGCGCCTGGACAAATGGCTCAGCAGAATATGCAACAGGCGCCGGTTGCGCCGCAACAAACTTCCCCACAATCAGCTTCGCAACCTCAGTTCCAACAGAGCCTCGCGCAGCAACAACATCCCAATCAACAGCCTCGTCCACCACAGATCAACACCCAGCAGATTCAGCCGCAGCATCAGCAGCAGCAAGGTACCCCCGGGTCCGCATTACCTCCTAGTGGCACACCGCAGAACCCACAGCGCCCACAACCGCTTTCGCACTCGGCTGCCATGTCACAAGCGGCCGAAAATTATAATCGCTCGCAGCAGCAAACTCAGCAACAGCAGCAGCAGCAGCAGCAGCAACAGCAGCAACAGCAGCAGCAGCAGCAGCAGCAGCAGCAGCAGCAACAGCAGCAGCCTGCGCAGGTTCCTCAAGCTGTGCCTCCGTTCAATGGAAATCAGGGGCCAGGCCAGCACCAATCCAAGGACCAAGCATCATACCCAAACCTTCAAAACACAACCAACTCAAGTACGAACCCCAACTCAAAGTTTCCAATCCCGAAAATGTTATCCATCGACCCGCGCAGTCAAGTTCCCGTGGCTGGCCCTGCATCGCGCCCATCTATGTACAGCGCTGGCATGATGAACCAACCCGCGCTACAACGTGCCCCTCCGTACACCCTTGAGGGCGAAGGTGACCGCGTCCTCAGCAAGCGCAAGTTGGACGAGCTCGTGCGTCAAGTCACAGGCTCGGCACCTTCATCAGACAACAGTGAATCGTCGTCTGTGCTGGCGCCCGATGTCGAGGAGTCCATCATGGAAGTCGCCGACAACTTCGTGGATGACGTCATAACTTCGGCGTGTCGTCTCGCGAAGCTCCGCCCAACCCAAACTCTGGATCTTCGCGACGTTCAGATGGTACTGGAGCGCAACTACGGCATTCGCATTCCGGGCTACGGACTGGACGAGACGCGCACCGTGCGGAAGTTCAACCCTGCACCGGGTTGGCAGAGCAAGATGCAAGCCGTGCAGGCTGGGAAGGTTATGGGCAATCGGGACTCTTAGAACGAGTCCCGAGCTACCAAGCCACCTCATACGCCTCGCAAAACGCCTTTTAAGCGGAAGCGTAAGGACGACGCAAATGCTGTCTGAATCTGGCCGCTGGAAGGGGTCGTAGAGACGAGGAAATGGGAAATGAAGGGTTGTTTATTGACGTATGGATGGGCCAAGTCTCGGCGAAGACTCGCGGGGGGTTTTCTCACAAATGATATCACAGACTTTGGCATAGGTTGAGCAAGGCGTTTGGTTTTGAATTGTGTATCATAACACGTACTGTTTGAATTCAAGATGATACCCATGATCTACGTTGTACAAATTTCGGGCGAGGTGGTTCTCAACTTCCATACATTTCTCCGAAATCGACACTTAGGAAATGCGGAACAGATTGTCTAACTTACATCTGACGGCTTTACTCGCCCCGACCACGTTGTCATGGTAGACTCGTCGTAAATCCATCATGAAGCTGCTTAATGATGTCGTCTTGTAGAGCGTTTGCGGTAGACGTTGGCTGCTGCTGGCCCGCCATCTCATTGAAGCATTTGATGAACTTGGTTTCTGCATGCCGTCTCGCTCTGGATTTTATCGGACGACATCTTGCGAAATAAAGTATCGCCGAAGTTGTTGTAGATACATGTAGACAGCCCACGCGTCGAGAAGACGCGACGTGATTGTCTCGATTTGTGCCACGACTAGGTTGTGTGATCAAGGCCCTGAACAACAGCATTGCGTCAGTTATCAGCTGCAACTTGGCGAAAGCATGTGCAGATTGCCAGTGTCAACATTGCTAGTAAACAACCATTGAATCCATTGCGACCATGTCGATTACCTCTGGTACGGTTCAGCCGCGCTCACACATGTGATACTCCAAGATGTCCTGACGTTCTCTCGCAGAGGCCATCTGGGCCGCTTCACCCACCACAACTCGCGGCGCACCCACACCGCTGTCCAGCGACTTCAAGGGCGAACGTATCACTTACGCCTCCAATAAATCAATCTTCGTCCGGTCGATTGACGATCCCGCTGTCTCGAAACAGTACACTCAGCACACAGCTCAGACGACCGTTGCTCGCTTCTCTCCGTCAGGCTTCTACATAGCTTCGGGCGATGTCTCTGGCAGCGTACGAGTGTGGGATGCTGTCGGAGCGGAAAGCACCAAAGGCGAATATCATATCGTCGCTGGTAAGATAAGCGACATTGCATGGGACGGTGATAGCCAGCGCATTATTGCAGTAGGAGATGGCAAGGAGCGCTTTGGACATTGCATCACCGCAGACTCAGGAAACAGTGTTGGAGAGATCAGTGGTCACAGTCAGCAGATCAACTGTGTGAGCATACGACAGCAGCGACCACTCCGAGCGGCCACTGGAAGCGACGATATGAGCATGTGCTTCTTTCACGGAGCTCCCTTTAAATTCAACACCAGTGTCAGGGGCAAGCACGACAAGTTCGTGTACGGGACGCAGTTCTCGCCAGATGGTGCAAGTCTGGTAACTGTGGGAAGTGATCGAAAGATTTGGCTGTATGATGGCAAGACAGGTGAGGCGCAGAAGCAAATTGGAGAGGGAGAGCACAAGGGAAGCATTTTTGGCGTGTCGTGGGCTCAGGACAGCAAGAAGCTTGTTACTTGCTCAGGGGACCAGACGGTCAAAATCTGGGATGTAGAGGTCGGAAAGTGTACGCAGAGTTGGCGGCTAGGCGGCGAGAGTGGTGTGAGCATCCCCGATCAGCAGGTCGGAGTCACTTGGCCTGGTGGGCGCAGCGATGGGCTAGTCATCTCTGTGGACTTGGAGGGCAACCTGAACTACTTTCAAGAAGGAAGTGCGAAGCCTGTCAAGGTTATCCGTGGGCACTCCAAAGCYATTACGGCCGCTGCCGCTGCTCCTGGCAGCAAGACACTCTGGACGGGCAGCTATGATGGACGCGCTCGCTCTTGGGATCTTGCACACGGCGCTGCAGACCTCATCGATGGCGAGACACACTCAAACTACGTCTCGGGGATTGCCACCGAGGCTAACGGAGACCGTGTCTACAGTGTCGGCTGGGACGACACTCTTCGCACCGTCGATGCCTCCCAGCTCTCCTTCACCGGCAATGCCATCAAATGTGATGGTCAGCCAAAGAGCATAGCCGTTGCAACAGTCGCTGGCAAATCGTACACACTCGTCGCCACCGCTACAGGGATCACAAGCTACGTTGACGGCAGCGAGACGTCCAAGCAGAAAACTCCGTCGCCTCCCACATGTATAGCAGCTTCTGGCGAGACTGTTGCCGTCGGATCCGACGACAAGACAGTACATCTCTTCAGCGCTGCGACACCCACATCTTTCGATGACATGGTCGTTCTGAAAGATGCCACTTCACCCGTCTCTGCTCTGGCTTTCTCGAACGATGGCACGCATCTCGCTGTTGGGCTCAGCAACGGCAAGATCTTTGCCTATAGCAAGACATCTGGTACATGGATGCTGGAAACCAACCGCTGGTCCGCACATACCGCGCGTGTAACGAGTATAGCCTGGTCCCCGGATGGAACGAAGGCCGTCAGTGGTGCCTTGGACACAAACGTGTTTGTGTGGAGTCTGGCAGATCCTGGCAAGAGAGTCAAGGCCCTCAATGCTCATCAGGGAGGCGTTGGCGGTGTAGTTTGGGTTGATGCAGACAAGGTCGTCAGCAGCGGWGCAGATGCTGCGGTCAAGGTCTGGAAGGTGCAGGGACTATGACCAGACCGATTGTGGTGCATTACGGATGATGTTGATAGATGTATAGGAGCACAAAAGGTTCTTCCTCCTGAAAAATGTCTCCATGCACAATGGAGAACATGCAAAAGCCCAATGGGACGCGGAAAGTATGGGAGCAGAAGAGGGAGGGTAGACGGCGACGCGGACCAGAGGCCCCTCCACGCCAGCGAAGAGAATCTTGAGAAAGTGACAGACGGTCCAGCTTCATTTCGCAAGTCTCCRCCACTTTTCCAACTCCGCAAAATACCAACGACAACGCGCGACATTGATCCTCCCGCATCGCAATCTAGTAACAACAAGAAATGTCATGCTCTCAAAAGCTAGCGCTTGGTCGCCAACGGAGATTGAAGCTCTACCAGAACCTTCAACATCGACACATGCAGCTCAGCAGTCCGAATATGAAGCTCCAAACTGTGAAGTTGGCTGAGACTTACGACAAAGACTTCAAAACCGCTTTTGCGCTACAACTTCGAGCGAACGAGCTGTTCCGTGGCACGGACAAGTACGTACAGGCTTGGAAAGAGGCATGCAAGACCCTTGTCACGAAGCTCAAGAGTGTGGACGACTATGCTAAGGAATTGAGGGAGTTCTTGGACGGTCTTCGTGAGAAGGAAAGTGAGGGCCCATCACCAACACCAAGCAGTCAGTCGAGTGCAGGAAGCGTGGGAACCAAGCGTCGTATGACACCACCACCAACGCCACGGACAGTATCGAAAGCGACTCCACAGCCTACACCGCAGTCAACGGCTCAGTGGACACCCGTGCCATTATTACCTCCAACTCCCCAGCCAAGCAATGCAGCGACGGTCGTGTCTTTATCAACCAGACCGCCAACACCACAACAACCCACGGATTCCAATAAGCGCAAAGCCGACGTCATTATTTTGGACGACAGCGACGAGGAAATTGTGAAGATCGCCGCAGCTCTTCGCAAGGGAAGGAAGAAAGCCCGCATCGAAAACGAGCTCCGCAAGTACAATTTGTCACTAGGAGCGTTGGCAACGCAAGTTAAGATTAGGAAGGAAGAGGAGCCGCAGGTGGAACTTGAAGAATACGATTTTCATTAAAGAAGTAGCCTGTTGGGGTCACGAAGCGTTCGAGGGTACATTATTTTGTGAAAGAGGAGAGTTATTGCATTGAGGAGAAGCAAGGAAAGGTTTCCAGAGAATTTAGGACATGGGGTAATGAGTTACGCACGAGTGAAGCAGAGCTTGACTTCGGGGGATGTGCACGTTGAGTGAAGATTTTGGGCTGAGACCTGCATGAGAGCTGCATGCCATGGAACCTCCAAGCATGTGGGAAATTGCTGAGCATGAGCTGTGAAGTGCAGCCATGAAGGGTTAGTGCTAGTCATCGAAGGCAAACAGGTGGGTGCGCTTGAAGGAGATTTCGAACGTGGACCTGAACTTTTGAGCTGTCTACGCCTTTGYCTTTCTGATTATTCCCCTGCACTTGTCATTGTGCCGACTTTTGAGCTGTCTGTCGCCTTGTCCTTTCCGATTATCTCCTTGCACTTATCCTCGTGCGAACTTTTGGGCTGCTGTTATCGACTCTGTGTACTGTGTCTCTTGACTTCTTCTTCTAGTCATTTGCAATCCATCTCTTACTTCATGCCCTCCATTTTTATGGGGCGCTCTGCCTACCGGGGTATCAGAGAGCGCTACTCGTTGACTTCATTCCATTGTGACTTACCAGAATGCGCTGCTCAGCCGCGAACTGGAAACCGCCCTCAACCATACCGTAGTCGACTGATCCTCCAGCACACTTCTCTGCGTTCTTCATCGTGCCCAGGAGATTCTCCGTGTACCACTCAAGTGCCTCGCAGGTGACGAGCAGCAGACCATCCAGTGCGTCTTCGGCGGTGGGGGCGAGAGGGGAGCTAGCGATGATACGTACATTTGGGCTGCGGCACAGGAGTGTGGCACGCATCTGCTGCGAGCCAGATACGATAACTTGGAAGATCTCGTGTGGCTTCAGGATGCCGAAGGTCTGGAAGGAGGCGCTCTTGACCACCTCTTGTGGGTAGAGGGTGGCCGCGTTGGCTATCGCTTGTGTCAGTCGAAGCTCTTGATTTGAGGTTGGGATTACATACCGATGATTTGCTCGCGCAGACCGTGCATGGAGAAGTCGTAGGACGAGAGGGCGCTTGGAGTGGTTTCCATCTCGAGAAGTTTGGTGGTGGGTGACACGGTGGTTTGTGATGGCTTGTGATTGTGTGGGGATTGCGGATGAAGTGGGTTGAGTGTTGGTGACGAGGGTGACCAGCAGATGGGAAGGATGGAAAAGTCCGTATAAAAGTTATTGGGGGAATATATTTTGTGCAGATTCAAGCACATCCCGCGACATCGGGATCAGCACAATGTGAATGATTTTCCTCATTGTCGATTTGCTGACGCCTGCACCACGGGCCATCTACTCGCCCGTTCAGGAAGGCGTGCTGTGGGGAAGGTGAGGTTCGCCGGTGTTCATGGCCCAGATGGTAGGAACAAACGCTCCATTCATTCTTGACTGCTCCTAATAGGCCTTGGAGAGATCTGGAGTGAAGTCCCGAGCGGTTGTGGAGGTTTCAGCAGATGCCAACCATCTTTTGAAAGACGAAGTGAAGTGAAGCATCCTGCTTGCGGTGGATGATGGAGTAGGATGATGAACTTGTGAGAACATGAGATAGTGACACCGTGAAGAGAAGAGACTGTGGTGGTGGCAGACGAACTTATATCCACAACGTAACTCTTTGATACTTATCTTCTTTGTGTACAAGCGATTTCCAGCTCATGCGATGGGCCATTTGCCAGTGATGTCTACGCCCGGTACCATCTACCAGAAGGTGAAGTACGGAGTACGTAGACATCAGTCGATGCTGACGGTAGGGGTTGGAAGATGAGAGATCGCGTGGCAAACTTGGGGCTTCCCGGACTTCGATGTCCCTCAAGCATTTCCTGCTCTGCCCATATCCCTGCCCATGACCATGCCATGGCTGGGGCACGTTAATGAGGCATTCTCGCCAGTGCCGCGGGAGTTCTCGCCAAGTTCCCATGGGACTATGAATACGCTCAAACTTGCTCAAGGCCGTGTTGATATAATGTTCCCGAGTTCCTGCGTTCGAATGTGACATTGTTCTGTGCTGCGACGGCTACAGTGCGGATATCTTTGAGTTTCGACCGGTTTTCAAATCTCCAGTTGCCGTCGCCGTCAGTCGCCGCTCCACCGACACCATCGTGTWTATCCCCGTCCTTGCTTTCCCACAGGCAAGCCTTTGACTCCGTACTCCCGTGCGGACCATTCATGGCAAGCATCGCTTCGCTTCTTGGCTTTTCAGTCAGCTTGAGATGAYGCCTCCATTGTCATATTTTTGGCTGCGAAAGGCCTAGTGATTCTAACCATGCAGCTCTTCGTTACAGTCCGACCTGACTCCTGGACTGCAGATGACGACGACGAAGAAGCATCATTTCATCATTCGAAGTTCCAGCGCAATCCGCTCCATGCTATCTTACTTTCAAACATCCGGGAAGGTCCTTCACAATCACGGATGACCTCACCATCGTAGTGATGCACAGGTGATGCTTGCCACCGTCCAGGAGCCACGCACGCCCAACCCTGGGGCCCTGGCTGCCAATTTGCTACGACTGGGGTGCTACTCCGCGCATGCCGACCTCACAACAACATGCCGGCTGCCGACGGTCACACATTCGCAGTTTTTCGTGCATCTGTCATACGAAACAAACTCTATCGGCTCCGGGTGACGATCGGTGGAGCAAGGTTCAAGCAGATGCATGCAAAACTGTTTCCATTCTGGTCACAGATCGACCTCATGGTCTAACCAGCTGGAGGCCTGTATGAGCGCCCCCTTACAGATTACCAGGTAGGTCCTTTGCCAATGAGGCAGTCTGGATCTTACTTGTACAGCGCATGTGCCCTCTCCTGGTTCACCACACCCTCTGCCCAAGTACTTTCCTTCYAGTCCTGATCTGAACATGAGAGCATTTGATCTTGTAGCTGCGCTCTGGCTGGCAGCTTCCCCAGTTCTTGCGACCAACACTCCACCAAGCTATGGAGGCACTCCGCCAAGCTATGGGGGCCCACAAGTTCACGATTCGAGCTTCACTCCCGACGCCGTTCTACGAATCACTGAGGAGAATGTAACGATAGCCTGCGAATCTCGGCTCTCTGTGCTTGTCAATGGAACTTCGCCCGGTCCACCTCTCAGGTTAAAGGCGGGCAAGACATCCTGGGTCCGAGTTTACAATGATATGGATGACAAGAATACCACCATGCACTGGCATGGCCTTTCAATGCGCATGGCGCCATTCTCGGACGGGTCCCCGGCGGCTGCCCAGTGGCCGATTCCAGCGAGACACTACTTTGACTACGAGATTCATCCTGCACGCGACGAGCATGGCACCTACTTCTATCACTCTCATGTTGGGTTCCAAGCCGCAACAGCTAGTGGTCCACTGATCATCGAAGACTCTGAAACACCGCCCTACGCGTACGATGAAGAGCGCATCATCTTCTTCTCTGATCATTTTTCACARACAGACGAGGTGATTGAGGCTGGATTGACTGCAACGCCGTTGAAATGGACGGGCGAGACGAAGGCTGTACTGGTCAACGGAGTAGGCGTAGCCATCAACGCCACGGCTGGAAGTGGCTCGTGCAATCTTCCTATCATCGATGTCGACCCTGGCAAGACATATCGCTTGCGCTTCATCGGAGCGACTGCGATCTCCATGGTTCAGTTTGGCATTACAGAACATTCCAACCTCACCATCATCGAAGCTGATGGATCATACACCAAGCCATACTCTGTAGAGTATATCCAAGCCTCATCTGGACAGCGCTTCGACGCCCTTCTCACAACCAAAACCAAGGAGGAACTCAACGGCAAGACCGACTACATCTTCCAACTCGAGACGAAGGAGAGACCGGCTGTGTACCACGGCTACGGTATCTTGCGGTACTCTGGCGGCGAGCCTCAAATCACCGCCGCGCCCACTGCGCCGGTCTTAACCCTTTCCAACCAGACGTACGCCTGGGCAGAATATGCCCTCGAGCCCTTGTACCCAAACAATTTCCCCAAGGCGTCTGAAGTTACTCGCCGCATCGTGATTGACAACCGACAACTTAAGACCGGTCCGACAGTTTGGCACATTAATGACCTAATGTGGAACGAGACCTCCAACCCTCTACCTGGTGACACGCCCTACCTGGTCAACATCTACGAGAACGGTCCTTCGGCAATCCCAAACTACACTGCAGCTATTGAGAATGAAGGCTGGGATCCAGTGACCCTCACTTGGCCCGCCAAGATTGGAGAAGTCATAGAGATCATCTGGCAGAACACTGGATCACTGGTTGACAACAATGGCGGCGTCGACTTCCACCCTTTCCATGCCCATGGTGGACATTATTACGACTGCGGAAGCGGAAATGGTACCTACGATCCAGTTGAGAATGAAAAGAGGTTGGCCAACTACAATCCTGTGTTGCGGGATACCACCAATCTCTATCGCTACGGTACCAAGACTACCGCAGGTGCCAATGCGGGTTGGAGAGCTTGGCGGTTGAGAGTTGAGTATGCTGGTGTCTGGATGATCCATTGTCATATCTTGCAGCATATGATCATGGGTATGCAGTCCGTGTGGGTGATGGGCGACTATGCGCAAATCACAGGGATCCCACTCGCTGATGCTGCGGGTTACCTGAACTGGGGAGGAAGTGCCAATGGTAATGACACCTATGATCCCACGGTTGTACATTATTTCGGGGACAGAGATGAGGACTAGTTCGAATGCGTTGTTTGGAGATACCCTACTTCTGTATGTTGTTATTGTTATTAGGTGGCATCAATCATAATCAATTCATCCCTTCGCGGAGAACTGCCGCGAGCTGATACATGTAGGTGCCTTGGTAATCTTTGTGGCGTTGCGTTAAAACATATTCATGGATACATCACCTGCACGTACGTGCATCCGATGCCCAGCAAGACGGCCTTTTCAATTGCATCATCAAGGCTTGGAGAAGAGATGCCTTCAGCTGTGCACATCGAAGCCGGGTGAAATCGAAGATTGCCGCATTGCCTTCTGCGTAGCAGCAGACAGAAATGTCGTAGTTTCTGCAAGGACGACAACACGACAACGACAGGATCAAGAACATATCAGCCAACGAGACAGTTGCCTCGTCGTAAGGCTGCTTCCTTTTATGCTTGTAGCTACCCGTCCGCGAGCGTTGTCGTCGATGCAATGTTGGGAAAGTCGGTGGAATCGAATCTCCCCGTTCCTTTGATTCAATGATCAGTGCGAGGCGGTATGTAATCGAATAGTGCTAATCGCAGACCTGATGCATAAGAGAAGCCATGTAAGGTAGTGACCATTTACAAGTTGTATTGCATACCTGGAGAGGTATTACACTAGTGCGATCAAAACTTACATCCTGATGGTTTGATTCTTAGGCCGGACTTTGCCCGAAGTTGCAGAGGAACTCCAAAGCTGACAGTCCGTTGTTCTTCCCGAACGTCGTGTGAAAGAATCGTGCAGGAGTGATGTGATGAGAGTGATGTTAGTTTGATGCTGGAATTTTAGGCCTTGAATACCTCGCTTTGAATTATGGTCAGACGGATGACTTTCCGTAATCCGGTTTTGGGCCGAAACCTGTCTTTTTGAAAAGTCGTAGGGCTGAAAGCGAGCCATAGCCGCCCTTGGTCGTTTTTCAAAATTCCCTTGAATTCCAGTAATTCAAGGTTCGTCTTATTCGGCCTTTGCAATAAGACAGTCAAATACCGACTTTTAAGTATTCAAGCTGTCTTATGCTAGCGCTGTTTGACTTATCGAAAAGAGGGATCGTCTTACTGATAATTCGCATCGAGGTATTCAAGGCCTTAGTACTTTTCGTTCCGCTAACGAAAACGGTGTAAAGTACATGTGGTAGCGCCGCGCTAGAATGAGACATCCACGCTAATGCAGGCTAAAGTCCGAAATCCGACTCTTCGAACTTTCTGCCGCTTGATTTTCGAACGAGGCAACACAACCAACCTTGCCCCACGCACAGCACCAACATGCCAAAGTCAGCGCGCAAACCCAGCAGTAATGGCAGCGGTGGAATTACCAAGCCTGATCCTTATGCTCGCAAGAACAAGAGCGCCGCCTCGCATAATGCAATCTTCAAGATGAACACAGATCTTGGCCAGCATATCCTCAAAAACCCGGGTGTCGCACAAGCGATCGTCGATAAAGCTGATGTCAAGCAATCCGACATTGTTCTCGAAATCGGACCTGGAACCGGCAACCTTACAACCAAGATCCTCGAAAAGGCGAAGAAGGTGATATGTGTGGAAATGGATCCTCGCATGGCGGCAGAAATCACAAAGCGCTTTCAGGGAACTCCACAGGGAAAGAGATTAGAATTGATATTGGGGGACGTGATCAAGATGCCCGAGTTGCCATACTTTGACGTCTGCATCAGCAATACACCATACCAGATTTCTTCACCTCTGACCTTCAAACTACTGGCGACGAGTCCGAGCCCGCGTAGCTGCGTGCTCATGTTTCAACGAGAGTTCGCCATGCGACTCTTTGCGAAGCCTGGAGATAAGCTGTACAGCAGATTGTCGGTCAATTGTCAGATGTGGGCCAAGGTGGACCATGTCATGAAGGTGGGCAAGAATAACTTTAATCCTCCACCACAGGTGGAGAGTAATGTTGTGAGGATATGTCCGAAGAACCCGAGGCCGAACATCAGCTATGACGAGTGGGATGGGTTGTTGCGAGTGTGCTTTGTGAGGAAGAACAGGGTGCTGAGACAAGCTTTTGTGGGGACCACAAGCGTTATGGCAATGCTGGAATCGAATTACAGGACATTCTGCGCGCAGAATGAGATTCCACTGGACGACGGGYCACTTGAGGGTGGGGATGAGGCAATGGATGTAGACGGAGGAGCCGAGGAGGTGGAAGAGGAGGAGGATTGGGCGGGCATTATGGAAGTGGACGATGACGAGGATGTGCCAGATTTTTTCAAGGAGGAGGCTGACAAGAAGGCGAAGAAGTTGGCTGGTAACCCTAGTCGTAAGAGGAAGGGCAAGGTTGCAGAGTTAGTACGGACGAAGGTTGTCAAGGTGCTGGACGATACTGAGCTTTCGGATAAGCGGTCGAGAATGTGCGATGAAGGCGACTTCCTCAAACTGCTCTACGCCTTCAACCAAGAGGGCATCCACTTTGCGTGATAGAGGACGACATGAATTTATGACAGATTAGCGAGGCGCTGGTAAAGGGATAAAAGTTTGCACGATACCCAATTCAGGAACTTTCTTATCTTACTCGTCTTGCTTCGATACTGATCATTTATCACGTCTAGCTGTATGAGAGAAGYACCCTTCGATCAGATGTCCTCCTCGACCCCTCTAACCAGCAAGCCCGTCTTGCCGAGCTCCTCCTTGACCTGCTTAACAGTCCACTCCCCTCTATGAAACATACCAGCACCCAATGCAGCATCGACATTCGTCTTCTCAAAGACCTCTTGGAAATGACCCGCATTTCCAGCTCCACTGCTCGCAATGACTGGGATCCTCACAGCAGCTTTGATACTTCTGATAAGCTCCAGATCAAACCCAGAATTCGTACCGTCCTTATCAATACAGTTCAGCAGAATCTCTCCAGCACCCATAGCTTCCACTGCTTGGACAAGTTGCACAGCATCAAGATCGCGCGTTTCACGGCCCCCTTTGATAGTCACCGCATACCAGCAGTACTCCTCTCCGTTGGGTCCTGGGGTTGAGGTTTTGACTGTGTTGTGGGTTGTATCTTCTGGAGATCGCACGTATGCGCGTTTAGGATCGACGGATACAACGACTGCTTGTGCTCCGTACGCTTCGCTGATTGTTTCAATGGCCGTCTTACCGGAGAGTTTCTTCCCGGCTGCGTAGTACTCTTCCGCGGCAGTCACCGCATCGCTGCCGATTGAGACTTTGTCTGCGCCGCTTTGGAAGTACAGTGTTGCGACTTCGAGTGCTGGCACTGTGCGTCCGGTTTCTGGATCGTGCGTATCTCTGATGCCACCTCCGATTGTAAGTGGTACGAAGACAGTCGCGGATGCTTGGCGGAGGACTTCCAGCATGGGGAGATCACGGAGAGGCGTTTCGCGGAAGGAGGTGATGTTCAAGAATGTCACTTCATCTGCGCCTTGGTYGTAGTATTGCTGAGCTTTCTGAACTGGCTTTCCAAGATTTCGTACGGCATTTGTGTCGGATTTCTCGCGGACGTCATATTGGTCTCCTTTGGTGACAACCAGATCTCCTTGATCGTTGGTGCGAACGTCTAGGCAGGCGATGATGCGGCGTGTAAGACCCTGGCTAGTAGAGGAAGATTTCTGACTCAGAGGCTGAGATCTCTCGCCCTCCAGAAAAGCTTTGAGTACTCGTAGACCAGCAGCACCACTTTTCTCGGGGTGGAATTGGCAGGCGAGGATGTTGTCTTTGGCAATGGCACCGACAAACTCCTCGTCTCCGTAGCGAGCCTTTGCAACAGTCCATCCGTCTGCTTCAAACTGGCCCTTGCGGTAAGGAACGGCGTACGAGTGGACGTAGTAATATTTGCTGTCAGGACGGAGACCGTATATGCTTTGATCGTCGGATTCGGTGTTGGCACTGTTCCAGCCAATGTGCGGGACACTTTTGTCGCTGTCCTTGAAGCGAGTGAGACGACCTGGAATCACCCCAAGACCGGGGGCCGCGCTGTTCTCGTCTGAGCCTTCGAACAGAGCCTGGAGGCCTACACATATTCCCATGAAAGGCTTGCCAGACTTGATATAGGCTTTGACAGGTTCAACATATCCTGCGTTGGCGAATTGAGTAAGGCAGTGGCCAAAGTGGCCTACACCAGGAAGAATGAGTTTCTGTTCGTTGTTTAGCTATCTATCAAACAGATTGTGATCGATAGACAGCAATGTTACCTCCGCCTTGGAGACGTCTTCTGGTGAGCGAATCCATTCCACTTGCCAGCCGAGCTTTTCAATTGCATTGACAAGAGAACGGATATTTCCCGCCGCATAGTCAAGCATATGAATAACAGGCATCCTGACGAATCCCTTCTCAATGCCTTGTGGTTTGAAGCGCGTCAATTTGATGAGTCGATCGCTTCAAAAATCCAGCCGGGCAAAGCCGCTTGGAATGATAAATTTCGCGAAGTCCCAAAGAAGGTTAGTCGATCTTCAACAACCTTGCGCTCGAACTTCATCTTTTCTTCCGCAAGTCTCTTCATCTTCTCTTCAACACCTGCACAATGGTGCGCAAACTCAAGCACGACGAGCATAAGCTCCTGCGGAAAGTTGACTTTGTCAACTATCCCACCGACGACCAGCATCGCTCCGCCGAAGTCATCCGAAAATATTCGGTCTCCAACGCCGCCGACTACAGCTCCTACAACCGTCTCGCAGGAAAGCTGCGCCATCTTGCCCATCGTCTCGCACTTCTTCCACCAGAGTCKACATTTCGACGAAAGCAGGAAGATGTACTGCTGGAGAAGCTGCACGACATGGGTCTGCTGGGCATTGGCGGCGGTGGAAAGGGCAAGCTGAGCGACGTCGAGAAGAAAATCACAGTCTCCGCCTTCTGCCGGCGGCGGCTTGGTGTTGTCATGACCCGTCTCCGCATGGCCGAGACAGTCTCTGCGGCGAACAAATTTGTCGAGCAAGGACACGTCAGAGTCGGGACGGAAGTTGTGACGGATCCCGCATTTTTGGTGACCAGGTATGTTGAATGCTCATAACCTCTCCGCCCCCCAGCCTGCACCTGCACCTACGACATAATGATGAGGAACAATTGGTCCGTGTTGATGAGGCAGCTTAAGACCCTGCTATACGATTATCACCAAACGCGTTTTGCGCACCACTGATTTGTCCCCAATCCGCATTATCACGTTCATCGAGCTCAATACCTCGCTTCGAAATGCTGACCGGTGAACAACAGGAACATGGAAGACTTCGTCACGTGGGTCGACTCCTCGAAGATCAAGCGCAACATCATGAAGTACCGTGACAAGCTGGATGACTTCGATCTGTTGTGATTGGACCGCGGCAACAGCATTGATGTTTGGCACAATGCTTCGATCCAATCCTTGCGTCTACTCGTCCTTGAAAGGTCTTGTAACTACGCAATTTTCCTGAGCATCCCGGTTCCAATAGGCCATGGCGAATCAAAGCTCGCGGAGTCACAGCGTGAGTGGCCATCTCAATCATATGGACTTCCGAGGTGCTTAGGCGCTGTCCAGTGTGAACTGTCAGCGGCGTCGCATACAGAAAGTCCGGAGTACATGGGCCAAGCATGTGCGGATTGCCAGGACTTTGCCGCAGCGTGTCACACCAGTCACGTGCAAAGCGCTCGCCCTTCCCTCACATCTGCAGGGTTTCTTCGACACCCCACTCCGAACTTCCTCTTCCTTCCTCACCTTGCCAACCTTACCCACGGGCACTCACATCTGTCGCCACAGCATTGTTGTCCTTGTTTGGTCTGGTCTGGAAGCTTGACGAAGCATACAAAGATCGTTCATTGCCCATTTGAACTTTTTGTACCCTTCCTCACTACCGCCATTGACCATTGCCATCATGTCATGGCTACCGGTCCACGTCGCTGATCAAACATCGAAGACTCGGCCCAGTGGAGGTAATACTGAAACCAGGTCTGATGTTGTTCTCAAGTACCAGCATAGCATTCCTCAGACCTTGCCGCCTCAGTATGGGGGGTCTCAATCCGAGCAGCCCCGCATTAGGTACCCATATGTTCGCGCGGGTGTTGATACCAACATGCCTCAATGGGATCATACCGACTTCAGCATGAGTGAACTGGAGGTAGGTTTGCCTCATACAAAGCCTCACACTCAGCAAAGATCTCACGGCACTGCACAGCACGCCCTTGCCGCAATGCTTCGAGACGCGGATAATTTTGAAGCAAGAGAGAAGCGACAGCATCATGTTCGCCGCGACTCAGGCTTCATGATGTCTGCCCCGGTCGAGCAGCCTTCGCCACCCAAGAAGAGCAGCACGAAAGGCGCAGTGGCACGTGCTGCCAAGCCACGATTGCAAAGTCTTGCGGCCACTCATCCTTCTCAATACAGCCAACCTCCCGCTCAGGCCACCGCAAGCACATCGCTCCAACCTCAGTCCGACAAAGCTCAGTCCGACAAAGCGTCGACAGAGCCGCTCGGCGAAGCTCGTCCGAACTCGAGTTCATCAATACTACCGTGGCAGATTCACTCTGATCCCAAGGAGTTGAACCCTCCCTCGCTGGCAAATCACGGCCAGACGGTTGGAATGCGTAATGCAGATATCAAAACTCCGAATGTTGTCAGCCCTGTCCGAATGACCACTCTGCCTTTCGGCACGATGATTGAAGTCGCTCACGATTATGACGCGAAGAATGACGAGGATTCTACAAAAAAGTGAGCATGCAAGCAGATCTTCTGGCGGTGGAGCGGGTTCTCGGATAGAATATGCATGAATTTTCGTTGTGGTGGACGAATTGAAAAGCGACTGGAGAAGAAAAAAAGCTAGACGACATTTCCAGACTGCAAGCCTTTTACTCTTCARTCTCATACCTTCCATCTCTATGATACTGTCTCACAGTTCTTTGCCACTCAGCATCGTCTCTGACGCCCTCGCCATCCACGCCTTCCCATTCTCGATCGCTCTTGACCTTCAGTCTTGTACGCCCCATACTACCTTTACCGCCATAGCCTTCAAAGTCCAAGGTCCACTCAAGAGGAAGCATTCCTTTGGGTGCACCATCAGGCGTGTCTTCTGCTTCGGAAGAAACCCAGCTGTAACCTGCTTTCAGAACTACGTAGGCTGTGAGTGTGAATGTACCCCAACCGAGGCGTGATATTTCGTAGGGTGCTCTTTGGCGAATCACTTTATTTGGGCGAAAGGTTGGGTGCTGATTGAGAGGTCAGCCAAGATTGTCCGTCTCGCGAAGGTAGATGGGGTGATGGAATTCTCGCATATCGCCGTTTCTTTGGTTTTGTCATTTTCAGAGGTATTGGGCCTCTGCTTCTCGACACGAATGGGAAATTTGGACATCGATGCCAGACCATCAGGTCGCCAATGCATTGCCACAAACTTACCAGCAGTATCTGTACCTCTTCGATGAAGTCTGTTCGGCTGGCCCGCACGAAAAAGTCCCATTCGTGTTGATTCGATCGGCCGTCTTCGTGGTCCTTTTCTGATCGCACGAGATTGTGTCGATTACCGATGTAGCTGGAGATGGGACACCCGATCAGCTTCGTTCCAACAAGCGGATTTCATACATGAGCAGAATCAGACTTACACGGTAATTGTCTGGATACCTCCCACGCCTTGACCATCGAGTTAGCAGATTTTCATCGCAAGCTCCCATGGTCTCCATCCGAAACCATATCTTGTAAGCCCTCGACCCATGAGCACGCCACACTTACCCTCACCATCTTCTTCCGTTTCCTGCTTCAACTCTGCCCATGTCTTGGGATAAGTGGATTCCAGTCTCCGTGCCATTTCAGGATTGAAGTTCGCGGTTGTCTGAGTTCGACACATCGGACACTTGGCTTCCAGGCCTGATACTGGATCGAAAGCAACGGGCTCTTCGTCCACGTCTACTATGGTCATGTGCTGAGCCACAGAGACGTCTGCCCAATGTGCCATACAGGCTACAAGATAAACAGTGTCAAGTCAGAATCGTATTTTAATTTCATAGACATTGCTGATTGTTGTAACACTCTGCTCTTGACGGTACTGACCTTCGCACATTGTGTGATTGCATTGGGTTGTAACCGGCCTGTATAAAAGTAAAGAGCAAATTGGACAGACGTCATCTTCAAGTATGTCTTCCTGATTGTCATCATCTCTCGTTCMTACAGGTGCCACTGAAGATGGGCCTGCCATTGCCTGTGGCTTGCGTCTTTGGTTTGGACGTCTCGGTGAGCCAGCGGTCGGGCCCAGATGTTGAAGGCGTCTTGACCTTCGTGGCTGAGAATCGGGTTCCATGACTGTATCCTTGGAAACAAACGTACTGTCGAAGAAGTCTCAAGAAATTCGCACATCRATTGATGTTTATGTCTTAGTTTAGGCAGCCATCTCACCTAGGGTTGTGCTGTGAAATAGGCGCTTAATAGATTTTCCGGGCATGTACCTTATTTATATAGACGGACCAGAATTTTTCCATCATATCCGCGTAGCACTCAGATCCATCGTCATACCGTCATCCGTATGTATAGTAGTCTACCACAACGACCAATTCAATGTAGCCTTATTTCGCAACGCCTCCATTGCCCTCTCCAATCTCATGAACAGTCCTTGGAGTCTCTCCCTCGAGCTCTAGCGGTCTCAACACCTCCTCCGGAGCTGAAGGTACTCTGTGGTGCGAAGAGCTCTTGTTTTCGTTCAGGAATGATCCCAGTCTCCGCTCCTCGTGCTCTGAAGGAGACTGGTCGTGCGATCGATAACCTGCATCATGATACTGATCCATGGTCCCGTTCTGTGGATAGGGCGTCCACGGCATGCCCACCGCGGGCGGGTATCCCGCTGCGTGCTGCATATATGTACCCTGCGGATATTGTGGCAGAGGTGGATGATTTTTAATGGCGGCGGCATTGGGTTCYCCCGTGCGCTTACGCAGCAGCCAGACTGCAATTGCTACAGCTGCGAGGAAGAGCACACCGCCCCCAACGCCCGCGCCGATGCCTGCTTTTGCTCCTGTGGATAGGCCATGTGAGTGTTTAACGGTATCGCTTGCCAGCGAGGGGCTTGTAGTGGTCGCTGTCGATTTACTGGCTGTGTAGCTTGCCGCAGATGCATACGTTGATGGGCCTGGCTTGGCTTGTTTATCGATCCAGACAGAAGAGGTGGGCGGATCGCGGTATGTGGTCAGTTGCGTGAAGTGAGCAGGCGTGTCTGATATAGTCAGCACCGCTCTGTCTACTCGCGAATGCGATCTCAACACGTACACCCAGGAACAGCGGTTTCGATCCACGTGCTGGTCCCACTTGTTACAGTTGGTGAATAGTATCCGGTACTTCCTCCTACCGATGAAGGCAGACTAACGTACGGCGCCAGCTGCTTTGGGGCGTATATCGCGACCAGTGCATCGCTGCCCATGTCCTTGCATCCTCTCGGCGCAAGGACTAGAAGCGACTGGGTCGAATTCCACTCACAGCCGCAGCTTTCTGGTCCATGGCAGATCCATGTATTCGAGAGATCCTGCACATCATTGCAGTATTCCATTGCTKCCCACGGCGATTTCGCTAGAAGTTTTCAGCCAGAATTCCCCCAAAGATGCCGGATCACCTACCAGGATCGAAGCCGCATTTGTATGGGCAGGTCTCGTCTTTATAGTCAATATCGGTGCATCCATATTGATAGACATTTCCGGTCTCGAAGTTGTAGCATGCGTTTCCAGAAAGACATGTATCGCCTCGAAGACAGCACGCTGATGATCCGGTGCTATTGCAAGGCACTAGATCTGAAGAACCACGATTTTGGGCGCCAGGACCATAGTAACACTGTTGTTGCGCCAGCACCGCTGCGGCCATGAAGATGAGCACCCGTGCCGCCATGCCTGTGTGTCTCAAGGTTCCGTCGATCATCGCTGCCATTGAGCTGGTACGCTCCCAGGAGGACCAGATAAGAGCGTTGAGGTGTATGAGAAAGGTAAGGTACGGGCATGACAGAGTTGAGAGAGTTGCGTGCAGTCAGCTTACTGTCGCATATGCAGGCTCGTAAACCGCATATAGAAACATGCGGGCGGCCAACCTGAAGTCAGCCAACGGAAGTACAGAAAGCTGAGGCTCGCTGCCGTGAAACGCAATACCTCCGACACGTCGATATCGATGCACGATGAGCAAAGTCTGGGTAAGATACTGCCACTTTGTCACCGCAGCTGAACGCACAAACTTCTAGTCTATGCGAGGTCTTGAAGTTGCCGAAGTGTCCAAGGGAACGCTGATTATCATGGAGCATGGCGGATTGCGACAGCACAATGTGGCCTCGGGGAAATGGCAAGTGAAGCTTCGCAGTGCTCTAGCTTTCTCGCCGTCGAAAAAGGATGTCGATTATCTGTCGCTAGGCTCGGAGCCGTCACCAGAGCCCGTGGCGAGGCGCTGCGAGGACGCTGCYGGCTACCAGAAATTCGGCTTCTCTATCGAGCACAACCAGTGTCAGTCTCATCAATCGCTTTCGGCGCCGTCTTCTTCATCTTCTCCGCTCTCAGCCTTGGCTTTCTTGCCCTTCCCCTTCCCGCCCTTGGAGGTAGTCTTCTTTTGCGCCTTCTCCTTCTTCCGCTCGTGTTGTTCCGCGAGTCGATTTCGTTCAGCTTCACCCTGTTTTTGTAGTCGAGCGTCCAAGGCTCTAAACTCATCACTGTCGGCATCCATTCCTACAAAGCTCTCCAACATTTTGATCTCCCTCACCCAAATGCCTTTATCTTCCTTGTCTTTCTTCTTCTCGTCTTTCACGACATTGCCATCGTCGTCCCGCACTTCCGTCGGCGTCTCTAGGATAAGTGGCAGTCCTTCGAATCGCTCATCATTGACCAACGTATGGAAAGCCCGGATGCCGAGAAAGCCCGTTCCAATGTTAGCATGCAAATCTCTGTATGAGGCAAATGGGGCCTTGCTGTCGTTGATGTGCAAAGCGCGGAGATACTTGAAACCAACAATATTTTCGAAGCCGTCGAAGGTCTCTTTGAAGGCAGCGGGTGTACGAAGGTCGTAACCGCCAGCAAAAGCGTGGCACGTATCGATGCACACGCCAATACGATCCTTGTTGTCAACAAGAGCGATGATGTCGCGAAGATCTTCAAAGGTKCTTCCCAGAACGTTGCCACCCGCTGCCATATTCTCCAGTAAAGTTATGACACTGCTGGTCTCTCCATGCGCCTTATTGATGTTCTTTGCCAGATGTGCGATCGCCTCTCCGCGATTATTCGAGACAGTGTTGCCCGGATGGATGTTGTACAGCTGTATTCCGAGCCTCTCACATCTCTTCAGGTCGTCTAGATAGGATGTATACGCCTGGTCCGTTCTTGCCGTGTCTGTGTGCGCGAGATTGACCAGGTATGAGCCATGCGGGACTGTGTGTTTTGCCTGTTCATAGGAGTGTGTCTTGCAGTTGTCGTGGAAAGAGGTGCATTGGTCGTCCGATAGTGGTGGATTGGCCCATTTCCGCTGGGATTTGAGGAACAGGGCGAATGCATTTGCGCCAATGTGGACGCTGTTGGTGATCGAATTCTGCACGCCACCAGCGCTGCTAACATGAGCACCGATGAAGAGCTTGTGGCCGAGAGTGCGTGCTGCGAGAGGCATTGCTTCTGCTTCCTTCTCCTCCTTAGTCTTCCGTTTCCGAGACACTTTGTTCTCCTCGCCAACGTCCTCCTCCTCGCCGTTCTCCTTTTTACCGGCCTTCTTTGCTGGCTTTCGCTTCGGCTTGGGTGYGCCTTCAGAGGCTTCTTCCTCCTCTTCCACGTTGCTGGTCACCTCTGCTTTGACCTTGCGTTTCTTGCTTCCGTTGGCATTTGGGACTTGCTTTTTGCCGTTTAACTGCTTTCCGGAGGCAGGCAACAGTTCAGATTCTTCCTGCTGACCTTCTTCCTGGACGATCTCTGCGACCTTGCGCTTGGCCATGATCAGGTTGATGAAAGGGCGTGAGTCGAGTCGAGATGACGCGTAGAGTGCTCGTCGACGCGACCGGCGGATGACATGCTCGTATCGGCTCGTATGTAGATCTTCAAATGAGCAGCCAAAAAGAACACTTCACAACTTCAACTTCACATCTTCAACTTCACATCTCCCAGATGATGACCGCGCAGAGTGGGACGGACTCGCTTGGAATTTACAGTGCGGCCTCCGTGGATTCCATCCGAGCTTCATTACAGGAACTTTCAACACGTGAATCATCCATAACCTCCCGCCTGGACACTCTCCTAGCTTCCCAAAAAGACCTCTCACACCAACTCTCCCGCTTGGATCTCGCTCGTGCCTCATTGGGATCCTCAGTTACTGCAACACGTAACATCAGCCATGTAACATTATCTTCTGCCTCAAAGACTGCTACCCGCATATCTCGAGCAGTAAAGGCATTGGACCAAGAACAGAAGAATGTCAAGGCCACACTAGAGGTCGTCGAGCAAGTGGCTGAACTGAAGTCATGCGTACTTGGAGTACATGGATCTATGGGCGCTCCTCAAGACTGGGAAACGGCCGCCAGCTACCTGCACCGTGCCAGCCAGATCCCGGATGAAGTGATTGACGGGGACTTCGCCCAGGAGATAGTGCCAACCGCTGAAGTTCCCGATCGGCCACGTGAGACTATTGAAGCTGCAGCCGAGTCGCTCTGTGGATTGTTCTTGAGGGAGTTCGAGAAAGCTGCGCGAGAGGGAGATGGGGCGAGGGTGACGCGCTTCTTCAAACTCTTCCCATTGATCGGGCGGAGCTCTGTGGGGTTGGAAGCATATGGGCGCTATGTTTGCGGTGGTATTGCCAGTCGAGCGAGAGCAAACATGAATACAACAGGTCAGAGGCGAGAGGGCATGYTCTACGCCAATGCCTTGACGAAGCTGTTCGAGCACATCGCACAGATAGTGGATGGACACGAGCCACTAGTAGAGCGTCATTACGGACCTGGATCCATGGTGAAAGTAATTGAGAGAATACAAGCCGAASCTGACTCTCAGGGTGGATTAATTCTCGACACGTGGGCTGAGGAAAGGAGAGTAAGCAGAAAGTTGACGGATGTCAAAAGCTATCCATTCAACTTCCTGGTATCGAGCTTCCTACCCACCAGCACTAACGCGAAGACTGGCGCAACAAGAAGCAGTTCTCCCGGGTCTGGACGTCCAAGCGAGGACGAGGGTGTTGATATGAAGGAGGTGGATGCGCTTCTCAGCGAGAGTGCTGTTATGCTTGGTCGCTGGTCTCTCTACACCCGTTTCCTGGCGAGCAAGACTGTGCCACTTTCCGATGATGAGAATGCTGCTTTGCATCTACCCGCTTTCATACTGCATAGCACGCTGCAAAAGCGTGTGAATGACCTCCTCATTGAACCATTCAATCTCATGACTACGTTCTTCTTCCGCCGAAGCGTGGAGAAGTCGTTCCAACAGGACGAATCTCCTGCCTCCGAGCTTACTCTGTCGGCAAACAAACCGCTCAACGCCAATCCGCCTTTCATCACGAGTGCGGTCGACGATGTGATGTACATTGTGAATCAAGTTCTACAGCGCACTCTGTCCACCTCACAAAGGCCTATTGTCTCTAACGTTCTGCCCTCTCTAGGCAGGGTGCTGGGAAGCGACTTCTTTGGCATGATTCAGCGCAAAATGAGAGACGAGTCGTACCCAAAAGCTGCCATCCAAGGAGCATTGCCCCCGGAAGGACTCATCATCTCCTTCCTGGTTCTGATCAACAATCTTGATGTGGCGACGGACTATGTGCGTCGCATCGTCAACACCTGTCTCGGAGAGCCTACGAGCTCACCAAATGCTACGCAACAGCTTTCTGGAGTAGGAGACGGGGTCCTGGCTGATACCTTTCCCTTTGGAAACGAATCTCAAATGGTTGCCAAATCGTTGCGGACTCTGGATAGCGCATTCTCGACCAAGACGCGCGAGTTGATCAATGAGGCGCTAGAGGTGCTTCAGAAGCAGGTCATGCGCCCGCGACTACGTCCTGTGCTAGTTGAGACCTTCCGAGATGTAAGCTACGATATCTCCGCAGAAGACACCAGCGTCAGTCAAGACGGCGATGATGCAGAGGGTGTAGCGGAGCTAGTCACAAGAAGATTCGAACGCGGATGGAATGCCTTCACGCTGCCGTTGAAGCGAATCATGACGCCTTCTGTCTACGAGAAGTTGCTTGCTGGGCTCATCACATATCTCGCGGACCGCCTGGAGAAGAGGATTTACTCGCTGTACGGCCGAGTGACGGAATTGGGTGCGATCCGACTTGAGCGCGATATTGCGGGCATTGTTGCTGCAGCAGTCAAGGGGGGCAAGTACGATCTCAGAGACAGTTTTGCACGATGTGTACAGATGACGCTGGTGATGAATATGKAAGATGACGAATGGGAAGAAGTAGTGAAACTCGGGGAGGTCGGTGACGAGGCTTTGGAGAGAGAGACTGGAGTGAAGTGGAAGCTGGACGGCGAGGAACGAAGGAGGGTAAGAGGCATTGTCAAGGAAAGAGGATGATCATCTGTGATCTATGTTGCAGACACGCCGCAGCCGACGCTCCGCATTCTTCTGGTCCATACGATGTCTGCATGTGGAGACTCCCCTGAGAACGACATTGCGCTTTTTAAAGAAGCGTTCACGATTCAGGAAGTCCGTACGGAGTTGGTTCATCGTGTAACCAAGAATGTTGAAGCTAATCCGAAGCTACCTCGGAGGCCTAAGGTAGCTCCAGCTCCAGCTACTGTTGGCGAACCCCACACGTGCAGAAGATCCTCTTGGCAAAGGATATATGGTGTGCATGAATCTAAGCTGAGCTTCGGCTTGCGTCCCTGATCGAAGGGATGCTTCGGTATTCTGTCCTGAACCTGAAATCACGCAACGTTTCATGATGTTATTACCTTCTCTCCTTCTGGCTTGCAAGCAACGAAAGTCGAACTTCCCGGTGATCTGCACGGAAATCGGCAAGATCTTCTGGGAAAATGCAAAGTGTGAGGGGCTTCATACTTTCAAGACTAGAATCCACCACCGAGGCCCTCGCGCGTTTGACGCGAAAAGGGTACGGTTTTGTTGATTTCGCACTCTGAAGACGGCACTCTTTGCTCCAAACAGCATGCAAAGATCAGCTGCAAGACAGTTGCGAGGGCTGCTTTTCACGCAACCACAATATTGATGATCCAAATTCACAGCTCGCGAAAAACCACTCGGAATTTGCACGTGGGTCCATAGTAGGACGCCCGACACCTGCCTAGATATGCAGTTCTATTGCAGATCATTTATGGCGGCTATCGTGCCAGTCAATGGTCCACCTGCGTGCACCCTGATCGGTGAGTCTAAAGAGACAAAATTTGGCGTCACAGTGCCGCTATAAGGGCATGGTTCTCCAACAGAATTTTAGCATGTAGAGTGTCTCCAACTCCAGAGTCCTGTTTCCCGTTCTCTGGGACTTCAAGATGAGGACCACAGCTATAACTATGGTGCTCGCAGGTGCGTTGGGCGCAATCAACGCAGCWCCTATCGAGGCCCTGATTGCAAGAGATCTCATTGGAGCCCTACCTGCATCTGCCGACTCGGATGAACAACGTTTCCAGCCTCTAACGGACTTCGATACGGATGGTTGCTACTACACTTCTGCCATCGACTCGAGTGGTAGGACCAACCCAGGCTTGCCTGTGCAGTCGGGAACCCCAGTCGCAGGCGAGTGCAGGGAGGCCAGCCGTTTGCAAAATAACAATGTCTACAGTCGCAAGCGATGCAATAATGTGAGTGAATACATCGACTGAATCTCATTGGCGAGACCATTTCTGATTGATGTGGCTGTAGGGCTGGTGTGCCATCATGTACGAGTACTACTTCGAAAGGGATGTGACTGGCTTTGAGTTTGCGGGATCCGTAACCAGTGGTCATAGACATGACTGGGAAAACATCGTCATCTTCACGCAGAATAATGTCGTCAAGCGAATTGCTCCTTCATGTCATGGTAAATATGAGCAAGCCATGAACACCCCCGGACCACTTGTGGGTGGAGACCGAGCCAAACTTGTGTTCAACAAGGACGGCCCTGCGACTCACTGCTGGAGATTCGCCAATGGAGACGACGATGCGAGACAGGAGAATTATACTGGAAGGTGGTTTCTGGGCAATCTTGTGGGGTATAATAACTGGCCTAGTCTGGATCTGAGGCAGAAATTGTGAGTGTAATTTTGCCAGGTGATTGAAAGATGCTGGGACTGATTACGTGACTCTTTCCAGATTCGATGCTTTCCATGGAGGTATCGCTCCGAAGCTGTGGGACTTCAATGATGCTTTTACAAATAACTTGAGGAGCGCTTCGAATGGGCAGACTGGAGGCTTTGATCCTTCGAGAGATGGGTGAGCTTTTGATATGTAGCAGAAAAAAAAAACCTCATCCAGCAAAATCTTTCAGGTTCGGACGTTCACGCCAGGTACGAGTCTGACATACGCACCCGCAGATTAATGTCCTCGTTCGCCGTACGTGAGGCTTTTGTCGTGAATTGGGCATACTATCAATCAGCAAAGTCCGGATAACCAGCTCTGGATGAGGACAAGGCGCATCTTGCTGTTGTTCGAGGGTTTTCTTCCGTTGTCACTAACGTAAGAAAGGAAACCCTTGCGGAATAAGGCGACCTTCGAAAATCGCGCACAGCGAAGTTGGAAAAAGATCTGAAAAGGCCGGGAGATACGAAAAGGAGCCGAGTGACGAGACAATCAAGGTTGAAGGTAGCCTCATGGTGAGTCGATGCCCGTGCTCGCAGACAGGTACAGATACAATGTCGCTGTAAGGAGGATGGGATGGTTGATGCATGGCGAACGAGCTCATGCAATCCCACACCTTTTCGTTTTACATAATCACGGGCATGCAGCCAACTATCGCGTCGTCGTCGCGACACGCTCCCGTGCCCTCTAACAATCTGATGCTCTTGAGGTCGACTACGTGCCTGCGGACGTGGCGTCAACTTCCTTGAACCGCTGGACTTATGGGAAATGCGGCGATACGCGCGCTTTTCAACGATGCTTCCAACCGGCACGAACCTATTACATGGCACAAAAACAATGCTGCGTCCACGAGAACACATCTCGCWGCCAAATTGCGAGACTTGAGTGGCTACGACAAGGCAGTTGTGGTGATAATCCTTGGAGATAACGGCTGGCGTGCTTCGACGGGCATTCCCTTTCCCTTCCTACGAGATCGCGTTGAACGTGTTACGGCCTCCGTACGTCTCGTGGGTGCATGTCTTTTTGCCCGATTACGAGCGATGCAACGGCTACCGCGGACCGAACGAGGGCACCCGTACTAACACCAAGACGAGAAGATCGCGACCGAAGTCTTGAAGCTCGTTTGGTCAAATGAAAGTCTCTGGCTGCCTCTGGTATTGTATGACTGGCGAACCACAATGGCAGCACAGAGGAATTCTGTTGCATTATGAGCGAATTTGGTGGCTATTTCGATGCAGCGAAGAGTACAGATCCGTCTCAATCGGGTCACAGTGGTCTCGGGGCCAACACAATGGAAGGGCGGAGTGCTCATACCTCGAGTCCACATGTGACGGCTCTGCGAGGAATCGAGCCAATTCTTCGTCTAAACGTGGATGCAAGCGATTCAGCCAAGGTTCCTCGCGGTTCGGTTGGGTCTTGTGCTAGCCCTTCTCTGAACAAAGCCTTCCCGTTCAATCCCCTCTCCTTGGGCTATTTGCTGGTCTAAAACTTCGCACTCAAACTCTGCATGTATGCAGAGCCGGTGATCACCAACCACCTGCTAGCCACWCTATGAAGGAAGCCTCCAATCCATCGCTCGAGCGGCAGCACAACACCGCTGTCTTTCTTGGTCCACTGAATCGTCTCCGTCACCATCGCCGCACCTTCGTTTCGCGGTCGAATACTGATGATCATCAAGCCGGACAATGCCCCAAGGGCTTTTGGGAACTCAATCTCGATTTCAACATGCAGTGCCGTCCGCTTTACAACATTGTAGATCCCGCAAACGACGTCGCCCTCCTGGAAGTTTGAATTCTGGATGTGTTCTTTCGAGAATGTCTGTCTTTGATCTGGTGTGTTCAACGCAAACCAAAGGAGCCAGCCTTGGGGCATGCGTGAGAAGGCGGTCATGTTTCGGCGGAGCAGCTTAGTGAATTGCTCCTCGAGTTCATCTCCCATAACAACGACGAGGTCCGGAACGTGCTTGACCACCTTATCATGGGCAACGCGGTATCTGTGAGAGTTCTCTACAACGTCTTTGGGCAAAGATGCAATTTCAGCACACTCAAGTCTGCGAGAATGTCAGCGATGCCTCCTCTAAAGAGCGGACTTGAACGAACGCTGCCAATCTCGAGGATGCATTAGGACGCGTGTGGGAGATCTGTCGTCCTAGAAACGAGTGGTATAGAAGCGGCAAAAGCACAACGCCGGCCACACTGGCGACACCGCCAGAAAGGAATATACGCGATTGACGGTCCTCGGGAAGCTTGGCCAGGATATAGCTCTGAGCCCGCTCGAGCTGTTGCTGGATCTGCTCCATCGTCGAGGCCATTGCGGAGACTGTTACTCTGCAACAATGTTTTTCTAACAGCAAAAAAAAGAGTGATGTACGCTACATCTTTATGATGATAATAGCTCGGGAGGATACGGGCGTGAACGCCTGTTCCTTTAACCGAGGCCCCACTTCGGTTCAGCACGTGCGGCGATTTATCCGCGTTTCTTTCCTGGCGAGGTCAGCTGCCGGATATGGTTAGAGGTGAGCGGTTTCTTTGCGATTGCGATTTGGGAAAGGCATGGGACTGGTCTTTGTCAACGGGAACTCCACCAAAATTCGAATTTTTAACCATCAGCGCGAATACCACTTCAAAATAGACGGCGGCGGGAAGATCTGCGATATTCAGCTCAAATTCATGGATGGGCTGCCTCAAGAAGCAGCAACCTAGGTCGTGAAAGTTATCCTTCAACAATCCTGAGGCGACCTCCATCCCGAGTGCAGATCTTTGGTGTCGACATCTCTATCAGCATCGAGCATGCGCCATGGACGACGAAGTACTAGCCCAGCAGAGGAGTGCGGTCGTCTTCAGCGCCGGTGCCCAATACGCTTCTCACGTTGAAGGAGGAGCCTGCCAGTAAGACAGCGCTTCAGAACGCACATACAGCATAGTTGATGATTGGCATGCTTACGATGTATGCAACACCAATTGAAATTCGGTCATCCCCATCGAATTTCATCCTAAAATTCCAGCGAGCCGCGAGAGCTGCCATCAACGGGACTCGACAGCACAACGATATCAAGTTAGGAGCCCCCGGTTGCGCATTCTGCGCTGTGTGAGCTTAAAAAATGCCCACGCTCGAGTTGCTAGCTCGAAAACGAACGATCTGGGGGCGTAGCTGGTGATGATGGCGAGTAAGGGGACGTTACGACCATCTGTCAGTCTCCGGAAACCGCGCACGGAGCTCTTCTGTAATCACCCACATGTTGATCACCACGTGAATGACAGAATTGCAAAAATCGCTTCGCAAGTTCGTCATGCTGAACRTCTCGATGAGCGAACTTGATTGGCGGTGATATGGCGAGTTTCAGTAAGTACACAGAAGGTTAGGAGATGAGGTCAAAGTGAAGGCGAGATGTCGCGGTGTCTGCTTGGTGGGTATCGGAAAGCATGGATCACTCCCTGCTAACAAGGATCTCGCTCTTTCCGGATTAGGCAAGTAGACCTCAAGTGAAACCACAATTACTTCTTGGCGGTCCCAAGAACGCAGAGAGAATCAAGATACACCTTGAGGGCAATAGGCAAGAAACACGCGTTCATGAAGCAAGCGAACTGACCGCGGTAACACAAAATGCGGAGGCCTTGGACCGGCATGATTTGATCTCTTGAGATATTGGGAGCCCGCCACTACGCATCTCAAGTAGCCTATTCTGTGACTGCCGCGTGGAATCTTTACTTTGGGCTCTCAACTGGCGTGCTAGAATGCTTAAAGGCGAGAGAAGCAAACATTAATCATCGTTATTTCGCATCGTTACATCGTGAGAGCATCTACCTACTAAACGCCTCCAGGGTATTTCCTTATTCAAACCTCACATTCCGTAACCCTCTGACCATCGCTGCACCGCTGACCGCCTCCCTCAACGTCCCCACAGCCTCTAGCCATTCCTCTCCACCATCGCCTTCTCCGACAACCCACCTCAACCATCCCACAACCTTCACCGCCTTCTCCAAATCCCTCTCTTCTGTAACTACGGCTTTAAGATACGTTGCTAGACTTCCCACATCTTCCTCATGAGGCCCTTCCTCCTCAAACTCCTTGAACCACGCACTGACAGCACGTCTCAAGTCTCCTAACTCCTTTAATCCGCCACTGGTGAATACAGGTTGCTTCGCGCGAGGCGGTAGGCGCACAACGTGTCTCTCCAAGGTCGCAGTCGCGGCCGCAGTCGCAGCAGCCCTGGCTTTGGCTCCGCGCTGCTGGAACAGACTCGTATCAATTCCACCAGTCCGCTGTAAACGCACCTGACGCTGTTGCGCGAGGACCTCCGCTCTCAGATCTTCCGGCAGGGCAGCCAGGACTTCTGGATCAAGAATCTCGTCTTCGTCCGCAGCTGCGGATGCTGCTGATCGCGTGGGCCGAGCAACGAAGTTCGATTGCGTAAGAGTCGATGAGCTTTCCCTTGATACGCGGCTGACATTCAGCGAGCCACGCGGGCGGCCTCGACCTCTTTTCGCGACTGGACGAGGTGGTGGTGGGAGTGTACGGGCTTTGCGGGGCGATTGTGGAAGTAGTGCTTGTTCCGGTCGTTTCTGAGGAGACTTCGTAGGAACCATCTTGTAGTGCTGGAGTAGTTCGTTTCGGACGTCTTCGGGCAGCGCCGAGAGGATGGTCGGGTCGATCTGTGAGTGCGTTGGAAGGAACGTGGCGGGCAATTGTGGTCGTGCGGCAGAATCTGCCATCTCTTTTGCATTTTGAGGATCAGATTTCGAGGGCCTGGTAAGTCTGGCTCGAATGTCTGGAGGCAACTCTGAGAGAACAGCCGGATCGACCTGTGTGGGAATGATGAATTGCGATTCAGTAAAAGCCGACGCTGCATTCGGCACTTTAGGTGTTGTGACGGCGTTGTTGAACAGTGATCTTTTGCTTTTTGATGCAGAATGCGCAAATCTCGCTCTGATATCCATGGGAAGCTCTGCTAGCACCGCGGGATCTACTTGCGTAGGCATGACAAATTGCGTGCCCATTGTGTTGAGAGGCCTCTTCGAAGGCGTGCTAGGCGGTTCAATAGGCTTGAATGCAGCGCTGGGACGATTCGCAGTAGGGATACGAGCCTTCTCTGGGGTCCTTATGTCATCCTGGATCGCATCATCTTCTGTCGCCTTAGCAGGCCCCGGACCAGAATTGAACTGCAATCTTCGCTGGCTGCCATTATCACCTCCGGCAGCACCAAGCTTGGTAGGCTCAAGTTTTTGCATCTGCACTCCAATCCCTCTCAGCTCGCCGGGTGAGATTGCGAAGCTCTTAAGCATGGCAATCGCCTCTTTCGCCAAGACAGTTGAATCGTTTGTGGCGACGCCCATGGCTTTACTCTTGTTGAACACATCGCACTTTCCATGTCCAAGATGCTTGGGAGGATCTAACGGAGCATCCTTTGCCCTCCTCATGACTTTCACCGTCACCAGACTTCCCTTGACTCCCTCTTTCACAAGCCTACGATTCAGCTCCCCACAAAGACCATGCATGAATTCATCCACTTGCTGATGAGTTTCGAAGCGTACACCCCAGTTGACCTCTGCGGACACAGACTTTCTAACGACGCTGTCGCCAACTTCCGTCTTGTCGATTCCTCGAGCATAGTCGTAGAACTTGGCGCCCTGTTTCGGACCCAGAGTTCTACACAGGACTTCTTTGCTTATAGCCCGCAAATCTTTGATGATCTTGACGCCAATTGCCTCAAACTTGGCTCCAGTGCTTCCCGCCACACCAGGCAGTCGCTGCACTTCTAGATCTCCAATGAAGTCGAGGACATCATCGGGTTTGAGCTGGAACTGCCCGGCTGGTTTTGCTTTTCTTAGTGCTAGCTTCGCAAGCAGGATATTCCCTCCGATTCCAACACTCACTGCACAGCCTGTCTTCTCCAAAACCTCTGCCCYGACTCGATTACCCAGCTCATCAGCTTTGCGCTCTCCTTCTTCTCCATCGCACAATGCCGAGACGTCGACTAGCGCCTCGTCGATGCTGACACTCTGCACGACACCTCCTAGCTCGAGTATCGCCGCATAAAATGCTCGACTCGCATCCTCGTACGCGGGGAAGTCATACGGCAGCACTTTCAGATCTGGGCACATTTCCTGCGCTCTCTTCATCCACATTCCATTCTTTACTCCATGATCGCGAGCAGGGTAGTTGCACGAAGCAATCTCAGACCCAGACCCGCCACCGTGAGCTACCGCAGCTGGTAGAGCTTTCCATTCTGGGGGGCATTTCTTCAGGCTAATGGCTGCAAAGAAGGAATCAAAATCTACATGCATGACATATCTCCGGCCATCTGCTTTGCGCCTGACGCTGGCTTTCTGCGAGGAAGACGCCTGCGCAGCGAGCGCTTGGAGCTGAGATTTGAGATCTGCTTTCCAGGTCGAGAGGTGGTGGAGACGAGATTCGCGGTAGTATTGTTCAAGGAATGCGGGGTTCACGACTGTCGAAGCACGGATCTTCGGATCAGAAAGGAGAAGAGCGTTGTGTTGTTCTGCTGTCATTGCAGCGAGTTCGGCTTGTGGAATTGAGTTTAAAATGGCGGAGTCTCGAATCAAAGAATGCGTATAAGAAGGTTCTTGAGAGCCTTGGCGCGGGAGCAGAGCCGATTCTTGATGAAGTTTTGACGCTTGATATGCTTCGGGGTTGGGATAAGAGGCTTGATGTTTGGTGCCCTCGTTCTCGACTCCCTCTGGCACCTCCGAGCCCTTAACCGGTTCAGGTATTTTTGGCGGGCTTGTTGGCGGAGAAGTGGGTATCGCATCATCGCTTCTTTGATCAGAATGACTTCTCTCAGCCTCTCTCAGAGCCTCCTCGACGGAGCTTGTTATCTCCGGCAACCCAAATTCGTCCTCATCATCTATCTCCTCGGCGGGTGGCGCAGCTGTAGGCTGCGTCGACTTGAATGCAGCTTTTCCTTTCCCTTCAACGGCTGTGGCTTTCAGCTGGCTAGTGTACCAACTTGCGTCCGTCTGCTCTCGATATCCTTGCGTCCGTCGATTGGCCTGACTGACCACCTGGCCATTGTCAAAGCCCAACACCTTCTGCGTAACTCCCTCATCCAGCACACGATATTCGTTCCAAGGAAGAAGCTTGCCAGCTTTGACGCTCTCGACAACCCAGGCAGGCTTCACAATTCGATACCGTCTAAACTCTTCCTTCTTCTTGGGCGTCAAATTGCTTGCGATGATGTGTGTGACCATAGTCTTGCCGTCCAGGTATTGAAGGAAGCCGCCTCCATGCTGCACGATCATAGTGTGGAGATCATTCAAAGATGGCTGGGTATAGCCATTTACATGGCACACAACGCCCCGGAATATGGGCGGCTTATCGACGGCCTCTGATCTTATTTGTGCGTCCAAGTTCTGTAGCTTCTGCTTTTTCCGGCGAAAGTAATCGCTGAAACCTCCAAACTTGCTCCCTTCGTATTCCTCGCCGTCTTCACCTTGGAAAGTGTGGTTTTCGATGCGTTTGCGGACCGCCTTTGACGTCTCTTCCAGGCGAGATCCCATGGTGGCGATGGAGCTTGAGGCCGTTCATTTTCCTCCGTGCATGCGAGAAGTTGGATGTCTTTGTCTGGAGGGAAGCGGACCTTCACGAGGTGACGTGCCACGAGCGCGACAACGCGCCAGCCTCCCGCACTCCCGCGACGAACGCTCCACGGCAACCGAACTGAACCCTGGATCGAGCTTTTCGATGCGACTTTTTTTAATTCTTTAGCTCCAGCTTCAGCTTCTTTTCCATCCCGACCTTAAAACTCTTGTATCGCCCATCTCTCCYTCTACACCAACCGGCTTGCCAAGATAGACCAACGAAGGTCAAGTAATAACCAAGCACTCCATTACATACACCGCCATTATGAGCGCCATGATCCCCATGGCCATGTTCGGCCTTGAGGTCCCAGCGGGCGACGTCGCCATCCCGGCCATCTCAGAGATTCCTTCTGCTTTCCGCATCACAATGGCTGCCATTGACCCCAGTGCGGAGCCAGAGGAGACCGATGAGCCAAACGCCGTCCCGCGTGCCACTTTGAAGGTCATTCGCCAGGCGCTCGTCGACTACGACTCCGAGGATGATGAGGACGAGGATGAGGATGATTTCGACATCAACGAAATGGAGGCCATGCTCGGCGACCAGGAAGATGATGAGGACAGCGACGATGAGGATGTTAACGGCGGCCCAAGTGATCCTGCCCGCTCCAAGAAGGCCAAGAAGGCTGCCGCAAAGAAGGCCATCATGGAGCTTCTCGCGCAGGAGGGCGAGAGCGATGACGTGGAAGTCGACGATATGCCCAACGGCAAGAAGTCCGCCAAGGCAAAGGGCAAGATGCCTGCCAGCGACGACGACGAGGATGTTGAAGACGACGAGGACAGCGATGATGAGGAGGGCGAGATTGAAGAATTTGTCATTTGCACTCTTGACCCAGCGAAGGTATTCGTCCCTCCTTGCTGCTCGTTGGATGCGATGCTAATGCGTTTTTACTCTAGAACTACCAGCAACCCCTCGACATCACCATTGGCGAGAACGAGCGTGTCTTCTTCAAGGTCTCTGGTACTCACTCCATCTTCCTCACTGGAAACTACGTCGAGCCTACCTCTCACGACCATGCGCATGGCGGCGGCATGTACGACCCCGACAGTGATGAGGAAGACGACTACGACCTCGAGCCAAACAGCGACGAGGAGATCGACTATGACTCCGAGGACGAGCTTGACGACATTGAGGACCCTCGCATCACCGAGATTGAGGATGAAGAGGCTCCCGAGCTCGTCAAGGCTAGCAAGAAGGCTGACAAGAAGGGCAAGAACAAGCGTGCCGCAGAGGACGAGGCGGAACCCGCTGCCGGTGCTTCCATCGATGAGCTCATCGCCAAGACTGAGGAGAAGCCGCTCTCCAAGAAGCAGCTGAAGAAGCTGAAGAAGAATGACGGCTCTGCCACCGAGACCAAGACTGAGGAGCCGGCATCTGCCAAATCCGACAAGAAAGTGAGCTTCGCCAAACAGCTCGAACAGGGTCCTACGCCCACGAAGGCTGACGCAAAGAAGGCCGATGACAAGAAGCCCGCGGCTTCCGGTCCCCGTGTCGTTCAGGGTGTGACCATCGATGACAAGAAGTTGGGCACTGGTCCTGCTGCCAAGGCTGGCGACAAGGTCGGCATGCGCTACATCGGAAAACTGGAGAAGGACGGCAAGGTCTTTGACTCGAATAAGAAGGGCAAGCCTTTCACCTTCAAGCTTGTAAGTGTTGGGGAAAGTTCTGCGTTGTTCGATGTTTGCTAATCACGTTCATAGGGTGTTGGCGAGGTCATCAAGGGTTGGGACATTGGTGTCGCGGGCATGACCGCCGGCGGCGAGCGTAGAATCACCATCCCCGCACACCTCGGATACGGCAAGCAGGGCACTGGGCCGATCCCAGGCAATGCGAACCTGGTATTCGATGTCAAGCTTCTGTCTGTTGCTAAGAAATGAGCGACTGAACTGCAAGATGAGGACGGCAAGTGATCGGGAGGAGTTACCCTACTTTTCCAGTTTCTCCAAGCGCTGGGAGGGAAAGACGGGTTGCTCACTCCTTCTGTGTGAACCGGCGTTGTTTCGTATGTTTGCTGCGAGTGCGATTCACGACGAGATGATACCCGACTTGCATGGCATGTGCGTACTTTTGCTTTGCTGCCAGCTGGGATGATGGGTTTCTGTATAAAAGCATGCGGGAGGTCGGCGCTCAAGGGGCTGGGTCATTTGTACTGCTTAGTGAACGGATATAACACATTTGCCGTACTTTATTGCCTCCTTTTATTCTCACAATCCGCTCTCTTGCTAGCTATGCAATTCCGAGAGAACTTGGTGTGTAAGTTGCCACGCAAGCATCGAAGCGAACAACAGCAAAACCTCGCTTACTTTGCGATAGAAGAATGACATGTGTTGATATCATGTCTCAATGGGCGAGCAGATTACAATAATTCCACTCCCTTTTCTTCATTCTCATTCACCCAACATGCACGCTCGGAACGATATCCGCACCCGTGGTCTCTTCCCGGACGTTCGGCCCCTCAGTCTCCGACGTCTTCATATCTCAAAAGGTACTCCACTTTTCCCTCAATACCTTCTTCATCGTCAGAACGTATCTCACACATCGGCCATGACCTCCATATACAGCCCCCAGAATCTCTCCGACGTTTCGGGTCTAGTCGTAGTAGTCACTGGCGGTCAGCAATACAATACTTCCATCACGCTTATATTCTGACGACCATCTTGACAGGCGGCACTGGACTCGGACTTATCACTGCGAAAGCGCTCGAGGCAAATGGAGCCAAAGTATACATTACAGGTCGTAGACAAGAGAAACTTGATGAAGCCGTGAAACAAGCTGTACGGGAGTCGCTCCTATCGAGTCAGTGCAGGCCAGGCCATTAATCTGATCTCCAAGCAGACACAGGGAAATATTCATGCCATTCAAGGGAGTGCCTCATCCCGTGAGGATCTCCAGCGAGCCGTTGATCTCGTCACACAGGAGACTGGCTACATCGATCTCTTGATTTGCAACGCCGGCCAACTTACCTCTGATAGTAGTCCTGACGCGAGACCAAAACCCACGGGCGAGAGTTCCGTCTCCGTAAGGACTCACCACTAATACTTCCTGATGTCGTGCTCACAGACCAACGCAGGAAATCCGCGACTATTACTTCAATTACCGCCCCTCGTCGGTCTGGAGTCAATGTCTTGAGACGAACATCGCAGCCGTCTTCACAACCACAATGGCCTTTCTTGAACTTCTCGACGCCGGAAACCAGCGTCGTGACAAAAGTGCTCCAACAAGTCAAGTCATAACTGTTGGCTCTGCTGGTGGTCTCAATCGATTTACAGATTCATTCATCTACAATGCTTCGAAAGCCGGTGTGATGCATATGATGAAGAACCTGGGAGCCTTTCTTGTACCAAAGGATATCAGGACGAACGTGATCGCTCCTGGGTGTAAGCCTTCCTCCGTGTCTTCTCGACGTCAGATATTGATGTGGTATAGGGTTCCCCTCAGAGATGACCGAGGCTGYGACAAAGGCCTGGGAAGAAACGAACGGAGTCATGCCAAGAACTCTTGTGCCGCGACAGAGAATGGGTAATGAGGAAGAGATGGCTGGAACTGTGTTGTATCTTGCCAGTAAAGCTGGAGGGTACTGTAATGGTGAGTCCACGGTTCTTCGATGACCACGTGAAATTGAGTGGAGCTGACTCTCTTGCTATGCAGGCAACGTGATGGTCATTGATGGTGGCTTTTTGATGAACCACGCGGGCACTTATTAGCCTGATTCATGCCACATGGTTACATGGAGTTACCGATTTATCATCAACAGTMTTCATAGAAAGACACAGATGATGAGAGTGATGTTGACATAGATGTGGCTAATGTGCATGTTGATGTGATGTACAGAGTCCATAATGGAGTATGAACGGCTTTAGCCCATGCAGTTGCTCCACCACTACTTCCTCTGACACCCCTGAAGCTATCATTTTTCTGATCTTATAAGCCGTTACCGAAGAACTGAAGGCTGGCCGACATCGTCATTGAATGGATTCGGGCCTTTACCTTTCAAGAATCTCGATATTGAATGCCTCGTGGTTGGCGAGCTAGAACCCTCGAACACGAAAGTCACAGCGGGCTTGCTTCCAGTCCATACAATTCTTATGTTATTTCCTGGCAGATCTTGACCCATGACGGGTCAGGATAAGCCTATATGTAAGGCATTGAAGTCGGCATATAGGGTCATAATACAACGCGAAATAACGATGGACACAATGAAAGGAAGTCAGAGACGTGGAGACAGACGTGGAGACGAACGTGGATCTTGTTCGTTCGTATATACATTAGATTATACCCGAGCCGAATGGACTAATACTGTCCATGGACTGGTGCTTTTTGGCGTAAGTCGTGAGTGGTTGACATTCACTGTCGTAATCATAGCTCCCTTCTCAGTATTGGACAACCTAGTTGACCTCGATGAGACCTGGGCCCCAAACTGCAGCGGCGGCAACCTCATCGGGGGTGGCGAACGAGGTCTTCCCGTTGGTGACTGCAGCGATGGTCAAGCCGTTGAGGGTTGCGTTCGTGTAAGGGAATGGTGAGGTGAAGGTGACAGTGTTGCCTTCAAGCTTGAGGTTCTCGAGCTCCTGTACGATCGGAGCGTTCTGCTGGTTGATCAAGACGAGACGAAGGCCAGATGGATCCTTGATTGATGGATCGAGTGGGTAGGAATACGTGACATCCGAGTCGGCTGCAGTTGGAGGAGTAACGACAGTCAATGGCTGGAGGATGGGAATCTTGATGTCCTCAAGGTTGCCGCAGGTGCCTGGGACAACGAAGAGCTGGTTCAGGGCGGAGAAGGCGAAGGCACCGGATCCACCAGTCAAGAATGGAAGGGCGGAGGGAATCTTCTTTCCTGAAGCTCGATAGTATCCATTCTGCTCACCCTCCTGTCCGATAACAGAGCCGATGAGACCAACAACAGCATCATCGCCGGTGCTAGCGAAGGTGTTCTGAGCAGCCTGAAGGGTGCCGAGAACAACATCTGTGAAAAGCGAAGCGGTGGCAATAGCGGTGTCGAAGTCGGTCGCGGGGAACTTGTACTCGCAAGGCAAGACAGGGGTACGTCCAGCAGAGGCAAGAATAGCATTGGCGCCAAGAGCATGGAGCTCCTCCTGCGCCTGGATGGCAGCGATGCTCTGGACAACAAATTCCTTTGCGGCTCCAGTGCCGGCATCGAACTCTCCACTGGTGATGTTCTTGAGCAGGGAAGTGAAGTAGGCAACCTCGAAGATCTCGTTGAACGCAATCAGCTGGAAGTTGGTAGCAGAAGCATCCTTGTATGGAAGGTTAGCTTGTGTCTCAAAAGTCTTGGGTACCAGGAGGGGTGTGTGGAGGCTTCAGACATGCTCTATGCCTTCCACGCTTCATCTTTCACGCTTCATTTTGACTTACAGAAAGCTGCTTTGGAAGAGCGCCGTTTGGAAGGCTACCGTGTGCCTGCTTCTGAATAGCCGTGAGCTCGGCGGATGGAACCTTAATGTTGGGGAAGCCGTTGTCGAGAGGGAACTTGAACGGCACTTGAGGACCGGCAGGACCTCCGACTGGATCGTAGCAGCCATAGCCAGAGGGTGGCATGTATGCCGAACCGTGCGCAGCTGGCTTTTGCATCTGTCCATCCGCAGGRGCCTGGATCTGGCCGTCCGCTATCTGCGTAACTGGTGAGCCGGTAGGCGCCTGGATCTGGCCGTCCGCTATCTGCGTAACTGGCGAGCCGGTGGGGGCCTGGATCTGGCCGTCTGCTATCTGCGTAACTGGCGAGCCGGTGGGGGCCTGGATCTGGCCGTCTGCTATCTGCGTAACTGGCGAGCCGGTAGGCGCCTGGATCTGGCCATCTGCTATCTGCGTGACTGGCGAGCCGGTAGGAGCCTGGATCTGACCATCTGCGATTTGGGAGACAGGTGCGCCAGTGGGGGCCTGGATCTGACCGTCGCCAATTTGGGTGACCGGGGATCCGCCAGTGGGGGCCTGGATCTGACCATCTGCGATTTGGGAGACAGGTGCGCCAGTGGGGGCCTGGATCTGACCGTCGCCAATTTGGGTGACTGGGGATCCGCCAGTTGGGGCCTGGATCTGACCGTCGCCAATCTGAGAGACAGGTGCGCCAGTTGGGGCCTGGATCTGACCGTCGCCAATTTGGGAGACAGGTGCGCCAGTTGGGGCCTGGATCTGACCGTCGGCGATCTGAGTCACTGGGGAGGGTGCCTGAATTTGTCCATCACCAATCTGGGAGACGGGGGCACCTGTTGGTGCTTGGATCTGGCCGTCCTAAAAAAGCGAAGTAGGGACTGTAAGCATGTGTCTCATATTTCCGAGATTTTGGGAAAGGGTGTGGAGGCTTCCAGGACTGCTCTATGTCTTTCCTAATTCAATTTGACTTACACCGATCTGAGTGACAGGGGAGGCAGAGGCCGTTGGCTTCTGCAGTTGACCGTCTGAAATTTGCTGGACAGCGCTTGGAGCTTGGATTTGGCCATCGCTTATCTGGGAGACTTGGGGCAGAGCAATTGCGGTAACTGCAGCCACAAGGGCGGAGAGGCACAGTGAGTATCTCATATTTGAGATATGATCGAGCGTATGATAGACTAGGATCGAATCGTCGGGGGGCTTGAATACGAAATGGAAAGGCAGCAGTAGGAGTCTACCTTATGTAGAGCCCACCCCGCTAGAGATCGTCCCCGAACATGCATTGCATCTAAAACGGGAGACTCAATGCATTGGTCTCAAGGCGAATACGGGCAAGCTCCAGGCTCCAGACGAATCAAAGGACTGTTCTCCGATTGTGTGAGTATGTCATAGCAGATATAAGGTTGTACTGCCATTGCCGAGAGCGGTTAGGAGTGACTAGTGCGTGTCTTAAGCTTCTTCCCCGGCCCATAAGGTTCATTTTTGAGTGCAGTGAGTCTGTGGAGACGGCCGGAGCGGTTGAGAGGACGTTGACATTGTTTGACAAAAGCTCGGCCAGCACGTGGGTTGGTCTCAATACGTTCCATCCAAGATCTTTTCACTTCCCTTTGCAACGGCCTCTTCTGCATGTCGCGGCTTCTTCTGTATTGTCCGTGTAGATCCCGATCGAGACCCTCGGATGCCACTTTGACACCGCATCGCGCATATTCTTCAAGTGACGTTGCTGATCACCATGGAGATGTGAGCTAACGTCAGAATGCGGCACATACCTGCGACCCTAATGGGCACGGGCAGAAATCCTTCACCAAGTCATCTGACAAATGTGGGAGAGATCGAGCACACGGATGCTCGCGACTCCGAACTCAGATATAGATCTGACGTTGAACTTTGCGTGCGATGATGCAAGGCATCGGAGGAGAATCATAGATCTTGGGGCTTCACGGCTCGAATCGTACGGGCGAGCCATTGGAATGGACGAATGGGCGCTCTATAATCGCCACATGGCATTGTGGGGTGCATGTATCGGTGTGTACCAAAGATTATTGTCCCGCCCAGACGTGGAACTTCAGTTGTCGGCGTAGCGGAGACATGTGTCTGAGTATGATAGAATTTGTCTCGTCCGTAGGGATGGCATCCATAGAGTAAAGTAAGGTAGGTCTCTACGTAAGGTAGGAACCCTTAGAACCTTGGGCAGATGTCGTTCCTACCTTACGCTAAGGATAATTTCACTCACATCACTAGGGCTAGGGTTGGGGTAGTAGATTCTCGACGACGATGGCATTTTTCCATCTTTTGAGCATTCAATATCAAAGCCCTATATGCTAGGTATGATATAAACAGCATTTAGATAGATTCCGTCAAGTTAGAAGAGTGTTATTGGCTTATTGGGCGATTTCACCCGAATCAGAAGTTCAAGACGGCAGACATATATACTTCACCGGTAGAGATAAAGACCCCTCAAAGCACTTGGGATTGCTGATGTTGTTCAGTCGCGAAGTCAATCTCATGAACTTCAAATGTTCCATCGGCTTGCAGTKATGTCTCGTCAGTCCACCTAGAGCTCTGATCGCGACCATTGTTCAACAAACAAATGCTTCATCTGTCCCTTCGTTGACTTCAGCTATCCTCTCATACATCATATAACAATGCATCCAGCCACACTCCCATACAACCTGATCAACCGTCCATTCCATGTAGAGCATCTCCAAAAGCATCGTCCATTCCACCCCCGAAATCGATCAACCCATCACCGTCCTCGAGATTTGCCAAATCGCCAAACGTGTCGTTGAGAAAGTTATCACCAGCCTCGCCACCGATAGCCACACCGCTCCCTGCATCGTTGACTGCTTGCGTTGCGCTCGGCTGATCCTGCTGCGGCGCTGACTGCGTCATACTGGGTTGAGTTTGCGGGGCGGTCGAAGAGGCATTGCTAATTGACGGTGCTGTAGCAGGCGGATTGCTCTGACCGGCCGCGGTTGCTGCGGGAGCTGCCACATCATTACCGCCCAACCCACCAAGATTGTTCGTGTCGACGAAGTCTCCCATGTCAATGTCCTGCATCAGAGCGTCGCTCATGTCCAGGTCTGGCATATCTCCAAGGCTGTCGCCTGTAATTGGGAGAGGTTGTGGCTGGTTTTGTGATTGTTGGCTCTCCGCTTGTGGCGTTTGTGAGGGCATTGCAGTTTGCGTGCTCGCCATGGGATCTTCGTGGTATGTAGTCGGCTCCCTGGCTCCGTTGGAAGCCATATTATACGGCTGTGCGTGCTGCTGCTGCTGTTGACTGCCATTGCTCATGCCGGCCATGGATGTGTCTTGAGGCTCGGGAGCTGCCTCTACCATAGATTGTTTTCTATCCTGCAATCCGCCTCGTGCAATGCGATTGGCTTCGTCGTGAGCTGTTATCTTCACTTTGAGCATGCTCTCAACCTCCTTGACAACATCTTCGACGTTCTCCTTTCCGATCGAGGCATGCTCGGCTTGGCCGTTTGGAATCGGTGCCTCCAACCGCAAGGCAGGCACTGCATCCTCGTGACCTTCCCAAGTCGCATGTCGGAGGCGCTTCTCTGCCTGTGTCAACGCCTTGACCTTCTTCCAATCCTGCATCTTTGCCGCGTGCTCTGCCTTCATTCGCTCAATCTCTGCTCGCCCTTCCTTTAAATGTTTCTCCACGCGCTTGTTGAATTCCTCGACCTTCTCTTTCCTGATGTTGGTGAACGGCTGCACCTCTTGAACTTTTGCCGGCTTCTCGCCCGCAGGCTCCGCAAAGCCCATGTCAGGCGGATCAAGAATGCCGTCCGTCAACCCTTTCAGTTCACCCATCAAGCCCAGTCCGAGATCCGTAGGCACAATCTGATGGGAAGCGTATGGTGACGAGAAGACCTGCTCCATCCATTGGTGATGCTGTGTGTATCTCACCATGCTGATGTCGCGCTGCGTTAAATGATCGAAGAAATCGCCAAGTGCCGTGTCCTCTTCAGTCTCGATGCTCATATCTGGTGCCCCTTCGCTAGATCCAGGCATCACACGCGATACAGGACCGTCCAGGCGTGGCTTTTTAGCTTCTCGGGGATTGCCTGCTTGCTGCGGATAATGGGACTGCGCGAAGCGGTTCTGGTTCATCTGCATGGCATTCAGGGCATTGTTGTACTGTCCTGGCTGCTGTTGCTGTGAGCCTCCAGGTAGATGAACTTGTGGCCAGTGCTCGCGATCGTGTAGCATGAATTCCCTTCGCTCGATGCGGCCCAGGCTCTCTAACCATCGACGCTGCGCGACGGTCTGCTGCAGGTGGGGAGTGACAGGAAATTGGCTTGTGGGCATCCACCTGCTATGATCCGCTTGATGATAGTGGACCAGCCAAAGCGAGGGATCGGGAGGTGGCGCGTTGATTGAGGGATTTTTAGCCACGAAATGATAACGAGTGCGTGCGCGTTGGCTCATCTGATCATGACCCGGACGGTAGCCCAGATGGTGCACGCGCATTTCAATCTGATATCCGCCATAGTCGTGCCGCATGACTTGCTCCATGTCGCCCCACGCGTAGCCGTCTGATGGGTACGGATGCTCGGTCTTATCCAATGGTAGCCATTCCAGCCACAATTGTCCGTCACTCGGTGCTATGAGATACTGCCAGGACATGGGCGCAATCTGCTTGACAATCGAGGGCGCATCGAGCAGGTAGCGATATGCCTGCTCGATGCTGAACGTGGCGACATGGGGGTAGCGGTGGGCGGAAATCAAATGTAGATGGGGCTGGAGCTGTGTTGCGACTCCTTGCGACCTGGAAGCGCGTGTCAGTGAGAGTGGTGCGTGGTGGGGTCGTGGGGTGGACTCTTACGGATTCTGCATTTTGGCTGCAGCGCGAGGGCGGGGGGGGGCGTGCGGTGATGGAGAATGAATGAAAGGCGCAACTTATTTACTTGCAATGGCTTGTGATGTTGTGGACGCGATCGCGAGGAAAGCACAGCGGGCGTCTGATTGGTCGAAATGTCCAGCTGACAAAGTGGTACCCACCCATGCATGTCTCGCCAACATTGAACTCTCTTACTTCCTCTCACATATACGACAAAAGGATACGTTCGAGTTTGCAATTCTGCTTGGAAACGCCTTCGAAATTACAGGCGGAGGAAGATTTTCTCCCAATCGATCGACAGCCAAGTATCTCGACGCATCGGAGTAGAATTCGACGTCTAAAGATGGATGGGTTAGCATGCATTTCAGGCATTGCAACAGAGACGAGCATAGGACAGAAATCGTTCTGGTCTCTAGTTATCTTGCAGCTGTACCCCGATGCATCATCAAGAAGCTGTACACGGCTGTTGGGAATAGTCATGTTGCTTAGATGAGACTACCGTCCGTGTGGGCATGGTTGAGGCCTCATCATCCGAACACCAAACGAGAGGAATGTTGCCGAATGAACGCCCAGTAGACTGATACTCCCTCTCCTGCTCATTACCATTTGCCGACGTTTGCGAAATAGTGTTGCCTATCTGAATCGCCTACTCCGAAGCTATAGGGCCGCGTATACTCGGATCATCCAGCTCGGATTCGCTCCCCGACATCCGCGAGCGTATTGGGCGTATTCCTCGCTTTGGTCGTATCACTCGGACGGATTGCACGCGATATTCTCCCCACCTGGCCCCTGTTCTTCGCTTCTCCTACCCACCACAACGTGTAAACGACAGGATTTTGGCGCCTAGCAAACGCGGCAGTGCAGATTTTCCACGCGATATGCACGTCGTTTATCTCGCATGGCGCACCGAGTATGCGAGCGTGCTCACAAGATACTAGCACGATAGATTAAAGAAGGCGCGTCTTCCGCATTGTTTGTTCAGAGGTTCAAGTACAACATCCTCTTTCACTGTCTTCAATTCCCTCCTCCATCGCGGCCCTTTCGATCTCGACAACCTTCCTCCATCCTGGGCACTGCAACACTCGCTGCAAGGTCTTCCCGTGGTAAAGAGTTGGAACCACCTCAAAACCTCGCCTGATCAGTACAACATCCCTGACTGCCATGCTACACACCCGCCAAGACGACGGCCTCGCAGGCTTCGAATACTACCACTATGACCCATCCATGGCCGCAGCGATTATATTCGTAATCGCCTTCATCTTGACAACGGCCCTCCACTTCTACCAAATGATCCGCACAAAGACCTGGTTCATGACTGCCTTTTGCATCGGAGGTCTGTTCGAAGTAGTCGGATACATTGGCCGCGCAGCATCTGCAGCCCAGAAATCTGGAGAATGGACACTCGGACCTTATAGTACGTCCGATGATCAACATACCCAGTACATAACGCAGTCGGTGCTAATGCTTCCAAAAAGTCATCCAAAGCTTGCTTCTCCTCGTGGCTCCAGCTCTCTTCGCCGCTTCGATTTACATGGAACTCGGGCGTATAGTACATGTGGTCGAAGGCGATCACGCCCTCTTCGTTCGCCGGAAATGGCTCACTAAGATCTTCGTCTGTGGCGACATCTTCACTTTCATGATGCAGGGTGCCGGTGCGTATTCGAAGTCCACCTAGAATCTGTCCAAAACCACTAAATTGTTACCAGGTGGCGGTCTCCTCTCAACAGGCGGCGAATCCGTCGAAACAGGCGAGAAACTGATCCTCGCCGGTCTRGCCCTACAAATCGTCATCTTCGGACTCTTCGTCATCACAGGTCTCATCTTCCACTTCCGTCTCCGCAAGACTCCTACAGACAAGAGCAAGAAATACCCCTGGGAGAAACACATGTTGAGTCTCTATGCTGTCAGCATTCTGATCTTCGTGCGATCGATCGTGCGTATGGCAGAATACGCGCAGGGCTGGCAAGGCCATATCCTCTCGACCGAGTGGTATCTCTTTGTCTTTGACGCGATACCCATGTGGACGGCAATGTTGGTCATGAACTGGATCCACCCGAGCGAGATCGCAGCTTTGGTGCGAGGCCATGGTCCGGTGGTCTACAAGCTCCTCTTCTTGCGGGATGTTAGCACTCAACACCAGACCGTGCAGATGCAGAATGGACCTTGGGTTTGAGATGTGGTAGGGGTTGTAGCGTTGGAGGCCGATCCTGGATGGCAAGGCGGGTCCCAAATGGCACAATACAATAAGCGTAGCGGCATGAGCGAGGCGTTTCGAGGTTAGAAGTAAGTCAAGCATTTTTGGCTGCCAGATCTGGAAAGTTTTGGGCGATGTGAATAAGGCACATCTGATGTATGAATGAAAGAGAGGATAGATCTAGAATCTTGAGAAGTTTGTCCAGGCGCTTTCATCGGCAGAGCAGTCAGTATCCGAACGCGGTTCAGCCTCGAAGTAAACGGCCATCCAGATTCTCGCCTTGCAAGAAATTCCCCACAGAAATGGTCGGAAGCTCGAATCTCGCCAATCATATTCCGCTCCCGACATTCGCTCAGAGCTCGTCCACAATGGACTTAATCCACGGGTCCTTCAAGAGCTCACTCGTAGTGGGACGAGACGAAGGATCGTATTGGAGTGCCCTTCGAAGAAAGCTAAGCACCAATCCACATTCTTCGGCGTCCATCTGCTGCGGCTTCCTCTCCATAAACCGCACTTCCAGTGTAGATCCGACATAGAGATCACCGTACGGCTTCTCATCCGGTCCAGCGTCCGAACGCACCAGATTCATGTTCGAGTCAAAATACCTTGATCCACGAGTCCATTTCGCGAATTGACTGGGAGGTAGTTGTCCGAGTGTACTCACCATCTGAAGCAAATGGCCGTCATTGACCTCGATATCAGTCATGTATGGTAGTGGGTATACGCCAAATAACTGGCTTCCTGTGAAGATTTCGAAGACAAGACAGCCAAAGCTCCAGATATCGATAGTATGATTGTATTCGGAGCCAAGAACAATCTCTGGAGCCCGAAGAGCAACTGGAACTACAGGCTTGTCCGGAGGCCTTTCAAAAGGGAACGCTGTTTGAAGTCAGCCATTGTATGTTTTGTATGGCATGTTTGTCTCACCAGCTCCAAGATCCGAGAGCTTGACCGTGACGGCTGTATGTTTGTCTAGAAACTCTATGAGAGGCTGATCCTCGTGCATGTACACATGTCTCTCAACTTTTGAAAATGTATTATCTTGAAATGTTTTCGCAAGGTCCGAGAGATCGATGGCTATGAGGATATTGCCGAAGTTGAGATCACGCTGAGCGATTCGGTGTTGGTGAAGGTAGTCGAGACTGGACAGCAGTTGCTTCACAACACTACGAGCTTCTTCATAAGGAATCCCAAGCATTGATCTGCGCCCTTCTTTGAAGCGCGAGCTCAAACCAGGACCCATAGGTTCAAAGACCATGCAAACATGTTGACCATTCGGACCAGTGTGTAGAAAATTGTCCAGGAGTTTGACAATGTGGCTCCCAGATGAGTCTCCATTCTCGTCGACAGCGACTAAATGCTTGTGTATCCGAATTTCTTCGACAGCATATGGTGAGTCTGAGCGTCCAATCTTGATAGCAACAAATGTCGCCGAGCTTTAGGCAATGTCAGCCGAGCAAGGATTACGTTGTTCAGGACGATCGTACCTTAGGTCTTCGGCAAGCCCTACCGTGGAAAATGCACCGTGGCCTAGCTTACGGAGAACTTGATAGCGACCATCTTTGAACGTGTCTCCTATGTGCACCGGATGGAAACCTCCTGGGCGGTACTCCTCGAGCTGCTCGCCATGAAGCAGTGCAAATGGCTGACTGTGCGAAGTGTTCGCCATTGATGACACAACAAGCGACCGACTACTTCTTCAAGCCAAGGCCAGTCTGGCTCTTCTTCCCTCTATCTCGTGGGATTCAGGATACAGAATTCTGGTTGCTGAAGTTTGTGGTGTCAAGACGAACATACGACGTGCCGCATTTGCACCTGGTCGCAAGGCAAGGCAAGCAGTCGCCCCGGATGGAGTCAGAGAAGTCCGCAGACAAGCATTGGCCAGTTCCAATACCAGACTGTCGGATCGCCGAAGCCGCTCATGTGTCGACACGCTTGAGAAGACAGGAAGACATGCTGAGTTCGTCATTCTCCCAAGGCCCCAACGTGCATCCATGGATGGATTTGTGCCAAGGATATCGAAGCAGAAATCTGCACTAAAACCTTTCGGGATCAAGTGCCAAAGTTAACGACATGGACTCGAAGTCTAAGATAAACCCGATTGCATGGTCTCGTACGAGGTACGAACGGCCACTGGAGCTCCCATCTCATTTTCTAAGGCCCGCTGTTTTCCAGCTTTTTCATCTTCATCCCTACTAGGTAGCCCAAAATGGCAGCTCTCGCTCGCAGTCTCTTGGACTTGGACAGGGCGATTTTTGGCATGGAGTCGACATACCCCTGGACAGCCATCATCTCTCTAGCAGTGATCGGATGGCTTGTATCACGCTATACGAAGCCAACGTCAGAATACCCCTTCGTCAACGATGACAAGAATGCTTGGACTTCGTTCGGTGTGAAGAAAGAGTACGTGCAGAATGCGAAGAAGCTTCTCATCGAGGGCCATCGAAAGGTATTAGACTGGCAGCTTGTTCTCTACATCGTCGCTGACCAGACAGTTCTCCGGCCCATACATGATGAAGACAGATATAAGCCGTATTCTTATGCTGCCGCCCGACTACATTGATGCTGTAAACGAACAGGCCGAGGCCAATCTGTCATTCCGGGAATATGCAAGAGTGGTAAGGTAGATCGCAGAACACACGTCGCGGGATGATTATTGACATTCTCAACTCAGGAATTCTTGTCAGGCTATGACACCTTTCGAACTTATCGGCCACCTCCATTGGGCATGTTTGACGAAGCAGTGATGAAGGGATTGACGCGAAGCTTGCGTGAGTTTCCAATGCTCGTCTGACAATCGCATGACTGATGACTGATTCATRAATTAGCAAAATTCACGAAACATCTCTCCTTGGAAATGACACAGAACCTGGACAACACCTGGGGCGAATCAACAGAATGGCGCGAGGTCGACCTGCACACAGATGTTCTAACCTGGGTGGCTCGTCTGTCCTCGAGGATTTTCCTAGGTACCGAATGGACTACGAATCAGGAATGGATCCGAGTCTCCATCAACTACACTGTCGACACATTCACAGCTATTGCCATCTGCAAATTCATTCCGGCACCTATCAGATGGATGTTCGTACAATGGCTTCCCCTCTGTCGAAAAGTAAGGCGGGACTACAGGACCTGCGAACGAATTCTCACTCCCGTCTTCAAAGCACGCGATGCAGAAATACAAGCGGCCCAACGCGAAGGGAGACCGCCCCAACTTCCAGATGACTCCATCGAATGGTTCCGAAGCGCTTCCAAAGGAAGAAAGTACTCTCAAGTCGACATTCAGATTGCTCTACAGGTAGCGGCAATTCACACAACCAGCGATTTGCTTAACCAGGCGATTTTGAACCTTTGTGCGAATCCTGAGATGATGGAGCCGTTGAGAGAGGAAGCCTTACGAGTGTTAGGTCAGTATGGCTGGCAGAAATTGGCACTCACGGAACTTCGCCTGCTGGATAGCTTTTTCAAGGAGACTCAAAGGCTGAAGCCCATCAATATGGGTGAGTGGTTTTACGTCTGAGCGTTGATTAACATCACTAACAAGATCTAGCGAGCATGCACCGAGTTGCATTGACGGATGTCGTCCTCTCGAACGGTACACATATTAGGAAAGGCGAGAAGATGGGGATTTCCACCCATGACATGTGGTCGCCAGAGATCTACGAGAACCCAGAGAAATTCGACGGCTATCGTTTCCTCGAGCGTCGTAAGCTTCCAGGACTTGAGATGAAGAGCCAACTTGTATCAACGAGCACCGATCATATGGGATTCTCCCATGGGAAACATGCCTGCCCAGGGAGATTCTTCGCCGCGAATGAGGTCAAAATTGCAATGGTATGTCTGGGAAAGCTCTACAGCTTTCAAATGGCTAACGTTCATTTCTTCCAGATCCACTTGATTCTCAAGTACGACATGAAGATCAGTGATCCGAGTCTGGCGCAATGGGGTTCTTACGGTGTCGCACTCTATACGAACCCAAAGGCCAAGATTAGCATTCGGGCGAGAAAGCCGGAGATTGATTTGGAGGAGCTGGCGAAGGCTTTGTAGAAACTGCATTGAGCCAGAAAATGCGGACTGGCGCAAGAAGACAGAGGGCTAGGGCAGATTCACTGGTCCACACCAGCACTCATTCATCGCTCACGCTGGCAGGCCGGCAATTGCGAAGAAACATTGATTGACCCGAGTGTCTATCAAGCGGATCTGCACGAGTGACAGAGGCCAATTCTATCACTTTCCCAGCTTCTAATGTGGAAAGACTTGAAAGTCCCCATTAACTCCATCCCTTCCTACATCAATACGAAGGTAACTCATGTTCTCTGTCCCGTATTGCCTCTTGTCACTCACGCCCACATCTTTCAAAGTATGTCAAACTCCAGGATTCTCATGCCCCTGCTTCTTCCTCGCCATCAACAGAAAGCGGGAAACTCCTCCAAGCTCCTCTCCAATCACCCTTCCCCTCTACCGGCCACAACCCCTCAAAAATCTCTCTCAAAGCCTTCTGAAGTCGCATGTCCTTTCTCCAAGGTCCATCGTCTCTTGCACCCGGGACTTCTTCAATATCCACCTTCTGCCCTATGCGAGTGACTTTCCAGTTTCTCTCCAACAGAGAGAAGCATTCCGGAAGACCTGGAAGAGTGCAGTGATCATGAAAGGTCCCGCCACCGATGGGATGAAGTATAAGATTCTTCACAGGAGCGGAGGCAGTTGGGGAGATCAGACTGTGGATTTGAAGGGCGAGGTTGGAGTCAAAAGCGGCGTTTATGAGAGCATCCCKGACATCTTCCTTTGTAGGTCGATTGGCAAGCGGGTATGCACCTGTAGCCCCGGGAGGGTAAATCCCTTCTATTGCGAGATTTTCATTAAACATAAGAGGTTCTTCTTCCTCGATCTGGTCCTCGGGAGGAGGTATTAGGAGGTCGGGATTGGAACAGTCGAGGGTAAGGAAAAGGGTTCTCAGGCGAGGGAACGTGCTGAGGATCTTGTAGAGGGAAGTTTCTGTCCTGCCGCCTTTGCTTCGGCGGATTGTGAGGCGGAGGTCCTCGAGGTTGGGGCAGTGGAAACGGAGGGCTTGGAGAGAGGAAGCGGAAAAAATCAGTGAGCTGTAGTAGTAATCAGGCAGAGTCCAGAATGTTTTGAGAGAGGGACCGTGAGCTCTTATACTCGTTTCGACATTACTGGAGGTGATTTGGCCTTCCAGTCCTAGAGCTTGGAGTGGAGGTACCGATGCTATGAAAGCATCCAAGGCTTCGTGATAGCCCTCCACCGGCGAAGGAAACAGATAGGTATCCAGCATCAGAGTTTGAAGACTCGTTAGTTGGCAAGTCGTTAGCCATCTTAATGTATCCTCGGCTGGCATTGAAAGGCGGAGTGTTTGCAAACTCGAGAAGTCTACAAATTGAGACCATTTCTGAACATGTTCTGCATCCACGCTCGACGGCCCTCCTATGTCCAAACGCAGTAGTCTTTGGAGTCTGTGCTCGATCTGTGGTGTCTGCAGTTCGACCTGTGGTGTCTGGAGTCGTACCAGAGCTCGCATCTCCCTCTCAAGCTCAGCATCTCGCGCCTGTTGTGGACGATCCCATCCTGGGCTGTAGCAGGTCCGTACTTCCCGCAATCTCAACGCTGTTCTCACGACCATTTCCAGAAAGAGCTTCACCGACTCAGTAACGGGAGTAATGTTCCACGTCGTCGAAGAAACCTGCACGCAAACACTAGAGAGTAGCGGCGCTACATCCAGGCAGTATTGGTGTGCAGCTGCGACATCTTTTCCGAAACAAAATATTCTCAGATGAAGTCTACAATCCGAGCGCAGAGCTTTCAGCAAACACGCTGGAATATGCGCTGAATGTGCCCAGGTAACGTCGGAGAGAGCTGGTAGCTGCTCAAGCAAACGGGCGAACGAATGCCAATCAAGATCTTGAATCGGGAATGGACCATTTCCCTCGTCGTACCAGATTGGCCTCATGCTACCGTACGATTCCAGCTCCGTCCATTCATCAGAAAGAGACTCATCTCTATAATTCAGGAAATCCACATGTTTCTCCCTGTGGTATGTGATTTCCAATTCGTGGACGTACTTCATGCCGACACTGGCAAGGGTGCTCGTGAGAGATTTGACCTTTTGCTGGAATGCATCATTGGACATCCTTGTCTCGAATTGGATGGTGCGGAACAGAACAGAGATGGCAGCTGAACGGCATTTTTGACTGACGAGGCTGAAGGATTGGAGATTGGTGGAAGGGCGGAGAAATGTGCATATGTACTGCAGCAGTTCGATGGGTAGGTCTTGGAGAGACATGTTGATGGTGTTTGATGTCTGTTTGAAAGCTGGAGCCTTGGATGACTTGAGGTGAGGGATCGTGCGGAAGAACTTTGATCCACTTATTGACGGCGCGCCTGAACATTTCTTGAACCAACGAATGGAATTGTAGCAGCAGAAGGCGAGGCGGGTCACATTCCAGAAGGGTATCATTCATACAAACAGCTAAAGCATCCTGAATCCATTGCCTTTCCATCGGGACAAGCGAGCTAGCACATCATCTCAGCACTGCTCGTTCATCTTCACTCAGAACTCAGGCATCCTCAACCTTGGTCTTCTTCCCATTGCTGACGCTTTCCTCTTGTACCACATCGTCGGCCTTTCGCTTTCCCTTGCCCTCAACAACAGGCTCAGCCTTGACCTTCTTCTTCTTCACCAGACCCGACAAATCATTGGCCTGCGCCGTAGCCTCCTTCAACCTCTTCTCCGCCTCTCCTTTGCTTTCTCCCAACATCGCGCCTAGTACACCCTGCATAACCGCATCCCCGTTGTCGCCCTGCATAGCGCTCAAACTGGCTGCAGGTTTGCGGAGATCTTGGAGACGTTGCTCCATGTCGCCAACCATTTCCTTTACGTCCGCAATGCTTGCTTCTTGGTCCTTCTTCTTGTCTCCTTCCAATGTATCCAGGGACTTCTCTTCCAGTGTGATGCGCGCTTTACATGATGCAATCGCCTTTTCCATTTCCGCCGCTGCTTCGCTGCGCATCTCCTCATTTATTTCAGAAACGCTAGCGGACCCGTCCTTTCCTTCCGTCGTGCTTGTCACGCTGGCAAACTCGAGCGCCAAGCTGAGTTTGTAGTGTGCTTCGGCAACGAGACTGCTTTCCTGTGGGTAGAGCTCGAGCTTGTACTTCAACGATTCCTTCGTATCGGAAATGGCATCTGTAAATCGTTCGTTTTCGAGTGAGATTTCTGCTTGGAGGTCATGTGTGTCTGCCAATCTCTCCCTTAAGAGACGTAGCTCCGGGGACTGTTTGTTAGAGGACTCGAGTGCTTCAATTTTCCTGGCCAGCAGGACGCGAGCCATGTCAAGGATCTCATACGCGGTCTGAAAATCGTCGTCTTCTTMCTCTTCTCCCTCACCACCATCCTCACCACCATCCTCGTCTTCATCCTCCGAGTCTGTGAAGTTCTCATCGCCCGTGATTTGGAAGTAGGGATTCGATCCYGTCGTTGGTTCTTCTTCCTTCCTCATGCTGTCCTTCTCCTCCGTAGCAGCCTCAACCACATCCTCAGCCAGCTTCTGCTCACCACTTGCAATGGCATCCCCGATCACGCTCTTGCTACTTCCCTCCCCAGCGTCCTGTGTCTTACGCTTCTTCTTCTTGGGTTTCGGTTTGCTCTCCGCGACTTTTCCACCAAGAACATCGCTGGCCTGCACAGCGACATGGTACAAACACCGGCCATATTGGTAAAGAAGATTTGCGTTTTCCGGAGACATTTCGCCATTGATCTCATCTTGCAATTCCACTCCGCGGGAGTAGAGCTCTGCAGCCGCCGGGTAGTTTTTGAGAGAGTATTGCTGCGTCGCGGCAGCTTTGAGCTGGTCCAGTTGAGCGGGGAGGCCACCGACGCCGGTGGAGTGGTCATCCGTGATTTGCGATGTTGGATCATCCATATTGAATGTGATTGGTGTTGTTTGTAAGAGTGATGCAGGAACGAAGTGGAAGACAGAAAGTTGGAAGAGAGGGAATATGCGATGGAGCTCGGACCAGTCAAGTCGCGACACGCGACTGCCTCGCGTCCGCGTCCGACAAGCTGGATCGCGACTTCCAAAAGATGTACATTTCCGAACAGGAATAACTTCACGCCACTTTTCTTCTTTTACACCTCATATGATGGCGATTGACACCAATCCCGCCGCCTATTCCTCTTCCCCCGCTTTTGCGACTCCCGTCCATCCCTTCCCGCCTACAGCTCGCAACCCCGCTCCACCCCCACCGCCAGCATTCAAACCTGCGGTGATAACGACCATCCTTCCGATCCTCCTACCTCCCTCGACTCTCCGACCTCTGGCATTCCGGATCTTGAAGAAACATAGCCTGAATCTCAATGCAGCGGCACTACAAGCACTTGCAACATTCATCGGACGACATTGTGGTTCGACATGGCGAGAAGAAGGGACGGGCGAGAGGGTGCTAGAAGAAATGGCAAAGCTATGGAAAGCCGAAGCCGGAGCGGTGATTGTAGAGGATGGGGAGAAGCTGAGGACGATTCTGAGGACGCTAGAAGGTGGAATGGTAGGCGGGAGGATCGTGGGCGCTGTTGCCAAAGGAGGACTGCTTAGGAGGCAGTTCAGCAATTTGAGCGATGCTGCATCACCACCTACACTGGAGAGACAGGGAAGCAGTTCGCTTGGAATGGGAAGTCTGCAGGTCAACGAAAATGAAGGTGCTGAGAACGAGAAGGATGAGAGTAGTCGAGACCCCAGGAGTTGGTTGAAGGTCGTCGGTGCTTTTCAACAACCGAGATTCACTTACGATGTTGAAAAGAAACACTTTTTGACCATATCCACCAAGCCAAGCTCATTCCCCGACCCCAAAGAGAAGACAAGGGTGTTCCGAGAAAGATACAACATTATCCTCCAGCGACTCCAACGGAATTCCTCATTCCAAGCTCCCTCTCTCAGCGCTGGACAGAAAGGTCCAGCGGCACGGAGAAGAGACAAGGGAGGCGCGGCGGAAGTACGAAGTCATTACAAGCTCACACCAATCGCCAATCTACTTGGTCGTGGAGGATCTTCACATCTCTTACTGGGAATKCTAGCAATTGCTCCCACTGGAACGTTGGCACTCAACGATCTTAGCGGCAGCATATCCCTTGATCTTCAACACGCTTCCCCCATGGCTGTCGCCGGAGACTGCATACCCTACTTCTGCCCGGGAATGATCGTGCTTATCGATGGGCTTTACGAAGAAGACTGGAATGGCACAGGTTCCAGTAGATTAGGCAACACAGGTGGGGTGGGAGGAACAATCGGCGGACGTTTTGTGGGGTTTGAAATCTTTCACCCAGCAGTTGAGAAAAGGGATGTTGCTCTCGGTATCAACCTTTCAGCCGGAGAATTGGGAGGTGGTTTCGGCTGGGTCGATTTCCTTGGTCAAGGTTCCGAGCGAGCAGTCGGAGCAAGAATGAAGAAACTTGAACGTCAACTCATCGGCCCAAACGCAGAGATCGTCGAGGAAACACAAAAAAAGATGGTCATCATGTCGGAACTTCATCTCGACGATCCAACTACACTGGCCGCTCTTCGTACACTTCTCGAAGAGTACGCCGAGAAACCGAACCCACCCATGACCTTCCTCTTAATGGGAAATTTCTCCTCAAAAGCCAGTCTCGCAGGCAGCGGAACGGGGAGCATAGAGTACAAAGAACTCTTCAACGATCTCGCCGCTGTCCTCTCTGACTTCCCCTCCTTGCTTCGATCCAGCACCTGGGTGTTTGTACCTGGAGATAACGACCCTTGGGCAAGTGCATTCAGTGCTGGAGCAAGCACAATAATCCCTCGACAAGGCGTGCCTGAGCTGTTCACAAATCGTATCAAACGCGCCTTCGCGAACGCCAAGAATGAGATTGGAGCAAAGAAAGCGGAGGTTGAAGGAGAGGCTGTCTGGACGAGCAATCCCACTCGCTTAAGTCTTTTCGGACCCGCGCATGAACTTGTGGTTTTCAGGGACGACTTGAGTGGACGACTGCGAAGGAACGCTATTCGGATAGGACAGGCTATTCAGAAAGAAGAAGCGGATGTTACGATGTCTGGCGCTTTGCAAGAAGACGAGGAGGAAGCGGCGTTGCCGTCTACAGAGCATGATATCATGCCCAGCGATACGCAAATGACCCTCGAAGAACCCTCACTGCCGGATCCGTTGGTTATCACAAAAAATTCCGAGTCGCATGCTATGAAGGAAGCGAAACGTTTGGTGCTGTCTTTGCTGCCACAGAGTACGTTGAGTCCACATCCTATGACCGTCAGGCCGGTCTCGTGGGAGTATGCACCCAGTTCACTGGGGCTGTATCCTCTGCCCAACACCTTGATTCTGGGTGACGCGGAGGCTGGCGCGTTTTGTCTGACATTCGAGGGGTGTCATGTTGTGAATCCGGGGAGATTTTTGGGAGAGGGCGGCAAGAGGAGGAGGATCGGGTGGGTTGAGTACGATGTCTGGGGGAAGAGAGGACTGGTTCGAGAAGGATGGGTTGGTTGATACACTTTGTGAAGTTGACGGAAGGGAAAGATGTCTGCTGGATTGATCGCGTGACACAGAAACCTCGATGTGTATGCTGCATGGAATGATGAAACAAGAGAGGTGTGCTGCGCGTCGACGGCCGATCTTTCCTCATATCCCGAGCACTGCTCCGTTCGCCACCACTACCTTCGTTTCCTTTCCTACGCCTTTCCCAAGCAGACCTGAGAAGTTAACCAACATTCCTCCTCGACGAAAGCCCAACAGCTGACAATGCCCGCCGATAGCTCCGCAACACCAAGTTCTCAACATCAGACAGAGGTCCCATCGCATCGAGAATCACAAACCACACAGGATTCTGGCACGGTTGCTACAACTTCGACCAAGGCTTGTGAATTTGAGGAGTTTGAGTACATGACTACGTATCCCTTTTGTCCTGGGTGTTGTGAGGATTGGCTAGTCAGTGCTGCTGCTTATGATGAGGGGATTGAGAGAGGGAGGGAGAGGGAGAGGGAGAGGGAGAGGGCTGAGAGGGAGAGGGCTGAGAGGGAGAGGGCTGAGAGGGAGAGGGCTGAGAGGGAGAGGGCTGAGAGGGAAAGGGAGGAACTCCGTGCAGAGAGTCAGCGCCCAAGGGAGTGGATGGTCTTTTGGTCTGGTCTAGGATGAAGATGACCAGCTCTTATGAAGCTGAATGTTTGTTAAGCTAGCGTGATCATAAGCGTGCGTACATGGTTCATGGAATGCAGCATTTGCRACAGGACACCGCGTGATCCCTCAGGTACTTTGTATATACATCTCTTGAACCTGGTCTTCAGTCCTTTTCTCCTTCATCAACAATTTGATAACATGTACGCACCGCTTATGCCGAATCATCATCGAAATCATCGGAATTCACTAACAACATCTCTCAGGGGTCAAGCACAAAGCTCACGGAATCGAAGATTGAATAACAACGCTTCTCGCATACCGCTCTTACGTACTGAATCTTTGGACATGTACGACTCACCAACGCCATCGCTGCCGGACGCGGCATCCTCTCCTACGAGGCAATTATATCACGACCACGACGACACCGATGCTCACCCTTTCTGCCAGCGTTGCGGTCAGGTCCTCGAGGAGAAATGGGGAGCTGTGGGAGGCTGTCTCTGCGAACACCCAGCCCTTGCCGAAGGAGCTTCAGATTCACTGGTAGTGGAGCCTTGTCGACTTTACACTCTCGAAGAGGCTCTGAGGTTTGGGGAAGAAGAAGATGCTCACCCTTTCTGCCGAAAATGTGGCCTCGTACTCGAAGAGAAGTGGGGAGCTGTTAGTAGTTGTGTCTGCGATCTAAATGAAGACTTGGGGTAGAGCGTGGAGTCCTTGCCTTCACTTTTAGTAGCTTGGCTCGGCGTTCCTGTTAAGGGGGAGAGCGAAGTTTRTAAGGAGGAAGCTCATCGTTAAAGGGGATAGGACATGGACTTAGGGCGATGTCCGTTATTCCCATCGTTCGAACATTAATCGCCTTAGCGCTATAAACATCCCCCTTCTTATATTTACTTATCCTCCTCCTCCTCGGTGAAATTCTTAGAGAATTTCACGAGGGAACTATAGGTCTCGTATCCTAGCACCCTACTCTTTCCCTTAACTTTCTATACGCCCTTCCCTATATCGGGTCCTTATTTAATTAGCTAACTTTAAGGCTAGAGACTAAACCTCCCGCTCTCGTCGCGAATAAGTTATATACGTTCTAGCTTACTAGCCTACTTCTCCGAAATTATACCTACTAGCGGTATAGTCTTCGGAGTACGTCGCTCGATAAGCGTATCGTTCCTCTACTCGCGGTATTCTAGAATGTCTACGTTAATCGTATCTAATATTAAAATTGTCTAACTAAAAATCCAAAACTAGAGGCTAGGGAGGTAGTAGGATGTAGCGGCAAAGGGTAAGATAAGAGACTCTAATCTTAAACTAATTTATTATAAGGTGTATAGCACTTAAAGTAGGAACTAAATAAGTATGTTAATTAAATTAATTGTCTTAAGAACTAAATATTAAGAATAAGTATATGCCTTTAGCCTTAGCATCCTAATTACCTAACTAGGGAATTACCTTAGAGTGGATTCTACTCTAAGCTCTCTTCCCTTTCTAAACCTATTAGGTTTTAACATCTAATACTATAATTCTATAGACTTATATATCCTTTATCTAACCGGGGCGTCGTACGCGGCCGATTACTTACCCTATCGTAGAATCGTAGCTATACTAAGAGTCCTTTAGTAGTAGCGATAAGAAGATAACGTAGTTCGCGTTTTAAAGATTAGAGCCTATAGTAGTTTCGTCGGATAAGTTAAGCATAATAATAGTCTTTCGGTCCTTAGTACCTACTCCTACTTCTTTATAGAAAGCCTTAAACCGAAGACTAGCCTTTTCGATATTCTTAACGATAATTACGCGAATTCCGGTATCTTTAAGCGCTTATTTAGCTTTATCTAGCTAGTTCTCGAATTATACGAATAGGATCGCTTACTCGTTCTTTCTTTCGACTTTACCGAGAATTCCTACTACTACGTTAATTTTAGCTCTATAAGGCGTAGCCGCGTAGAAGTTATCTAACTTACTAGGCTAAAGTAGATAATAATCGGACATTAGACTACTATAGTCGTAACTAGGATAAATAAGAGTTTCGCTCTCTTTTTTCTTTAAATAGTAATTACGATATATAGTATATCCGTAGAGCGTAAAGATAGCTACGTCGAGAGAGGCTATTACGCTATATTCGAGGTCGTCGTATATTACTTCGACATTATCGTCTTATAAAATTTACTAGAGGTTATATAGGTTCTACGTATACCTTACTAATCGCTTCTCTACTAGTAGACGATTATATAGACTATTAACGTAGGCTATTAACGCTCTTTTACTAGCCTCGTAGTCGTCGTCGCGTTTCCTCCGCTTAGTAATCGTGCTAGTAGTAATCTTTATACCTCTAGTAGCGTTCGTAATATCTAAGAGCTACTTATATACCTTAGAGTTACTAAGGGTACTATTATTAAGTCGTAACTAAACCTAATTTACGAACGCCTCTTTAGTTTCTTTCGCTTTAGATATAGTAGTAGGAAGCTTACTAAGTAGGTTATTAACTATAGCGTATCGACTACGCGTAACGGCGTATAGGCTTGTATTATCGTTATTACGGCGCGAGAACGCTATAACCTTTAAGAGTACCTCTTCTATAGAAGTCGAGATTAAGATAGTATTATTAGAGCGTTTATCGCGGTTAGTCGCTTTAGTTTTAGTCTTCTTCCGAATACGTATATTAGCAAAATTAAGGTACTAAGATAGTTCGGCGTATAGTATACGATAATCGAGGTCTAACGCTACTAGTACGAGGTAATCCTAGAACTTTATCTCGTTATAATCTATAATATTCTAGCGTATAAACGTATCTAGAAACTTCTAGTCGATCTCGTAGATATAACTATATATCGAACTTAATAGGCTCTATCGTATAGCATCGAAAAGCTTAAAGCTTATTATATCTTTATATAGCTCCTTTACGCTAATACTCTTTATTAAGCCTACTTTATTACTTCCTATACGTAAAGGGACTTTAATAAGTTCGCCTATACGGGAGACCTCGAAGAAGTCGCCTATTGTAGGAGTTACTAATTAACCCTAACGCTTATTAGCTTATATTACTACGGTAGCGATATTTAATAGTTTCGCTTTAGCCTAATAGAACTCGTCGATAATAATACGATTCTAGTAAAATATATCGAGTAAGGGCTTATCGAGCTATACGGTATTTAGGCTAGTACTAGCTTTTACCTTTAACGCTATAGAGGTAGTCTTCTTTACTTTACCCGTAATATATTCGGCGCTAGTTAGACGCTTTAATAGCATAGCCGCCTTAAATTTATTGCTATACGTACGCTCCCGATATAAGGCCTTAATATAACTCTTAAACTCCTTTTAGCCGTTCCTTATTAGCTAAAGATGCTTTAGAATCTGCTCGTACGCGAATTTTAGCTAGAGTATAAAAACTCTGCCCTTATTTATAACTAGTTTAGGAATACTAGCAAACGTAGCGAGTCGCTTAATATATATATTATTAGAGAATAGCGCTCGATTAATAACTATAATTCTATAGTCGTTTTAGAAGTCGGCGATAGACCGCTTCGCTAGGTCGCTTATAGTCTTTAATACGTATAAGCTCTTACTACCGTAGCCTAGTTTATTATAGATTTCGGAGACCTATTATTCTATAAGCGAGGATAGGTATATAATTAGAGTACTAGCGTAAGGGAGGTATCCGTTCGTACGCGGTTTTAACTTAGCCTAGATTTATACGGCCGAAGACTTCTAGAACTCGGAATAAATTAGAGTAAGGCTAGTAATAGTTTTACCGAAACCCGGGTAGTCTGTATAGATTCCTCTACGTATTAATTTAGTCGCTATTATACGTACTTCGGCTCGCTATTTAAGGGAGTTTATAAGTGCTTCTTCTACTTCTTCGATATCGAATTTAATTCCCTACTTCTAATATTTTATCTAGCTAAGAGATATAAGCTACTAAGGAAATAGCTCGATCTTTATTCTAAGGTCTTATTTATATAATAGTACGCCCCGAGTACCGATTAACTTAAAGGGCCTAAACTTAAATTCGCTTTCGCCGTTAGTCGTAAACCTCTACTTATACGTTATCGGGAGGTAGTATAGTAGCCTCGCTCTAGCCTAGTATATAATTATAGCAATATTTAGACTAAGATTAAGAGTAAAGCCGCCGTTCGTAATAACTATAGCGATTAGGTCTAGCCTTACCTTTATAACTCTTTTATAGAGGGTAGCCTTACGAGGATCTTCGTATAGCCTTAGATCTATTCTATCTACACTTAGGCCCTATCGAAGGGCTAGACGAGGGGGAGCGTAAGAGTTATAACTCCTCTAGATATTATCGTAAAGTTAATACTATTAGCTTAGGAGTAGCTATCGTCGTAGAGCTTCGAATATCTATATATTAGCGGAGAAGAACCTCGTATCGTTAGCGTATATAATATGCTCCTTACCCTTCTCTATATCTAAGACCTTAGACGCGATAGTATAGCTAATAATAGTAGCTAACTCTAAGCATTTTATAGAGTTTACGAGAGCCTTAGGGTCTAGGTACTAACTAACTCCGAGCTTTATTTCTATTACTACTAGAGTATAGCTATATATCTCGTACTACGTCTTATTAATTAGAAGCTTCGCTACTAGTATAGATCTACTAGTCGTCTATAGTCGCTAGCTCGAACAGATACGCGCGATAATAGAGCGAACCTTGTCTTTTTCTAATAGATAATTATACTAAGAGAAGACGAAGCAATTATCCTATAGCTCGCTAGTTTATATAGGATTAAGAAATAGGAATATAGGCTTACTACTACCGCTACGCTCGAGCTTCTTATAGAGACTATCGTACGCCTTACTATAACGCGGGAGATATTAGTACTTTCTATTAATAATAGATATAATGCTACCCGCCCTAGCGTAGACGTCGAGAAACTTTAGTACGGTATAATTTACAAAATTAGGTCATTCTAACCTTAACTACTATAATACAATTTCGGTTCTAGAGGCTATAATAGTTAAAGGTAGAGCTTCTAGTTTTAGAATTCTAAGTAACTAGCTATATACGTCGAGTACGCTACTCTAGTCGAGAGTAGTACTTCTCGCGACTAGCTACGCTAATAGGCGCCTTAAAGGATCGTCTCTAGTTAAGTCCTTACCTAGCGTAGCGTATAGACGGAACTTAGCCGTACTAGTTAGAGAGATTATAAATTCTAACGTCGCGTCCTCGAAGGTATAAATAATAGTCTAAATATATATACGTCGGATGCTAGAGAGAGAGAGCGAAGCTTTTAATATAGTACTCGCTACTATACTATACTCTAATAATAGCTAGACAATCTCGTAGAGGTTAACGGGTAAGAAGGAAACTTTAAGGGGTATAATAGACTAAGCGTGTTCCTTAAAGTCTACTAGAGACATTCGGTTCCGGCTTATCGTATTATCCTATATATAATTATACGCCGGGTTACTACCGTACGATGTATAAGTTATATGTCCACAATCCTTATATTACTAAATCGGTCTCCCTACAATTCCCTTTAAGCCCTCGTAGTAACATCTACGGGTAGCTATCTTAGCCTTTTTTTAGCAGGCTGTCTATGTTAGGGAGCGCGCTCGTTTACATTCGAAAGAGCTTAGTCAAACCGGTAACAAGTTTGCGGTCTGCGCGTGTAGGCACGTCCTAACAGCTAGGCCTACGTCCCTGCGTATTGATCGTGTAGTAGCCGGGAATTAGAGCCGACAAGATTGAAGCTGCGATAACTGTACTAGACATTACATTGCCGGCAAGACTTTGAATCTCCGATTGCGATTTAGTAGTGAAGCCGATCTTTTCTAGCGGAATGCCCTGTAGCTTTAGAAGTTCCTCCGATGTAAGCACTCTCCCTAAGTCAGTAATAAAGTAGAGACCGCTTAGCGTGATGCAGCCAGCAATGCCGAATGGTCTGTGATCTGTTTTACGGTGGATGTTCTGCGACAGATCGAAGATTCTCGTCTTAAATCGGCAATCATACATGTCCAATGCTTTGCGCAAGACTGCTCCATCGATAGTGTCCAGCACGCGCTCCACCTGCTTGTGGTACTATGGAGCATATCCGTTGTCCGGAGGGAGCATTTGTCCACTTTCAGACCAGTTTGTAATAGGACGTGCCCATCCGAGTTTCATGTCTTGCCGGTACTCCATCTGTGTGATTTGACACTGTCTCCAATCAACCTCCTTTGTAGGTGCATCACTTCGGATAGTCTGGCGGGTGATTCGATCGTTGGGCTCTAGAAAATCGGACACTGGTGAGCTTGCCGAACGCTTGAATTTCACCATGAGCTCTAGCCATCTAGTAGCTGATCCGGGAGCATAGCCTTTGAGCTTCTTATTGAAGCAAGCCATATATCCACGCTCACGGATCTGCGGTAGGTAATAATCGCGTGTGTTGACCGAGGCACCACTGCAGTCGTAGCCAATGTTTTCATAGTCCGTTAGCATGCGGTCCCAGTCTGCTCCGCTCACATTCTCCAGTAACACGATCGAAGGTCGAAAGGCTCTACAATACGAGAGTACTGCATTCCAGGTATCCGCAGACTCGCCGCCGGCGTCGAGATCCYTCTGGTAGGTGTTTAGACCTGAGAAATCCACGCAAGAGGTACCGGCGATAACCACATCAACCTCCTTCGGCACGGGGACCTTGCCGCCATAGGCTGTCGTGGCCATGGGCTCCTCATTGCTGACCACGCTCGTGAGCTCGGTAATGTCCCTAAATATGACAGGTGGGTTGAAGTTTCGCTCGATGTACGCCTGCTTGAAGGGGACAATTTCCGCGGAGAAGAGGTGCTCAACCTTTAAATGCAGGTCGCTCTTTGACAGACAGTCCGCGATCATTTCTAGCGCGAGCAAAGGACTCTCCGTTCCAGAGCACATTGTAGCGACTCGAATGGGTCTTGCGTCGAGGCCGGTAATAACGCTATCAAGTCCTAGCTTGCGAGCTTTCGCCGTCATGTTGCAAAAGATGTCCTCGGTCTCGAACATTGGAGGTAAGGTGTAATTGATCTTCTTCGCCTCCGCGTTGCCACTCTTCAAGTTGACCATTCGTTTGCGACTGCCTTTGGAACTGGCTGTAGGCTTTGAATCTTTGCTAGTACCTGTTGGTTTCGCTTTACTCGCTTTACTCGCTTTACTCGCTTTACTCGCTTTGGCGGGTTTTGCCCGTAGCGCATCGTATTCGTCTTCGTTCTCTTCGCATCCCTCATCGACGCTTGTCTCGCCAAGATCCTGCGCAAGCTCCAGTTCCAACTCATTATAGTCCTCCGAGACGGCGGCGTCGTCGTTCTCATTAGCCGCGAAATCGGCATCGTCATCATCTTGATATCGCGACTTTGCCTTTCGAGATGTCACTAAAGGCCTGGAAAGCTCGTCCTCTGATTCGGCAAGGTCCATGTTGATATACGACTTGCGTGCGTTGCGTCTTGATCCGCGACGAGGAGACTGCTCGTCACTTGCGGAGGACATTGCGACGTGGGTTGGCGGCGTCGCATTATCGTATATGTCCAGCTCGACTGCTTGAGAACTTGGACGCTCCAAAATGTTAAGGGTAGAAACCTTGGAACTGACTCCCCTGCGCAAATCCACGAACCCACTAGCATGCATTGATGGCTTGGAGATATAGTTGGACTTCTGCCTACGAGAAGACGCCACTGATATCGTATTGGACGATAAGGACCCGGAGACTGGCCTAGCCGGTGATTTGGTAGCTGGCTGGCGAGCAGCAGGACTGGGAGCGAATATTCTTCTGGTCGCCTCGGATGCAGGCCTCGAACACTCGGCGACATCCTGTGGGTGTGGCATTACCGGCTTCACGTACAGCTTCCTTTTCATTTTCTGTGYGAAGTCTTCCTCGCTCAGATCGGTCTGGTGATTGGATTTCAGCTCACCAAGTGGACGGTGATGGGATACAATGATCTCGTCGTCGCTGTCACCGCGTGACAAGTCGACAAATGCTCGCTTGGGACGCTTGGCAGCGGGTTCCACATTCTCGTCGTTGTTAATCGACTCCGCAACCGCATGGCTGCGCTTCTTGCCGTTTCCAGGTGTAGAGCTCACGGGAGTAGTAGTGGTAGCTGTATGTGTGGAAGTTCCAAGACCGATCCAACGGCGCATGAATGAGGCCATTCTGGGATGAGGTGAGGCGTCACTTTCTGTTATCTCATGGGTGGGTCTGTAGTTTGGAAGTTTGGTATGTACTAAATGTGATGTAGGAACGAGGTGCTTCGTAGCCGTCTGGGTGGTAAAGCCGAAGGGTGGGTGTGAAGACGCGACGAGGGGGAAGACGCGAGGAAGTCGCGACGGAGGACCCTGAAACCTCAATGCCCGGATGACAACCGAACGCCGATATGAGCGAAGGAGCATCCGCATCCACATGCAGAGGAGCCTGGTCATTTTGCTCAGTTATCGTACGTTGACGAGTTGTTACTTGAGAAGAAACCACTTTTAGGGCGTGCAGTCCTCAGGCGGAACTGCCTGGACTGAACAGCAGGGATCCTAGGGAGTGAAGGTCCATATTCGTAGCCCCCAGCACAGAACCTGGAAGGGACAAGACGGGCGGATGCTCACGATGGGAGAGATTCGGCTGAACTAGAGCGAGCAGCACGAAATTCACAATCAACTTGGAACGCTCATTGCTGCCCAGGGTCAACAACCGAAAGTGACGGGAGGTGGAGTTCGAATCCTCGAAAGTTCAAGATCACTCCACTAAACTTGAACTAGTGCAAGTCAGCGAAATCTTGGCTGATTTCTTTCTTCACCTCACCGACCGCCGCCAGCAGCGTCACACGCACTTCGACACGACATCCTCTTCTGCCGAAGACCCGGAAATGGAGCCAACCGAAGATCCGCTGGAAGGTCTCGAGGTAAATTTGCCGTTATTACAGCACTTCCTGCAGCGCTGACACTACACCTGCCACAGGAACGCCTCCAAAGTCACAATAAAGCATTCGAGTCACTACTCGCCCTCACACCCGCGCGCCAACATTTCGGCAGTCAGATCGAAGATGGCCTAGATCCTTCCGAACAATGGACCCGCAAGAAGCAGACCAAAGAGCAGAAGAAGGCGGCGAAGAAGGCAAAACTCGACCCCGCCAACCAGAAGAGCGCGCTGGACGTTATGAAGGAGCGCGAGAAGAAGCGCAAGCGTGAGCTGGGAATGGAGGACGAAGATGCTGGTGAGGGAGCTGGCGAGGAGCACGAGAAACCGGCCAAGTCAAAGAAGCAGAAACAAGAGCTTGAAGGCGAGGCACTAGAGGCGAAAAAGAAGGAAGTGAATGAGCGACAAAAAGCGAAGCGCGAACAAAAGAAGGAGAAGAAGGCTGCGATAAAGGCCAAGGCGGAGGCGAAAAAGGCCGCCAAACAGGATGCGGACCTCGCCGACGCATTGGCGGAACGACAAGCGGCGGACGGTGCAGCGGAGGAGAGCGACGACGATGACAATGACGATGCCGAGCCAGTTTCACACCCTGCCGATCTTGAAGCGTTGGATGTCTCCGGACTTGCGAGCTCTGACAAGGAAGACGATGAAGACGAGGATGCATCATCAGCACCTACCAGCCCAAAGGTCGATAGCCCTGCCTTTGACATGTCCACCAACCACTCCGAAGCATCCTCTTCATCATCAATCACACCGCCGTCTCTCCTAGCGCAGCCGAAGGAGCTGACACAAAAGCAGTCAACATCCTCCACATCCGCAAAGGCAAAGGCCGACCTTAAGATAGCGCTTCCCACACAAAAAGCTCTCACCAAATCCTCCGACATTACATCAGGTACATCATCGCCCAAGATACACCTTCCCAACATAGACCAAGCAGAGTTACAAGAACGACTCCGCAAGCGAATAGAAGAGCTACGCGCGAGGAGGAAGGCTGACGGAGACGGTGGCAAGCCCGCCAAATCGCGACAGGAGCTTCTCGAACAGCGCCGCAAGAAGGAAGAGCAGCGTAAGGCTCACAAGAAGGAACTCCGCCGTCAAGCAAAAGAGGATGAAGCACAAAAACGCGAGGAACAACTGCGCGGGTCTGGTAGCCCACTCTCCACAGATGTCTTTTCCCGCGCTTCGCCGCGGCCACAAGCAGAAAACAGTTTCTCTTTCTCTCGCCTCGCTTTTGATGACGGCACAGCAGCCGACGCTTCATTGACAGAACTCCACGACCCACGCAAACGCAAGGGACCTCAAGATCCTCGTACAGCACTCCTAGCCGCGGAAAAAAAGCAAGCCCGTCTGTCGGGTCTTGATGCAGTGAAGCGCGCGGACATTGATGAGAAGGAWATGTGGTTGAATGCGAAGAAGCGCGCACATGGAGAACGAGTCAGAGACGATACAAGTTTGTTGAAGAAGGCGCTGAAGCGGAAGGAGAAAGACAAGAATAAGAGTGAAAAGGCTTGGAATGAGAGGAATGCCACTGTTGTGCAGGGCAAGCAAATGAAGGATAAAAAGCGAGAGGCCAATTTGATGAAGCGGAGAGACGAGAAGGGTAGCAAGAAGGGTGGGAAGAAACCTGCCGGCAAGGGTGCGGGTGGAGGGAAGAAGAAGCCTAGAGCTGGGTTTGAGGGGAGATTCAAGGCGTGAGTGATTTGAGTTGAGATGAGATAGTAGGAATGGAAATCGAAGCGATTGGTCCTGCCATGCTGTTTCCTGGACTATTTCCATGCGTGATAATGTTCACATATTGGTCTCATGGCCGAGTCCACAGAAGAGTTGGCCGTGTGACTTTGCTTCACTAGCCAATTGCATGATGGAATACTATCTCTGGCTTGAAGATCAAACTTAGTGAGATGTTGAACGTTCCACGCCCCAGTCGTGCGTACCTGTTGCTTGCGGATAGCCCGATCTCGCTCCTTAGGAGGAGAAGCAACATAATGGTCACCAACATTTTCTTGAAAGAGCTCATCGAATGGAATACAGATGATTTGAGACAGACCGAGATTGAACGATCGTGTTTCCTTTCTTACCTTACCTTATTATGTTCGCGCAGCTCACGACCGATCGAGAGATCTTGCTGAACATCAGCGTGCAGTGGCACTTGCCCACTGAGATGATACTCCAAGACAGTACTATGGATAAGAGCGAAGGATCCCACGGCTCTCATTGCTCATCGTCTGGACATGCATTGCTGGCATGAAAGATCATTAAAAAGATATGTTCGAGATGTTCAAGTCGAAGTGAAGTCGTGCCCATCGAATCTCAAGAAGCAAGCGCCACATCCAAACGGAATTTGCCGTGACCACTTCTCGACTTTGCCCATCTCATCGATCATCAAAGAAGAAACCACCCAAATCCAACCACCACTCCTCCACTACACAGACCTCAACATGTTCCGCACCGCCCTCCTCCGCTCCGCACGATGCGTCGCCCAGCAGACTAGCGTTCGCGCCGCCTCACCTGCCGTCCGCACCGCTCTGCGCACTCCTTTCATCACAAGCCGCATCTCCACCCCCGCGACATCACTCTCCGCCGTACGGTGCTATGCTTCCTCTTCCGGACTTGGACAGGAGGAAGTTACTGGAAGRATTCTGGATCTGTTGAAGAACTTTGACAAGGTATGCTAGCTGGGGCGATGGCATTGAGATGGGATTGAGCTAATGGGGATTACAGGTCTCGGATGCTTCAAAGGTATGGATTCGCAGGAGGCAGTTATGGATGGGTTGATATTGATGATCAATACAGCTTGCGGCGAACTCCCACTTCACCAACGACCTCGGATTGGACAGCTTGGATACCGTTGAGGTGGTCATGGCGATAGAGGAGGTTCGTGGCGTCATATACCAAGTATGCGGAGGTGGAGACTTACATCACGCAGGAGTTCAGCATTGAGATCCCAGATAAGGAGGCGGATGCCATCCACAGTGGTATGTACAGGATGAGAGTGCCGGAAGGAAAGCAATGCTAACTTGCAGCAGTGGAGCAAGCCGTGAACTACATCATGAAGCAGCCAGATGGTATGTACCTGCAAGACGACCAGGTGAGGACATTCGCTAATATGGTACAGCCCACTAGATTATTGGATGAGTGTGTTGAGTTGCAATGCTCAAGGGAGACGAGAATTTGGGCACGAGGAGAGGAAGTTGCTGGTCTGTTGAAGGYGGCGCGTGACGCATTGGCAAAGCCCACGAACAGACGACCATGTACATTTGCAGGCCGAGAGAGAGGGGCATTCCGTAAAATGTGTATTGTACCATCAACCCGACCCGCTTCCATCGTCTTTCATTTGACAAGCGTTTCGGGCGCATCCTGTGATGAATTTGTCCCTCTTCCTCCAACATCTGCTAGGCATTCGCGGGCCTTCCCGCCGGACGTCGTCCTTCCAACACCGCAAACAATTCACACGCCTCGAACTTTGCACACATTGAATTTCTATACCAACCAAACGCGAGTCATACCCAAGACACGCGACAGCTCCACCACCCCCAGATCTGGTTCTTTCACGATTGTGACGGTTGAACCTCGGCGCGCGCGCAACAAGTCGTTCACCCTTGCGCGCTGGCACAGGCATCCGCTGCTGCTAGCTGTACCTTCCAGAGAATCCTCCGTCTCTTATTTCCCGCCCACACCAACCCTCAACTTCCACCACACAAACATGGCTTCGGCCTCAGGCTCTGGTTTAACCCGGCGCCGAGGTGCAGGCGGCGGCGGCGGCGGAAACGACCCCAACTCCAACGGACTCGGCGACAACGACAGCACCTCCCGCGTAGCATCCCCCGCTCCCAAAAATCCTTCCTCCAACAACGGTCCCGAAACGTCCTATGAAAGCGGCGAGAATGGCCACAAAATCGCTTTTGATCCTCGAGATATCTCCGAGAATGAAGAGCGCTCGAAGCAGCCTAAGTTGACTCTCATGGAGGAATGCTTGCTCATGGGGTTGAAAGATAAACAGGGATATCTGAGTTTTTGGAACGATAATATCAGTTATGCGTTGAGGGGGTGTATTGTGATTGAGTTGGCGTTTCGGGGGAGGATTTCCATGCAGAAGGATTCGAATCGGAGAAGGTATCCTTTGGCGGAGAGGTTGATTGAGGTGGTGGATGATACGTTGACTGGGGAGGTTCTGCTGGACGAGGCATTGAAGATGATGAAAAGCTCAGAGAAGATGAGTGTTAGTAGTTGGATTGATTTGATGAGTGGTGAGTTCTTGTGATCCCCGTCGCAACAGGAAAGAGGGATGGTCTGGAGGAAATGCTATGGGAAGACTATGGACATGGCTAACACAGAGGAATGATTTAGGAGAAACATGGAACCTCATGAAAATCGGCTACCAACTCAAACAAGTCCGCGAACGCCTCGCCAAAGGCCTCGTGGATAAGGGAATCCTCCGCACCGAGAAACGAAACTTCCTCCTCTTCGACATGGCGACCCACCCAGTCGTCGACGGCGGCGCCAAAGATGAGATCAAACGCCGCGTACGCGCTGTTTTGACCAACAGAACTGTCGTCCTCCCTCCTTCACCTTTCTTACCCGAAGGCATGGAGTTCAGATACTTGCGAACGGTCACAATGCTCTGTGCTGCTTATGCCGCGAATGTGCTGGAGAATGCCCTCGTCACATTGACGCATGAGGCGAGGGAGAGGGCTTTTGCGCAGGTTGACGAGTTGCTGGCTGAATACTCGCAATGGCCTTTTGGAAGGAGAGTAGGCGGGCAAGCTGCGATTGGAGCGAACCTGGATGGCGTGATCAGAGAGGAGGTCAACGGTGCAAAAGACAAAGAATTGCAATTGGAGGTGAGTTTCGACTTTGATCCCCTTGGTGCTTGGGGATAATGCTGATTTTTGTGTGAAAAATAGGTTGTGGCGGCTTGTCTGAGCGTCTTCACGAGACTGGACTCTCTACTCTAGAGAGCCCGAGATGACCGGCGACTTGACCCTCGGAGTCCTCATCTCTATCACCAATCTGGAAGACGCACATGCCATTTACTGTGGTCGAGTAAGGCCACGGTGGGTGGCCAGACACATGCTCGAGACACACGGACAACACCAAATTGGTCTGTCTTGTATCCGGCTAAACCAGACCTTCCAACACTGCCGCCAAAGAAGCAGCTTCGCGGCGCGGCGTTTCWAGGCGTTGGATTTCTTTTCGATTCAAAACTTTTTCTTCGTGGGTGGGTGGGTAAAGCAGATTTTCTCAAGATAGAAAGATACCATCAGTCAAATCAGGGTCCAAAGATGAAATCTCTCTTGTTTCATCCAGAAGACTGCATATAAATAGTGAAGACACTCATATTTCTCCACGTCTATGAGCCTGCTAAAAGTACGCTGCATGCAAACGATGCTCATCACCATCATCGTCATCATCAACCAGCTACCGTGTCCCGTGTGTCGTAGCAAAGTGAGAAACTCCATCGCTAAACCCCATATGCCAGCCATCATCTATGCTGTCGTTGCCTTGTCCAGCAAATTTCCACGCCTTTTCAAACCATCAAATCTTCGTCTCCGTCATCACCATCTCCATCTCTCCCCAGCCCGCTCATACTACTCTCCATCATCGGAGGAAGAGGCGGATCGTCATACTCCAAATCCATGACATCCGCCAAGTCACCCTCGACGCCACTCCCAACCTTCTTGGTCCGCTTTGAGACATCCACAAATTCCTTCGTCAGCTGCAATCTTCGATCGGCCTCACGCACGCTGGCAATCAGCTCTGTGATTCTCTGCGTTCGCGCCTCTAAATCATCTGGACCATCCACGATGTCTGGCAGTTTGGCTTCCGAGCTGTGGAAAGTCAAGACGCCAGTTTGAGACAGCTCGGCGAGGAGGTACCCTGCTCCAATCATGTTTCGTACGAGGTCGAATGTGGCCTCCACTTCCATCTCCATCAACTCCGCCACTCTTGCGACAGGCAGCGATGCGTATGTCTTCTGTAGATCAATGACCTTGTATCTCACCAAGGCCGACGCTACTTCTCTCACCAATCTCAAATTGCCTTCGTCCGCCCAGATGCGTCCTGCCTGATCCATTTCCGCCTCATACTTTTTCACGTTTCGCTGCTCGAATGCCACGGCGAGAGCTTCGTAAGGACCGACCATGTGGCGAATCCTCTGGAGTGCTGTGGCATCCATCGTAGCGGGGAATGGGAACTGCTTTCCTTGAACCAATAGTCCTAGAAGCACCCACTTTTGATAGGCTTCGACTTGGAATGCTGAGAACGAACTGGTCTTGGATTGTGAAGGTGACAGCAGGACGTGTTCTWGGAAGAGGCGGGCGCGAGTGTGATTTCCCAGCGCCAGGTAAATCGAGCCGCCCAGGTAGTAGTATTCCAACACCCACTCTGGTCTGACCTCCGTGGACAAATGTGAGGCTTGGGTTATGAAGGCATTGCTGAAGTCGTTCTCTTCGCTGGGGAGCTCGTCGGGAAGGCGTTTGGAGGACTTGTGGGGATAGGCGTGGATGGTCTTTTCGAGGATGGGGAGTGCTTGACTGGGAACACCGCTGTGCATGGCGAGACGCAGGAGTCGGATGTGATTGCTGGTGAAGGTGCCGGCAGATGGGTCCAAGCGGAGAATTCCTGCGACGAGCGGGGAGAGGTCGGTGGCGCCGTTCTCGTACAAGACTGAACAAACGGCCTCCCACAAGAGCCGCCAGTCGTTGCCGGCATATCGTACCTGGACCGGATCGAATTGGTGGAGGAAGGGAATGGCATAGCGTTCGACGAGACCTTCTCTCCGCCTGACGTCTTTGCCAGCAGCGGTGAGTTGGTGGTTGAAGGTGATTGCGTAGGCGATGGAATTGATGGACGGATCGAGGAGGTCAAGCAGGTTCTGCTTGTCGGCCAGCTTGGAGTAGGCAACATCCTTGATCTTGGCCAATTCCTTCAAATATCCGCCGACTTGGGTGTCATAGTCCTTGGGAGACAGCTTCTTCTTGGACGTGCCGCTAGGCGGGAATTGCAGCAATGTGGGGAGAATGTCCGCCATGATGGTCGTGGTGTCGAGGGGTTTGATGGTGAACGATGTCACGGCGGGGAAGATGAGATGATCAAGGAGATTGGCTCATGACGGAGGCGGCGCGGTGAATTGGGGCGATGAAGTGAGAGAGGGGGAAGTTGTTTGCTGTCGAGATGTTTGTGTTGATTGATGATGATGAGCTTCGCTTTCGGTTTCTGATTCCGAGCTGGCGCCTTCCAATCCATGTGGAGCTGCGGGGAACAAGCTTTGACATATCAAGGTGCAGGGGTGGATTCACGGGCAGGGTCTGGCCTCGCCACGATTCAGATCTCTCTTCACATTTCATAATTCACTTGTCCACGCCTGATTGAATTATTTGATTAATCCATGGAGGTCCGGAACACAGCGCCCTGATCGATTGAACCAACCCAATCTAGCCTTTACCATGCCGCCATCCACAACCTCCTCCCGAGACACGGTCCTCTCCCGCCGAAAGATTGAATCTCTCATCGCCCAGGGCCGGAAAATCGTCATCATCGAAGATGCAGTCCTGAAAGTGGATGCATGGCTGCCCTACCACCCTGGCGGTGACAAGGCCATTCTACACATGGTTGGAAGAGATGCCACCAATGAAGTCAAAGCTTTTCACTCGTTGGAGACACAGCAATTGATGCAGAGATATCGCATCGGGAAGATTGAGCCTGGTCCATGGGTTGATTTTGTGCCTCCTATCCAAGGTGGAGCCTTCAGGGATGAGGAAGTTGGCGAGGAAGCAGTGCAAGACGAAGATGCGTCTTCGGGCACGTCCAGCTCAGAGGCCTCCCCAGTTTTTGAACCTTCAATGAGGAGGAGAAGGAGAGTCAGTGACGATGCTGCCAGCGAGTCCTCGGCTACATCCATTGAGACCCTGGCTATTGGAGAGCCTTCAAAATCCACCATAAAGACATTGGACGACCGTACACAGCAGGAAATCGACCGCGATCTGGAGATATTCCCCTCTCTCGATCCACAAACTCAACATACCATCATCGAGAAGTACAAACTCCTCGATCAACGCCTCAAGGATGAAGGCCTCTACAACTGCAACTATACTGCCTACGCGTGGGAAATTCTTCGCTACACCCTCCTCGCCAGCACATCCTTCTACCTCCTCCGAACGGKCTGGTATATTCCCTCCGCCATGTTCCTAGGTCTCCTCTGGCATCAATTGGTATTCACGGTCCACGACGCCGGACACATGGGTATCACCCACAACTTCCACGCCGACTCTGTCATCGGCATCTTCATCTCCAACTTCCTCGGCGGCCTCTCCTGCTGCTGGTGGAAACGCAACCACAATGTCCACCACATCGTCACAAACTCCGCAGAGCACGATCCCGACATACAACACATGCCTTTCTTCGCCATCTCCCACCGTTTCTTCAACAATCTAACCTCGACATACTATGACCGAGAAATGACTCTGGATGCGTTCGCGAAGAAAGCTTTGCAGTACCAACATTACCTCTACTACCCCATCCTGGCCTTTGGTCGCTTCAATCTCTATGTCCTATCCTGGCAGTACATCTTCTTAGGCCAAGGACCTCGAAAGGGACCAGCATGGTGGCATCGCTATCTCGAAATGGCCGGACAGGTCTTCTTCTGGACATGGTTCGGGTATGGAGTCTTGTACCGCTCTCTCCCCAACGCAGGCACGAGGATCGCGTACTTGATGATCTCACACGCCATAACCATGCCTGTTCATGTACAAATCACATTGAGCCATTTCGCCATGTCGACCGCCGATCTTGGTGTGAAGGAATCATTCCCTCAACGAATGCTTCGAACTACGATGGACGTCGACTGTCCGCCTTGGCTAGACTTCATCCACGGCGGACTTCAATTCCAAGCTGTACATCATCTATTCCCAAGGATGCCAAGACACAATCTTCGTGCCGCACAGAAACATGTCAGGGATTTCTGTGAGGATGTCGGGATTCCATATGCTATCTATGGATTTGGAGAAGGGAATGGAAAAGTTATTGGAAGACTTGGAGAAGTTGCGCAACAGGCGAGGATGTTGGCCGAGTGTCAGAAAGCTGCTGCGAAGGATCTGATTGAGGGGCATTAGATGGTTACGGAGGTGTATATAAAGTAACGATGAACAACGAGCAATTCACACAATACAGATCGCCCTAGGGATTGGGTCTGGACCCACACTTACACTCCCTTAAGCAGTGAAAAGTCGMCCGAATTGCCCTTCCGTCCCAGCTCCTCGTCGAATTCTCATTTTACGACGACATCTGCGAAATCAGATCCTGATCGGCCGAAAGCACAAGATCCGCGCTCGAAAAAACAGATGCCTGATATACATGGTCCGGTGTGAGCTTCGGAACGTGTTACGCTCAGGTTGGGTGCACGAAGCTGTGGGAGGATTTTGGAGGAAAGTATATACGATATACTCTCCTGTTACAAGWGCTGAAGTTTAATCATAATGGAAGCCCTGTATGTTCGTTTGGACGACGGATCGTCGAGATCAAATTGGAAAAATCCCGAACAGGTTGGTTTTGTCATTCACTTTATATAGCGCTAGGAGATCAATCGAAGCGCGACGGAGACGCTAATCGTGTGGTCTTTATATACGCAGCATTTCAAGATACGGAGATTCCAAGCAACAAACCGAGACCTGGTTTGAGATTGTTATATTATGCAATCGTAGCTCCCCACAACGGATATTGTGGATGCGATGCATTGTCCGGATGTGAGAAGCTGTGGCGATATAGTTCGGATCCTCTTCGAGATTTATCAAGCTCCTTTTTCGCTAGATTGTATGGATTCTGCGAGATTGAWTGATGGCTGCTTGAGATTGATTAAGCATGTGACTTGCTCTATGTGTACACTCGGATCCCTCCTTTGGGGACCTGATTCAATATGAGCACTCTTTTAACATTGCGGACCTCGGGATCTCCTTCGTAGACAGCGCTAGATTCCTAATTACAAGCTGTGTTCATGGCTGGGACATCTGTCGTGATTTGTAAAGAGCTTTCCACAAATTTGCAATTCCCAATTTCAAGGCTCTCGGCGGGTTTCATCGTTACTCCTTAAAGTTGTTCACAAGGAGGCACGAGCTGAGATGGATCCAGCCTTTCCTTCCAATCTCAAATCTGACCACATCCAAGTTGTTCCTCCATCTTGACAGAGACAGATCTTTTCAACACTTACTCAGCATCCACCACGCTACCTGTGTTTATTCATAATGGCGCCTCGATCCTGGCAACGTCGGCGCAACCGCCCTGACGGCAAACTACCTCGGCCGACCGCTGCGCGACGTCGAACAGGTCACTCCGCCTTTTTAGGGAGATGTTCCATCAGAGATTTACGAAGATTCATCAGCCAGCGAATGGGGAAGGCCGCTCCATCGTGGATTTCCACTGCCGATCGTTGGTGGTGCACCAGGAAGCTCAAAGAGTTGGATAAAGACAGGCGATTCCCAGGCTTCATGAAACTACCCAAAGAAATTCGGTGAGACTCCCGGCGATGAATGTCTCAGTGAACAAATCCTAACGGCATTCAGGTGGGATGTCTACAAGAGGTTGATGGGAGTCCATAGCGAGAGGCCGCAGAGGAGCCTGTCTACGAATCGAAACGTTACCTCAACTGCGAATACCGCCATCCTCTACGCTAACAAGCAGATCAGCTCTGAAGCTTCTGAATATCTGAGACAAGGCAATGTCGCCTACACTWGCTATGCCGACGGCAAGATCTTACCGGAACCTGGATCGCAGCCCCAGACCATTGCCAATGTCTCCATATATCTTTCCAGCTGGGGCAAAAACGAAGGAAAGCTGGCAGAACTCATCATCTGGCACCTACCTCTCAGAACCCTCAAGTTCGTTGTAGGTCACAAGCATCATGCAAAACGCAATAATAGCGAGGAAGGAATGCAGGAGCTTCTCGGGCCGCTGAAAGGGCTGCTTTCCGAGACTGAGGTTCAGATGGTAAATTTCGATCCACAAGTGGAGGATGCCGCGAGGAGAGCGATGGCGGGCGATCCACTTAAAGTCAAGAATATTGCCATCGAGAACAAGTATCCTGCGATATTTGATTCTGCGTACAAGGCCTTCCAAAAATACTTTGGTAACACTGCTTCGGCGGACCAGCCGAGCGCTGCAGATGAAATTGCTCCTATGGATGCTCCCACGGCTGGGGAGGCGCCTTCGGCCATGAATGCGTCCATGGATGGGGTGGACGAGACGAAAGTCATCTCTGACAGTGAGACTACCTCCGAAGGCGAATCGAATTCTGGCGATGACAAGAGCTTCGAGGACAACCACTCCTCGAACGACTCTGATTCCGGTGACGACTCCAGTCCCGGCAACGCGCCCGGGCCCCAAAACGGGTCTGATCCGAGAAATGAACCACCTTCTGGTAGCGAGTACTCACCCTCAACGCAATCATCTGCAGAAGAAGGATCTCCAGAAGATCGAAGGCCCGCTAATGGGGACAATCCTTCTGACAGTTTGAAAGTTGATTACATGGAGCGATCTTACCTTACATGCCGATGGATTGGTGGGCAGGAGTCTCACTTCAGGTGGGATTGCGTTTCTTCGGAGCGGCCGCAGTCTTTGACGTCTTGTATGTAGAACAACCTCAAGCTCAAGATGATGCCCAAGTGCTTCAAGGAACGGGTTGTGAATGCAGTCAGGCGATGTTTGAGGCAAGCAGCGAATTGATCGGATCGTCGTCTCTGCTTAATCTTGGGTGACTGCGCGGTGGGTCGGATGATCCTTTAAAGATCTGATGCCGCTGAGAGTGTTCATTTATGGGTCATTCATTGGGGCTTGATGTTTGGGGACACATTCTCGCTGTCTTTCAAAGCACACCGGTTTGGTTGCATGTATTAACGGTCGTTTGACAACTCACGTCTCAAGAATCGAAGTCATTGTGGTGTCGTGATCTAAGGCATCGGAGAAGTTCCAGCTCCTGACTCTTTCGGCGCAGCTGTGAAGTTACTGGAGTGCTGCAACACTCATCACTTCGACGCGTCCGGTGCCAGTCGTCAATGCAGACCGAATTGAAGGTGTTCGACGCACAGTGCTGCCGGACAGTTCCATATCGCCCACACGCCAGGCAGTCTCAGTTCTCCACAAATTCAATGCCGCCGCGCTCTCTGAGAACAACAATGAAGATGACCAGCTCAAGGCCAGAATAGTATCAAGGTAATCATCTGGAGTATCGAGGACGTGACGTTGACATCGGCGGACCAAAAAGACAGGGATAGTCCCGATCTAGTCCGAATGCGGACATGTGTTTAGACGCGACTTCCATCCGCAAACACCGACGTGATTGTTTGATTTTAGTATTCACTCACAGGTTCCTGCCCACGATGGCGCGGGCCAATCAACCGACATATGATTTTCTATCAGGAGGTGATATGGCCCCTCCTCCTCCACCAATGCGACAATCCTTCCGCGACACCATGAAGCAATCCACCACCACATCCCGCGCCGATGTCAGCACCGAGGATCTTCGCGCACAGCTTCGCACCGTGCAATATGAACTTGATTCGATGAAGCAGGATCGCGAATTGAATGATTTGCATCAGCAGCAGGAATTGCGGGAGGCGCAGAATCGTGCGGAAGCGGATTATAAACGGGCTGTTGCGGCGGAGAGTGCGGCGAGTGTTGCTGCGAAGAAAGTGGAGGGTTTGGCGAGGGATTATCAGGAAGTTCAGGATCGGGCGGCGAATGAGAAGAGTTTGTTGGAGAGTAAGATTCGATCTTTGCAGGATGACAATCGGTCTTTGAGGGATGATTTGGAGGAAGCGAGGGCGGATTTGGAGTCGCAGCAACGGCAGGGGAAGTATGAGTTTGGTGAGCTGGAACAGAAATATGCGGCGCTGCAGGCGTCCGTGGAGGACATTCAGCAGGATTTGACGGGCAAGGTTACTGCACTTCAGACTACACAGCAGAAGCTTGTTCGAAAGGAGGCGGAGGTGGGACAATTGGAGAATGAGGTGTTGAAGTTGAAGGCACAGTCTGGAGATTCGGACACTCTTGCTGTTATCAAGAAGGAGCTCACAGAACAAGTGGCGTATGTGAAGAAGTTGGAAGCTATGAACAGGGAGCAGACTGCAGAGATCAAGCAGTTCAGAAAGGTGCAGAAGGGGGTTGAGGTGGTTGAGGAGGAGAAGCATGCATTGGAGGTGAAAGTGCGGATGATGGAAGATTTGAGGAGGGAACTTGCAGAGTCACAGCTTCAGCGACGAATCCTGGAAGATGAGAAGCTAGGCTGGGCGAGTTATCTCGAGAGTGAGGCACCTGGAGAGGAGGATCTACGGTACGACACACCCGAGCAGATGGTCAAGGCCTTGCTGAAGGAGCGTCTGGAGAAGCTTGAGCTACTGGACAAGCTCGGCAATGTTCAGCCTGAACTAACTGTGCGAGACGAGAACATCCGGAGTTTGGAAGAGCAGAAAGACAACCTAGTCGCTGAGCTGGAACAATTAAGAGCAGCTTCTGCCAACAGCAACGGTGCCTCGGCGAGCGACGCAAAGGCTAAAGCTCGTCTTGAACGACAGAAGAATCTGCTTGTGAAAGAGGTTGAGTATCTGCGTGCACAGATGAAGACTTTCGAAGCTGAAGAAGCAGAGTTCACGCCTGAGCAAGTTGACGAAGAGCGGGTCAAACGCGAGCACCAGCTTCAAGGGATGATCGAACAGTATCGATCGGAAGTGGAGACGCTCCGAGGCGATTTGTCCAAGGTCGAAATGCAACCACCAATGCAATCGCCTAGAAAGCGTGCTCGAGAAGACGACGACGATGAAGGCGCGAATGAGCGTCTGGGTGAGATGCGTCGTAAGACCCGCACGCTCCAGAACGAGCTCGAGAAGTTGCATAGCCAAAATCAACTCCTCGAGGCGGAGCTCAAAGTCAGTGTTTCGCAAGTTACCAAACTCAAGGAATCCTCACGCACCCGTGTGCTTGAGTTGCGCAACAACCCTACTGCAGACGCGGAGGCTGTCAAGCTCGCCACTCTTCGAACTCTGCGAGAGGAGAACGAAGCGCTCCTTTCCCAGCTGGAAGGCAGGAGTGGCGGCACCAAAGTCGTACCCATCAGCACATTGGACAACGTCCGCCAACAACTCGATGAATACAAACTCCAAATTGGCAAAATGGAGAAGAAGGAGCTCCGTCTCAAGCAAATCTGGACGGCCAAGTCTCTCGAATTCCGCGAAGCCGTCTGTAGTATTCTAGGTTGGAGGCTAGATTTCATGCCGAATGGAAGGGTGAAGGCGACGAGTATCTTGTATCCCACGAGTTGGAACAACGGGGAAGAAGAGGAGAATAGTATCGTGTTTGATGGGGRGAATGGAACGATGAAAATCAGTGGGGGGCCCAAGAGTGCTTTTGCGGGGGAGTTGAAGGGGAACATTGATTTTTGGGTCGAGGGCAGAAAGGAGATTCCGTGCTTTTTGGCGGCTTGTACGTTGGAGTTTTATGAGAGGACTACGAGGGCCGCGAGGGGTTGAGATGGCTGGGAGGAGGTTGTTTGTGAGAATATGATACCCGGAGGTTGAGAGCATGGGATGGAAGCGTCAAAGTGCTAGGTAGCTACTTTCTTCCATTGTGACTGTATGTCTAAATCCATAGATGCAGGTTGCGTAGAATGAATGACAACTGAGGAAGTACAGTACTACCTTGGGGCAAAAGTGTTGGCCTTGGCAAACGCCAACTCCAGAACGCGTTTCTCTCACGTAGTACACGAAGGTTAAACTTCGGAGTGGGGATTGGGCCAAGACGAGACATGCCAACCTAAACTTTGACCAGGTTGATGAGACAGGCTCATCAAAACAACGGACATTGTTCGTTCAACGCCAATGATCATTCAATGTTTGGCATCGCCACCCTTCGCCCACATGGTGTGGCGCGGTATGCCCCATGCCTCAAGCATGCGCGTCTTCCAGCCTCGACCACGGTAGGGAAATGTGCACGTCGATTCGTTGTCATCAGAAGAGTTACTGGCGACGGCAAAGACAGTTCATCCAACCGCCACAGAGAACAGAAGCAGGAGCGGCATCACAGGCCACTAGCTGTACGAAGAATATATGCTCGGGGCCAGCATGAACGGGATAGCGATGCTGTTGCCACGAACCCCACAGATGAGCAGTTCTACGACTACTTCCTCAAGGAATTCAAGGCCGTAACCACCAAATACAACCTGGAGCCGGCTGCATGGCGCAACTTTATCCAATTGAAGCAGGATCTACCTCCAGCCTTGCAGCAAGACCCCGTTAGCGTGCTGGATAGCGGAACGCGGGACCTGGATCTGGTTCGACAATGTTTGGAGCGGTTTGTTGCGCTCACGTGCATGGAATTTCCTGGGAAAGAAGAGCAGCGTGAGAAGTACCGGCAGCTCAAACCGGGAAGCCGCGCTCTCCTGTGGTTGCTCAATGACGACGGATTCCACAAATTCGACTTGATCCGACACCCCGAATTCTTGCGAGTTGTCGTGCATTGTGTTGTTGCTGATGGGGGCGAGCAATTCTTACGGCACTGGCTTTCTATCGACGAGACCCCTTCATTCGCCACCTCAAGGACGCCACAGGAACAAGTGCGGTGGAAGGGGGACGTGCTGCGATTTCTGATACACAGTACCATGTACTGGAGTGGGCAGCAGGCCGCCTTCGAGCAGTTCGAGCATGCCGTAGCAATGACGGCCACCACAGCTATATCTGAGCAAAGTTGTATACCCCTCTTACCGGCTGGTATCGTATTGCGAAAGGCGATATTGGGCCCCACATCCAAGCAAGACTTTACCCAGCCCGTGTTCCGTCGATTTGTAGAGAGCTGCGCAATGTGGATCAACGACCAGGATGAGCTCCACTTTCTCCGTGGGCGTTTACTCCTGCACGATCCAGTCGCACCGCAACCACTCGAGGCGCTCCGATTTTTTCAACGCTGTGATTCGAAACCACCATCTCCCTTTGTCCGCGACCTGTTCGAACCGAGGGGAAGACTAGCATCTACTGCGACCTTCTACACGATTACGCGCACAGCCCAAGTCTTGGACCAAGGCGGATATCTGACCGAGGCCAAATGGCTTCTCGACTTTGGGCGTAGGCGTTTGCCGAATTGCTTCGCATGGCGAGGTGTAGATCTTGCTGTCTAAGTGGATCTCCGCGATATGTATACACGTCAGAGAGATCGWTCAACAGGTTCTGCTTCTCGGATCGAGCAGGGCATCATTGACGGGATCGAAGAGCTCTCGAAACATGATGAGGGCCCATCAAGATCATGATACTCCATCCAGTTGCAGGATCTACCAATCGACTGCACGAACCCGACTACCAGTTTCACCATGTCAGACCTCATGGAATGTCACGACCACCTTGACATAGCTTCGATAGTGAATGAGCACGGGCAGAGAAGACGAGGTGGGCCAGACCATCAACGATCAGGTATTGTCCGTTGACTACTCTTTCAAGAGGAGGAGCTGGGARCGAATGGAAGTATCTCGTTCTCGATGGAAGCTCCAGCAACGTTATCAAGACAACAAGCGTCGTCGATCAAATCATGWACAACTCCCCATCAATCCACCACCAAAAAAGACAATCTCACCGACCCCACAGCCCTTGCCACCAAACCTCGGGATCAAACTCCACATTCCCACGCCTAGCATCATCCACCGCAAACGCAATCGCCGCGCGCGTCACAATCCATTCGATCAAAATAACAACATCCCCCTTAAACCTCCTCACCTCCTCATTCTGCTCCACAATCGCCCGTTCCACAGCATCCTCCATCGTCTCCGTGCGAGGAAATTCTCCCAACGCATTGTACAATTCAGCATACAGCACGGTCGCCGGCGGATACCGATATATTTCCCCGCCGTGTGCCGCATATATCTGCACGAGAAGTTGTAAATGTGTGTCGATGCGCTGTAGGACGTGGCCCCATTCATTTCTACATTGGAGGTGGATTTCTATGGCGTGAGCGTCTTCTTGTGGAGGAGGAGAGGAGGCTAAGCGGGCGATGCTTGCTAGAGCGTACGGGAGGAGAGAAGGGGGGTCGAGGATGGTTTTGTGCGTCAATCCGAGGAATTGGGTTCTAAAGGGGCGGTTGTTTGGGGTTAGGTGCTGGAGATAGGCGTCGAAGTCTTCGATTAGGGAGGGGAGGGCGTGCGGGTCGAGGGTTGGGGAGATGGTGAGGGGGTTGAAGGGTTCGATGTTCGGGGGCCAGTCGATTGTGTTTGTTATGTCTTGATTTTCTTGTGGGTTGTCGTTGTTGTTGTCGTTGTTGTTGTTTCCGCCGAAGACGGCTTCGTCCTGGGGACCATCGTGGTCGATGTTGTCGGCTCTGGTGTCGTTGTTCGCGTCATTATCATTCCCATCATTCCCACCATTCCCACCATTCCCACCATGGCCACCATGGCCACCATGCCCACCATGCCCACCATGCCCACCATGCCCACCATCGCCACCATCGCCACCATCGCCACCATCGCCACCATTGCCATCATTCCCATCATTCCCTTCATTCCCATTTCCCTCTCCGTCTTCCGACTCGAAATCCGATTCCCATACTTCTTCTTCTTCTTCTGGAGGAGGATAGTCGAAGAGCTTCGCGCGACAATTCGGGCAGGTATTTTCGCGATTCAACCATTCTAGCAGACAGAACGTGCAGAAGTAATGTCCACAAGGTGTTTGGACGGGTTGGGTGAAGGAGTGGAGGCCGATACTGCAGAGTTCTTCGTCGTCCAAGGGAGTGGTGATTGGAGATAGGTGATAGGCAAGGAATACGTCTCGAAATGGAAGGGACATGGTGGATCGTTCGTCGAGGAGGGGAAGACGAGGAGAAGAGGTTCTTGGAGGGTGGGTTTTGTTTTTGGATGCGAAAGAGAAGAGGAAATTAGGAACGGAGCCGGCCGTTGTGGTGAAGGGGAGGTGTGAAGGAGTGTGTGTGGAAATGTTAAGCTGAATGATTATTGAGAGGAGAGGATTCTGGAAGGCGAGAGATTTCGGTGGTATGTTAAGAAAAGTGGCGTGAGACATGAGTCTTAGGTTGAGGGATTTGGTGATTAATGTCTTGATCTCATGGCACAGTTCTGATTTTGATTCCGATTCACGTTGGAGGCAAGACTTGTCTTCGGTTGGTGTTGGAGATATTCACAATTTGAGTGAAGTGAGACGATGGTTCTTGGATGGGAGACTTTTGGTGGTCGGGGAGATTTCTCTTTTAATTGAGAGGGTGGATGGAGCCCCTGAGGGTACTGACGCACATTATTGTGTCAATCACTGACGGCACAGGTAGGACCGAGAATGTAATTTGTACAGATTACACATTACACAAATTCAATACAGCCGCTCAGATAACAGATGTTCATTATCTCCATCATATTACTCTCCATCACAAACCCCACCCACCCATTCTCTTCCCACCACCCTTCATCAAGACATGAAACCATCATCGCGATCATCCGGATGATGTCCAAACCAAATATTAAGCCGTCTTTCGACCTGAGAATCTATCAACCCCTGAAGCTCCGTCCCCACGACCTGCTTGTCTTCTTTTTTGACTAACGGGGCGAAAAGTTTCTCGTGACAAAGTGGACAGGTATTGTTATCTATCAGCCATTTCAACAGGCCTTTTGTGCAGAAGAGATGCTTGCAAGCCGTTTGAATCGGTTCGAAGGGAAGGACGTGGCAGATGCCGCAGAGGTCTTCTTCTTCGTTTAAGGGTGTTGTGATGGGGTGGATATAGTAGGCGAGGAAGTGCTCTTTTGGGGGAAGAAGCTCCTCTGATTGGGGAGGAGGGGAGGAGAGAGGTGATTCTGATGTTGGAGAGGGGGGTGTTGGTTCTGATGTTGAAGAGGGGCATGTTGGTTCTGATACTGAAGAGAGAGAAGTCGTCTCTGATTTTGGAGATTGGGGAGTCCGGGCCGATGTTGGAGAACACATGATAAGGTGCTGGGTTGTTGAAGTGAAGGAAGTGTAATAACGGGCCAGCCGTTTTTCGTTTGAAAAGGAATTAGTAAGAGAGCGAGAGAAGATAATGAACGAATGGATGAGTATGTAGGGAAAGGCAGTGTCAATATCTTGAGCACGCCGCTGATATATTCGGAAATGTGCTGTGAGACTGTTGTCTCGACGGGAAGCTGAGCTCAAGAAATGTCTCGAACACGACCCCATCATGTTGTAAACATGTATTATCTGTCTTGTCAGTGTGAGGAAGACCGAGCTCTCTATACCGTCAGCTAACATCACTTTTATAATCAACGACTGGAGAGCTAGCAAATGTACACTTCACTTCAACTTCCTAAAAGAGTTAGCAGGAAGATGGGGTGATTTCAAGAAGAGGCAAGTTTTCCCGAAGACTCTCGCCTCGAGATACCTTACGCCAAGCAAGTGCGATGCTTATCGATAAGAGGTTCGTTCACGTCACATGCAAGGATGCCTCATGACCCACCCCATCACAACCATCACTTCCATTTCCCGCATCTGCACTCCAACATCGCTCTTTCCGGATTTCTTTACGGGGGATGGAAATATTCACGGCGACGAGCTCCAGCTAGCCCGGCCCGCGACTTATACTCTGCCTTCCTGCGATAAGATACCTAGGCCTGATAACTTGGTTGTTGTTGCATCTTCGACCCGTATACCTCGACAATGGACGATCTACTCTCCTCGCGCGTTCTCTCCCGCTTCCTGCCCGTGGCCGAGGGCGATGTGTCGGTGTATGAGGGCCTGCGACACAACCCCTCCCGCATCCCACCCGACGTGGAAGCGCAGCGGGCCGGACGGAATCCCGCTCGGTATCACCAACCCTTCCACGACGAAGACGAAGACGACGATCCCGACGCCTTCCTGTATAATGTCAACGAGTCATCTCCATCCACCGCGTCGCCGGTGATGACACAGCCGCGAGGACAGCAGTCCAAAGGGAAACGAGGTCGGAGAGCGGATGAGGACGACGATGTGCCGGAATCCTTATTGATGGAGCTGAAAAAGGGCGGGAAAAGCAGGACGGGAATCAGTCGGGGTACGGGAGGTGTCGGCGGGGGCATGATGGAGTCCAAGCTGGCCAAAGCCGAAGCGCAGTGGAGGACGACCCAAGAACAGCAAGGATTACATCCATCGCATGCTCCACGAAACCCTCGTGCGCACTCCAGATCCTCCTTTCCTGCATCTACCGCCCCTCCCATGGGTAACCGGCCGAATCCACAAGCTGACGCAATGTGGCTATACACCAACGCTAGCAATCTCGACGGATTTCTCTTGGAAATCTACCAATACTTTGTCGGTCACGGAGTCTGGTCCATCTTGTTATCCCGCATCTTGACCCTTCTGACGGAACTCTTTGTCTTTACCTTTTCCATGTTCCTCACCACATGCATCGACTACTCCAAGATCCCGCACAGCAAGTCCACCTCGGAGGTTCTGATTGGAAAGTGCATCGCCAAGGCGTCATGGTTCAAGCATGCCGCCATCTTCTTCTTCGTCATCTACTGGCTGTCGAGATTACTGCAGAGTCTTCAAGACACCCGTCGCCTTCTCCGCATGCGCGATTTCTACCAACACGTGCTGGGAATCAGCGATGACGATCTCCAAACTGTATCTTGGAGGCGGGTTGTGGACGGCATGGTTAAGGTCCAAAACGCCCACGTAGCCACCGCCAAGATCTCTCCCAACGCGAAGAAGTACATGAAGTACAAGGAACCTCAGCAAAAGCTCACGGCTGAAAGCATCGCCAACCGACTGATGCGACAGGATAACTACTTTGTGGTACTTTATAACAAGGACATCCTGGACTTTACCCTTCCACTGCCATTTGTGGGAACGAGGCAGTTCTACTCCAAAAGTCTGGAATGGTGCATCGGACTCTGCTTGTCCAACTTCATCTTTGACGAACAGGGCAGTATCCGACCGTTCTGTCTCGACGTCAAGAACCGAGCCGCGCTGGTGGGAGCCATGCGGACGAGATTCCGGATCGCTGCCCTCGCGAGTGTGGTCTTGTCACCTTTCAACATTATTCGATTCTGTTTGCTATACTTCCTCCGATACTACACGGAGTTCACACGCAATCCCTCAAAAGCCAGCGCGCGCTCCTTCACCCCTTTCGCGGAGTGGAAGATGAGGCAGCTGAATGAGTTGCAACATCTGTTCGACCGCCGCTTGAAGCAAGCCTACCCATTTGCGAATGACTACCTCAAACAATTCCCCAAGGACAAGACGGACCAAATCTGCCGTTTCGTAGCCTTCATCTCTGGATCCTTTGCCGCCGTCCTGACACTCGCCACTCTTCTCGATTCCGAACTCTTTCTGGGGTTTGAAGTCACGCCGGGACGGACGGTGGTCTTTTGGTTGACGGTCATGGGTGTCATCTTTGGAATTGCGCATGGCTCTCTGCCGGATGAGAATGAGACCCATGATCCTATCATCCATCTCCGAGATGTCCTCTACTTTACCCACTACATGCCGAGTCATTGGAAAGATCGCCTCCACTCCAACGAAGTCAAAGCCGAGTTCTCGGCAATGTATCAGATGAAGGTCTTGATCTTCGTCGAGGAGATGCTTTCTCTCGTTGTAGCGCCCTTTATCCTCTGGCGGAATTCGGAAGCGCGGCAATGCGAGCGTCTCATTGACTTCTTTCGAGAACAGACCGTACACGTCGAAGGAATCGGCCACCAATGTAATTTCGCAGTCTTCGGCTTCAAGAAGGATGTCAATGTTAGTGATCCTAGAGAGGTGTTGGAAGGTGAGGATGGTTTAAGAGACGACTACTACGGACTGAAGGATGAGAAGATGGAGGCCAGCATTCAGAATTTTGCACAATACTACTCTCACTACCGCGAGCGAAAGGGCGAGGGAGGACATCGACGCGGTGCCAGTGGTGGAGGAGGGTGGCAGGCGCCGAGAGAGTGGTCTGATATGCGTAAGAGTGGGACACCAGCTATCAGAGAAGAGGGCGCGGGACGGAGAAGTGAGAGGAGAGGGCCCAGTTCTTCCACCATGCTCTCTCCACGACAGACTGCGGCGCATCATTCACGACATCCCCCACCGACATCGAGGAGGAAGGTTGCTGCACCCTTCTCTCCACCAACCCAACCTTCTCGAGGCGGAGCACCACTTGGAGGCATCACGGAAAGTCGCATCATGGCTGATGATTCCGATTTGAAGGATTTCGCCGACGCTCCTGGGAATATCGGAGGCATGTTGGACAGTTCAGATGATGATGATAGTGAAGCTGAGGATGGAGAGAAGAGAGACGGAGTGGGGAATGCCGGGGTGTTGGGGATGTTGAGTCAATTTGCCAAGGCGCAGACTACATTGGATGGTAAGGGGGTTGCAGGCGCTGTTGGGGTTTGATGGGAGGGTATACCTTATGACTTTGGAGTTTTTGATCCGTGATGTGGGTGACCGCCTTCCTTTCGCCCAGAAGTGTACGACACAAGGTACTTTATCTAATGCCGATGACCAGCCAAGCATAAATGTCTCCGAATCATGCTGACGGATTCGGCGACTTGGCATTTTCACGTGACATTCTTTCTCCCAAATCGTCGTGACTTGCACTGACCTTGGCAGAGCATTCACATGGCGGATATTAGGCGGCTAGGTAAGGTGAGATACTTCACAGCGGCTGACTGGCAAGGTTTGACGCTAGGTATGTAAGGTAGTGACTGCTACCTACCTTACTCGGTCGTGGATTTACTCTTTCTTTCCTGGAATTGTTCGTGTAAACTTTTATCTTTGTGGTTCCGGTTCTTCAAGGAAAAACATCTACTTGGATATCTACTACCCGACYGCAATCATACGACGCACGTATTGGACTTTTGGTGAAGACCGAATCGGATTTTCTATTCAAGCTTGAGAAACACTGGACCATTCAATGATGTCCGACACAATGAGCGTCACCAGCCACTTCACGCTGCTGTCAAGATATCAGAAGGATCAGAAGGATGTTCTCGATCAGCGCCGCGCATCCAACATTGAGGCGAGAAAGCGTCTGGCACATGCGGCAACCAAGAAGAGAGCAGAAGCGATCAAAGTAATCACACCCCTCCTCCGTACCAGACATAAAAACAAGAAGAAGAATCAATGCTAACCACAACAACCACACAGCCCCCCAAAAAGAAGAAAATCCCCGCCAAACTCCTCGCCAGTATCCCCATCGACAACACCATCTGCCGCCTCCTCGACCTCCCCCCAGAACTCCGAACCCGAATCTACGAATACGTCCTCGCACCCAAGAAATCCAAATCCTCCCCTCGCAAACGCCTCACCATCACAAAAGACAACTTCTCCCAACCCCCTCTCCTCCGCACGTGCAAAACCATCCGCAACGAAGCCTCCTCAATCTACTACTTCGACACGCCCTTCAACTTCCACATCCACGACTACGATTCCTCTCTTCTGCAAGCCTTTTGTAAACAAGCAGGCGACTCCCGCTTCGTGCAAAAAGTCGATATCAAATTGACTTTTKCGAGGAAATCGCAGAGTTGGGGGAATTTGATGGTGTGGTGTAGGGCGTTTTTTGAGGATCGCGTTAGAGGGGTGAGTTGTGAGGATAATTGTACGAAATGGGATGCGGGGTGTTGTAGGGCGAGTATGGCGTTTGATTTGGTGGATCGTGTTATGGGGGAGGGGTTGGTGTGGGAGAAGGTGGTGCCTTTATTGGAGGTCTTGAAGAAGGCTACGGAGAGGAGGAAGAGGGGATTGTGTGTGTGGACGTGAGAGGGAGGGGATGGAGTGGAAGTTGGGAGGGAAGCTTTTGATCAGCGGGTACTCGATGATTTTTGTAGCGGGAGGAATGACTTTTGAATTTTTTGAGGAGCGAGTGAGAGGGAATCACTTTATGCGAGCATTTTGTTTAGCAACTTGAGTAGTTGATGCGGCAGCGGGAGACGAGACGTTTTATGAACACGTTTTTTTTTTCATTCACTCACATCTGTACTCACTAGTGCTAGTGTCAGCACGGGCCGTTTCTGTTTCACATAGCGCGGATTTTCTGGAAATAGCTCCCATGGAGAAACTGTCTGTTGTTTCAGAGAGGAAGGAGGGGTGGAGCAACTGCGTGCATTAAAGCTGTTCTTACATCATTGTGAACTCTGTACATTACATCAACAATACGCCTCATCTACCACCTTACATTCTCATCTTTTCTTTCAGACACACGAGAGCCGGTGTTGTCGATCAATCGGACAAATTTAGGTGGTTGTGTCAGGTCAAGTACCGGATCAAAGGCATATTTCAGCAAAATCGATGGATCAGTATCCAGGAACGAATTTTGATATTAAGAACAGGCTTCTAAGGACTTTTGATCTCAATCTTGTTAGGAAAATCTAGAGGCAAGAAACATATCCGAAGATGAAGCCGAATTGGAAGCGGTGACGTAGATTTGGAACCATAGTTCTACCTATACCCCGCACGCTCGCTCAACGGACAGAGGAATAACGAGAGCTGGAAAGGAGAGTACCTAGTGAGGCTTCTTCACATTCCATCATCATCATTTATTGTTAGCAAGCCTTTTAGACCCCCCAAACCTGACATCACGTCATGGCCGCCTGGCTTCCCAAAGTTCGAGTCGCCGGTACACTTTTCCCATCCAAAGAGTCTCGACCACAGCCTTGAGTTTCCAACTAACATCCTCTCTTCATCATCACAGCCTGCAATGTTGCCCCCATTTTCCTCGATACCGCAAAGACGGTCCAAAAGACAATTTCTCTAATCAGTGAGGCCGCGAGGAATAAAGCCGATCTGGTCGTTTTCCCGGAGAGTTATATTCCTGCTTTTCCTCTTTGGGTAGGTACATATAACAATCCACGCTATGAAAACCTCTTGTCATATCATCATCACATAGAAATCCATATTAATAGGATACTATATAGGCCGGAGTCTCAGCACCCATAGACAACCACTCCTTCTTCAAAACCCTCGCCCGCGAAAGTCTCCTAATCAACAGCCCCGAAATCACCACCCTCCAACAAACCTGTCTTCAACACAACATTTTCGCACACATAGGTTTCAACGAGCGTTCCCACTCCAGTCTAGGATGTATCTGGAACGCTTCAATCCTCATCTCCGACACGGGAAAAATCCTCAACCATCATCGAAAAATCGCACCTACATTTTACGAGAAATTGGTTTGGGCGGCTGGAGATGGGGAGGGGTTGAGAGTCGTTGAGACGGGACGGTGTGGGAGGGTTGGGGGCTTGATTTGTGGGGAGAATACGAATCCTTTGGCAAGGTGGACGTTGATGGCGCAGGGGGAACAGGTGCATGTTAGTACTTGGCCGGCTGTGTGGCCTACTGTGAGGGTTGGGGAAAGGAGTGAGAGGGAGGGTGGGGAGGGGGCGGAGAGGCAGTATGATAATGTTGCTGCTAATCGGACGAGGAGCGCGGCGCATTGTTTCGAGGCGAAGTGTTTTGGGGTGATGTGTTCTGGGTTTATGGATAGGGGTATGAGAGGTATGGTTATCTCTTGCTGGGGATCTTTCTTCGAGATGGTATGACTGACGAGCTATGCTATGCTATTTAGATGCCATTGTCAAGCATGCCCCATCTTCAGCTGCTACGCTTGACTCGCTTACTCAAGGAGCCTCTTGTTTCTTGGATCCCACGGGAGCACAAATCGGCGAACAAGTACAAGGGGAAGAGGGCATTGCGTACGCGGATTTGGATCTTAATGAATGCATTGCTCCGAAGCAATTCCACGATGTTGTTGGTGGGTATCAGAGATTCGATATTTTCGATCTGCAAGTGTCGAGAAGTAGGATGGGGCCTGAGAATGCATTTCGAGGGCGAGAGGAATACAAGGAGAGGGATGCACCTGTCCCACCGATTGATGAAGCGGATGATAGCACTTGAGATGCACGGTGAGGTATTATGAAGCTGCAGCAGAACTCATTCGTCTGCATGCCGAGGTGTTATAACACCGTCAACAACGAGATGTTCCTAGCAATACGACAGCAGAATGATCTCAGTATGCGAGCTGGTCCTCTCGGAAGAAAGTACCCAACCTCGCCATCATCTGATCGATACTGAGCCTGCTGGACTTGAGCAGAAATTCTAGCTCAGTGCTAGTCAAAGGTCTACAAATACAACAACCAACAAATCACAACATCCAGACGTCCACTTACACTTGACAAACGAGCCAGCCCTGCCTCATCCTCGCCTTGAAAAACCTCCCTCGCTGACTTTCACATAGCAGCGAACTCTTTACTAACTAAACATACCGAGAGGTACTACTAACTCGCGTATGCCTCCTAGAGTAGTATAGAGACGGGCTAGGCTATAGGAAAGTCTAATCCGTCTTAATAGATGCTTGTATTCTGTCGGTCTCCATGTCATGGCGTAAGAAATCCCCTAGACGAGCTGCCTGTTATGGCTTAGATGGAAAGACATCTTACTTTGACTCAACTCCACGTGGATCGTATGCGGAACGCTATAGAAGTCATCTTTACCTCTACATAGTACCTCTTCCACTCGTCGGGTACGAGACCACGTTTGGAAAGATTGGTCTGCTCGTTTAAACACCAGACCTCTCTCTCTCGTTCTCTCTCTCTCGTGCTGGAGCGTTTGGGGGGTATCTTGGAGGGTTGGATTGTCCGCAATTGCATAAGATTGATGATGGGCTGTTGATGCAGTTTCCTGGGTATACTCGGTCGAAGAATTTCTTGGCACTTGTCAGTGATGCGGTGGGTAGGGTAGGGAATATCGCAAGCGACTTTCACGATGGAATGTATGTACGATTACCAAAAAAGTTATAACCAACAAACGATCAATTACATGGTACTTCCAAGCTCCTCTCATTACATTATCCCAAACGGGAGACCAAAACTACGATCCATCGATACTATACAACACTACACAACGACATCCTTAGAATGACACCCCCCTTGAACCTCAACCCCATCCAACCTCTCCCTGACCCACGTCCACCCAGCCTCAAACCCCTCAATCCCCGATTCCGCATGCGTAAGATTCACTCCCCGGACATACTCAAYCTTAGCCCCAGCACCACAATACTTCAACACCAAAGAATCCGTATCCTTGACCGGAGAAATCTCATCCGCAGTCCCCTTGTACGCGAAAATCGGCACGCGAGGAATGCCATGCTGGCCCATGATTCCTACTTGTCGGAGTACAGCTTGTGGTATAGCATCCAAGAGAGCGTCTGCTCGGCCGAAATATTTCTGAGAGACATTTTGCGCTCCGAAGATTTGTTGGAAATTGTTGTAGCAGGACGCACTCGCTGCTTGGAAGAAAGATGGGGAATCTTCACATTCCGGAATGAGATTCTCCCCAAGCCAAGCGGATAATTCCATGGACTGTTTCGCCAGACCTAATAATGCAGAAGGAATTAGAGCGGAATTACTCTGCCCTTCTATGGCTTGGAAAACAGATGTCAAATTCGGCGCCAAAGCCGTGAGAAGGGCGCCGGAGATCGTCAACTCAGGAGCATAGCTCTCCTGCAACTCCAACGCCCATTCACTCCCCAAAGCCCCACCGGAGCCACCCGCCAGGACCACATTCGCGGACTCCTCAAGACCGGTGGTTTCCCCCGACGCCAAGACGGCGCGGAGGGAATCGAGGACTGCTTGGCCGGAGAAGATGCCGTTGGTGAAGGAGCTCTGAAAGCCTTCGAAGTCCGGGGTGGAGACGTACCAGCCTTCCGCTAAAGCTTGGTCGATGATGGAGCGTTCTGGGATGACGGAGGTGGGGAGGTGGAGTTGATAGGAGGGAGCACAGTCTGTGGCAGGGGAGTCGTAGGCGTTTTGCATGGAGAAGAGTTTGGTGGTGGTGGCGTTGCAGGGGACGAGAAGGGTGGTCATTGCTGCTTGGGCGTGTCCATTGCTGTCTGATGTACGGTAGAGGATTTGGTAGGTTGCTTCGATGGGAGTGGTCAGGCCTGCGGGACAGGTGGGTAGGAGACGGGAACGGAGGATTTCGCCATTGGAATGTTCTTGGAGTCCTGAGGGGGGTTGGTAGAAGGCATCGGAGGAAGGTGGGAGGGGTGTGTATGCTAGGATACTTGTGAAGAGAGGCAGGAGCAGCCAGAGGAATGACAATGAGAGAGACATGGAGAGATGAATGTGAGTGGGTGAGGGATGAGAGGAAGGGGTTCGAGCGAGGGATAAATGATAAGTATGAACAGCCATCAAACTGATACTGAACTAGTACCGGAGGAGAGGATCCGACATATTCTACACGTCTAAAAGTGTAAGGTACGATCGTCTTCAGCCGCACGACCAGCTGGAGGCGATGCCCTATGCTTACCATATCGCAGGATGCTATGGATACCTTTGCTGACTGACAGATGACGACTTTGAAGGCGGCGAGACGCAGGGTAGTGTGCGTGAATGACAGACATCAAATAGCATCTCAATTTGTTGAGTGAGGAATGCTGCCGATAGACCGATTACAAGGACCGGTCACATCTGGACGCGACAGATGGATATTAATGAATAGCCGACCGACATGTCGCTTCGAGCGAGAGCAGAGCGCATCTCCTCCGGTTTGGACTGAGTGGAGCTTTAATTCTAGACGAGGCTTGGAACGGAATGTATCGTCGGCACTTGCTGCTGTTGAGGGCTGTAGATATGTGTGAAGTGATGAAAAGGAAGATCGAGATCCACCAGAAGTTTGAAGTAAGGTAGGTATTCAAACATACCTGGGTTGCTAGGATGTCATATTCGGCCCGTCTCTCTCACACAAAACCCACAAGCCAAAAAAAAAAAGAAACAAAACATTCAACACTAGGAATTCCCCAATCGTCACCGACTTGAGTACTAATCTAGCGATTACACGTTTCAATAGGCCGGAGCGGACGGGACGGCTTGCTATTCGTGTACCTATGGTCGAATGTGTTGGAGCAGGGTGTTGGAAACATTATAGATGTTGCCCCGGGACAAATCTTCCCAAGTCTCGTATTCTATCACACCGTGAACGAAGAGATGGCACCACCACGCTGTCTCCCATCATTCGATCCGGTAGCAACAAGCATGAACATCCTCGTACTGTACGTACGTCTTGTATTGTGAGCACGTGTTTATGAGTCTCTGAATGGTGGGCAGTCCGCAGTTGGGTCGCTGGCCACGAGGATTTGCCGTTGTCTCCCCCGACCAGTCTATCAGTATAGTACACTCCGCCCTTTGCATCCTCTCACAGCGGGCCCCTACAAACCATCGAATCCACCATCGTCACCTTCTCCGTCGCCACCCTCTCCATCAATAATCTCCTTCGCCAATTCTCTCTCCCTCTCTCGTGCTTTGGCAGCTTCGGCAATTTCCTGCCGATGTTTGTTCATGGGATATCYCATGGCCATGACACACTCGTCTCGCATTCCCAATAATGCATCAACACGAGCGTTGAATGCCTCGCTGGGCTCCGTCGTGCTGTACGCATCCCTCTGTGCAGTCGTCACCATGTGTCCATTCTGGTGATCCAGGCTCGCCTCAATCACTCCATCTCGGATGGCCTTTGCAGTAATGTACTCGGCAGACTCTTCACTCTCTACGCCCAAGCGCGTGCAAATATCGCGAAGTGAGATCCGCGAGTAGCTGAGCGACAGCATGCGCACACCCGTCTTGATGACATTTTGTCGCAGACGGAGGATCAGCGTGTAAGTGCCATCTTTGCGGAACTGTGCCTCGCTGACGCTGGTACATTTGAGGAAAGCCTGCAGGTCGCCCACGCGTACAGCCTGCACGAGCTTGAAGTACGGGTAGAGAGCAGCCTCGAGAGCCGGCTGGCGGAAGAGGGAGCGCTCGGGAATGTCTCCCATGAGAAGCTCCACCACAATACGCAGCTTCATGGCCTGCTGGTAGAAACCAACGGCGGGACCGGTGGTGGGTGACTTGCGAGTCGCGGATTCGAGATGCTCGTGCGCCTGGGTGTAGTCAAGCTGGATGGCGCGGATACGGCCCAGATAGTATAGGTAGCGACATTGCTGGTTGTTGGAGGCGGAAGCGGGGAAAGAGGTCTGAGCGACGAGGAGATCGGCCTGGTTGATGTCGGCCGTGGAGATGTAGTTGCGAAGGAGGAGAACCGTCACCGCGGCCTGAGTATCCGAGTCTTTGCGCAGTACGGCAGATCGTAATGCGGCCAACAGCTTGGGGCGGATATCAATGACCTGTGACTGTTTGGAAGGCGGCTTGGGGTCGAGCTCCTCGTGGAACAAAGCATAGTAGAAGTAGGCCTTGGTACCAATCTGATCGAGGGTTCTGCGATTCCAGCTCCGCACGCGCTCGACAAAGTTCTCGCTGAACTCGGCTCCTTCCTCCCACTTGCCCGTATCGTAGAGATGGACCTGCACCAGCACGCCCAAGTACGCCCAGATTTCGGGATGGACCTGCTCTTCATGCGCAGAAGCGTCTCCGTTCTGTGCCGGCGCCGATGCTGCCGCCTCCTTGACAGCCTCCGATGGTAGCAACTCCTCCAGAATCTGACGCCCCCGGTTGCTCGACTTGGGGTATGCGGTGCGGATGGCGTGTGCGATGGCAGCGGCGAACGTGGGCGACTTGCGGAGGGACGAGATGGATCGCAGGGCGCGAAGGGTGAAGCGCGAGTCAAAGGATTGCACTGCAGAGTTGATGAGGGCAAAGTTGTTGGTGATGACTGGCAATGGATTGTCAGTATGCTGTCGGCGAGGTAGAGCGTGATGCCTGCCTTACTCTGCTGCGGTGAGAGCACTACAGGAGCCTTCTCCTTCTCCTCCACTTTTTCGCCGTTGCTCGCATCGACATCCATCTTATCGTCGGCCATGTTGGGCGGTATGATTGGCGAGATTGAAGGGATGGTGTGATGCAATGAGAGGTGTGTCTAAGGTGTGTTGAAGGACGATGATGGCAGCAGGCGATCCACGAGAGCTCCGAGCCGATGTTTCACCGACGCGCCGCCAATCCAAATTCACGTCTTCCAAACACAGCACCCCTCATGCACATGAGATACAAGAAACATGGCCTCTCTACTCACATCACATCTCTCGCAAATCTCCCTCTGCGCAACATCAATCGCCGAGCTGCCATTTCCCGGCCCCAAACGCTTCACCAATGCCCTTCTCAATGCGAATGAAATCACATCCCTCATTCGCGACACGGAGCAGCATGAACGCGCCCTCTTCCACCTCGCCCCACCTCCTCTCCCCTCAAGATCTACCCTCAGCTCAGACAATACGCCAGGAATTGTAGCAGCTCCCCAGCCAAATCAATCTCGCAGAGCAACAATGTACGGCGGAGGCCGTCAAACACCGAGGAATAAAGCTGTTGCAGCCGTGCTAGGAGGCGATCTCTATCAACGAACGCGGAGAGAAGGAATGCGTGCAAAGGGAGATGTGGACGTGGAGGTGCTGCTAGAAGGCGCTGAACGACTATTGAACGTCTATGCCATTCCTGGCGCGAATGAGAGCATCTCGCATTTGAGACGGCGGTATGAGCAGTTGAGAAATAACATTGCTTATCATGAGCAGAGAGTCGCAAAGCAGAGTGAGGCGTTGGCGGGGAGGAGGGGATACGGGGATGTGGAAGACGAAGACGAGAAGGATGAGGGAGATCATGGGGAGCCAATGCAGGAGGATGCATTCGTGGGAATGAGTGCAGATGACATGGAAGCAGAGGAAAAGGAAATCAGAGAGCTGGAGGCGAAGAAGAAGGCTCTGGAGGAGCGAGTTGCTGGCATGGAGAAGGACTTGGGCGGGCTGATGCGCTGAGCTGAGCTGAACGAGACGCCATCGTCCATCCCTACACCACTGTACAACGGAATCAGTACCAGCTGAAAACGTGTCATTGGCGCAGATGTACTAGGGACCGTGTGGCGCTAGTGTCCCATGAACGAGGCGACGTTCATCTGGCCAGAATGCTCCAGGAAGGTGCGACCGAGGAAGGCACGACCACAATCCACGAGGACAATCCCGGAACACAGTTTCCCTTTCAGGTGATGTGAAATGGGATTACATCAACGCACAGCTGGCGAAGAAGCGTGCGAGCTCGACTGAAGACGCCGGCAAAGCAGTCCAAGGTGCTCATGGCGCGCAAAAGCATTGAGCGGCACTTCAGGACTATGAAGAAACTCCAATTGACGGAGCACGGTTTCCAACACGGCGCGCTCTGATGGAGATCGAGAAGATGGTCGAGTGGGATTTGAGCCCACGTCTCTAGACGGCTGGCTCGCTGCACTTCAGACCCAGGGTGGAAGTCCCTTTTGGATCTGTGGACACACCGCCGGCAGGACGTTCGTCAAACCAGAAGTGGGCGAAATTGGCGACGTAAGTGCAGTAGGGTGTTTGTTGGGGTCGACACGACTAAAGCCAGCAAAGATCTGTGAGATGGGCTTTGTGGCAGAAAGGAGGTTCGAATACTTCAACGAGACGATGTGATCCTTCATGATACATTCAGATATTGGCAGGCTGTCGACAGAGAACACCGATTGCTGAAGAAGATTGAAGTTGACGCTGACGCGATGAGATTGCGTGTAGATACCTTATCTGCGAGTCGGAGTTGGCTGTTTGAGCACATTCATTCACCAATACCTCCATTCACCAACACCTCAAGTTCCAAGTAAGGTATCGGTGACAAGAAGGTGTCACGGTTGAAATCAATCATTTTCGGGGCGACTTCCCACCTGTATGATTATGCATCTGAAGCTGATTGTCAGATTTATGCCTTTGTTTGCGGATAGTCTGTCWCACGCAAAGATCATCTAGGTAAAACGTCCGGATGAGAGTATCTCATCGCCCACTAGAACGGTTCGCACCAAGGGTTGGTGAGCTTGAAGGTTGCCGGCTCTCCTTGTAGTGAATCGACGACAATACTCGCCAGCAGGCAGCTGAAAGCACACAAAGAAGCAGCCTCGCGGAAGGTCAAAATGTCTGATGTAGTATCTCTTCTCATTCGTGCTGTTGTTGTTGTTGTTGTTGTTGTTGTTGTTGTTGGGGATATCCGAAAACCGTTCAGTGTTGTAGATAGGGCGGCAATCTTCAATTTCTCCGGACCTTGCTCATCGACCACTGAAGTAGATTTGGTTCCACCAAGTGTCCAATACGCTATGCACAACTATTACTCTGTCGATCCCGGAAAGCCTCTCGGTGTACAGCTTTACGAGACAAACTTTGCATATAATATGCTAGTAGGTCATTTATCGCTACTAGCGCCATCCGCGAGTGAATGCAGCCAGCCGAACGTTACTTCCCGTCTCGCCGGATGAACTTGTCCTTCACTAAACACGAACAACTCAACAAACAACCCATGCTTACAACATTTACAAAATGAGCGACGAAGCAGAAGACCCGCGACAAGAATCGGAAGTCGAAATTGTCACTTGCGCGGAAGAGTTGCCGCACCTCGACCTGCAGGAATACATCTACGGCATGCTGTCTCTGATTACCTTGCTACAAGACGAAGAATTGACATTGGAATAGATGGTGCACGACAGTTATATCATGACCTGCCCCCCGGAAGATCGAATCACATCGTCGTCGTCACGAATGCTCTTGGAAAGCATGCCGAGTTACTGCTAGCAAACGAATTGGAACTTCAAAATATCCAAGTCGTGGGCGCTAATATTCCATTCGATGCACATGATTCCCCGACTACTGGATCAAATTCCCACCGAGGGGATCGAGAGGCGATGGATAGATTGTTGATAGAGTGCAAACGACTTCTCGAAGAGCGATCTTCACAGCAGACTATCCCGTCACCATCACTCCCAGAACTCCGAGCACAGATCCTCGCAAATGCACGTCAATGCTTCCCGAATATCGTTCAAGACTACACCACCGGTCGTATCACCGAGACAGTTATGGGGCGAGACAGCAAGTACAGGCCTATATCTCGACAGGTCCCGCTCATCATCCCAGAATCTGAAATCTTCGACATTGCCATCACACAAGGTCTCGAGAGTTCTTTACAAGCCAGCTTAGTCTATGGACGTCTCGAGGATCTCAAATTCGCAATGCAAGGAGGAGGAAAGAAGACGTATTATGGGGCCATGGGAGCTTTACTGGAAGCGACAGTGCAGCGGCTGGTTAACTTAAGGGAGAGCGCACCGGCGAAGGGAACTTCCAGTCGTAACGACTCGCCTATGAGCGGATTGTGTCTGCCGAAGCAATGAGAAAAGCAAGGAGGTACAGTTCAAGGCGCTAAACTTGCGCAGAGTCTTCTGTCGTGTCAAGATGGAATCCCGGAACAGCCGCCTGGGCATAGAGGGTAGTTCAGAGCTGACGATATGAGAAAGTCATCAACAAAACAGCGCCCTCAACTACCCTCTCCATTGTATAACGGCTACTCTACTGATAGTAAAGGTTCCCGCAGCTCTAAATTGTCGATTCTGCAGAGAGCAAGCCTTGGGAAGTAACAAAGACGACTGAGAATGTCTTGTATCGATGAAGGCTTCTCTATCAATAGTTCTAGGGTAGACGAATTCTCTCCATAGATGTGCAAAGACACTGCAGAGTCCCATGGTCCCAGCACGAAACTCGATCCATAAAGATTCAGAAAATGTCCATGAGACCGTCTCATGCCAGTGATGTGGGTGGTCGAACCTATGCCAAAAGCATATCAATCAGCACGTGGTGAGTGTATTGTATTGACCGTTAGCAGAATGGCCGCCAGTTTGGYAACAATAAGTAACGGCTCCCCACCACCTACCAAGATCCCCTCCTCGTCTTCCCCACTTCTATACAGTTGCCCTTTTCCCCATAGAACTCCAGCGCACAGAATTCCTCGCAGAAACCGCCATTACGATGAGTGTCCACACAGCCCACTCGATCCACTCGAGCCATTCGAACCACAGCGCCGTAACAGCCAGTACACGAGTAGCACAACCCAGCGCAGGCAACGCAACAATCACCGAACTCCGCGAACAAATCATCGGTGAGTCCCTACAATTCCTACTCGCGATGGAATTCCAAAGCAAAAAAAAAACACAAAAAAAGATGCCGTACTAATCTCCTCTCAAGCCGACGCCCGAATGCTCTACCCAGACATTTTCAAGCGATATCTCAGCGGCAAAGGTCTAATACAAGGACCCGTCCGTCGGGAAGAAATCTTCGATATTGTCATCATCAGGAAACCTAGCGCGCAAGGAATCACGGCTGTGTTGGTTTATGGGAGGCCCGAGAGTAGGAGGACTGCGTTGCAGAGTGAGGAGAAGAGGTCTTATTTTGACGCTATGGAGAGTTTGTTGCTTTGCTTGGCTGGGAATTTGGGGGAGAAGAGTAGGATTGAGAGGGATGGTAGTAAGTCTAATTTTTTTTGATATTTGATGATTATGATGATGTGTGGGAAAGCCTGGTTTTCAAGTGAGTGGTGTTGAGAATTTGGGGGTCTGCTCTGGGGGGTTGTGTTGAGAGGATGAGACTGATGGGTTGGGAACAGATAGACCGCGTTATCGATGGGAGCTTATTAGGATTAAGGGAAAGGATATTGGGTTGATAGGGAGAGGGGGAAAGGAGGCGGAGGATGTTCTGCTGCTTCCTTAGCGTCTCGGGAGTTACAGGTATGGATGTGGTTCGGGTTCCAGGAGTTTTGTGAGGGAGAATATCAATTGATGACCTGGTAGAATAACTATTCGATCCTTGTAACTACTTACGAACTCACTTTTCTACGTGGCAAGAGCGGCCAAAAGTACGCATTGCTTGCGTCCTTCGTCTCGATTGCCACTTGTGTGCAAGGAGAGATCAGAGCACCATGCATGTGGATGAGATATACTAATGTCGCTCCACGCCGGTCACCCTGAGACCACCAATCTCTCGCACCATCAAGCACTGCATCATGATCAGATCAGAATCTTGATTTTGAACGCAGGGCTGCCTGGATCTCCGCTTGAAGCAAGTCTCCAGACAATTTCCTTGAGCGATCTGATAAATCGCAATGAATATACCAGTGATGGCATTGGGGGCTATACTCATCACTACGAGGCCATCTCCTATTGCTGGGGAGAACCCKTCTTCCCGAAATCCTGCAAGTTTGCAGAGGGTGGCGAGATGCTCCTGACGGAATCGCTCCACTCAGCACTTCAGGCATTTCGATATCCGGACAGGAGCAGGAGTCTATGGGCTGATGCCGTGTGCATAGATCAAGCAAATACATCCGAAAGATCCTCCCAGGTGGAGCTGATGGGCGACATCTTTGCAAAAGCAACGCGTGTTCTGGTATGGCTTGGCGATCCGCTGGGCAATGGTTCTGATACTCTTGCGTTCGCGGCGTTGAACATGCCTATTACCCCTCAAGGTGACAGATCGAGAAAGGAACTGCTCGCTCTAATGGAGCAGTATCTTCCCTATGCGGAGCGCTGCGCCTGTTGCAATGAAACGGTTCCGGATGGTACTCCAGTAACACTTGCGAGTGGACTGACAGCAATCGCGAAGCTGCTAGAACGACCATTTTTCCAGCGCCTATGGGTTGTGCAAGAGATTGTCTTCGCCCAAGCCGTGGAGGTCTACTGCGGTAGACATCACGCACCCTGGGAAATGTTCACCGAACTCTCCCGAGTGCCGGGCCAATATCAAGGAGATCAGGAGTACATTGATCAACAATACACCACAGCCATTCCTCGAGCAGAATTGCGAAAAGTATGGGCACAAACCAACTACCTCAACCAACTCCGGTCTCGTCACCGTCAACGAAAAACAGACACTTTTAGGCCCACGGAGCTATGTAAAGATCTACTCATGATGTCCAAGCTACAATGTCGAAATCCGCACGATCGAATTTTTGGTGTTTCGAGAGTACTCGGTTTGCGTGACATACCAAGTCTACGTGCGGATTACACCCTCTCCGTTGCAGAGGTATATCGACGAGTAGCAGAAGTCTACATCACAGCACAAGCAAATCGACCCGGTGGACACGCCGTTCTACTCCTCGCTCTCACTTCCACAGAAGCCGCAGAAGCCAAATTCCTAGCAAGACCATCCTGGGTACCGGATCTACAGCATTTATCAGAGAGATCACGCGCGAAGAATACATACTACCAGTGGGCGTTTGCTGAGCGGCAATTCTATGCCGACGCTGCACTCTTTCGTTGCTATATCTCCCCCGAGAAACCTCTGGAGCTCTGTATCAGAGGGAGGTGTTTTGGGGAAATCACCGCACTTCTAGAGACATCGCAGTGTCCTTCAAAACATACCCACAGACGTTCAGGCGAGAAGTGTCCATCTGCCGAAGGAGTGGAATTGCTTCGCTGGCATGCTCGTTGTCGACGCTTTCTCGAGCAATACGCATATATCGACTCCGTGGACACTGATGATGCGGGTGTTGTTGAAAAATTGGACGCAATTTTCTCTTGTGATCGTGCCAAAGACGGCGCTTCTCTTCACGTGGAAACGATCTCGAAATGGCTTGATGAAGATTCGGAAGACATGGATACTCTAGACCTTCAGTCCGTTTGTAGACAGCTGAAGCCTTATATCACTGGATACCCGGTGGATCGAGATCGTCTCCTGTGCATTGCAAACTGCGGCTCTAGAAGTGGAGCTGGATGGGTTCCCTCGGACGCGAAAATTGGTGATCAACTTTGTCAGTTCGCTGGCTCGCCATATCCATTTCTCGTTCGGGAAGATGTGGACGGGAGGTATAAACTCTTGGGCGACGCTTTCATGACAGGCGTCACAGAGGCTGAAGTCCTGGGTCTTGATGATGTTGTATGGAGTTCTCATTTGACAAGTCTTCGAACCTGTGACGGTGCACTTAAAAGTTGGATGCAGTCCGAAGCGCGGAAAGAAATGAAGGTCGAGAAGAATAATGGGTTTAATCTCAGCAAAAGAGATGAGCAGTTCAAGACCGCTCGACAGGATGCCATTGATCGCTTGAAGGATTTCTATCGTCAAAGCGACGATGACCTTGTCTGGATTTGTCTCAGATGATTTGACAACAACCTAGCAATCCCTGTATTCGAAGCTCTACACCAGCGAATGAATCTTTCGATTTTTTCCTTCCAGCTCATCGACAGGGTTGAGAACTCTGGGCGATGCTGGGGTTGGCCTGACACAGCGAATGCGTACGCCCATGGTGGAATTTTGCTTTGCATGGATGCATGCCCTCATCAATGCATGCAAAAGTATAAACAAAAAAATATAACAAGACTGGCATGAGACCACCCTCCGTCTCTGTCTTGGGAGAGATATCATCATCACACGCCGCGCAACACAATCGTTGAGAGTTCCTTCCAAAAGTGGCTGATCCGTCCATCCGGCAGGATGACAGCTGTCCGCGATAGGAGCGATTGGAGTGTTGCCGTGTGGTCGCCGGCAATTGAAGGTATGGAATGTCAGACCAAATACGGAGTTTGGTATCCATGTAAGTAAGCAGGCCAACGACGAACATTTGTTCGAGAAAGTTCTTCCTTTTTTCTGATTCGAAATGTTTTTCCCGCAAAAACAGCCGGTGCAGATATCAGTTTACCTCCGATTTCAACGACCTGGCATCCCATAGCAAATCTGAATCCTTGGCTGAGTCCTGCAATTCCCAAAGCACGGAGAGGGAGATTCATGATCGATTCCATGCAGCTACCACCTGTGGATCCATATTCCTGTCCCGCACGAATCTATCGAGCCGTACATGATGGTCATGAATGTAGGGGACTGCGACCTCGTAGCGATATACGACCGAATTATTGGTACGTTTGGCGCAAGCAAGCAGCAGCAAAAGTCCTCGAAACTTCCATCATTCTTCTGACTACTGACGGGAATTATAGGAATTTTCATTTATACCTCGAGAAACTCTTTGATCCGAAAGTGACGCTTCTAAGCCCTTTTATGCTCCTCACTTCAGACTTTCGAGTCGCAGAATCTYGGTGCAAAGAATACCAAAAGCAAGGCAATAAGCACCCGCGGATTCTGGAGCTCGACCTCCATGCTTGGGCGACTTCTACCAGAAAGCCGATTTGGAGGGCCATTGATCTGATCACTGCTTTTGGGTTGCCGTGGGATGATTGGAGTGCCAATGGGTACATTTTGGCCGATTGTATCGATGGCGCTAGAGTTGTTTCTGAGTGGCCGTGATGAGGAAGATGAGGAAAGATTTTTCGAGGGTGAATGAAGAAGGTGGATCCATGAAGAGGGTTTGAGAATTGTAATATTTCGTACGTTAGCGGATAGTATCTAGTGTGAGATTGATTCAATTTGCAGATGTCATCAGCCGCGAGGCAGATAACGAAGTTCACTGGAATCTCACTCTCGGCTGCGCGATATGAGGTGCGGTGGAATGCGTAGCCCTTCCGCTGTTCTGCGATCCTCTGCACCGGATGGCATTCATATCCATGAGGCGGGTCGAGGTCACTCCCGTCACGATTCGGCGAGTTTTGATTCGTATTGCCCGGTCATGATTGGTGTATTCGGGCGGAGAGAGTGTTCAAGGCGACGAGATTTTCAGGCCAAAAAGCCATCATCGGTAGGCCTGATAAATCTCGACTTGACAGGCAGCACCATGGCATTACTTGGCAGAACCCGCAGGCATGTATCAATCTCCGGAGATCTTAATCTGCAGGCTGATGATCTTTTTGCAGGCTGACGGAGCATAGCAGTAGTTTATTCACCTGAGTGACTCTTACAAGATCTCACCCCGCGAACTGCATGCCACCAACATCGAAGAGATTCTCCCATGAAAGGTCTTTGAAGAAGTCGTCTACGTCCCACTCGAAGTTTGTGGTCATGTGTGAAGATTGCATCTCGGGACCTGCAAATACTGCAGACGCACTCGGTTCCGATGATGGTGCTATAGGTCCAGGATTCGGGRCGTGGGCCAACGGGGACGAGCCATCCGGATCACCGAAACGTCTACGTTTTGAGCCGTGAGCCATAGAGTTGTCATCCACATTGCTATCGCCTCTTGGCCTTCGCCTCGTCCTTTGTAAGTCGGATAGAAGATTAGATAGCGCGGCGTGGCAGCGTTGCGCACTACTCCAGCGCTCGCCTAGTCTACAGAGCAGTTCCAGGCAGCGAACGATCTCTCTATATATACTGTCAGCAGAGAAAAGTGGTATCGACTGCAGTCTGACTCACTGAGAGCCCTGATCAATAGAGTAAAGCCCAACTTGACAGGCAAAGGAGATTATGAGACCTGACATCCACACAGAGGCGAGATATCCAGGCCAAAACAGATGTTGCTGTCTTTCCAATGCAATGATAGTTCGCTTTGCGGCCCGAATAGTGACTTGTAGTCCGTGGTGAAACTCAGGCGCTGATCTTGAGAGGGAAAGGGATGGCCGATTAATTGAGATGATGAGTTGTTCGTAAAGTACATGCAGGAATGGTAGGAAGCGGGAGACCTGTGAATCTCCTGCTTGATCCGGTGTGGGCTCCTCCGGCAGGCCATTGAACCACTTGTCTACGTCTGAACGGAGGAAAAGGATTCGGCGCGGATCGTGATGTCGTGAGTGGATTGAAACGTGGAAGATGTCGAGCGAACGTCCTACTAGCCGGCCTGTAGCAAGGACAGATAAGTATTAGTCAGGCAAGGGTAGTGTGGCAGCATTGACATACCGTGCTCGACGAGGTTTGCAAGTACGATCAGCCGGCTTGAGTTCTCGGCAACACTGGGACTGGCAGTATGAGAGCTGGGTGTTTGTTGGTCATCGATGTGACACTGTGGCTCACTACCGGGTGTTTCAACCATTTCTGACCCGCCGGGTCTTGGCATACCATGCGCGTCCCGTCGAGCGGGCTCGTGCATCTCCGTCCTGCCAGCTACGCAGACGTCGATTTCAGGATCCGGCAGCGATACCGGTATCCCCAGACTCTGGGAAAGGTATCGATCCAACACATAAGCACTCCAGAATATTCTCTTCCGAAGCTCCCGATCCTCGTCCGACAATTGAGGGTATCGATATGGGCAGCGGTGGAGACCAGCGTGATACAAAAGCTTTGCTAGGATGCCGCCGATTGTCGACGCTGTGCGAAGGGCCATGGTGGAGACACAATACAGCTGCGCAGCAAGCGCGGTTTGCRTCGCTAGTATATCATTCCTACAAGCTAGGGTTGCAACTAGAGAAAGAAGGCTCGATCTGGAGAGGGATCTAGCATGAGAATTGCGCATGTCCGAAGAGGAGGCACCCATACTCAAAACACATTGCAAGATCAAAAGTTGAGAAGCTCGTTTCCGATCCACAAGAAGCCTGCCCGAGCTGCCAAGTATTTGGGAGTCTTTGTATAGAGTTTCGAGATCTTGGAGAAAGTCCGGGCCAGATAAGAACGGCATGATTGGATGCCATTGTCGAAAGTACTCGACGGCAAGAGACTGTGCTACTTCGTAGGTTGGAAGGGATCCCAGGCCAAAGGCGTTTTGAATCTCGACATCGCTCTGCTGGCCAATACTCAATACAAATTCTTGGCCGCGCTCGGGTGAATTCCGTTGGGATGATGAAAAGTCGTCGTCTCCACCTACGGTATCTTCTGCAGCCGGGAGATGATGGTATCCGGAGACAGCAAAGGCCTGCTTTACGGTGTTGACGAAGTAAACACCACTACTCGAGCCTATGAAACGACTTTCATGTGGTGTAGGTTGGGTCAAAGATCCAATCTCGCGAGTGCTGGCTGGCGAGTCCTCCGGCTCTACTTTCGCGGGCTCCATCCTTGCAAGTCTGAAGCGGGAGGCTAAGGTAGTGGTAAGTTGGACTGAAGGTTGGCACGGTGTGTTCGCATGTTGCTTAGATTCCAACGAGATSGATGTAGTCCTTTAAGCGGCAAGTCTCTCAACTTGGGAGTGATGGTGTTCACACGTCGACTTCAATGTGTTGTTGCCAGTCCTTGCTGGGAAGCGACTTCCACAATCTGTCCGATGTAACGAGCGGCTAGATATATCGCGATTCAACCCTCAGCATCAATGTCAATGTCAATGTGAAGTCTACCAGGTATCTAGGTGAAGTCAAAAGTCTTTACCGGGTGCCGGGACTTTGGTCCTTGGATTCCGCGCCGAGGAAAAGGCGGGAACGGGGCCTTCATTTCTCCTCATCTTTCTTCCGCACACTACTACTACAGTCAAGTCAACAACATCGCAGAGATGCCATCCAGTACTAGCGCCTCGGACAAGAATCGCCGCTCTCGTATCACAGCTGCCTGTGCGGTGTGTAGAGGTGAGTCGGGGCATTCATTGAGATGGTGTCGCCACCGTCCATTGCTTATTTCGCCATAGCCAAGCGCCAAAAGTGCAGTGGATCCAAGCCTCAATGTGATCAATGTCGAATGCACAACGAGGAATGTTGGTGGAGCGATCAGAAGAAGAGGCAAGGAGAAATGACAGTGAATCTCGATGGCGATGACTGACGATTGTATAGAGGACCGGCAAAGGATTACCTGCGATCATTGCAAGACAGACTCCAAGAGACGGAGCGATTACTGCTGACCGTCCTTCCGCACGTTCCGGATGAGATTCTTGGGCCAGTACTACAGCAAAGCGATGCTACTAGCGGACCCTCGCATCAAGCTTGGACAAGCTCCCTATCAGGACCTGAATACTGGTCACGGTTCAGTTTAAATAGGATCGACCACATCAGAGACTGGCAAGACCACCGCGCAAGTGGCGTTCTCAGACCGAGCCCACAGTCAAGCCAGCCTGCGCAGAACAGTGCCCAAGCCAGCATTCCCGACGAGATGCATCACCCTAGTGCTCATATTCATCAAAACATGCTCAGCGAACACGCTGGACAGAATGGTGGTCTCGCAGGATCAACTCCCGCAAATGATGGTTGGTCCCAACCCCAGCCTCCGCCTGCCAGACTCGATGAGCGAAGATATAGTGAAGAAACGCGGGATGCATGCGAAGCTTTATTCTCCATATCAAGGCCATCCGAGACGAAGCGTCCGGAATACGCTCCACCAGGCCAGAATCCCCAAAGCCCTTACCCAGCAACAACGGGAGATCGGACGTCCTTGCCGTCACAGCTGCCTAAATTGTTCTGGTGATATTGCTAAGAGGACCTTTATGACATGGCACAGTCTTTGCATTTTAGAACAGCAAGCGACAGGATCACGCAAAGTACCGAGAATTGCTTGCGCTACGTATGACTAGTATAATCACCACCACACGCTATGCACCAACCTGGACAGAGTTAATGGCGTATTGCCCAGCCTTGGGGTTATACGGTAACTGTACCGCAGGAATCGGCGCCGGAACCTCTGCCACCGAGGACGGCTCGACATAATTCTTGAAGCCGTTGACCTTTAGTCTGAGCTTTCGGCTCTCGGCATATACAACCCTTCGCATGCGGTTGGTGCTGCCGAGTGGCTGATGTTCCTTCAGACCGTGCCACGAGTTGCAGGTGATTCTATCATCCCACCACACGCGGAATTCTGGCAGCCAGGAGTCCTGGGGATCAAACTCCAGGTGGGCTACCTGTTCGAAAGGATACTTCTTCTCATCCCACAGCACTCCAATGTCATCTACGGGCTGCTCGTCCAGGTTCTGGAGCAATTGAGCGCAGAATGAATAGGTCACTTTGTGGTTCAGATGGAAGTTGCGGGCGTGCTGGGAGAGAATGTTGATCGGGTCATCGTCCTTGATGAGCTCACTCTCCAGCTTCTTCTGCTCCTCTCCCAGTGGGAAGACACCAAACTTGGCAACGTAATCACCGAAACGATAGGCACTCTGAGAGTATTCTGGCATGGCAACCACTGTTCTCGGTCAGTTGTGTACTACGTTAACATCAACATTGAGGGTCGAACTTACAATGCTGCTTGGGAAGCTGCGCTGGCATGCATGCAACATCGGCATCTGGACGCTCAGAACACTCCTTCCCAAATGTTGGAAGATCATTCCAGTTGCGTTCCAACGAGTCGGCAATCTCATGTGTGTCTTTTGGGGTGCGCAGCTCGAGCACTGGGTAGTTATTGAAGGTCCAATCTTGTGTCCCCTTGTCCTCTCCCCAGATCTTCTCACCCTGGACCCCAAAGATCTTCATACCGATTCCTCGAGGAGCTGGAACGTTGTCGGGTACCAGCTTAGGCGTCAAGCTGGAGTAGCGCATAATCACGTCGTATGAGCCTGGTTTGGCGAACATTCCTTGTCGGAGATGATCAGGGAGATTCTCATGAACAACGAACTTGCCCAGAACGCAACCCTATTTATTCAGACTTTGTCAGTCCAGCAATTTCGCGATTGATAGGTTTTTACCACTCGAGCTCACCTGTGTCTTCAAATGTGTCCCGCGAAGGCAGTGGTGGTGCTCGTTGAAGTTCATCATCTGGAATCTGTTGAACTGATCCGACACGGCCTGAATCTTCTCTTTCTCCCCGGCTTGCTCTACCTCCACACCCTGAGCGTCCCATTTGATGTACTTTGAATCCGCCATGTTGAAGAGTGTTGTTATTTTCCAAGTGTGATTCTTTGAAACAAACACGATCTGGAAGAACTCAACAACAAATGAATCGAGAGGAACGGCGGATCAGAAGCTATACTCCCTACATCCTGCTAAACGGTTGTAGAAGCATGACAACTCCATCATTATTAGGTATCCCTAAAAGCTCCATCTTGCCGAAAAGCCTAGTCCAGAGCGCTCTTTTTAGCAAGTCGATCTGTTTCTCAACTCTCAACCCGGTGGCTGGATTTCTGGAGGCGTTTGCGGGGTTCATTGCGGGGCATGAGGTGGGCAAACAAACGTACCAGAATTCCCACTACAAACACAATACAGTTGTCTCTATTGGTTGACTTTTAAGGCGTTCCTGGAGAGTGCTAGTAAGATGATTTGGAAGAGCTCTCTCTCGATGCGCACGGATTCATCTACTTTCCGTTCTCCGCGACGATCTTCATCGGTCAGATGTTGTGATGTTTTTAGATTGTTGTCGTCATGATATGTTCCATGTGAACTAATGACTATGTACTGATGAAATAAATCGTGGATTTGTGCGGGTTCGACTGTTTGATGGATTAATCACTGGACGTGAGAAGTAGATGGCGGCTAACAGCAAGCAAACGTGTCTCGAGTCGGGTTGATTTCCAAGTTTTGCTGGAATGTAGGATTCCACTAGGACGTCGAACTCCCAGGATTATGCTCAGATCTTGGATCRATTGACACAGTACAGTTGATAGGAGTAGTCAAGATCAAGCATACAATTTGCCACGCAAGACGCAATACATATCGCTCGCTTCTCAGTGGGAGCCAAGGATATGGGAAACAGATAGTTGATCAAGATGTATTGTATCGGTACCTGGCATTGATATCATTCCCCTGCAAGTAATAATCACCCAAAGTCCTGTCTCCCCCTATTCCGCAATCGCTCACCCCAAGTATAAAACGCAAAAGGTATAGGAATCAAAGCCAAAGCAATAAAAGCAATCAAACTATTGCCCCAGCCAAGACCCAGTGCAWCATACATGCTCAGTCCAGCCAGGGGTAAGAGCCCACCGACTAAGGAACGGAGAACCGTGTTTGCGGCCACTGCTGAGGCTGCGTATTTTGAGTATGCGTCGACGAGGTATCTAGATGATGGGTGGGTCAGGTCAGTAAATTTTACCATCATCATCGTGGACGGGCGTTGGGGATTGTTGACTGACTGCTGGATACAAATCAGAGCGGCGAGGATGCCGATTCCGAATAGCAGTGTGCCGAATAATGGAATGGCCCATTGATAGTGATACTGAGCCGTCCATCCATATATGAAGAGACCTATTGGGCATAGCCACCTGCGGAGTGGAACGTCAGCAATGATCAAGAAACGAGGCAGAAGAAGACCTGGAGCGTAAGAGTATAMTGCCCATCTCCCACTCTTTGAAAACTTACGCGGTCCACATCAAGGGAATGAGCCTATACTCCGGCTTCAACCCGCCTCCGTGCTTCGCTGCTTGACTCTTCAACACCCGATCACTCATCCCTCCAATGAGAATCAACCCAAGAAACATGCCGATTCCCGAGCCAAGATACACCAGCCCGACGTTCGAAGAGGAGAAGTCGTAGTCTGTCGTAAAGACAAATGTGAATGTTGTGTAGAGGAGATATAGAATCCCATACACAAAAGCCGCATACACTGCCGTAAGACTCACAATAGGCGAGAATATAAACATCTTAAACGGCCGGACCAGGGCACGAGTTATGTGCTCTTTGTGGGATAGACCAGAGTCTAAAGCGCTTCGGAGTTGCTGATTACCCGTCTCCTTTTGTAGCCGCTGCGTTTTGCGAGCAAGGAGGATTGGAGCGTATGTTTCTCGACAGAAAATCACATGTCCGATTGTGCAGACCCCATATGCTATCGCAATCACCCAGAAGGTCCATCTACGACCGGGGCTGTCAGCACTCTTCAAAAGTTCAAATATTTGGCTCTTCGCGCTTACCTCCAGCCTGACGCGGCGGACAAATATGCTCCGGCAATGGGGCCCACCACGGGTCCGAGCAAAGGCCCCATCGAGTACAAAGACATGGCCAGACCCCTCTCCGCTTGAGGAATCAAGTCTGAAATCGATGCTGCTCCTAGTGTGATGGGACATACGCCAAAGCTTCCTACACAGAGAAGATTTTTGTATCAGAATCCGTGCGATGGTCCACTGCCTTCCGTTACATACCTGCGAAGAACCGGAAAACGATCAACTGCTCAATACTGCTGGCCACTGCACACGCCACGGTAAAAATAAGGTACATCACATTGCAGACAATATACACTGGCTGGCGGCCGTAAATTTCGCTCGCAGGACTGATGAGAAGGGGTCCTATCGCGAAGCCGAGAATGTAAATCTATGGTCTTATCAGCGAGAGCGTGCTCGATATGTGCCGTCTGATACTGTGCTTACAGAAACCACAAGTTCAGGTATAGCAGACGCGGTGCTGTTGAAATCCGAAAGTACATCTGGAACACCCGGTGCAAACATACTCGAAGCAAGAGGTGTGAGAAACGTGAGGAGAATAATCATCAATGTATTGATGACCTTCGCCTTTCCGGTCCAATTCATGGGATTCTTCGGATCTTGATCGCCATCCCAGTTAACAATATTGGGATCCGACACACTCTCCTCCTCCTCCTTGCTACCCTGCCGGTCAGTCGTTGATGTTGCATCGACATCAGCTCGGTCTTTCTCCACAAACTGGCCTTCGATATCCCCGGCATCACTCCCGGCGAAAGACATCTTTTCATCAACCATGATTGGCTGTGTGTGATTCTCTTGACGGTTGAGATGATGAGATCTTGAGAACAAGGGAAAAAAGAGGTAGGATCGAGCTCAAGGATGGGTAAGAGAAATGTCCGCGTGCAGTAGTGTCGCCTTTGGGACTTCAGCCGCTCGGCCAATCAAGGTGCCTTTCCGAGCGACATGATAGTGCATGAAGAGATATGCAAGTCAGCTCACCCCCGCTGGCACATGCCTTTAGGGGATGGTGTACGAGATATGCGTGACACGGATCTCCAGGTGGGCACTGAGTTGGACTTTGTTAGGAGGTGCAGTTTAGTGGCGCTTTAATCCTTCTCGGAGTGGTCCTTACCGAGGCTGCACAAACGGTTTGCATAATACGGCGCAAGAACCACACATGGCGTTCTACCTCCTATGTTGAACTGCGATACGAGTATGGGCCCGTCCGAGTATCTACCAGTGCTCTGTTATCAGCGGCATCTTTTAATCGAGACATACGAGTCTGCCGGTCAATAGTTTGTACTGTAATCCGTTCAAGGCTATGCTATCCATTCTCCCTTGCCAATCATTACATTGCACCTGCCCCTATGCTTTGACAGGTCGTGGTCGACTAGCTGCTGATATCTTTACTTTCCCGTCTGCAGTTCTCTCACTCTGCGATGTTGAGATGCTCGGCCGCTTCGAATTGTCGAAGCGCTTTTTGTTGGCAGTGGTAGCTGTCGGTTTCGGCGGTCTTGCTCTGCTTGCTGGCGATGGTCTGACCCTCCCATCTATAGTTCGCGCGCTTTGTGATGTCGAAACCGGAGGTCTTGTTGGATATGCCTTGGCGGTGGGCTCCGGTGGACTTGGCTTCTTGCTGGGAAGATTTCGAGCGATCCTAGGAGGAGGTGGTCTAGCAGGATATGACGAGGTGGAGGATGACACAGGCTTTTGCAACGCGTTCGCTCTAGTCGATGGCAAAGGTCTAGTTGTCCCGGGGGTTGCAGATAAGGCTCTCGATGCGCTTGCACTCGTTCCTTTCACTGCCGTCTTCTTTTGCGATCCGCCGCTCACCGGCCCGTCGGCAGCCATCGAATTTTGAACTTGCTGGCCATAATTGTTGATGTAACCTCCAACGCTTCCTATAGCTCCTGCGATACCTACAGTCAGAATAGGTCAGTGAGCGAGTTTGCACGTGAGACACACCATTCGCACTTTGGCCTACTGCACGACCCGAGTTTTCGAGCAATGTACCAACTCCTCCAACAGCATTTCCGGCTAGAGTACCGCCGGCTTCAATGCCAGTTTTTGCGAAGCCTGCGACCTTGTCGGTCACCCAATTCGAGACAAAGTCCATGCTGATGTCTCTTTAGCTGACAATTTTGGAATCGTGTCGAGTGGTTTTACGGTGATGAGTGTAAGCTGCAGGTGAATCTCGACAATGACGACAATACGGCTGGGACCCGGCAGGCTGATCCGGAGGTTGAATCCTGATCTTCACAGCTTCATCGAACCGTCGGAACTTCCTGCTTGAGTGTGTGGAGCCTGACTGCATTCTTGAAAGCCAGTGACGTTGTTGTGTAACGTGAATGAGATCGTAAACCTGGCAGAGCGCCAAGTGTGCATGATGGTCAGCCACACTTTGCCACAATATCCCTGTCCGGTCGCTTAGAGGCGAACAAGCGAATGTGTCCTAGAGTGATTGCCCCAGGTTATGGTATAGTGGGTGAGATGTTGGACTTGCTGTGTGCTCCGCTGGGGGGATAAATGACTCGAGAGTCCGTCCGTAGAAAGTAGCCAAATTACAGCTAAAGACGCATTCTTGTCCCCCATGAAGCAGAGTCATGACGAGTGTCACAGACCGACTGTGACTCGCTTTCCATTCACGTACTTCTGCGTACCAATAGGTTTCGAGCCCTTGGGAATGGTCTGAAGTTTTGCCTGGGAAGGCACAGCAGCAGCCTTTGCCTTTGCAGACACAACAGCCCCGCGAGGTTGCGTGATGGATCTTGTATTCACAGTTCCATCCACAGACGCTGCCTTTTTCGGCAGGCTTTGAATAGGTATTCCCTTGACCGAAGATGCCTTCACAGAGGATGCTTTTGCAACGAATCTTGGCACGCTGGTCGCCGGCTTGATGCTAGTCTTGCTGGCCGTCGATGCTGATTGACCTGGGAGGGCAGTTCCAGTTCTTCGTGTACGATCAGCTGCTAGGTCTCTTACTTTTGACCYAACAGCATGAAGGGAAACGGTCGTTAGAGGCCTTGTAATCATGGTACTCAAATTCGCCAGCGGTGCCTCCTTCTTCACGACCTTCGCTGGACTTGAAGTGCTCCTGGGGCCTGATGCGGACGTCTTCGACATTGCTTCCAAAGTCTTTACGGCAGCAGTTGTAAGATCTCTCTGCGTCTCACTCGAGATCGACTTATCTGCGCCAGGCGCCTTAGCAGCCTTCTTGACAACGCGAGCATTGCCCGACTTGTGCAGGACTTGCTTCATCTGAGCTTGCGTCTGGGGATTGGCTTTCAGTAGCTGATCCATCAACGAGCTCGGTAATGGGTTCTGCTTATGTGCCGCCAAAAGAGCATGTCGAATGGCATCCTGGCTCGCGGGCATCTTTGGCGCCTGACCCATCAACAGTGAACCAAATTGCTRCGATTGAGCGACCTTGAGCATCATTTCATCAAAGTTGACAGGGTCGGCCATGTCCACGCTAGAGAGTGCGCCAGCCGCCGTCGTGACTGGGCCAAAGATGCTGAGAAACTCATCCCAACCGCCACCCTTCACAGATGTAGATATCGCCTTTGCGTGGCTCGGCTTGGCCTTGCCCTCAACAGCCAGAAGTGCCTTGGTCGGCTCTTTGGATGGGAAGTTACCAAATTTGTAATAGTACTCCAGCAGGTAATCCTTTTCTCTCCAACGATTGACAAGCCATCGACTGAATTGTTCATCATCATCGTATGGGATGTCTGAGATTTTGTAGCGTCGCCAGTACATATTGACTGACTTTGGTGGTCTGCCTTCGAACAAAGATGACTTCAATGTAAACACATCCTGTCCATACATGCCCTTCGGGACTCCCTCGTAGGCAATGGTGCAATCGTAGAGCCAATTCGTCGACGGGCGCAGCTCCTGTAGACAGAACTGCAGCCCCGTGCTCCGCGGGAGTAGCTGATGCTTCATATCTGGAATTCCAGTCTTCTGAGCCCATTTCGCTGACTTTTCCCTAGTGCTCTCGGAAAGATTGGTGCCTTCGGGGAATATCAGTAGCCACATTGGGTCCGCTGGATCTTTCATAGGATCGAGATGCTTCTTAAACTTGTATCGATCTTGCTCCCAGTTCCTGCTCAAGAATATGAAGTTGTAGTACTGCATGCCCCAGCCTATGATTGGCACCTGTTTGAGGCTTTCCTTCAGAATGATGTAAATATGGCCGTGCGTCTTGTTGGTGTACGCTATCCACCAGAGATACAGCCAGTCCGTGTAGAGCTGATGGTTTCCCATCATGATGAGCCTGTGTGGGAAGTTGCATTTCAATGTTCCGTCCTTCATTTGAAAGAGTTGGTCTTTCATGCTTTCATCACCGCTCACTCGAACTACTGTTGGTGCCCACCATTGAGTGATAGTGGTCATGAGAACTGCGAATGATTCCTTGGTCCATGCCATGTAGGCATCGTAGAATTTGATATCCACATACTTGAGAGGTGCTCCGATGAATTGAGAGGCTGAAATGGCCATGACACCGGACAAAAATGTCGAGGCCGCCGAAAAGGCTCGCTCGGCCTGTCCCATACCTCCATGGCGGATTGGATTAGGATTCTCCAGCCCAGTGTGGAAGCTTGCACCCGCTTGAGAGACTCGTTTGTTGGTTGGGGTCCCGTTCAGCRCCATATTCGCGACGTATAATTAACAATCGCGGATCGTAACAAGACCACGTCAACCCAGGAACCTAGTGCAGTCGTTTCCTCCGAGATGGTCTGTTGTACAGATGAACTGCCACAGCATCGAGCGCCACTTTCTCTGCAGCCGATGTGGATTCATGCGGCTCGGTACCACGAATGTCAGCCAGCCACAGATTGATTGGCATGTGAGCAGAGTGAGATTATCCCTGCAACTCGGAGTGTAGTCAGGATTTCGCCTGCGTTCCACTGTGACGTACTTGTCCGTCAATTCGCGTTTGCCAGCCTCTAGAAACCTGTGTAGMAAGATACTAGCAGTACCTGGTCGGACACATCAGGTTCGCACAGAGGCCCTTTATACACTCGGTGCATTGCAGGACGTTTCTCACCAACAAGATCAACTTACAACCCATCGAAAAGATTAAACCATGGCAGCGGCAACTCAAGGAGCACCCCACATGAACGGCGTTRCGAGAAAGCCATCAGCACCCGTCAAGAAGCCATACGTGCCAGCCAAGAAAGCACCCAACGGCGTCGCGAGGCCATCTTCGTACGCGCAAAAAGCAGCCACGCCTGTCCAAAACAAGGCGGCATCAATCGCAGGAGACAACGCGTCAGGCGGAGGTGTGACATCTGCATACGCCATTATGGCGTCAAGAATCGCGAACCGGGTGGCAGAGATGGCAGAGAGCATCACGTTTGTGGAGAGGTGAGTAGTGTGGAATGAGCCATGAACAGAGTTTCCGAAGATTACGCTGACCTTTCGCCAAGACCTCAACCTCAACATCAGCAGCCAGCGTCGCCTGCCCCAGTGGAGGAGAAGAAGAAGCCTCGAAAGCTGGAGATGCGCCTGAACCAGTCGTCGGCTGACTCCATTGCCTTCTCCGCTCCGTTCCTAGACAACACGCTCCAGAAGATGCTTCAGCTCCAGAATCGCATGCTGAAGACGACTGCCGAGCTATCAAAGGCCGATGGAGTGACGGATGCCCTGGTCAAGGAGCACGCATCGCAGAGCGCAGAGCTGAGCAGGATCATCGCACTCATCTGCGCAGAGAAGGCGCGGCAAGGGGCATGAGGTGGGTGGGTTAGCAGGAACTTGGAATTTTGAGTGATTTATGTATAACGGATGGTCAAGCGTTGATCGGAAACAGTACCTTCGGCGGCATGATGTGATGAACGTATTAGCGCAGGCTTCGTAGCAGGAAAATCGAGCAGATTCTGCCAGTCTGCTGCAATCTTCAGTCTTTCCAGCGTTACTCGGCTTGCCATCACCTAGCCTTCGGTGTCCACCACGGAGTCCGACACATGTCTTGGAATTGCAATAGGGAGTATATTCCATTCTCCTCGCGGCATAATAGCGCTGCGTTTAGTTCGTCTTTGTAGCGTATGGCATCATTGTTCTTACCGCCACTCCGCTGTGCCAAATCTCAATCATAACAGTCCAGCGCGCTCCAACCTTCTCAACACTCTCGCATCTCTCTCCTGCCTCTCATACATGACCTCGCGTTGCAACGAATCCAGACCTGCATATAGCGTCGGGGGTTGCTCGTCGTCGCTGTACGAATCTCGTTGGTGAAGTGTCGGCCACTCCAGGCGCGCTTGCGGTCCCTCCTCCTCACCCAAATCCGTGTCCACCTCCTCGGCCTGTCGTCGTTCCATCTCAATCCAGTCTTCCATGCGCTGACTGTTGCGACGTCTTCTTCTCAGCTCGCGCTGCGCCRCCGCGGCGTGAGAGAAGTCGAGCTGCATATCATCATATTAGATTGGCATTCTCGAGAGGTGGAATCGTCCCAACTCACGTTGAGGTGACCGTCAAGATAGCCATGGCACATCAGCAGGAGTAGAGTGCAGGCGCTGGCGACGCAGTAGACGATGACGAGCCAGGCCGCCGGGTTCGTCCAGTTGGCCATGTACCATGCCCCGTTCTCCATGCTGGAGTCTAGGGTGGTGGTGGTGCAGTTCGTCTCTGCTGGGTTTCCGAGATCMGATTGTCCACTGCCGCAAGTCGGTACCGCGCGGGCGGTCGCAGTGATGTTGGCGTAAATGTCAGAGACCAGATTGGCGACCATAGCAGCGATTACGTGCTCTTGTAATGACAGTGAACAAAGCGGTTGAAGACTGGTGAATGGTCGTTGATGATTTGAACACAGAAAGACTAGTTGCAGAAGGAACATGATAAACCAAACATGCAAGAACGAGTGAATGGGAAAACCTTAATCTGACCTACCATTGTTCTTCATGGTTGTGAAGCCAAGGAAAAGTTGACCGACTAAGTCGATGTTCGTTCCTCATTACTTCGCCCTCTCAATAGCTGTAGCTTCAAGACTTCCAAGGCAGCGGGAAAGTGCCAACCCAGTCCTCGACCTCGCGTCTCAGCTCCACAACGTCCACTATTTCCTCGCCATCCTTGACATAGTCCTTGAAGGCGTTGACGCTACCAGGGTTCTTGCGTCCACTCTTCTCCGCGGCCTCCTTTGCCTGTCCGTCAAGCTTCTTGCTGATGTTGACTGMTCTATGGACAATATCCGCAACACGCTTGAAATCAGTAGGCTGGAAGCCACGAGTGGTCATCGCAGGCGTCCCCATACGCAGACCACCAGGCTTCATGGCAGACTTGTCTCCAGGAACGGTGTTCTTGTTGGCAGCCACGCCGACCAGCTCAAGAATACGTTCCACACGAGCGCCGTCGATGCCCTTGTCCTTCAGGTCGATGAGGACAAGGTGGTTATCAGTCCCTCCACTGACAACAGAGTAACCGAGACCGCCAGCCTCCTTGCCGTCTCCCAACCTAGCGGCGAATGCCTTGGCGTTCTCGAGAACGTTCTGCTGATACTGCTTGAATTCTGGCTGCTGTGCTTGGTGTAAAGCAACTGCCAGTGCAGTGATGGTGTGATTGTGGGGACCTCCCTGATGGCCTGGGAATACGGACGAGTTGATGGGACCCTCGAGATCGTATTTTGTCTCTACACCCTTCTTATCCACGCTGCGAGTACCCTTTCTGAAGAAGATCATAGCGCCACGTGGGCCACGCAAGCTCTTGTGGGTGGTAGTAGTAACCACATCCGAGTACTCGAACGGTGAAGGGATTACACCGCCTGCTACCAATCCTGAGATGTGGGCCATGTCGCTGAGCAGATAGCAGTTGCCGACCTTGTTCACGATCTCGCGGAACCGGTTGTAGTCGATCAGTCTGCTGTATGCGCTTGTTCCTGCAATGATAATCTTTGGTCGGTAGAGCATAGCCATGTCTTCGAGTTTCTCATAATCGATGAGTCCTGTGCTCTCGTCTAATCGATAAGGGAGGGTTTCGAAGTATTTGGAGATTGCCGAAATCTTCTTCGTGGGGAGCTGGTAGCCGTGGGAGAGATGGCCTCCATGTGGGAGATCGAGGCCCATGATGCGTTCATGGGTGCCGACGAGCGCCGAGTATGCATAGAGGTTGGCTGGCGAGCCAGAGAGAGCTGCACCGAACGTCAGTCACATATTGCCAGCAGAAAGAGGCATTGGGGCGTAGCAGACGTTGTACGTTGACTCCCCACTCCGACTCCTTCAGCCCAAAAGTCTCCAATGCTCGCTGTTGACACAGTCTCTCGGCCTCATCGATGTGTTCGTTGCCACCATAGTATCGTGCTCCTGGGTATCCCTCGGAATATTTGTCTGTTCGGAATCAGTATGATTCATCCACTCCCACTCCACTAGCCTCACTTTGCATAACACTCCCAAGCGCATCCAACACTGCTTGGCTAGTGAAGTTCTCTGAGGGGATTAGGTTGATGAAGTGCTTCTGCCGCCGTTTTTCCTAGCAATCGTTAGAATCGTGCACTCTGGCGATGCGGCATTCGGTGGCGGACCTTTTGAATGATGTCGAAGACGGCGGGATCGCCTTCTTCAAGAGTCGCAGAAAGTAGCTGAAGGATGTGTCAGTATTTTCCCACAGCTACACGCGCTTGAGACAGCCCGACCTTCTGCTGGTTGTCGGCGGTTGACAGCGACCGCCACGCTATCGATACCGCTGGCTTTGTGAGAACAGGGCGCTTGCATGCCCGGCAGAGCAATGAGCCCGACGTCCTAGCTACTGCCCGTAGAGAAGCCATTGTGAAGTGAAGGGCAAGCAGGACAGTGGAAGGGTGGTGGCCACAAGGCGAATGCGACAGTTTTCATAAAGATAGAAGAGTCAACAATGGTTACTAGCGGCTCTCGACTCTCTCAGCCTTCAGGGTCCGCTTGCTCTTCCGGGCTCGCTCGTCCCTACTGCCGCAATACCCGTCGCCTTTGTGCACAACATCTCCAGGGCGGTGACTTGGAGCAGCACATGAGAGGGATTTGATCGACGGACTTCACTGCTCGAGATGTACTTTGCGTCCGGGTCTTTATTGCAAGAGAAGGAGCCACGCCTGTTTCTCCGGCGTTCACATGTGCATATCGATTGTTGTCCGCTCAGCGCTCGGAGTCCACGAAGTCACGGCTACCACGGTGCCCGACCGACAGCTTGGTATGTCGCCGAACAGACGATCCAAAACTCCACAGACATTGTGTCCCTTTGTTGCTGTCGGGAGCCTACGACCAACTCCTGGCCGGGCTACAGGAGTTGTCGCAGCTCGGCTATCAGCGCGACAGCTTCAAAGCAATGGGAACTCTCTGTGAAACTGAAGGGCAAACTCGGGATGGCATCATATGGTGGGAAAAAAGTTTAAATTGAGAAAACAATAGTCACAGTCCCAAACGACGGACATTGCGCAGCTTCGGTTTCTTTCGGTGTCGGTTTACGGTTGACATGCCATGGAGCCCGCGATACACACAATGTAGCTGTCTCCACTATGGCACCATCAAGTTTGTAGTCGGAATCGTGCCTTACATTCCAACGTGGAGCATAAAAGTAGTACCCCGCGCCGGTAGCGATCAGACAAAATCCAAGCTTCACCCACTTTATCTCTTTAGCAGCCCGCAAATCTCAACCATCTTCCTCCTTCCCACTTCACCTCATTCTACCTCCTCACCTCACCTCCCCACCTCACCACACTTCTATCCTTCACAATGGCCACCAACGGAACAAGCGTCAAGGGCAAGCTCCCGTACGTCTCAAGTCTACGCAACGTCATTGGCATTGGAGTTGGGGAGGAAAAATTGAGGCCACTTTGCTAACTAGACCTCTTCCCTTTCAGAGCTGGCAGATTTCTCTTCACCTCCGAGTCGGTCGGCCAGGGTCACCCTGACAAGATTGCCGACCAGGTCTCCGACGCCGTCCTCGACGCCTGCCTMAAAGATGACCCCGCCTCCAAGGTTGCCTGCGAGACGGCTACCAAGACCGGCATGGTCATGGTCTTTGGTGAAATCACCACCAAGACCCGCCTAGACTACCAAAAGGTCATTCGTGACGCCATCAAGGACATTGGATACGACGACTCGGCCAAGGGCTTTGACTACAAGACCTGCAACGTGCTTGTGGCCATTGAGGAGCAGAGTGCCGACATCGCCCAGGGTCTGCACTTGGACGAGCGTCTTGAGAACCTTGGCGCTGGTGACCAGGGTATCATGTTCGGTTATGCTACCGACGAGACTCCTGAGCTGCTGCCATTGACTGTCATCCTTTCCCACGCACTGAACAAGGCCATGACCGATGCCCGCAACGACGGCAGCCTGCCATGGCTCCGACCCGACACCAAGACACAGGTCACTGTTGAGTACGAGCACGACAACGGTGCCGTTGTACCCAAGCGTGTCGACACCGTTGTTGTCTCTGCCCAGCACAGCGAGAAGATCACCACCGAGGAGCTCCGCAAGGAGATCAAGGAGAAGATCATCAAGAAGGTCATCCCAGCGGAGTACCTTGACGACAAAACTGTCTACCACGTATGTCAATTGAATCGCGACCAAAAGTATTGTTCGTGGAATGCTGACCAATGTAGATTCAACCTTCTGGCCTCTTCATCATTGGTGGCCCACAGGGTGACGCCGGTCTCACCGGCCGTAAGATCATSGTAGACACCTACGGTGGATGGGGTGCCCACGGTGGTGGTGCTTTCTCCGGAAAGGACTACAGCAAGGTCGACCGTTCCGCCGCCTACCTTGCTCGATGGATCGCCAAGTCCATTGTTAACGCTAAGCTCGCCCGCCGTGCGCTTGTGCAGCTTTCATACGCCATTGGTGTCGCCGAGCCTCTCTCCGTCTTCGTTGAGACCTACGGTACCTCTGACAAGACCTCTGACCAGCTGGTCGAGATTATTCGCGCCAACTTCGACATGAGACCTGGTGTTATTGTCCGCGATCTTGACCTCGCGAAGCCAATTTACCGCGAGACGGCCAAGAACGGCCACTTCACCAACCAGAGCTTCAGCTGGGAGAAGCCAAGGACCCTCAAGTTCTAGATTGCCTCACCGGCACCTGTTTTCAACATAGTCAACCTTAATCCGCTCGGCCTCGCTTGACGCGCAGAGTCGGAGCCTGCATAGACGACGTCGAGGTTTCAACCCTCGACTCGCACCCCACGGCGTTTTACGGACGGGACAGAACTGATAAAAAAGTTACACGGAGAGCGAATGATACCCAGAAGCCCTGCTCGCGGCAATGACGTTTTGTATTCAACATAGACCTCGGGCAGGAATCACTGCCCTCTCCATCATCGGCAAAAAGGCAAACAACATCATTGGCGGATTGAACATTTAGCGTGGCGTTTGGAGATGTGCTCAACCATTCATCTCTCATGCGCGACCGGAATGAGCATTGCGCTTCTGTAGGAATGAATGGAATTGTCTGGTTTTGAATAATACTTCTCATTCTCATCATTCGTCCGGAAGATCCTCAGAGAAAGTCGTTGAGCGAACATGCGTGCCTTGAGGTAAGGTACTCAAACTGTCATAAAGATCCAGACAACCCACCACGAAGCTCCGACGCAATCTTCTCGTCCAAATTAGCCAACTGCTCCAGCATACAGGCAAAACTTGCGTGGTCTGAACATATTTCCTCACAACGACATCCTTCTTAGCTAATCTCCGCAATCKTACTATAAAGAAGTCCTGTTGCTCCACAAGCATGGCTCCATCCTCCATGCAGCGGACATAAWAACAGGGAAAGTTCTACTATGGCATGATTTTCGTCTCTACTGTCGCGGATCAATGGTTCTATAGTTACTATATAGCTGGTTTCTTTCGCTATCTCGCATTGATATGATGGTGGTCGACTGTAGAGGTTGGGACGGCGTGGCATTCCTCTGGACGTTATGGAAAGATGAAACGAGCGTGACAAGTCATCCTCGTCTCGCGACATGGAGTCTTTGTCCTTCTCTATCCTCATTGCTTTCGCCTCGCGTCGCACAGCCAATCCCTCGCAATGTGTATGTGAACCCCAAAATCCGATAGACGGGAACAATCGTGACATGAGCTTCGAGAAGTGCTCGAAATCGCCATTGAGCTTGATCAATGTTGAGTGACATGTAGCGAAGGCAGTTGTATTGTTGACAGTGTTGGATTCGAGCGCAAGGATGTCTTACTTTGCAATCCATCAATCTATTCGAGACTTTTGCAGACTCATCTTCATCACTTCATGAATAATATGACAAACAGCTACGGTGGATGATGACGGATACATCGCAACCCCTAGTCTCGAGCGAGTAACAAGACGATRGAATACCCATTCCATCCAACTCACCGTAGCCACATCAATGGGGCTGTCTCGTGGATAGAATACGAAGATTACGAGGTCAACAACATTCATCATAACAAGGTACCTAGCGCGGTCACTCCAAACTTGCGAGCTTCGTAAACCTCGGATGCGCCCTGGTGATTTCTTTTCTTTTCCAACTGAACATCTCCCTAGTCTCCACAATCCAAGATCTAGAGATGATCCGAGGTGCGATACGAGGGTAGGAGACAGGGTTATCTCTCTCTCTCTTAGCTAATTTTGATCTTCTGGCGAGGTCTGTGGTGATGAAGGTACTGGATTGGTACGAAAGGATCGCTCAACTGGATCTCAGTAAAAGAAACCCCAAGTCATTCACATGCAACCAATCCCTGCATGTTACATGGCCCTCGCATTCCGGACTGTCGATTCGCTTGTCGGAAATGTAATGAGGCGGGTCTCGCGATTTCTCTGCTCTCACGCAGAGTATATATATAAGATGATCCTCTTCAATCCATCCCATCCATCTCATCACTCCCATTTCAAACCATCCATCCATCCATCAACATGAAAGAAACAATCTCCCCCACATACCTAGTAATCGGAGCCGGAGCCACAAGCCTAGCATTCGTCGACGAACTCCTCTCCAACACCTCCCAAACCACCACAATCGCCCTCATAGACCGCTACGCAGCCCCAGGCGGACACWGGACCACAGCATACCCTTTCGTCCGCCTCCACCAACCCTCATCATTCTACGGCGTCAATTCCCGCCGCTTGGGAGAAGAACGCATCGAACAAATCGGCTGGAATCAAGGGTTGATGGATCTGGCGACTTGTCATGAAATCAATGATTACTTCTTTAAAGTCGTCGATGATTTTCGGGCTTCGGGACGGGTGAAGTGGTTTCCTAAATCTGAGTATATGGGCAATGGAGAGTGGAGAGAGATTCTTACTGAAAAGGAGTGGGCTGTGGGAAAGGAGACGAAGATTGTGGATGCGACGTATGTGGAAGTCAAGGTTCCTTCCATGGGACCGCCGTCTTATAAAGTCGAAAAGGGGGTGAATCTTACCACCCCAAACGATTTGGTGAAAATCAATAGGCCTTATACCATTTATACGGTCGTTGGGGCGGGCAAAACAGGTATAGATGCAGCATTGTGGCTGTTATCCATGGGAATCTCACCTGAAAAGATCAATTGGATTATGCCGAGGGATCCATGGCTGGTGAATCGCGCAGCCATTCAACCTGGACCGCAGTCCGCCGATCGACGTAAGAGAGACGAGCAGAATTTTGGCGCTGCTGTCATGACAGCGACCTCTGTGGATGATTTCTACAGAAGACTCCAGGCAACGCAAAATATCCTGCGCTTTGATGAGGAAGTTTGGCCGACTAGATACCACGGCGCTACAATCTCGCCGATGGAGCTGGAGCAAATCCAACGTATCAAGTGCGTTATCAGGATGGGGAGGGTCCTTGAGATTCGTCCGGATGAAGTCTTGCTGCAGAAAGGCAGCTACAAACCGGACGCTGACACTCTATTCATTGATTGCGCAGCTGATGGTCTGAAGAAAGCGGACGCCGTTCCGGTGTTCCAAGGCAACACCATCATTCTCCAGGCTGTCAGCATGTGGCAGTCGGTCTTCAGTGGCGCCTTTATCGCACATGTCGAGAAGATGGGAGGAGATGATGAGGCGAAGAATCACCTTTGCTACCCAATCCCACATCCCGAGGAGCTGGCGGGGTTCCCCAAAGCATTGGCGTCGGGGATGCGGAGTACCGTTGAATGGTGGAAAGTGCCGGAAACTGTCGCTTGGTTGGAGAATTCTCGTCTCAAGGTGGGAGTGGGAATGGATCCTTGGCCCAAGGATCCGGAGAGGAGGCAAGCGGCGCTGCGGGAAAAGTCGGAACAATTTGCTGGACTGTCTCAGATGCTGTTCAAGTTGGTAGGAGAGGGTACAGAGGTACAATAGACGGGATCGATGTTTCGATGGCCGGGGTATGGAGCGCTCTTTGTGTGGACTGGATTATCGTTGTGTTGATTGGCATATGTTAAGAAATAGAGATCTTTCTTGGGAATGATCATGTCAAACCATAAAGGATCGTCAGCTCGCAAATGTCCATATCATTATCGAGATATGCCATTGGAGAATTTTGATATTTGTGAGGGAGGAGCGATGTTGCTTGCGGTGACGTCGCGAAGACCAATCGATGGGTCCAACTTTGTGTTTTGCTGATCTCGAGGCAAGCTTGGCAGACGGAAGTGAAGCAGTGTGAAGTGTCGCGAGCACCCGACGATGGAAAGATAAAGTGGTGGATCTGATGTCGTGGGGAACAGTCTCGCAAACATTTTCTCTTGCACGGCCGTCGTCATAGCCTTGTCCCGTCTTCATGCCACGCCTTTGATTGCAAGCCCCTAAACTCCCGAGGAGAGGGCTATGGAGGGATCAAAGTGGGAAATCCGTGAAGCTGTTTGCAGTCACGACACTCGCTTGCTCTTGTAGTCTCTAACCCGCTCTCTGTTAGGCATGAGGGTAATACCAAGGCCTGGACGAGTTAAAAGGAGTATGACACCACTGGATGGGATGCGGAGGTGAAGGTGGAGATTGTTCTTGTTCTTGAGTATGCTGAGACTGTGCAAGGAAATAGATGAGAAGTCCAAATCTGGATGTGATCTGGTTCGCTGGTGAATGAAATGCTCATCGAACCTTCTGTTGTGGCGTTTACGAGCCGAAATAGCAAAGGGAACATACCACGATGTAGGTAGAGCTGCTGATGTTAAGCTGAGTGGTTCTGATGACAGGACCATCTGACCACGCCAATGCATTTCTGCTGTGTTCAACGAAGAAACCACCATCATCTAAGTTCTCGCCATGACAAGTTTTGCTTACATCACACGATGATGATGTCGATATACCGCGAGCCCTTTCTCGGCGGTTTTCAGAGAATTGGCCCGGACTTGTCGGGTTGATGACATGGCGAAGGGGTCTGCCTTGACTTCTCGACCGTCTTCAACATTGTCAGACCAAGGCGTGAAGACAGCAGATCATATGTAGTGGCAATCACTTCGAGCTGGCTGCTGCGATTGCCGTTGTAGATATCGGTTTGTTATCATCTTCATGCGCGTCGGGGAAACTGCACCGCGAGTGATGTAACCTTCCGGACGCGCCTGAAGCCGGGCAAAAGCCGACCTGCTTCGGCGGTTGTTGCTATGCTCCTGTTGGAAGACGCGTAGCTTGAATAGCTTACGGTGGAGGAGAGGGTGGTAGCTGGAGATGAGATGAGATGGCGTAGCATGACATGATCTGGCGTCGTGACTATGCAGGATGTAGAATGTCGGCCGAGGGAGCTAGGTACGTGCGTAGAGGAAATGATTCCTAAACACGTCGGTCGATGGAAATGATACAAGAATGCGTGCAGGTGCCGCCGCCGCCCGCTGCCCGCCGATGTTCCGGTGCAGGCTCGGAGTAAATGGAAACACCCCACCAAAAACATCATCCTCTCATGGCCAATCCCTCAACGCCTTCTTCTCGACATCAACAACGTTTGACCGACTTTGCACAACACCTCACCACCGCAAACATGTCTACACCCGAACCAGTGTACGTACTAATCTCTATTTACTTAGTCTGCTTTCTTTCATCAACCAGAGCCAGCGTCCGCAGCCATTCTCCGCGACGTCACAAACAGAAATCACCCCACCTTTGGATGAAAAATTGTCCCGCGTCAGCAGGAACAGCAACTTCAGCAGTATTGGACGGCAGAGGCTGTTGAAATATCACCACATCATGCTCATTTCATGGAAGATGGGCAGCAAGGGAATGGCTACGGATCTGGCTCTGGATGGCTCTGCACATCCATGGAACTCGCTTCGTGACACAATGTTGAGCTTGGGACAATCACTGACAGTATCTACAGTGGTGACTTTGGCTTGATTGGCCTTGCGGTCATGGGTATTCCTCCCCTCCTGCCCCATATTGGCAGTATCAAAAATGCTGACATTCTCCAGGCCAAAACCTCATCCTCAACGCCGCTGACCATGGATTCACCGTGGTTGCTTTCAACCGAACAGTCGCCAAGGTGGACCGTTTCCTAGCAGACGAGGCCAAGGGCAAGAGCATTGTCGGCGCACACAGCATCAAGGAGTTTGTCTCCAAGCTCAAGAAGCCACGTCGTATGATGCTTCTCGTCATGGCCGGCAAACCCGTCGACGACTTCATTGAGATGCTCATCACCGAGGGCGGTGTTGAGACCGGCGACATCATCATCGACGGTGGAAACTCACATTACCCAGACACCAACCGCCGCACCAAGTACCTGGCAGAGAAGGGTATCCGATTCGTTGGAAGCGGTGTTTCTGGTGGTGAGGAGGGTGCCCGCTACGGCCCATCCATCATGCCTGGTGGTAACGAGGAGGCTTGGCCATACATCAAGGATGTTCTTCAGAGCATCTCCGCCAAGTCGGACGGCGAGCCATGCTGTCAGTGGGTTGGTGATGAGGGTGCCGGCCACTACGTCAAGATGGTGCACAACGGTATCGAGTACGGTGACATGCAGCTGATTTGCGAGGTATGCCAACGTTCCCATCTCCATGCCATCTCATTTCAATACTGACATTCCCAGGCATACGACATCATGAAGCGCGGTCTGGGTCTTTCCGGCAAGGAGATGGGTGATGTTTTCGCTGAGTGGAACAAGGGAGTCCTCGATTCGTTCCTCATTGAGATCACTCGCGACATCTTGTATTACAACGATGATGACGACACTCCTCTCGTTGAGAAGATTCTCGACTCGGCGGGTCAGAAGGGTACCGGCAAGTGGACCGCCATCAACGCTCTTGACATGGGCCAGCCCGTGACTCTCATCGGCGAGGCCGTCTTTGCGAGATGCCTGTCTTCCCTCAAGGGAGAGCGTACTCGTGCCAGCGAGAAGCTCTCCGGCCCAACACCAAACTTCACCGGTGACAAGAAGGAGTTCCTTGCCAACCTCGAGCAGGCCCTTTACGCATCGAAGATCATCTCCTACGCACAAGGCTTCATGCTCATGCAGAGTGTGAGTGATTGAACTCATTCGAATGATGATTACATTTCATGCTAACTCATCTCACAGGCCGCCAAGGAGTACGGCTGGAAGCTTCAGAAGCCAGAGATCGCCCTCATGTGGCGTGGAGGCTGCATCATCCGCTCCGTCTTCTTGAAGGACATCACCAAGGCATACCGCTCCAACCCCGACCTCGAGAACTTGCTSTTCGACGACTTCTTCAACAAGGCCATTCACGCCGCACAGCCCGGATGGCGTGACGTTGTCTCGAAGGGTGCTCTCTGGGGTATCCCCACTCCAGCCTTCTCCACCGCTCTCTCCTTCTTCGACGGTTTCCGCACCAAGGATCTCCCCGCCAACCTTCTCCAGGCCCAGCGTGATTACTTTGGTGCTCACACCTTCCGCGTCAAGCCCGAGCACGCCAACGAGAAGTATCCCGAGGGCAAGGACATTCACGTCAACTGGACCGGCCGTGGTGGAAACATTTCCGCTTCTACATACACTGCTTAGGTGGAGGTACAAACAAGCTTCGCGACAGTGGGCTTACGTGTGGACAAGGGAAGGCTGTCCGCTCTCACGGTCGTCGCCAAAGATTATGAAGGTCATGGATCGGTGATGCTGGCTCAGTGGGCCGATGGACGGCCAATAGACTGCAGTTTTGTAGCGAAGTAGAGCTTAGCTCGTATGAAAATCATTGATGGATCATGCTACTTGTGTGCGTACTCATATGTGTACTTGTGTGTGTTTCAGTTTGTTTATGAGTACCGTCCCTCTGACCATGTTGAGAGTTTTCCCATTCCCATTCCCATTCATGTATCCATGTATTCATGCATTCGTTCACTCGTGTACTTTTCTCTCGATGTAGGGATGAGAATCTCGGGCTTCAATAGTAGAGTAATACGAGATGTTTTTAACTGTACTGAACTCCACTCAACTCGACAGAGTAATAAGGTAGGTTGCTGTGTGTTTAGACTCAAATATAAAGTATAGACAATGTGTAAAGTAGGTACTACCTACCTAGGTAATGATGAAGTCTATAGGACTGGAGGCGACATCAAGGTAGGAAGCCCACGTTATATCGATACCTTAGATTGCCGAACGCATGAATAAAGCACATATATTCACGCGCCGTGTGTCATTCATGCATCGAGAAGCAGGAGGGACATACAGACAGACATACAGACATATAGCAATAGCAGTCACTAAGAGAGAGAGATGGGAGTGTGAGGTAAGCCGAAATTTCGATGCTCTCGACCCAAAAGCGAGCGAGCGTACAATGGATTCCACGCTCGCATATCATTCATACAATATGATTTCAACCCACTGATTCCTTGCCTTGCCTTGCATCGACTACTACTTCATAATCATAGCCTTCTGCATTACCCACCCAGCCTCGCCGTGTCTCCGATAATGCCCCGCCATGTCTTTGATGATGCATGGCCATGTCTTTGATGATGCCTCGCCATGTCTTTGACGATGCACGGCCAAGTCTTTGATAATGTCTCACTTGCCTGTAGGTGTTACAAGTGCCCTCTAAGCAACGACATCACCTTCCGTCTGCCCCGTCTCCATCGTCTCTTCCTTGACAACCCCTCCATTCTCCTGCGGTTGCGGTTGCTGTTGTTGACCGGGGAGAATCAACTCTTCCTTTCCCTCTTCCGTCTCAAACGCTCCCTTACTCCACACCTTATCCTCAAACTTCTTCGCCGCCGCTTTCTGACCCGGCTCATGCTTAAAGGTACATCTGGTATTTGTGCAGGGGTGGAATCTGCAGGCAATCTTGGAGTGTGCAAAGGTGCAGCCTTCGACCTTGCAGTCCGGTCCGTTCCTACACGGTGCTGCAGATCCATGTCGGAATGGACACGAGGCGTTTGTGCAGTGTGGCCAGAATTTGCAGTCCATCTGGATTCCTCCCGCTTGAGAGGCTCCGCTTTGTGCTGGGGAGGGATGTCTCGCTGTGCACTTGAAGTTCTTACATCCTGCGCCGAAGGAGCACGTCTCATTCAGGTCGACATTCACCAGCGTGGTGGATGTGGGGTTTTGATGTGCAAAGTCGCACGAAGGGTTTGTGCAGGATTGGTTGAAGCGGCACATGGTGCTGAACTTGGGCTGTGGACGGTTCGCACCATCATCCAAATCCATGCTGTCGGGGTTGCTGGCAGCGACGGGTTTTGAAGAGGAAAGAGCACCCAGCGGCATCTTTCCATTCTCTGCGTGCAGCACTTTCGGTGCAGGTGGTGCGGGACGGCCGCCTCTCCCTTGCGCATTCCCTCTACCACCACGTCCGCCGTTTTGGAAGCCTCCACGGTTGTTGTTGTTCATAAATGGCATACCGCCGCCATTCGCCTGCATAGCCTGAGCGAGGATGTTTGCCTGCATTTCCATCATCTGCATCAAWTGCATCTGCTGTTGTGGGTTCATCTGCGTGTTGGTCATCATGCCGCCGCCGTTCATGTTATTGTTGTGGTGTCCGCCTCGTCCGCCGTTCATGGCGCGTTGAATGCCATTGGCCATGGAGCTGCCTCGGGGGCCTCGAGGAGTGCGATCGGCGTGGGAGTTGATGCGACCGGATTGAATGCCTGCCGCACCACGGATCTTGCGGAGATTCTCGGGCAATTCCGTGCGATCCATGTTGCGGTTCATCTGACCGAGCATGCGTCCGCCACGGCCTCCTCGCGGGCCATTTCCATTGCGCATGGATTTGGGGCCTGTGGGTCTGTTGAATGAATTGTAATACGTCAGTTGTTGCTGTCGTTGGAGATGTTGCTGATACTGTTGGCGACGATGGAACTGAAATTGTTCCTCTTGAGAGGGGAAGGCGCGAGCATTGTAATATGCGTCGCGACCGCCGTGCGGGTAGTAGAGATAATGAGAGTGATATACATACGGTGCGTCGCCTGCATTGGCGCTGTCTTCCATCTGAGCATCCTGTGCGGAGTGGGAGGGTGCTTCTTGCTGTGCTCCTTGCTGCTGGTCTGGGTTCGGGTCCTGCGGTGCGGCCAGAGTTCGCGCATACTCAAACAACCATCGCGCAAAGTCTCCCACGGCGGCATCATCCTCACCAACACCGAGGAGATCTCCGCCCAATTCGCTCATGACACCTTGCAAGTCCTTACCGTTGACGACCATCATTGTGACATACTCTGAGAGGGTCGTGTCGTTTTCCTCCACCACCCATCCATTCTCCATAAGTTTGGGCTGCACGGCGGATTGGATCTGAGCGGCCAGACCGCTTCCGGCCTCGACTGATGCACCTGCCATTGTGACGTGTGGTGCGTGATGTGGAATTGAAAGGCTCGAGGACTGTTTCTCCCCAAGCGCGAGTCGTGCGCGCGACGTGCCGGATTGGGATGGACTGCAGTCGATGAATGGGGTGGTGATTCTGGTGCGAGGGACAATGCGGGGTTGATGCAGGCGATTCGAAGGTCACGTCACGTCCGGTGCGTGAAGTGGGTGTGGAAGGTTGGCTGTGTTGTTGTTGTCGTGTGGCGTGTGAGGTGAGAGATGAGATGTTCGATGAAGGAGCAACGGTAAGGAAGGTTGAAGCTGGCCTGTKCCGTCTGTAGGGCTGAATAATGACAAGGAACGCCACACCAACCATCAGCCACAGACGTTCAACTTTCTTCCGCGATCCACGAAATTTTGGGCGCCGCCTACAATCTCCAACATTGAATTGGTCTCACAACACAGCAGACATGGCGAAACCTACAAAGACCAAATCGCCCGGGCAGAAACAAAAGGCACCGGTGTTTCAAGAAGTGGTGGATGAGCCTGCACCATTGGTTCGCATGGGTGGAGATGAAGACGACGAGGATGTAGAAATGAATGACGAAGAGGAGGGGGATTCGGGGGAGGAATCGGAATCAGAGGTGGAAATCATGCTCGACAATGAGATTCCCAAGGATGAGACCGAGGCGGAGTTGGAGAGACTGGTGTTTGGAGACAGTGGCGCATTTCGGGAGGGATTGAAGGATTTCAATCCCGACGGAGAGGAAGATGATGGAGTGGGCGGGTTGGAGGGATTGGACGATGCTGCCTTATTCTTCACCGATTTGGGGAATGGAAATGGTGTGGCGGCGGAGGAGGATGACGATTCAGAGGAGGATGCAACTCTCACATCTCGACATGCGGCGGCGTGGGAGGACAGCGACGATGAGCGGACCCGCGTCTCCCTCCAAGCCGTGCCAAGATTACGAAAATTGAGAAGAACAGAGGCCGAGGATGTGGTCAGTGGGAAGGAGTACACGCGACGGTTGAGAAAACAGTTTGAATTGCTGAATCCCGCTCCCCAATGGGCTACAACGGCCATGCAGCTGCCGGCGAGGAAGAAGAGACGTCTTTCCGCCGACAATGATGAAGACGACGCTTCCTCCAACGATGAAATGGATCTCGATGGAGACCTTCCCTCCGCACAACCTCTATCCGCACTCCTTCAAAACGCCGACTCTCTCACTCGAACATCAAATCTCGTGGCAGGCTCCAAAAAGAGAAAACTCCGGCCCGAAGTCATTGATATCCAACGCACAAAGGACATTCCCGGCGTTCAACCCTCGGCCATCACTTCCCTCTCCTTCCACCCGACTCTCCCGCTCCTCCTATCTTCCGGCCCCAGCTCCACCCTCTACCTCCACCACCTCTGCGCCTCCCCACCAGCCCCCGTCCCCAACCCTCTCCTAACAAGCATGCACGTCAGAGGCTCCGAACTCACAACCACAGCCTTCCACCCCACGGACTCTCGCATCTTCCTCTCCGCGCGGAGGAGATACTTCCACATCTGGAATCTCCAAACGGGAAAGGTAGAGAAAATCTCCCGCGTTTACGGCCAACAACATCAACAAAAAAGCATGGAACGCTTCAAACTCAGTCCGGATGGGAAATACATGGCCCTCCTCGGCTCCACCAAAAAGGGAGGGGGGATTATCRACATCCTCGACGCCAACACTCTCCAATGGACATCTCAAGTGCGCATCGAAGCCCGTGGCGGCATCGCCGAATTCTCCTGGTGGCGAGACGGCAGCGGTCTCGTCATCGCAGGTAAAGGAGGAGAAATCACAGAGTGGGACGTCAACACCCAACGCGTCGTAGCGCGATGGCAAGACGAAGGAGCCGTAGGAACCACCACCCTCTCCCTCGGAGGCAGGCACGAATTGTCCAAATGCCCCATCGGAACAGACCGTTGGATCGCCATCGGCTCCAGTTCAGGGATTGTGAACATCTACGACCGAAGACTCTGGGCGGAATCCCACAACAAGAAGAATAATCCCGAGAATACCATCGTCCCCGCGAACCCCAAACCCACAAAAACTCTCGAACATCTCACCACTCCTACAAGTCATCTGGTATTCAGTCCCGACGGACAAATTCTCGCCATGGCAAGTAAATGGAAGCGCGATAGTATGCGATTGGTACATTTGCCTAGTTGTACGGTTTTTCGAAATTGGCCGACGAGTAGTACACCTTTGGGTAGGATTACGGGAGTTGCGTTTGCGGATGGGGGAGTTGTGGAGGGTGGGGACTGTTATGCTGTTTTGGGCGTTGCGAATGAGCAAGGAAAGATACGGGTTTGGGAGATTCGGTAGATTTGGGGAGATTTGTGGCAATGGGTGGTGAGATGGGTGGTGAGATGGTGTAGTGAGATCTTTGGGATATGCCATGTATGTTCAAATCTCTTGCTACTGCACTCTTTCATCTGCTGCTGCTGCTACCTCAGAATAGAGGATGCTTCGTTGGTAATAACATCGCCTGTGCTACGTTAGAATATCTTGTCAATAAGTACCGATGAGCAAGCACCGCATCTACCAATCCTAAGCCGCACTGTGGGATCTAAAACCAGTCATTTTTCTTTGATCAAATGAATCTATAGCATTTTCGCCAAGTCACGTCTAAAAACTCTTATTCTTATCATCATATAGATGCGGTTACGGATGTACGGTATGGAGTAGTGAACCGTGCACATGCGTCTCGAATAAGAACGTAACGACTGAACCTTATGTCGGCGGCTGCACTCCTTCTTTTCTCCCATCAGAATGAAAGTCCAGAACCACGTGATGAGGAGCAGAAGAGCCCTCAACCAACTGGGTGGCAGCTGTGCATATATCAGACATCGTCTACTAAGCTACAGGCCACTTTCGACCAAGACAGAGGAAAGAGAAAGCGTTGTGGGAAAATCAGGACGGACGTATATGCTTCATGAGACTATTCAAGACAAAGGTCGGCCACTGACATGCGTCTACCGTGCGAAGTGAGAATCTCGGACCAAATATCGCGGCGAAATCATGTTCTGACGTTCTTTCGTCGGATTTGTTTAGTGATGGCGTAGAATGCATTGATTAACACGTCGGCCACCCCTCGTTTTTTTTAGCTGGGGATTGCGGAGGGCCCTACCACTAATATTAGTACTGCACCACCCTCCACCACCCCCAAACGTCTTAATTAGGACAATATACCTGTTCGTGTTGTTGCTAAGCGTTTCTAAAAGGTGTTATTGTCGTGTTTTAACATAGAGCCTATCGTAGAGGTTCTAAATAATAGCGATTACGTAGATATTACCGAAACTGCACCTAAGAGCGCTCTTCCTTTATTACTACTAACTATAGAGCCTCCGCGCCGTTTATAGCGCGCTAGATTACGTAGGCCGGCGTATAAAGCTACTATTAGAGCCCTAAGGCCGTCGCGAAGGAAAGAGGCGGAACCGGTAGTAGTAGACTCGGTAGAACTAGATAATATCGCGGAGACTATAGAAGGCTCGGAGGACGTAGAGGTAGAAGTAGTAGATAAGCCTAAGAAGATGTTAGTTAAAGAGCTCTTACTATAGGTTGCCTACCTTGTCCGCTAGCGTAATAGAACCGATAGAACCTCKGAGCGATACTATATAACTAATACCGCTAAGGAACAGGCTATTACCTTAGAAGCTAAGGAAAGATAGCATTAAATCGTAGCGTAGCGGAAGCGATAGTTTTAGAAGTATTAGCGTAATAAGAACAGGCGTAATGCTACGGCTATAAACTAGAGGTATATAGCGGAGGGTAAGGAATACTTTAGTAATCTAAGGAAGCCGAAACGGACTACTACTGTCGCCGGTATTAGTATTAGTGTTAGTATTATTAAGAAGGAGCCGCCGCCGAAGAAGAAGAAGAAGAAAAAATCTACCGTATTAGTGTCGCCGGCGGTAGGCTCTACACGGTAGAGGTAGAGCTAAACCGCGCTACCGCCCTTAGAATAGCGGCAATCCGTGTTATTATTTATGTCTTCGGCTAGTTCGTTAGAAGATAAGGATACGGAGCCGCCGCCGTTCTAATATCGAGTTAGCCTATGTTATTACCGAGGGAAAGAGAGTGTTAATAATACGTGGATTATAACGAGTAATAAGGATATCGCTAAGCAAGTTAGCAGGTAGATTAATAAGACTATTATCGACATAAAGGGTGTTATAAAGAGCGCTAAACTTATAGCCGCCTATTAAGGACTCGCTACTAGTAATGTAGCGAGGATTATATAGAAGGATAAGCGTAGTTAGTATAGCATTATTAAGTAGTTAGAGGTGTTCTACAGAGCGAATAAATTAAAGCTTAGAGCGACCGTAGATATTAAACTAGAGCCTGCTATTGTTGTTCCTTTAACACCGGCTCTAAGTATATAGCGAACTGCTACAACTATTTAACTTATAGGCCTTCCTTAGAACTAAGATAGCATGCGTATTGCTAGCAACTTCTTAGAAGCGATAACTAGCCGCTAGATATGCGATAACCGTAACTATAAGAACTACGGTTATAACTGCTATATACCTCCGGACGCTCGTAATTATCCTTCTTCGTACTATTAGATATACAAACTATAGCTTATAGCGTAGTAGAAGGGGATTACGGACGGAACACGTACTATAGAGGATCTAGGCCCTATAATTATACGTAATTTAGTTATTACGAAGGAGCGTAGCTTCTATAGCGAGGATAGTAGATTAAGTAGTGTTCGTAAGATTAAGAACGAACGAGGCTCGAGTAGTAGTAGCGATACAATTATTTACTACAATTTAGCTCTATCTACAACGCTAATACTAGGTCTAACTAAAGGCGTATTACTTCTATTATTATAGTTAGAAGTTAAGGATAAAATCGATAAGTTTATACGCTACTACGATAAGCGTAAGGAATAGCAAGGGGAACTATAGTAGGCAGCGCTTTAACTAATCCGGAGGTTGTTAATAGAGGAGTTTATCGCTGTCGTTAATATTAGAGGCGTAAGTAATATAGTATAGACTAGAGCTAGTATACGAATTAGATATAAGATTAGAGCCGTTCGCTCTACGTAGGAGTTTAAGGATTAGAAGCGTAGAGAGCGTAGATTACGGTTCTAATAGCTTTTAAACTAACGGTCCGATTCCTACGATTTTTAGTCGAGCTTCTTTAGCGCATTAAGTTCTATTAGAACATGTTTTATATTATATATTATCTGCTCTAAAATAATATTGTTATAATAGGGTAGGGAAAATTTACTATATCTAAAGCCTATATAAAGTCGATAAAGCTAGTTAAAGCTAGCCCTTAAGCTTTATATAGTCTCTGAATTACTATGTTGCAACTACGCTACTAAATCTAGTTAACGATAGCTTAAATTGTAGCTCTCGACGAGCTCGAATTTTAAGGATTTGTTTAGTAAATTTAGAGTGTACGGTTATTACGTAATTACATAGTGCGCGAGGTAGATCTTAGGGATTTAGGGTCTAAGCGGTATTCTTAGCATCCCCGCGGGGAACTTTCGAGGATTCGGCTTTAACTTTGCCTAACGCGCGACTACATAAGCTCCACTAATCTTTCTAAACAATTGCGCGCGTTACGCACGTCCCTTTTTAGCTATATATATAAGTAATTTAGACAACATCTATTACGACTCCTCGACCGTAGTAGGCCCCTAAGTCTAACCTTTAGGAAATATTAATAACTCGAATTCGACAGGTCGATACATTATTACTACGCGCTCTACCGTCCTTACTACTAATTGCTACGTCCTTACCGTTCCCTACCCTACTAACCTACGAAGAACTCGCGATTATCTTTAAGGACAAATAGCTTACGGCAATTTAAGAGACTTTAGAGCAGGCAATAAGGACGATAGGATCGATATCTATACGAATAGATAGACTTAAGGAACGGATATCTATACTTAAAGATGTAGAGCTTCCTACATATACATAATGCGACTAGCCTATAGTAATAGCAACGGTAACGGTAACGGTAACGGCAATAGATGTAGATGTAGGATTAGAGACAAGTTCTAATAAGGAGCTATAGATAACTACTCTTCTTAAAGTGCTTCTACGCTATGTACTTTAACTCCTTATTTACCTAGCGAACTACATCGACAAGGAAGCTCTTAAAGTTACTAATTATTACCTCGTTCCTATGTCGCTTAATCTACCGCTTTAAAATATAGAAGCTCTATTCGATAGGGTTATAGTCCGATAAGTATAGTAGCAGTAATTCGAGGAAGTAGTAAGCATCTAATATAGCTTAAATAATGTAGTTACTCCGGTAGATTAATGCATTGTCTATAACAATAATAGAGCCTGTTAGTAACTAAGGTAAAACCGTCTAAACTAGCTAGTTTAGAATGTCCTCTATAGTAATTAAGCCTTACTTTAATAACGGCTTATCCAACTAGCCGTTAATAGTTATTATAGGTATAAAAGACTATCGTTTAGAGCGCTTTACTAGCGAACTAGTATCTACTAGATAACTAATTAGACTCTACGAATAGCGCCGCTAACCGTTCCGTTCGTTATATGCGCTCTCGTCGATAAACACTAGTTAGTTACGGCTCTAATCTACTAGCTTTATACGCTAATGCGCTCTTAAAGCTATATTACGCTCTCTAGCGATCCGTCGAGCTACCTTTTTCGAATACGTATAGCGTTTTAAGAGCCTTAATACGCTAGAGTCCGTATATGTATAGCTAGTGTTATCGAATATCTACTAAGCCATCTTATTAAGGTACGCATCTAGCTAACTCTTTATAAACTCTATAAAATCGTCCTCCTATATAGGCGTAAGCCTCGCTAGCCTACATCGACGTACGGTTAGCGGAGGATACGGTAATCCGAACAGCTTATAGCTTAGCCTTATCGCGGCGATAGTAGATAGTGCCACCTTGTACGTACGCGCAATAGCACGGTTGCTAAAGAGTATAGTTTCGAAGGCTTCGTAGAGCTAGTTGCAGAGTAGTAATTCGAGCCTCTCGCTAGGGCGGCGCGGAGTGGCAATACGTACGTACGGTTCCTTCGGACGGTTAGAAAAACAACACCTTTTACACGGACCACTTACCGACATGATTTGGAACGATATAGGACTGAATTGCGCTTGATTTGGGGGTGGTAGAGGGTAGTGCAGTACTAATATTGGTAGTAGGGCCCTCCGCAATCCCCGGCTAAAAAAACGAGGGGTGGCCGACGTGTTAATCAATGAATTATAAAGGACTTCATCTTGAAAGAGATTCCGCAAGACTGGAACGCACGTCTGGAAATTTACACTCTCCTCGGCAGCAGCAGTAGCCCTTTCATACGCAATCTAGTCGATACAATCCCTGAGCGGAAAATATTCGTTTTTGACTACCTCAACACAAATCTCCTCCAACTAGCTCAGGAGAAGGAAATCCCCCAATCGACAATGAAATACATTTTAAAATGCACCCTCTCCGGTATCGCTGCGATGCACGAGAAAGACATTGTTCACAACGGTAGCAGGACTCGCGTGCGTGCTGGTCAGGTTGTCTATCAAAAGCTAACCTTTTATGCCTACAGATGTCAAAGCCAATAATATCATGATTCAAACGACACGGCCCGAGTCTAAGAAGGAATGGCAGATTGCAAAAGTTCAAATCACGGATCTCGAAGACTCGGCTTATCTTCACTATCCAGAATCAGCGGTCGTGGGTGCACAGCTCGGAAATATCATGTGGCGGAGTCCAGAAGCTCACGCAATGGGGCCCATTCGTAAACCTTCGGATATGTTTTCATTCGGCCTCGTTGTATGTAACGCTCCCAACACCTGCATGAGGCCATGAAAATGACAAGACATGGAGTGTATGTACTCTCCAACCTAACGATCCTCGTAGTGTATCTATGCAATGACCCAAATCCTACCCTTCGCAATAGACACCACGGATCTCCCGGAAGAAATCGAGCCCTTGGCCGTCATCCTTGAGCGTCAAATCTCTTACTTCGCAGAAGAGCAGGATCTGCATGCCTTTTTACGATACTTGGGCCATAAACCTGAGTGGGTGGAAATCTTCCAGGTAGTGGCGAGGGTGTTTGAAGAAGGACAACCTAGAAGGCCGTTTCGACGCTGGAAGGGAATAGATGTTGATCAAGTGGATGCTTTTCGAAATCTTATTCTTGGATTGATGAATTTCGATCCGGCGAGACGATTGACGACCCAGCAGGCGCTGGAACATGAGTGGTTTCGATGACTTCATTCGAGTTCCTGTTCGTCTACATTTGGGGGAGTAAGATATGACTCTTCGGTTGGACGGAAGGGGATATCTTGGATGCAAAGCTCGCTATATCTCTTTATTCTGGTCAGTATGGCGTAGATGGACTCTGTCTAGGACTCTGAAGACAATGAGTCCACGAGTATCCTTAAACGAGGCGTTCGTAGGGAGTCTGGGTTTCCGTCATATTCGCACCATACCCGGTCGTTTGACGAGCTTCTAGGGTGAAAAACATCTCCACTGTCGTCGAGTCTCAWAGAAAAATCAATAATGTACCATTAAGCTTCCTATTTCCCTAATCGGAAGAGTCCGGAGGCAGGATGGATGTTCATGGCCAGAGAGCAAATGAACGATGGAATCACTAAAAGCTGTTACGGATGAAACCAGAAGCCTCCAAGGAGTTCGTGACGGCCGTTACTTGCGATTAAGACTTTCTATGGCTTCGATACGTCGATGAAATGGGTATGAGAGGGATGTGTGGAAAATAAAATTCCCGTTACTGCTGTCTTACAGATTACTGGCCTTACCATTTGTGTTCACGGTTTCCTTTACCCCTATCATGCCCCCTCCCTGTCAATTTAATACATGTACGGAGAGACTCACTTTTTGCAATCGACGCTTATTTTCCCTCGTGGGAGAACAACTCTTACGGATTCAATAGCTCTCATTCGTCAATCTTAGCTTCGATCATACGTCATTTTCATGGGGACAAAACATAAATTTCTCCGCTGCGAGTTCATTTATGCTAGGCGATCAAAATCATAGCTTCAATGATAAATTTAAGAGCGAGCTTCAAAACAACGCAAGTGTGAATCATTCGACCTGAGATTTTATAACGCAAGAAGTAATTGATTTGCTCGAAGTCATCGATTTGTCACGGGAAGTATTCTGGAAGCTAGCGAGATTTGTCTCGAATGGGAAAAGTGTTGTGGAGGAGGATTTCGGCATCGCTAGCAAAGAGCAAGTGCCAGCTCTTCATTTATCATTTCTTTTCCTTCCATCGTTTACAACACACGAGATCGATGGACTTTGATATCGTTACCAGGTTCTCCCTTCTAGAATATCCCCTTAATCTCAACGATTTCTGCGTTCATGGTATAGGACCAGCCGATTCCCTTTCGATCGTTTACGGAGAWCGTCTTGATATTTGTCACTAATGCCTTGGATTCTCACCGCCGAAGTATGCTTTTCAGCTCTGCATCTATGATTGTAGTATGCCCTTCTTCTCTCAAGTACAGTGGCTCCTTTCGCGTAGAGAGGGTGTAAGTAATGTGGGYGATGGACTGCGAGGCTGTTAAATTCAGGGGTTGGCTAGGGTACCTAAATAGGATCGGACTACCTCCCCACGACACTCTCGCAATAATCACCTACCAACCTGTGGTAAAGATCAGAGCCAATAGTTCAAAGAAGGACCACGAAAGAGGCATGAGGTCAAATTGTTTTCTAACTCCAAGTCACCTCAAGAGTCGAAATTCTTATGAATTTTGCTACACGTACATCAAAGAATCGCCTTTCATTCGATTCCACGGCAAGAGGGTAAAGTGACTGTGCACATGWTGCCTCGGGGTTGAACAGGAGTAAGAAGAGTTCCTGTACCGTGATCTCATATCGACGTGTGGAAACCGCTTGATGGGCAAGGTGGACGAGTAGTTATAACACAGTAGTTGTTTACAAGATGCCAACAGAGAAGAAACTTACTAATACATACCTTGGTTTCCAATGAATCGTAATCCTTTTTACTGTCGGGCCCTGAACAGCCTTACCTCATCTATATGCATCGCTGCTACTCACCGAGACTAGTGCCCAGATCTCACATCACAGCCTAGGTAGAGCGTAGTTTCAAAGCAAGTCTTGTTTTCCACCACACCCCGACTGTAATGATGCAAGCTGTCAAGATTCAAGAATCCCGTCTGCATAGATTTTCGTTTTCGATCGAGGATTTGATCATGACGATTTCAACAAAGTTAAAGACGATGATGATGGATCAAAACCACAGCAAAATTGAAAGGTATCTAGATAGATCCTAGCAGAAGATGACCTGAGAATTCCCCAACTCCGATAGAAATCTTACACATTCTGGATCTTTCAAACGGCGTCCTGTCCTTAGCATCTGTATCCCGGCGTTCCCGTTCTGTCGTCACAAAAGGCTACCCATGTAACCTGCACCCTACCACATGTCCCCGCTAATGCTGTCTCACGCGGTAGCCTCCATTAGTTCTTCCATGTAATGACCTGAGAATCAAGTCAGTCAGTACTGTGTATTATCGAGCATGGTACATCCAAACGAAACTCACCTTCAATCGCGTCCACTCCTTGAGTCCCTCCTCACCGTTGAAACGGCCGAAACCGCTCTTCTTGGCGCCTCCATGTGGCAGAGAAGCCTCGTCATGCACGCTCATGCTGTTGATGTGTACGGCACCAGTCTCAATCTGTCGAGCAATCTTCAATCCGCGCTGCAGATTCTCGGTGAATACTGCAGAAGTAAGGCCATATTCGGTATCGTTGGAGATTTTGATGGCTTCTTCATCGTTTTCAACCAGGATGAGAGATACAGTGGGACCGAAAGATTCCTGGTAATACATGTCCATTCCCTCTTTGACGCCTTCGAGAACAACAGGTCGCATTGCGGTAGCAAGCTCGCGCTTGTCTGATGGGTCTCCGTAGACTGCCTTGGCGCCTTTGCTGACGGCATCCTGGATTAGAGAGGCGTTCTTGGTGACTGGTGCCTTGTCGACCAGAACAAGCCCGTTCTTGTCTGGGAAGACTGCATCGATCGTACCGGCGAGAGCTTGTCGGAACTGGTCTGCGATTTTGGCATTGACTAAGATTCTTTCTGTTGCCATGCAAATCTACTGATCTTTAGCGAGCGACTGACAAAGCATCGCTTACTTGAGACTTACCTGGCCAGAGAACAGGAATGCACCAAGAGTGCACTGCAGAGCTGCATTTGAGATGTCGGCATCCTCACAGACAATAGCGGGAGCTTTACCCCCGCACTCCATCAACACGGGCTTCAAGTGTTTTCCAGCAAGACTGGCCACAATGGAACCAACGGCCGTAGAGCCTGTGAAGTTGATTTTCTTGACAGCTGGGTGGGATATCAAGGCGGTCGTGATCTCCGCGCCATCTTGAGGCCGATGGATGACAGTGTTGAGCACGCCGGGAGGGAACCCAGCTTTGTGAAAAATATCGGCCAAAGCCCAAAAGCATCCAGGCGACTTCTCAGCTCCCTTCACTACGACYGTGTTCCCCATGGCCAAAGGCGCAAGGAAAGATCGGAGGCCAAGAATACAAGGACAGTTCCATGGTGCGATTGCAAGAACTACACCATATGGCTCCTTGACGACCATGGCGCTGCGGCCTTCGTCCAGCATCGCGGGCATTGTGGCTTGCACGGTGGATATGAGTCCGGCTGTGCTTTTCAATGCCTCGAGCGCATTGCTAAAGTCGAACGCGAAGTAAGGCTCAGTTGATGCCACCTCCGTGTTTGTGAGATGCCATAGATCATCCTTACGGGCGACCAGCTCATCGGCTGCTTTGAGGAGGAGATCACGGCGTGCTGCAGGTCCGATTTTACTCCATGCTGGGAGCGCCGCTTCTGCAGCGGCAACGGCAGCGTTGGCGTCATCCACAGATGCTGCGGAAACATTGTACAGGGGTTTTCCGTTCAGAGGTGAGACCAGTTCGTAAGTGTTGCTTCCTGTAACCTGTTCGCCACCCCGCCAGAGAGGAACAGTCCAGTCGGAGCCGAATTTGTCAGCCATTGTGTTGATATGGGGAGGTCGAGAGGGATGTAGAGAATGAAAGATTTAAACGAGCAACCTACTGTTCCAAAGGCAAATGCCTTTGCTTTCTACCTCTGAGACGTGTGCATTGGTCTTGCCGCGTTGGCTACCGCGCTGACCATTGCCTTCGGATCGCCAGTGTGATAGGCTTGATATGCGGGGTCGGCGAGTGAACTGTGGGGAGTGCATGACCCAGAACTGTGGAAGGTTTGGCTAAGGTTTGGAGGAGAATCTCGGTAGAAATGATCGGGTTTGGGAGCGAGGTTGCTGACTGTACACACAATGACGGCAGGTCTCGGACCGTGCACCTTCTTGACATCAGCTTCTCTTGTGTCGTTGAGACGGCAGCTGTATCCCATCAGACAGGCTGGAATTTTGAGGGAGCAGACAGCCTCCTCTTATAGTCGCAGCAGATAACTGTGGGTCCCTGCGGCAGTGCACCACATCCGACTTTGTGACCCGGCATACTCTACCGCTACCCGACCGCCACGGCTGCGTACCGCACGCTCGTTGTCACCCGATCTAATGCCGCGCCCAAAGGTGAGTGTTGGAGGAGTGAGCATCGACGTACAATCGCTGATGTTCTGGAAAGGTCAAACCGCAGGTGAGGATGCAACGTCGCGGTCCATCATTCGGCTGCTCCTGGCTCTACATCTTCTTCGAGGCTAGTACAGTATGACTGCACATTCACTTGCCAAGCCTGTCAGGGGATGTAGAGACCGCAACGCCGAAATGTGGACTTTTCATGGATATCAATCAATCAACTACCATTTGAAGACTGACACAGTCTCAAGGACCGACAGCGTTCATCCAAGGCCTGCCTCCCATGCAAAGCCTCCAAGGTCTGTGGCGTTGATGTGATATTTATACACACATGGCTTACACATGATAGATCCGCTGTGACGCTGGGACGCCATGTGGGCCCTGTAGCAAACGTGATCGAACCAATGCTTGTATTTATCTCGAATCGTCACGCAGGGATGGCCCACGGAAGAGGCAGAGACTATCCCCATTACCGACGCCCAGCGCAGAGGATGCTTCGCCGCATTTTGAGGCTTCCCCGGCTGAGGCCATTGATGCTGGACTTGAAGGAGATCTCCAGCCTGAAATTGATCCCTATCTCTCCAGTAATGTCACTGCGACAGCAAATACGACTCCTACCCCAGAACCAAATCAGTCGACTTCCCGCCAGACCGAAAGCCGGATGCTGTTGAGCTCCAAGGGTGAAAAGGGTACGTACGATTGTCCAATCCCACCCATCATCCAATTCATTGACGAATGACACGCTAATCTGTCAAAGTGTACATTGGCGAGAATGCCTCGATCTCCTTTTTACAATTTCTCCGTCGGGTTCTGAAGAAATATATGGGCCCATCAGCCTTCACCGAGAACCAGTTCAAAGACAGCATGCTGGAAATAGACGTGGGGCGAGGTGAGGCTTCAGTCAATCTGGACCATCTCGACCAGAGCCGAGCAGACAAGTACGCTCTCGTACAGCTATACCGTGAAGCATCCAGTGGTATACTTGATCTCTTCACTATGGATGAGATTCACACATATCTGGACCGCTACAACATTCCAAGTCCCAGTAATAGTATTCCAGGAGAAGACAACCACGCCAAAGCCGAGCAGGCCTCCCTGAATATGATGCTTGCCATTGGCAGTCAATGTCGTGCGCAAAATCCCTTTGATTCGTTCAATGCAGCCCGGAGCTTTACTTGCGCACAGAAATTTGCATTTGAAGGCTTCTTGTGTGACCCAAGTCTGGATATGGTCAGAGTGTTTCTTTTAATGGCCTTTTACATGCTGGGAGCTTGTCACAGAAATGCTGCTTTCATGTATCTCGGCATTGCTTCGAAAGCTGCATGTGCTCTGGGACTTCATCGGAAAGGTCAAGACAAAGGGTTGAACCAAACAGAATGCCTGGCAAGGTGAGATCCCACGACACACAGTGTGTGGAAWAGGACTGATAGTCTTGTAGGTGGAGAGCGTGGAAGAGTCTCCTCATCCTTGACACAATCGTGTCCTCCATCCTTGGACGACCAGGAGGACTGCCTCCAATGCGGCCCAACGAAGATCCATCTTGTGGGGAAGACGAGGGAATCATCAAGCTCGATCGTCCACGGTGGCTTGCTTCTCAGGCTGTATTTACCATATGTTCCCGCATCATCGACCTCGAGCAGAAAATTGGGAATGGCACCATTGTCAACTCATCAACCGCCGAGCAATTTCTCAAGCAACTCCGGCAATGGAACAGCACACTTCCACAAGAGCTTCGTCATTTCGCCGGAGTCAAGGAAGGGGCACTCAGTCCTCCGGAAAGGGAGATGTTCATCGGAGCCACCCACGTCGCCTGCACATACTACTTCACCATCATTTTGGTGACCCGGCCGTTTTTGATATCGCACCTTGTGTCTCAAATCCGGAGACGTCGTCGGCCAAGCATTGAACGAGCGGAGGACACATCACACATCTCAGATCTCGCACAAGCATGCCTTGATTCAGCCATGTACATGTCGAAATTGGGATTCATGGCCATCAACTCCATGATCCTGTCCAACAACATGTGCTTACTCAAAGCATGGATGTTCGCAGCTGGTCTCTTACTCGGATTTTCCATGTTCGCCCAGAGCGATCCCGTCCCGGAGATTGAGGAGGCTTTTCGAAACGCCATAACAGTTCTGGAACGTCTGGCCAAGTTCAGCCCACAAGCGCGACATTACTTTGACATTCTCACATCTTTCTCCGAGGCCGTATATCTTCGTCGAGAGCAACTTGGAAGGGAACGGCGTAAGAAGAGCGATCGTTTCGTCAGTCAGATCTTCACTGCTGATTTCCATGATGCATGTTCTGCCCCTCCCGTCGTAGTACTTGTTGAGTCTGCTGCTTCTGGGCCTTCTCAAGGCGATGTTGGAGTTAATGATCCCATCGATGTTGATTTGAATGGCGCGATGAACCTTGAGTTTGATGCGGCTTCTTACGATTTGTCTAGTTTTCCGCAACTGACGGATGAATGGTCGGACGTGCCTTTGTTGTCGGATAATTTGTATATTGATTGGGAAAGTGTATGGCCTGTTAATGAGTAGCTGATGTAGACTTGTGTGACGATGGAAAATGAATATTGAAGCACATATTGAGGAAATTTATATGACTGAGAAAAGAAGCCTCTGGTTTTCCCCAAGGAGAATAAATGATACTGTCCGCTAATACGACTGAAACCGTCCAACTCATCTCATCCACGCCATTCACCCCACAACAGACGCATCCCACTTCCTCCAAATATCCGCCCGCATATCATACCCATTCATCTCAGCAATCGTAAGTTTATTCCCCTCATCCTCAACATCATAAAATTTATTCCCCGTATTATCCGAAAATCCAATCCTCTCATGAATATTCTCCCTAGCCCTCGCCGAAGCAGCCTGAACTTTCGTAGCACGAGGTTTCCTCACCCGCTCATACAATCCCAACGCAGCCTGCACACTCCCCGCGAAAAATTCCTTTTGAAAAAGCAGCCCCAAAGCAGCGGCGTCTTCGAGCGCCGTACATGCCCCTTGGCTTTGATCCGGCATCATCGGGTGCGCGGCATCTCCCATGATACATGTGACGCCTTTATGCCAATGGGAGTAAGGTTCATGAACCCAGAGTCTCCAGGGTCGAACTTCTTTTCCGATAGCCAGGTGTCCGAAAACTTGTCTGTCGAGATCTGGGTAGGGGGAGAGGAGGTCTTCGGTTGTGGCGCTCGCGTCCCAGTTTTGGCCTGAGTAGTCGCCTTTTTCGCGCGGGAAGAAACAGTAGTATGATAGGAGGCGGCCGCCGTGGCAAGGGGAGAGGACGATTTTGTTGAAGGTGTGGTGGCCGCCCCAGTATTCTATGGCTTCGTTTTTGCCGTAGTCGGGTAGACCTAGTGCTATGGCTTCTGAGGTTGTTACGTTGGCGTGCAGACAGCTTGAGTCGGAGGGTCGTTTGTCGACTATGATTCCGATGAGTTTGCGGACTTTGGAGCCGATTCCATCGGCGCCTATGACGAGGTCGTGTTTGGCTGTTGTGCCGTTTGTGAAAGTTATGATGCCTTGTGCGGTGTCGAGATTTTCACACTGGGGTTGAGGTCAGATGTTTTGTGATTGATTGATCGATCGATCGGTTTTTCGTCTTACCTTGTGGTTGACGAAGAGCCTGGCGGGGATACCTTCGCCTTCCTCTTGGAGCGCACATTCCATGAACATTTTATGCATGTCTTGTCGGTGGAACATGTAGTAGCTGAATGATGGTCAGGTAGGTCGTCGAAGGATTCCAAGTTGGCGCAATATGACTTACGGCTGACCCCATTTCTCTTCGTAGTCGTTGAGATCGACAACACTGACAGGCTCACCAGTTGCCCAGTCTCGATTGATCAACTGTCTGAGGTACACGCCATCACCTTTTGCAATGTCGACTCCCCATTCATGTAACCATTTCATTCCTGGGAAAAAAAGAAGATCAGCCAATTGTGTCACGATTTGATCGATTTGGTTACGACACACCATTTGCGGCACATGATATCGATGCCCCAACCTCTCCGGCAAAGTCTGCACGCTCATATATGGTGACCTTGTGAYCTGCTCTTCGTAATGCGATGGATGCTGCAAGTCCTCCGATACCACCTCCAATCACTGCGATGTCGAACGGCTTCCAATTGCTGCCGGGCTGCATCTTTACTGGTTCGATGGAGTGGGTGGGAAAATGGGTATTGTTTTGATCTTCTGCGTGGCTGTTTGGGGGAATGCTTGAGAGTTGAGAATGAGTCTGTTGGAATAATGTTCGATTGCTTCTGCCCTCTTTTTGATATCTTACAACTTACTGTTTGCTATCTATCTATCTCGTGCTCGACGGAAGTGCTATCTATCCGTCCTGTGTTGCGATGTGGTGCACGGCCCGAGCACCTGATGCAGTCGATAGGCTGTGCTTTAGAATATCGTGGAGACGGACCGTCGTCACGTCGGACATGTCCTTCCGTCCGGAGCACAGTGAACTGATGAGGATAGCCATGTTCAGCTACATGAAACGGGTGACCAGCTATTGACGGGAGCGGTTTCTGTAGTGAGTGGACACTCCGTACCCCACAGAATATCGGCTCTTCGGATCATACCCCTGAGTTCTCGGCTTTTTCGGAAGGCAGCACAGCGTGCTGTCGGATCGGGAAGAGGGGCACCGGTGGCACCACTAACAACGTGGATGGAGCTGCTTATTGAGAATCGCGGAGGGTGTACCGCTGTCACAGTATACCTACAATCGTAATTTAATCTTTGCAACCTCTGTCAGCTTTCATCATCACAACAACTAAACCGCAATCATGAACGGACACACCAACGAAGAGACGAATGACACCGCCAAGCAAGTACCCGCCGTCGGTGGCCTTGACAAGGCGTGGACGGAAAAGGTCATTAGCGCCATGGGTCCCAAGACGGATCCAAGGCTGAGAGAAGTCATGGCTGCCCTCACTCGTCACATTCATGACTTTGCTAGAGAGGTCGATCTCACTGTTGACGAATGGATGGCTGGTGTACAATTAATCAACGCAGCCGGCAAGATGAGCACTGCCAAGAGAAATGAAGGTCAGCTTCTTTGCGATGTTATTGGATTGGAATCGTGAGTGTTGAAGATGTCGATCGATGAGATCTTACCTATGCTTACTTTTTTTTGTCTAGCTTGGTGGATGACATTACATACCGAAAAGCTGCTGCGGATGCTACTGCTTCTGCCATCTTGGGCCCTTTCTGGCGACATGACAGACCTACGAGAGAGTTTGGCAGTACTGTCACTTTCAACACCCCGTCGGATGGGCAAGTTGCTTACTTCCATGGCACTGTAACAAGTGCAAAGACTGGCAAGCCTCTGCCTGGTGCAGAGGTCGAGATGTGGCAGGCGTCGACGAACGGTGAGTACTCCTGTTTTCAGAACGATGTTAGTGTTGACAAGTTATATAGGTCTCTACGAGCAGCAAGACGATGAGCAAGTTGAGCACAACCTCAGCGGAAAGTTCATCACGAACGAGGAGGGCAAATATGCGTTCTACTGCCTTCGACCAACTCCATATCCCGTGAGTAATGATCCTTAATCGCGACTTGCAACTCTTCTCACAAAGTCTAGGTCCCCGGTGACGGACCAGCCGGAAAGCTTTTGGAGATGATGGATCGTCACCCATACCGACCAGCACACATCCATCTTATTGTGACGGTCAAGGGATACAAGCCAATCACAACCCAGATCTTCGACTCGTAAGTTTGATCAACGAGTTGTCCGGAGTATTGCTAACTTCCCCGCAGCGAATCGAAATATCTGGATAACGACAGTGTGTTTGCTGTGAAGGACGCTTTGGTGGTGAAGTTTGAGCCGCGAAAGGGAGACCCACAGGCAGAATTTGATTTGGAGTATAATGTCCAACTCGCGCCAGCTGATGAAAAGGGTGTCTCTAGTGTTCCTGATGTTAGCCCGGCGTATTGAGCTGGCCAAGTCACGCTACTTATAACCACTTTCAATCTTTCCACTACCATCACTCTGGGTCAAAACCTGTAGCATCGTTTGAAACTAGCTTGATCAGTCTTGCAAGATCCAAGGTAGTGTGTTGTATTACAAGGTGCTTGAGGGTTGGAAGGATACAAAGTCCTTGTTTGTCGTATTTGCCAAACAGCCTAACACGTAGCCAGCAAGAACAAAGTATTGCCGAAGATCCCAAGTAAGTATGCCCAAGAGTCTTCTAAATGGGATTGCCTAACATATAGCGTGATTTCACGAACCTGACCCTAATATCTCAGGAGCACACACCAGCAGCTCTCTYACGAGTCGTTACACAAGAAGCTACAACCTTCAGATAAACCCATACCCATCCCGTGAATTCCAACCGATCTCTCTCGTCTTCCAGATCTTCTTTCCACCCAAGATCATTCACTAGTAGCAAGCACAACACGCAACAAAGACTCCCCGTATTTCTACCTCCTCTCTCTCTCCGACAACTAAAGTCTCTTCTTTCCACTGAATCCAACCCGCGACTCAACTTAAAAATATACCTCAAAATGTCCCCCTACGACCCTTACGAAGATCCTCCAATCTCAAATCCGCCTGCTCCAAAAGTTCCGCAGAGAATTATCTCTCCTGCTAGTAATGAGAACCTTTCCGAAACTTCCCTAGATCCAAGTCTTAGTCCCGAGCTCGTGGATCCTGTTTGTCCTGGGATGGCTTCCGAGGATTCTGAGATCTCTGCTGGGAGAGAAATATCTTCTTCATCATCATCATCGATCGAGCAAGAGAAAGTTGTTCTTGCCGAACAGAAGGAGGCTCGCTCTCTGCTTTCTGCTGGTAATGGTAAGGAAWTGGGAATTTCGGGGGTTGAAGGGAGGGAAAGCTTGATTAAGTGTGTTTTTCCTGTTCTATAGGTGAGCTTCACGATTACTATCGATGGTACAGAAGCTAACCAGATTAGCAAGTCCGAGCAGCAATGACAGAATGGTKWKKTYTTYTA